GATCGGTGAAGTCTGCCATGATGCGATTGGCTGTTCGTTAATTATTTGCTTGACCAACAGAGTCAGTCGCAGGCGTTTCGAAGCGAGGTGTGCGAGCGCTGGTGAAGTCGACTGAGCATGCCGCCGGGCATTGGATACAAGCTCGCATCGTCAATGTCAATGCGCCGGCAATAACGCGGAGTTGTAAGCTGTATCACTGCCTCGGTATACGCGGATTATGCGTGGTGGGCAGAAGCCGTAGATGTCGCGCGGAGAAGGTTGATGGCGCAACGGTGCGGGGCGTCGAAATGCGGGGTCGCAGGGCCGGTGGCTTTGGAGTGGCAGCATTGCTATCGACTAGAAACATCTGACTAACGAACAAACATCACCAAGTTTACGTCAAGGCCGCTCGTTAACAATGCGATGTAGATCGGAAAGCATTATAGTATTACATGATCATGACCAGCGTGATCATAACACCACACGCCGATACGACCATACCCAAGCACCAGAAGAGCAATCATCAACGAAATCCTAACCAACTAAAGAAAAGCGCCCCCCCCCCCCCCCCCCCCCCCGATTTTGAGATACCACCCAATGCAAGCTAATTGTACAGGATATCAAATGTCCGACCCAAATCATTAACCGAAATCAACACCAGATAAACATACCCAATACCGTCATATCGAAACGAGATACCGTAAGCGTCATCCACAGTTTGGTGTACCGGTGCACCAAACTCGCATTACCCAGAAGAAGGCAACAGAAACATACCAATGAACAAACGATAGTGTTCACCGTTCATTCAATCACCGCGTCGGCCCAACAGCTCAGCCCGCCCTCTTCTTCGAGCACACGCGTCATGTCTTCTTCAGCAAGTCGCACGAGGATCTCAAACGGCGCCTCCTCTTGGTTCGCAGTTTGCCTCCGACGCGGAAGGAAGATCATACCGCCATCGCCCGGACCGTAAGATCGTCTGATGAACTCGGGTCGACCAGCCAGGGAGTCCTTGCCTAGATCGGTGCCAGGTATGCCCCAGCTGATATCAGCGCCGAAGTTGAGCCACGACGAGATGTATATGTCTGAGCCGAACTTCAAGGCTAGTGCGACCTCGGTGTCTGTAATCTGCTCGATTGACTTGAAGAAAGTTAGGTGGCGGTTCACCCATTCGTCGTCGACATCGAGGATCGTGCTCTTGATGGTGTTTATGACCTTGACGATTGTGGACTTGGTTACACTATCGTTATTTGTCAGCTGGATTTCTCAAACTTAATCGCGTTGCTCAAGATTTGGTGTACAAGGTTCAGCGCGCCACAAAGTGTGACGAGCGATGACGAGGTAGTAGGGGATAGACTCACCGGTCCTCTGCTGTAAGGTCTGCGACGTTCATTGTGCCTCGTGAGAACAGCGCCATGTTGCCTGTGTAGTCTGTGGATACCGGAGGTCGTTGCCGTCTTCGCAAGTCCGTCGCAATACCGATGCTAGTTTCTGTTAACCCGCACTTGGTCAAGCGATTTGCTCTAGCGCGGGTAACATGCGTCCAGACCAGGGCTGCAAGCACATTGCACATTGTCGGAGGAGTGTTCTCCGGAAACTGGGCGCGTAAAGTTTCCCTGTACTCGCGTACTCGTGATGCTGGAATGGCAAAGAGGCGCTGGGTACATTTCGTCTCTTTAGGCAAGGTTTGAAGATACCGAGGTGAGCCATCGCAATAGCAGTCTGCGCTGGCGCTGGCTTGTGGTGGCGTGATCTGCTCGTCAACTGCTTTCCGCATCAGAGACTGCTTCTCGGCGACGCTTTCCATATCTGGCTTCGTCAGTCATAGCTTGAGAATGCAGTGAGGAGTCTTACCCATGATTTTGTGCTCTTCGAAGAGTTGCTGCTTCGAAAGGCTGGAAACATTCTCGGCGAAGGTTTGCCAGAAAAGGGTGACGCCGGAGAAGTCGAAGACACTGTGATGCATGTACATCGAGAGCACAAGACCACCAGGTATGAAGAAAGCCTGAGTTCTCATTGCCGGTGCATCGCTCTTATTGAAGTCTACTTTGCCCTCGCCGTCTCTTGGAATACCAGGATATTCTGCGAGATCTTCCGGGACAAACATCGATGACGTGAAAGCACTAGGTGGCATGCCATCTCTTTTGAGCTGCTCGTAGGTATGTGGGAAGTTCTTCTCATGGTACGGGATCTGCTTCGACCGAAAGATACGACTCAGATGCTGGCTCGATATCTCCGCTGGGTAGTGGAGAGCAAGCTTACCCGCTTCTCGGTCGGCAAGTGTGAGAGTGCCAGCGAGAAAGGGGAATTTGTTTAGTGTGAGGCGTAGCCCAGCACTCAGAGATTGTATGGCATCTTCGGCGAGATTCTGGTCCGGAAACTGCGGATAGCGTCAACTTCTGCCAACACGACACATAATTCTGGAAAACATACTGGAAAGATACACAGAGTCTGTATGTAAACGCGCACTACATTTTGGTCTAGACATGAGAGATGAAACGACTTCATCGGTATGGGCGGGACGTGTGGTTTGGCCAGCATCTCGAGGAAGCGGGGAATGGTGCTAGTGATGGGATCAAAAAGCCGGCCGTTGCGCGATACTAGGGGTAATTCAAGGGACATGGTCGTGGCTTTTCCGATGTCAGTGTATATATACGAAAGCGATGAAGAGTCACACATACGACGAATTGGGTGAGCAAACACCCAGCATGTGAAGCACGAGATGATTTTACCCCCTTCACCGCAAAAGGCCCCATTGAACTGCGCCTGGTGTGACGGGAGGCATTGGCCCACTACGGGCCGAGAAGGACTATGACCGCATGCGGAAACATCTGTGCGCATAAGCCACGCTCATTCCCGCATTCCCCGCCTGTCTGCTTATTCGTGATTCACACTCAACCCTTGACGTGCGCCAAACGTGTCTCGTGCCGTCTTCCCCGTCCGCTTTGCTCGACCGTGCCTGAGTTACCAAACCTCGCGTAACGGATGAGGTGCAGCCGATGCGGCAACGTTCAGAGAGGGTTCCCGCCGACAAACGAGATGGCCACGACTAGGACCGTTCGTGTGCTTTGCTTTTCTTTTCGCCAGTCCTCGCCTTTCGAGGCTGAGGTTAGCCGACAACATGCAGCTCGAAAAACATCAATTTGCTATTCTGTGACGTCTATGCCCCTGGCGACAAGGGTGGGGCGCATAGGAATTGTCCTTGTTTGTGTCGACTGTCAAAATCAGGCTGTCATCCACGTCCTCCGATCGTGCTGTCGCTGCGGGACTCGTCGCGGCACAGCGTGACATTCCGATCGTATCTGAAATTGCGGGTTTGGCTGCTCTCCAACCTGAATGGCCCATGTGACCAGGATGCCACGAGGCATTGTTTGATCATCGATACCAAACTAACTGCAGGCAAATCAATACACCGGAAGTGTCGCCTTTCTTTAGTCGGTGTGCGCCTCAAGCAAGGCCAAATTGCAGCCCTATGACCAGGCGCTTGGATGCCTGTGTGCCCGAACCACTTTTGCGACTGAAATGCACCCGCGTTTAGCAGCGCAGAGCGTGTCATTGCAGCCTGGAGGGATCAGCGAAACCAAGGAGCCCGCGCTAGCACATAGTTGCTTTCAACGTCCCAGTCGATGTGAACACGTTTTTCATGACTGCTTTCGACAAAAACCAGTGTCGCCGTAGTACTGAGAGCTCACCGAAGCTAGCTGCCATGGTGATGCTCCAAATAGCATCTGACAGGTAGCGGTGTGATGTATATCGCCTCTCAGTAGGCTGTGAGAGTAAACAGTGATGCGTCATATGATCGGTAAGGCTCCTGAGGAGACACGTCGCCGGCGGTCCTTCGGTTAGTGGGTCGTTACCAGCGCGAAATGCCAGCAAATACCATCAGCATCGCTAAGGAACAATCAAACGAGACCCTTGTCGAGAGTAAGATGACGAAGATAGATGTCGATGCGGCTGCAGCCATTGTGGCTGACTGATGCAATAAGCCCCACGTTATGTGCGACGGTGCTGTCCAATAAGCGAAGAGCGCCCCATGCGAGTGCTTGCGAAAAGGAATTAGCAGGTCCTTCTGAGCAATCGGGCCCCTTCCAGGCAGCTGCATTGCGGAAATATTTGCAGAGCTATCGAAGGCTTCCATGCGCCTTGTACCCAGATAGCCTCTTGCATTGAGGGACTATCTATGCGATAGGAGTAAGGTTTGTAGGCCGTCGCACAGCGAACGGCGGTATGCATGGCCGGGTAACGACCCGAAGGAGCGTTGGATGAGTGAAAACAACCAAGTCCTAGTTGAATTGAACGTACGGGGAAGAGGCGCCCGGATAGAGTAAAGTTTGAAAGGTGGATCAGCATGAGCCTGATTCCATGCAGCCGCGTCAATCATGCGACCAGAAGAATGAATCGCATCCTTCGCGCAACACCATGACAGGGTGATATGAGTGTGGTGAGAATCTAGGCCCGACCCGTCGTGACCAGTCCGATGTGATGGTATTTCGAGAATTGCACGTTGAGCGCTTCCGTGCAAGACGCCATGCCGGTTGGTTGCAAACCTCTCTGCCAGTCCATTCACGGTGAAGGAGCAGTGGCCATTGGTGCAACGACTCGCGTAACTGTCGTCCTATCTTGTATTGAACGCGGGCGGAACAGCCGAACGGTATGTAAAACCTGTGCCGTATGCAACTAGGTGACGCCAGCAGTATCCTTGTCTGTGTCGTCGCCTACTTCTTATCGAGATTGCCCGCGACCTTTGGCCATCATTACGGCTGCGGGCGTGCGGCGGGGCCTTGCACAGCACTTAGCGCCGGGAGTGAAAGCGTTGCGGGGTTTCGCGGAATACTTCCCCGCGAATCTTGTGATACGATCGGCTAAGGAAACATAGTCTTGATGAAACCCCGCATGCGACTCGTTATATCCGAGTGTTTGCAGCCAGCTCATAATGTAGTACAACACCTCAATACCCAGGCACAAAGAGTGGATACGGAGTATTGGCGGTCAAATCATAGATGCTCGAGCCGGAACCGAGCACCACAATCATGAAGGACCGATGTTGTATGGTACCGAAGCACTCTGGACATAATGTGCTACCGAATAGTGTAAGATTCGACTTCCACTTTATGCGCAGATATGCTCATAACGTTGTGCTGAACATGTCTTAGCCTCTCTTTAGTCGGCTTCTCCGATTTGCCAACCGGACGACTACGCGCATAGCTATTAACGATGTTCGGTTGAACGTGCAGAAGACACATCTAGAGTTACTCTCGGATGTGTTGGCCTTGAGAGAGAGGCTTCTCAGCACGTTGACGAATGCGATTCGTGAGGCGCTGAATAGGCGGGAGGAGGTATACATCGCCGTCATAGCACCAGGAGGCTACGAATACACAGTAGCGGTATTAGCAATACTTGCCCTTGGAGCTGCTGTAGTACCACTGACTCCAGCCTTACCCGTAGAAGAGGCAGTCTACTTCATCGAGAAGTCAAGAGCAGTGCTGGTTCTTGCCAGCTCATCGAACATGAAAAAGTGTCGCGACCTGGAAATTCGGATTGCATCGATGAGTAACAAAAGCTTTCAAGCTGTAGTCATTCAACCGCCAAATGCTCGTCCTACCCTCAAGGCTGGAGAAATCATCATCTCTTCCGACCGTACCATGGATGAAAATGCGCCTGCCGTGGTCATTTTCACTAGTGGGACTACCGGCCCACCTAAAGGTGCAGTCATGCGAAGATCTTTTGTCTTCGACTGTGCACTCGAAGTGGCGGATCACTACCAGCTAATAGAAGACGATGTGGTTTTGCACGTTCTTCCGGTGCATCATGCGACGGGTGTCGGCATCAACTTTTTTCCATCTCTTGTAGCTGGTAGTTGTATCGAGTTTCGCAGCGGAGGCTTTGACGAAGAGCGAATGTGGGAGCGATGGAAACAGGGCGCTTCCGACACCAAACAACGAATTACTGTCTTCTCTGGTGTACCTACTATATACATGAGGATGAGACGGTACTATCAACAGCGAATAAGCAAGCTACCTGCAGATGAGATAGCAAAGTATGTCGCGGGCGCGAGACAGTTTCGAGCCTGCTTATGCGGAACATCAGCACTACCGCAGCCACTCGACGACTTTTGGAAGCATCTGATGCAAAAGCCGATCCTGCAACGATACGGAGCTACCGAGTTTGGGGCTATCTTCAAGATGCGCCTCGGCGACGAGTGCGTCCCAGAAGGTTCAGTTGGTGAACTCGCCAGCGGCGTTGATGCCAAGCTATCCGGAGGAGACGAAGGAGAGGTGCTCGTGAAAAGCCCAGTAAGTCTTGCATGAGTCGGCTTGATAAGTTGCGCTAAGCAAGTTTAGCATATGTTCTCAAAGTACCTGCGTGATCCTGAAGGAACTGCAAAAGCTCATGATCGAGATGGATACTTCCGAAGCGGCGACATTGCGCGACGAGAGGGCAAATATTACTTCATTATCGGTCGGGCGTCTCTAGATATCATCAAGTCGGGCGGATACAAGATCTCGGCTCTGGATGTCGAGCGCGAACTGCTCAGTCTGCCATATGTAGCTGAAGCCATGGTAGTCAGTGTACCAGACGAGGAGTACGGGCAGCGCGTCGCTGCACTGGTGTCGCTTCAGAACGAGGAAATGCCTGCGGAATTCTTGAGTGGCAGCGATGCGTCCCAGCACGCCTTGACGATCGACGACTTGCGACGAGACCTACGGGAAAGGCTAGCTGGGTATAAGCTACCCACGCTCCTGAGGATTGCAGATGGCGAATTTCCAAAGACAGTTACAGGCAAAGTGCAGAAAAAGATTCTTGGGCCTCGCTTCTTCCCTGCAGATTATCATTGGCGTCAAGAAGTACAAAAATGGGACGCGCGATCTCCGAAGACCTTGGCGAAGCTTTGATCTTTCGGGCTCATCGTACCGAAGATTCTTCTGCGCGTCATCTCGATTGAGCTGAATGATCAACGTATGGTCGCAATCGCGCATACACAGATGTTTGCGGTTCATTATTGCATGAAAGAAAAGTAAATGTACCATTCCAGTGCGGTGATGGTGGGCCCTTTGGTTGTCATGACGAGACAAAGAACTTTGGCAATGGCGCAGGCGCTGCAGAGAGTGTTCAAGTAGAGTAGCTGGTAAGATAATTATAAACAATTACCCAAGAGCTTGATCGCGTACAGGATCTTAGAACACTTATCTTCTTAGTGTTCTTAATGCTGCTTTGTACATCGAGATATCCCCTTGCTTCCTTCGAAGTTTTGCCTGCGGCTTTGCGCGTGGATGGGGCCCTGTTAGCATCGTCTCCACGAAGACGTTCGTTGCCTGCGATAGAGGTGTCCAGGTCCTGCTAGTTACAATCAATACTTTGACAATAGATCTCTTTGCGCGGCCCGTCAACTCTTTCAGCAGATTGCAGAAAAGCGCAATGACCTCATCGGTTGACGATGTTGCGTGCACAGAAGAGATCAGGATGTCTAACTCGAGAACGATGTATACTTCCCGACATACGTTCTCGAGCGTAGCCCCAAGGATCTCAAGCCACTCCTTCGCCGTGGTAGCGGTGCGAAGCTGCGTGCAGCTTAACGCCGTCGATTTCTGAGAGTGCGCTGAGTCGCCTAATGTAAGCGCTTGAGCGGCGAGTGACTTGAGAATGTCTAGCGGGTTCGGAATGCTGGTGGCTCGATCGGACAGTTGTGCGTTTACGGCCCAGAGCGTTGTGATGTTCTTGCTCTTCAACTCTTCAGCTACTCTAACGGCCGTGTCGCGCAAAGCCCCTCGCTCTTGGAAACTACCCTTGATGAGCATGAGTGACGGCTCTGAAGACTCTGCAAACTTTTTCAACGTCTGGGATTGCCAAAAAGCATTTGGGACGTTGACCTGCTGAGTTCGTCGGCGCAGATTTCGTACCATAACGGCCTGGCTGTAGCTTTCAAGAGGATCGAATGATGATAGCTCTGCTGCGATTCGCACCATTTCCGAGAATTGCAAATCCGATACCTTGTCGTTTGTATCCACGAGTGAGGATGAATTGATGGCTTGGTGATCTATGTACAGTAAGCAGGCGTAGACCTCATCATATAAACACCGTGGACATACTGATCATCATGCATTTCATCTCGAAGATAGTGCTTTCAGACTTCTCTACGCGATCAGCCATCAACTTCACGATGGTGTGCATTTGTCGCAGCTCCATTTGAGACCCCGCGATGGCTAGCTGCTCGATATTCCGTGAGCCAGTCTCAATATTCTCCAGAACATCATGGTAACGTAACTCGGCAGGACGTGTAACAGAATGAATGATGTGACGCAGAGTACCCTCTTGGCACCAGTCATGGGCACGGATCAAGAACCGGATGATTTGCGCGTACAATCCTTCCACGGCATCTGTCATCCTCGCAGTTGGGTATAAGATTGTCGCCAGTTCAATGCGAGGAAGGGCATCTGCGATACGGGCAAGGCCTTTTGCTATGCTTGTGATGACACCTTCATGGTTCAGAAATGCCTTGTGGTTACATTATCAATATTGGACCGATTCCGAGGCTTCATGCTATGTCATTCGGGTCGACTCACTACGAAAAGAAACTTTATCGTGCCCCAAGCCAGAGCTACATACTCCGGATGATGCTGCGCTAGTATGTCGAAGATGTTTCCGTAATGTATCAAGCGGCTGGAAAATCGTTCCAGCCATTTCCCAGCTTTTTTGTTGCGAGAGAATGTGTAACTATCGCAGGCGGTCTTTACGACGTTTTCCAAGTCCTGCAAACTCGCTGACTGATTGGCAAAGTCAACTTTGCGCTTATCTTGCGTCAAATTGGAACCAAAATGTAGAATCGCAAGCTTGTATGATGCAGCTGCGCTGTTACCTGTTGTACTGCGAGATGTTAGTGAGGCGCTAATGCAGCTACGAGTAGCCTCGCCTCGGAACGCCTCCTTGGGTCGCACGGTCGCAATGGGGTACATACAGTGTATGAGGACACCCGATCCACCCTTCACTTAGCTGAGTCGCCATCTTACGTTGTTGTCGTTTATCTGGAAGAATTGGAAGTAAGCTTTCAGCCTCCAGGCTGCAACGTTCAGCTGCCAAGCATGTGGCTCGTGTCCCTATCTCGTTGCGGTTAGACCCTGTGATCTTACGTAGACACCTGTCATTGTGCGGGGTCTTGCTTCCTATCTTTCTGATTAGGTTACCTGTTGCAGATGTTCACCAGACCATCGAAAAACAGACTGGATCGAACAAGAGGTCCCGTTCGCCACTTCGATCTCATACCTTCCGGAGGCCCAACAAAGGCGAGGGACGGCAGCGACGAGGCTGAAGATTCCGATCACAAAGTTGGAGATCCTGACCACGAGGCCGAAGCTTCGGATCACGAGGCTGAGCATTTGAGTGACGATCAGTCTCCAGATGATTACGATGACGACAAGGAAACATTAGAAAGGGATGAAACCGGATTTCGCACCGAGGAAATTCACACACCGTTTCTAGATCCAAACGCCAACACCGAAGGCGATTCATTTCACAGCGGCCCAGATTTTGACCAGAAAGACATAGAAGACGCAAGAGAAGAGTACTCTAGTCTCTTGAAGAAGTTGACTATCTCCCGAGATCAAACAGAAGCTAGCAGCTTCGAAACAGACAGACTTTTGGCGATCGCTGTGAACCTGGGGGTATTCACGGATAACGATACCACGGAACCATTGCCGCCGCCGCCTCCTGGTCAGGGAAACCACGCTCTCCAAGACTATCAGATGCAACTTATGCTTTTGGAACAGCAGAATAAAAAGCGACTCCTCATGGCGCGGCAGGAACAAGACCAAATCGCCTCTGGCATTTCCGATCTGCCCTTTGCCCAGAACTCTCTCCCCACCAAGGTCCCCGAAGCTGTTCACTCTGCCCTGATGCCCGAAACTAACTATAATCCTGCACTCAGACCCAAAATGCAGCAGTCGCCTTTGCATAGCATTCAAAATATACATCTCGCTCACTCAACGGAAGCATCAGCGCAGAAACAAGGCAGATCTGGCGAGTCACAGCTTGTCAGCAGGCTTTTGAGACGAATTGATGAACTGGAGAAAGCTACTAAGAGACCAGAACATCAACCAGTGCAAGGTTCCAGCCCTCTCCGCTTCCAGGTACTTCATCTATTAGATGATGCAAACAGTACTGTTTGTCTTCAAGAGCCAACTTGGACTTTCGGAAAGAATGGCAGACTGCAGCTCAGAGCAGAGTTACCACTAGTCGATCTGGACACCCATCTACGCAAGAATGATGACATCTCTTTCGTGGTGTACAAGTCTTACGCAACACCGACATTCAGCGCTACTGAACTGGCAGAATGCCTAGAAACAGGCGTGCTTCCTGCCCCGGAACCGTCGAATGAGTTTATCAAGATCATGTCCGAAGAGCTGCGCGTGGCTTTGGAGATGTTCCTTACAGCCGCATGCTCAATTGAAGAGAAACAGCTTGGACGATTCTTGGATACCCTAGATGCTCCTTACCTGTTTTGGTATCGTGGCAGATCAAAAAGAACGTCCTTGTCACATCAGCTTCCAAGACATAAAGCGCATCTGCAGTTACTGTTCGATTGGATTGAGCGCAATTATGCCGCGAAGTTCGACCAGTTTGACGAGATGAAATCTCGCGGGTGCATTTCACATGCATTTATCGAATATCTTTTCTTCCCAGGCGATGTTGTTGTTGATCAGGAAGGCGATAAGACCAAGGCCTACCGGTTGGAAGACATGCCGGCAATACAAAGGGTCTACCACGGACGTCTCCACCATTCGCACGAGTTCGAGAAAATGGCTCGTGCAAGGTCAAGGACTCAAAAAAGAAACAAGACTGACGAAGCCTGGGCTTGGGAGATTTCATGTTTGACCATCGTGTATGATGGCCAGTTCTATCTTCAAAGCCAGAGACTCCTTCTTCGACTGATTGCCGAGAGTCACGATGAAGAAGTCGCCATTACCAAATTGAGTATAGTTCCCTTACCATTCGTCAGTAAGGATCTGCAAGAGCAACTCATGCAAAGAGGCCGCACATTCTGGTCCTGCCGTATTAAGCGACCAGTCTCGTACAAAGGCGGAGATGAAGATGCGTCACATACGGTATGAACAAGACGCTCAACTAGATATCTGCATCAACGCAAACCTAACCATGATGTAGTACGGTGAGAGATACGTAATTGACAACAAATCCTTTCAGAAGCTTCATCTCGACAAGCAGAAAGCGAAACGAATTCAAGACCCCATATTCTCGGGCGCTAGCAAAGATAGAACGCCATTGTTCGTGGAAGATATGGATGATGATGAGCCCCCTCGAGCGCCCGACATATACTTGTTTCCCCCAACTATACCTGGTTTCTCCCTGCGTCGCAAAGTGTGGAGTATATATTGTCTCAGTATCTAATGTGCATACAAACTGACTTCTCATAGTTGATCTAGTAGTCGACAGAATTGTCGATATTTCTTGGAACAAAGAAGCTTTCGACCATCTAGTCGCTGATGACAAGACGAAAGAGCTTGTACACGCTCTGGTGGCGGACCGAATCTCCACCGAAAGGAACACCGATATTATCCAGGGAAAAGGCAATGGACTGATCATCCTCCTTCATGGAGGTCCGGGGACTGGCAAAACCTTTACCGCAGAGAGCGTCGCTGAGCTAGCTGAGAAACCGCTATATCCGGTGACATGTGGCGACATTGGCACAGAGCCAGACCAGGTCGAGCAATACCTCGAATCAGGTAAGTTCTGAGTGTACGACATGCATGTGATACATGCACTAATTTTATATGCCCGCCTCTGCAGTGTTATACCTAGGCAACCTGTGGGATTGTGTTGTGCTTCTAGATGAAGCCGACGTGTTCCTCGAGGAGCGAGGGATAGCTGATCTAGCACGCAATGCCCTAGTTTCAGTATTCCTCCGTGTGTTGGAGTACTACGACGGCATTCTTATCCTCACATCTAATCGCGTCGGCACATTCGACGAAGCCTTCAAATCTAGGATCTCGCTCGCCCTGCACTACCCCAATCTGGGCAAGTCGCAACGCTGCCGTATCTGGAAGAACTTCCTCAACCGCCTCAAAGCACTGAAAGAGCCTGGTATCGACTTCGATGACATTGAATGCAATGTTTTGGAATTGGCGCACGAGGAGCTCAATGGTCGGCAGATTCGTAACGCGATTACGATTGGAAGACAACTCGCAAAGTTCCAAAAGAAGGATTTGTCATATGCGCATCTGAAGCATGTCGTTGAGGTAGCTGGCCAGTTTGAAACGTATGTGAAAGAGACGAAGGAGAATTTCTCGGATGAGCAGATCGCTCGGCTTCATGGACGCAGATAGTGACCGAAGGTGGTATTCTTCACATTCTTTCAATGAAGCGTATGCGTAGATGATGCGTTGTTCTCGGTGGTCTCTTCACAGCGCTAACGGGTAGCATTGGCACGACTTTATCTTTGCGTAGCCGACTTTCTTTTTTTCCTTACAACCATCTAGCTCCAAGAAACAGATTTGATCCCTAGCAAAAGCCAACGACCCCTACACAAGCTAACAAAGACCTCAGCAATGGATGCCTCTGGTTTCCTCTTGGCTATTCGACGCGAGTTTGACTGGCACGTGCGACAACATCGAGGAACGGAGGTGTACCGAGCACCCTCTCTTACGAACCCTGTTCTACCGATGTTTGCCTTGGATCGCTGGGCTACTGGTCCAGGCCAAGATACCTTCGACATCTACACCATCATGCGACCCGCCCTACAGCTTGCATCAATGTGGCTCACTGAAGATCTTCCCTTGCTCTGGTTCAGCCATCTAACCTTTGGGCACCGCCGCCGCAATGCAGCCGGGCAGGTTTACCTTGAGAGAAATCCCCACTATAGAACCCCTGCAGCTCTTAAGACCGTGAAGGAGAATTTGCATGAGTTCGGCAAGACAAACTTCTTCGCATTCGCGCCTCCCAAGTGCAAAAACACATCTTACGCCACAACGTATTCTAAGAAAGAGTCGATACCTCACTTTCGGGAGTTCAATCACGCTGACTTCCCACCTGTCCTCTCCGATAAAGGTATCCTGAAACCTTGCATCATCCTCACACGGGGCTTCGTCAAATCCTTTCGATCGAGAAGCGTAAGTGCGAACGAACGGTATAGAAGCCTTTTCATGTTCGCCATTGATCTGTGTCACGAGGTTACGCATAGTTACAGCATGTTCCATGATGGCAGCATCCCTGAGCCACTCTGGGCTGCGAACGAGAAGTTTCCCGAGCTAGGTTACTCTTGGGAAATGAGTGTACTTGGCCATCTTCCTATGTCCAACAGCATCATTATAGAAGACGGCCGATCTCGCGAAATCAACTCCGTTTGTATGCTGGAAGCCTCATCACATGTTGAGCGCGACAGGCTCCTCTCATTTCTCAAAGGTAACTCCCGCGCCGAGTTCACGAGACGAGACGCTTCTGGAAACTATCGCAGCTGGCCTGTGTTACACGGCGGAGGCTTTCGTGGTGCGAAATGGACGATGAGCAACAACGCCCAACTCTTGATCGCCTCCTTCCATGTCATTCCAATGCACTGGATGGTATCTTGGTTCCAACAAGATGTTTGGGAAATACTAAAGATACGTTGGGCGCAGAACAATCTATATGAAGCTCCAGCTCTAGGCCAGAAATTCATGGTCAGATACGAGAGATCTACGCACGGAGTGTCAGTTCATCGACCACTTTACCCTAATAATCGTGTTGACGCAAAGATAATCGAGGACCATCGCAAAGAAGCCCAGAAATAGGCTCATGTGCAGGCGGGAAGTGTAGGCAGATTCCTGTGCAGCTGTAGCATCCTCCGTATATACAAATAGTTATATCAACCCACTTCTAGTCTTTTCCCGTACATTTAATTAAAATGTGCGCCTCATCCGCACAAATGGCACCTCTTATTCTACAGTCTTCGCAAACATGCCAATCTCCTTGAAAGCAATGTCGGCAATAGTAGTAAACATCAGTTGAACTTATGTCTGAGGTGCATACGTCGCATTCAGCCGACCCCGAATCATTGCTAGAATCAGCCGACCCCGAATCATTGCTAGAATCAGACAACGCTGCTTCCACAGGACTAGTCAGCCCACCTTCTTCGGACAGAAGTTTTGACACCGCACTATGCCCTTTTTTTGTAGCAATCCAGCATGGTGTTCGCCCAAACTTATCAGTAATTTGAGGGTCGTAGTTATACTGGTTGACAAGGACTTGAACAATATCAGTCTGGCCGCCGGCCGCCGCCCACCAGAGTAGAGTCCGGCCATACGGATCTTGGAGCTGTGTGATGTCATGTTCTGGGACTAAAAGCTCAAGCACTTCACTCTCTCCGAAATATACAGTTGCGTGCAGTGCGTTGCCGTAGCGTCCACCCTGCGCGTTGATCTCGGCGCCCACGTCGAGCAACGTCTTGACTACCTGCTCGTGGCCTCCCCCTGAAGCTGCCTGTAGTGCGTTACCGAACTCTCCACCCTGGGCGTTGACCTCAGCGCCCGCGTCGAGCAGCATCTTGACTATATGCTCGTAGCCTGTCCATGAAGCTGCCTGCAGTGCGTTGCCGTAGTATCCACCCTGGGCGTTAACGTCGGCGCCCGCGTCTAGCAGCATCTTAACTACCTGCTCGTGGCCTTTTAATGAAGCTGCGTACAGTGCGTTGCCGTAATGTCCACCCTGGGCATTAACGTCAGCGCCCGCGTCTAGCAGCATCTTAACCACCTGCTCATAGTCTCTAGCTGAAGCTGCTTGTAGTGCGTTGCCGTAGTATCCACCCTGGGCGTTAACGTCGGCACCCGCGTCTAGCAGCATCTTAACTATATGCTCGTAGCCTGTCCATGAAGCTGCCTGCAGTGCGTTGCCGTAGTATCCACCCTGGGCGTTAACGTCGGCGCCCGCGTCTAGCAGCATCTTGACTACCTGCTCGTGGCCTTCAGACGAAGCTGCCTGCAGTACGTTGCGGAACTCTCGACTCTGCAGTACGTTGCCGAACTCTCCACCCTGAGCATTGACCTCAGCGCCCGCGTCTAGCAGCATCTTAACTACCTGCTCGTGGCCTTTAGATGAAGCTGCGTACAGTGCGTTGCCGTAGGGTCCACCCTGGGCGTTAACGTCAGCGCCCGCGTCTAGCAGCATCTTAACCACCTGCTCATAGTCTCTAGCTGAAGCTGCTTGTAGTGCGTTGCCGTAGTGTCCACCCTGGGCGTTGACCTTAGCGCCCGCGTCTAGCAGCATCTTAACTACCTGCTCGTGGCCTTTTGATGAAGCTGCGTATAGTACGTTGCCGTAGTGTCCACTCTGCGCGTTAACCTCAGCGCCCGCGTCTAGCAGCATCTTAACCACCTGTTCGTGACCTTCAGATAAAGCTGCGTGCAGTGCGTTGACATAGAGTCCACCCTGGACGTTAACGTTGGCGCCTACGTCTAGTAGCATCTTGACCACCTGCTCGTGGCCTTCAGATGAAGCTGCCTGCAGTGCGTTGCTATAGAGTCCACCCTGCGCGTCAACGTCAGCACCCACGTCTAGCAGCATCTTGACCACCTGCTCGTGGCCTTTAGATGAAGCTGCGTACAGTACGTTGCCGTAGGGTCCACCCTGGGCGTTAACGTCAGCGCCCGCGTCTAGCAGCATCTTAACTACCTGCTCGTGGCCTTTGGATAAAGCTGCCTGCAGTGCGTTGCCGTAAGGTCCACCCTGGGCGTTAACGTCGGCGCCCGCGTCTAGCAGCGTCTTGACTACCTGCTCGTGGCCTTCAGATGAAGCTGCGTACAGTGCGTTGCCGTAGTGTCCACCCTGGGCGTTGACCTCAGCGCCCACGTCTAGCAGCATCTTGACTACCTGCTCGTAGCCTCCAGACGAAGCCGCCTGCAGTACGTTGCCGAACTCTCCACCCTGCGCGTTCACATTGGCGCCTTTGTTGAGCAACATTCTTGTAATCGTTCTCAAACCTAACAACGCTGCGTAGTAGAGCGGCATAGGTACGCTACTAGGACTTCTTTTCAAATTCCTTCCTTCCCATGGACGATCCGGATCATACAACTGGACCCAGGTGAGGTATGCTGGCTCTTCAACGGCCATTAAACTCATCGCTAGATGACTAACTTGTTCTATCTCGTCTCCTGTGTTTTGAAGATGGCTGCTCCAAAACTCAGCTGTGTACCTTGTAAGTGCGGATGCCTTAACTCTCTCTCTTGATAATGGTTGTTGGAGCTGAATTAAGTATTTTAAACAGCCTCTCGCTATCACCTTCTGACATTCACCCTCCTGCATGCTGTACTGCTTTGCGGGCCCTTGCTTGATTCTGTCTGACACAAGGTACTCCTGCACTGAGTAATGTGCTAGAGCGATGATCAGGTTGGCAGGCCTTGATCTTTTTTCCGCTTCGTTCTCGGTGACAGTGACTAGACTGGAGCAGATGTCTAGCGCTTCTAGTGGATCTACTAGCACTTCATTACGGTCAAACGCTGGTTCGCGCGCAATATCGATAGCAACGACTTCAGCAACTTCTCTAACAGAGAGCGGCCGGGTAGAGAACGTTAGCCATTGTAGGATGCGTATCGCGTATACGCAGTCCTCTTCGCTTATAGCGGTAAGAATACGGTCGTATGTCTGGTCTAGTGTTTGCGGTAGAGTGGCGAGCGACTTGCGCAGCATCACTAGATTGCGACACTTTGCTAACGTGTCTAGCTGACACACAGCCCACCGGAACCTACGCTATCGTTAGTTGTAACTCTGCGGAGGATTCGATGGGCACACGTACATCCCGCGAGCCCCGCCCATTAGAGCAGCCTCAATCTCTTGCCTAATAGCGGCGTCCTTGCTCCATTTTGCTAAGCCCTTATCGTCATGCAGCCTTTGTTGAACGTATCGCTGTATATCTTGATCTACTATGTCCCTTTGAAGACACACAGCGTCCTCTTCCCTGACGTAACTCTCTAAGGATGTCTCAATTTCCCGCTCTTTCCGGCTGGTCATAAGCAAATGCAGGTTGTCAAGCGGCCATCCAGCCATCGTTTCGAGCATGTCCATCAGCTCCGAGCGCTGCGTACACTCATCAAGAGCATCAAGAACAACGTAGACTTGCGTGAATTCTTGCACCGCCTGAGATATTACCTCTAGAAGTGCACGTAGTGATGGCTGCCGATTTCCATTTTCGCTGGACGAAAACAACGCGTTAACATCCTTAGGTATCACGACTGAACGCTGCAGGAGCTGGCGGAGCAACGAGCGGAGCATCAGCTCTGGATCCTGCTTCTGTGTATCGTTGAAGTCGAAGTGGAAGTACGCTGTCACCATGCTAGTGTCATCATAGCAGTACTGCAGCAGATGCTCGACGATCGTAGAGCTCAAGATGGTCTTTCCACATCCCGGGATCCCGTATAGCCACAGTCGCGACGCTGTACTCATTTTCCAGTTTGTGAACTTGGCGCTTTCTAGCAGCCAGAGCCCGGTCTTAGCCTGCCGCTGCTTGTGCGCTTTGTGGTAGTTAATGGACGGGTCAGGCGCCGAGAGCCAGCTGCAGATCTTGCCAAGCCTCTCTTCTTGGTCGTGACTGCGGCCCTTGTGCTTCAGAATAACCGCACTTCTGAGCCTGTCGAGCGCGTTTTCTTTGCCTTCGCCATATATCAGTGGTAGGTGTATGTCGAATATGCCAAACAGACAATATGCTCCATCTTCATCGCGTGTCGTCTGGCGATCTTCTGCCCAAGAGAAACGCTCAGCTACGCTAAACTCGGACACTTGCTTCCCTAACAGAGCGTCGCTAGGTATTCCTGTAATCTTATAGACGGTGTCTTTTAAAGACTGCTTGTCCCCTAGCAGCTCTCCCTCCTTCGAAAAGAACTCGACGGAGCGGGGAGCTAGTAGTTCCTGAAGCGTCCAGCCTCGGTTGAACCACCTGCTCTTCGTGAACGCTGCCTTCCATCTTCGGCGCAAACTGCCATTCCCTTCTAAGGAGTTGTTCTCGACGTCCGAAAGCAAGACATAGCACTTCTCCGCGTTCTGATACCAGCGGAACATAGAGTTAATCGCTTCTTGAAGCTCTTGGCTGTTTGTCTTGTCGATGCAGCAGGTGTCTACCCAAAAGTAGCTCAGATTATCGCGCTTAGCTTGCTGGGCGCAGAAGAAAATCTTTCGATACCCCTCTTTAACTTTTGCATCAACTTCCTCTATATTGCCATAGTTCTGAAGGTCCTTAAAGGTTGCCTCCTGCCCGCCCCAGGTGTGCGACAGGATCGCATACGGGGGGATTTTGTCCCCAATCAAGTCCTCGGTCCACCTAAGTCTCCCACCGCCTGCAGTATAGAGTAGCCGCATTGTACCGTGTATGTGTCCGTATGCGCGAGGGGTAGAAGGAAGTCTCGGAGCCTCGAAGCAGGCTAACGGAATCGACGGTGCACGGCGGCTCGCTCGCGTAGGGCGTAGAGATCGTAGCTGTTAGGGTCGTGTCGAGTGCGAGGTAACGATTTGCTAAGGTAGAGGTGAGGAAGACTGACCTCGTTGTTGGGGCAGGCTGCATCTCCAGCACCCAGGACAGGAGGCGCAGCCCGCCCGCGCCGTGGCGTGAGGCTGGCTGGGCAAGGCTGACAACGCATGATCGCGCGACAGCCACCGTGTTGCAAACCGAGGAGCAGTTATTGCCTAAGGACGCGATCTGATAGTGCAGAAAGCGCGAGTTACGTACTGTCGTTTGATGTAAGAAGATGTTAAGATGTATGTGCTGTTTCGTGCAAGGACAGACTGGCCACGGGGAATCTAGGCCGCTAACTATCGTGGGCTCGGAAAGCAGTGCAACGACGATAGCGTTAAGAACAACCCAGAACGTCTTAAGCAACGCATTTGTCTAACGCCAGCAAGCGGCTCTAACGCGGACAACGAAATACTATCGATGTGCACCATGCTGAAAGCCATGTTCACGCAGCCTTCACATACCCAATCGCGACCTCAAACTAAAGCAGAGACCAGAGCACCCCCATGCACAACCGCCACGCCTATTTTAAGAGACATACGGGACTGGCATAGCGCCGTATTCTTTGCGATAAGATACAGCAGGCGATAAGGTCGCTAATGCAGGCTCGTGCATGCCAAGCGACGTTAGCGTATCCCGCCAGCTCGGGCTCGGTTCAAGAGATCTCCTGCTTCGCACTACGGAGCTCCCGGCATGCTCGCTCCGACGTCGGAGTGATCTCTCGAGCCTAAGGAATTAATCATCTTTAATTGTATGCTCTTAGAGACCCTCCGAACTTTTGATTGCTCATCAAGATCGCAAATGGACAGGGGGGTATCCCTAACGAGTTGATTGACGACAGTAACGAAACGATCGATATCACAGCCGACATAGCAGCGATTCATGTCGGACGCTGGCTTGCTCAAAGAGCAATAGCCCTACGATCATGGTGAATTGATAGTAGCTTTATAAACCGCAACTGGGAGGCGCCGAAGCTCCGATCCACCAACTTGTCTCGCGACATGGTGTGTCTCCTCACCTAGGGACGCACCTTAGTTTGATTAAATCCTACTCGGTTACAGCCACGATTTCCTGCGCTTTTTTCCGCAACTAGACAGACCAGTGGTACCAAATACACCCAATCGAAAGGAAATTGTTATTGTCAAAAGAGACAAGCAGTTATCTCCTTTCTTAAATAAATCCTACACATCCCCTTCCTGAAACCATCCTAAAAGCGCCTCATTATACCTTCTCACACCCTCGAACGCCTTGGGTCCATTACGCCCCGGAACCCTTGTCAACGCATCAAAAATCCTCGCAAGATCCTCATCAAAAGTATTAGCCACATACCTACACTCGCCTTCTCTGCCGACCAGGCCCTAAAGGTCAACATAAGCAAGTATGGTATAGGCACTCGGCACACTATCTAAGTGCCTTAGGAACTCCATCCACTGCTCGCCTAGCGATCTAAAGTAGCCTGTTACCCTGCGGAACGCACCCAAACGGTGACGCATGCTCATCTAGTTTTCTAAAGCGATTTGTATACGCGCTGTGTCGTCGCCTAGCTAGAATTGCAGGGCCTCTGTATCGCTAAGCCAGAGCAGGTTAAGCAGGAAGTTTATCCGATTTTCTGCATCGATGTCGTAGAAGTCAGAGCTAAACTAATTATTTCTATTCAGGTAGGAGAGGAGGAGTTTAAAGAGTTCGCGGCGATACTCGCGTTGTTGCTAGTCCGCGGGATCTAATGTGTGCGATATAAGAGATTGCGTAATTAAGGGCATAACTTAGTGTTTTTTTAACGTTAATTAGTAACATAGCCTTTGTTATTATAACAGCATAAGGAGGTGAGACGTACTGCGTTGAATTGGCTATCTAAGGTGGACTGAGCTACATATATAGATAGCCGTATACGAACTATCCTAACTCGTACTAGAGTGGCTCCGGCCAAGGCCGTAGATTGTTACAATCATACGCAGAGATGCAGTAGCAAGGAAGAGAGCCGAGTGCATTAAATCTCTCAAGACTAGCGGTAGCTCTAACCTCATGACACCTAGTGTAGTGATATAGTGCACGGCGTCTGCAACTTCTGGGTGATACTGTTCTGGGTTTGCCGCGGCAGCTCCACAGGAGGTATCGTACACAATGGCAGTGTCTTCACAGCTCGAATAAAGGCGCGTCACCGACTGGGGGCTGCGGCATCCTGCTAATCAAGACCTCTCGATGGTCGTTTGTCGACCCACACTGCACACAGCCCTAGGTGCTCCATCCTCAACCTTTATAAACCCTCGTAGCCTGGCATATATGGCCGTCCTCTTCCACAACCAGCATGACCGCACATTAGGAGCACAGTCGTCTGAATCGCTCTTGTGTCTGACCTCGCCCTCACTCTTCCCTTTGCACCCCTTCCCCAGCACTTCTCTAGCACTTCCCAACCGTTTAAGGACAGACGGTTAGTGTTACATCCCGCTTACTTATCCACTAGCTAACAGCGCACAGCAACCTAACAGAGTGTGTTTCTTGTTTTTTGTTGGATGAGCGAAGTTCGAGCGAAGTCCGAAGCAACCATGAAGCACTGCCAGGACCCGATGAGCCTCAAGCGAATACTAACTCCCGATACTCCCGACAATCTCGACACTCCTGAAACCCCAGCTCGTAAACAGCACAAAGTGACAGCGCAACACTACAGCCGTTTGCACGCCTTTAGCGCAACAACTAGCACCGCCTCCCAAGACAAGCAATACGACAACTCTGCGCAGACTGTCAATGCCGTAAAGTACAGCAACCCTACTCAAACCTACAACGCGGTGAGTCAATATCCTCCGCACGCCTACCCTTCGTAAACCCTTGATGTACGTTGCAGCGTTAAGACGCTCCCGCCTATCACCGCCGGCGTAAGCTTAGGTGCTTCAAACATCGGCCGAAGCCCTTTCAAAAGAGATAAGAAATTTATCGTTGTTAACCCTAGAGACTATTATACACCTAGTAACGAGTACAAGCTAGTGTGTAGGACATGTAGTAGAGATAATCTTATTTAGGATAACTTAGACTGCTATTAGGAGTCACCCTACTGTGTAAAAGAGCGAACCTTCAAATTAGCGTACGCTAAAGCTGTTTTAAACTACTACTATAATTAGCTCTTAGCTGTTCTCAATAGCTTTAACAAACAGCATAGTTAGACAACTAAATACTACAGATCTAACTTAGACAAAGTCATTTCGCTGTTAGCGGGAGGTAGGGATAGGGGTAGATCTTAGGTAAGGTAGTTTAGTACCCTGCTAAGATTAACAAAGCTGTGTCGCGATCTTGACAACCACTTTCACTCGTACCCTTACCCTCCAGCATACCCTATACTATACCAAAAACCAAAGCCTCCGCCACATCATATCTTACGCGAAAATCCGAACCCGACATACCCTTTGAATTACCCTTCAACGTACCCTCGTCCTTGCCTACCTTCAACAGCGCCGACATGTGCCCTCGAAATCACTGCCGCCGGGACATCATCAGCTCGAAGCCACCACAAGAACTGCAGCCGAAGCCTTCCGCCTTGAGCATACGTATCATCAAGTCCCAATTCATCATTGAAACAAACCAACCCCAACCCCAACCCTCTTTCCCCTTTTTAGATCCCTCGAAAGCCCATTAGCTATCCGCGGTTTGCTTTCCCTCAGTAGATGCATTTATCTCCTCTTTACCCAGTCCCCCGTTACCACTCATAGTGTCCCACATCCAGAATGATAACCATGCACAATATCCCAGGAGGAAGGCCAATTGCGAGCTGATTAATCCAATTCTTCATTCATTGTTCTTCCCAGAGTACCATAGTACCAAGCCGAATAGATATTCCACGATAGCACAGTCTAATAAGACCAACGGGGTCCACGTTATCGCCGAATCTTTTCGTGTCGCTGATTCTCGGCCTTCGAATTTGAAGAGAAGCATCGTTGAGGTTATGACCGAGGTCACAGAACCTAATGCTGAGCTACAAAGTAGTCCTTCTGCAGCGCGAACAAGGCTCGATTGTGTCGGGTGAAACTCATCGAAAGTCAGCACGGCCAGCGATAATCCAGCCACCAATGCAGAAACTACATTGAGCGTTTTGTAAAACCGTTGGAGACGCTCGAAGACCAGAAATGCGCGGATATCGAGGTTCTTGTTCACTGTGTTCGAAGATCTGTCGAGGCTTATGACCGCTGTCAATGCCGATAACTTCAATGTCGAACGAATACGTCCTCTCCTACAAGTAACCATACGCAAAGAATCTCACAGCGTGATTTGGAACGCTGTCTACGACGCTGTCACCGAATCGATACCTCCACCCTGCCCTTCCAACAAACACCTTGTACATTAACACGGGCAGCTTCGCAAATTCGACGGAGCATCGCAAACACGTAGAAGATGTGCTGAAGGAGGAGCTGGGACACCTGTAGATTGGCATACCTGGTCTGCTCTGCTTACAGACCGGCTTTTGGACCTTGAAGAAGGGCATCGGCCGGGGCCTGGAATACCCCAGCGACCACTAACCCAGCCGCATCAGCCTCTGCAAGGCTCCACTGCCGATCGCAATCTGAACACGCTTGTCGTGTCCTTCCTCAACAGCCGGCTACCCGCATTGCTGTCGTGCTTATGACCCGTTGGCGCTCTTCTCGAACTGCTGCCTGGAATATTCTTGTGTCGTTAATTACCTACAATTTTCTAATATAGATGTTTCAATAAGAACAGTGTGAGCTTGTGAAGAAGTATGAGAAGACAAATACTACGTATGCTCATGTACGATGGGTGATGCAATTCTACTAACCAAGGTAAATGTAAGCGTGCTAGTGAGACACTCCATGAACATCAAGTGCATGTCTCTTGAAGTGCATCATGTCCATCAGCATCTCGGAACATCTCGGGTGGCGGCATTGGAACTCTGATTGAAGTTCATCGAGTCGGAATGCGTCTCCACATGTTTCCTTAGGACGTCCTTTCGTGGAATACAGCGCATCCTCCGCTTGTCCGAGAACTCTTCATTCCCTATGCTGATGAGGCATATCGGGTGAGGGGCCACGGTTGGAAACAGCTGCCGAGACTGTGCCTCCAAGTCGTTTTCGTTTACCATTTCGCAATCCTGATTCGGCGGGCTCCTCTCGCCACTATCGGTGCCTGTAACATGAGATGGCGAAGGCGGAGTGAAGAGAACAATCGCATGATATGCTTGCTTCTCTCGCTTAGGTCTTAGCCTAGAAACTTGCTCTTAACCTGCGCTCCTCCCGCAAGGGAGAGGACAGGAATTATTCTTTCTTAAAGGGACAACGATCCTTACCAAACGTAGCAATACAGAGCTGTCCCCCACTATTCTCTTGTAGTGTGAAGCAAGTACTATTGCCTACAACTACCCTTTACAGTGCCCTTCTTTGGTTTTTTCGAGAAAGATAAGCTATTAGGTTCACATGCGATTAAACCCACCCTTTTTCGCTTAAATGCCTGTGGCTGCCGTGTCTCTTGCTTGTGGCACAATCTAGCCAAGGTTCGCACAAATCTTACTCGGGCTTTGTCGTCCTGAATTGGCTTGAAGAGCATGCCGGCGATAGTGCCTCGCTCCCGAAGTTTAAACTTAACGGCTGGTAGCGTTAAGACTTTCTCTGCGGCCATCCTGCTGAGTTGCCTAGCTATCTTAATTGTGTTGATCGACTTATGGAACTCGCGGACCGCCGATTCTAATCGTTCTCTGTATAACTTCTGGTATGTACTGCTAATCTTTCGCTTCGTTTCCTTGTATTTCTTGTAAAGATCCGTCCCTTCGCCCTTTGAGAGTGGATAGAAGCCTTGGTTATAAAGCTGTTCTTTGCACACTTCTCGCTCTTTACGAAGGATTGCAAGTGCAAGATTGTTCTGTAGTTCCTCCTGTTGCGCGTTATCTAGCTCTGTGGGTGCACGTTGATCCTGTGATAAGCCTATCCGCGCTACGGATTGGATGAGAAGGTCTTCTGAAGGGCTTCTAAAGTAGATTAACTGAAAGTCGCGGGCGATATGCGTTGGCGTGTAGTACTTCTCGTATGTGCTTCTAAGATGACCTATAGTCTGGTTCTGTTCTACGGGGTTAAGCGCGCCTAGTAGGTCCTATAAGCTTAGACGCGATAGAAGCAACACGCGATCTAAGGCAGACTTACTGTTGATATTCCTTCTAGAAGCTCGTCGTAGCTGGTACAGCTCTAATAATTCTTTAAAGCCCGCAACACGCCCTAAGCGTACAAAAGTGTCCTGATATTTCGCGTATGGAAACGCCTTCTCTTTTAATATGCGGACACCCTCGCTTGTATTCCTTACGTCGCATAGGAACGGTTGCTTTTGTTAGGACTATACTGTAGCAAGATACTAGGTGCACAAGTTCTTAGTTATCTTTAATGTATTCCTCTAGTAGACTAAAGACAAATCGCTACTAAGAAGTAGTAGCAATATTTAGGTACTTATACCCCGCAATTAGCTCTTTTAGGCTAATCTAGTCTAGTTTAGCTTATTTTAAGCTAGGGCCTAATATTATCTCTTTTCTTAGAGAAGACTAACCTAGTCTAAATAGAAAGCTCTTAGAGAGAGAACTTATAAAGAACTTTATTACTTACCTTTACTTAGTAAGAGTAGTAAAATTCTTAGAAAACTTAGTAGGTAGTAGCGTCTAGAGTAGAACTAGCTTAACGTAGATGATGTTACGAGTAACAAGAGTGACTCCCTCCGTGACAAGGAGCAGTCGGTTGTTGGTCAACCAGCGTCCACGTCAGAAGGAAAACGATCATCGCGGGGCTAGGAGTCACGTGATAAGCCATCCCGCCAAGGCTGACCATCCGGGATGGCAGCGCACATAGGGAGGGCAACGCCATCCCTAAACTCCCGCCAAGATGGGATGGATGGGATGGCAGGAACAGACGGCGACGGGTATAAGAATGTGTTGGATCTCATTGCTACACTCGTTGTGGTCAACTCAAATAGTTCATCTCTCACACAGATTGTTAACTAGTTATTCTATCGTTTATAGAATTGGATTGTCTTTACCTTTTGGTTAACTACGATAACTCCTTTCCACTACGAATCGCCAGACAACCCGCGCGGACTATCGCCTTAGTCTATCTCGCCCTAACCCGGACCGAGCTTAGAGAAGTATAGCGAGACCCCGTGTAACACTAAGCACCTAGATTCTGCGAGTAGACCGAGATTCTATCGAGAAGCTATCTAAAGAGCGTTTAGCCCGTTACAATAGCTCTTAAGAGGCTATACTATATAAATTAGCTAAAGACTATAGTATATTAGTCTAAGTTAGTCTAAAATATTCTATTTAGGTCTAAACTCTAACATTTTTATCTACTAAACTTAGAGAAGCTAAACTTATAATTATAGTTATTAGTAGTAATAGTAAAGAAGAATAAGAGTAAAAAATAGAGTAGAATAGTAGAAAATACTCTAAAGTATAGGCTATAAGCTAGTTCTACTCTAAATGCTACTTGTAAGGGGCTGCGCTCCGTGGAGCAATCGCGAGGTATACAAGAGATTGTATTCGATAGGGAACTAAGCTCCTAAGCTACGCAGCTATCTATATACAATGCTAGTTGCCCGAGTAACAATCAGGCCGATAGAATCTGGGTGCTACCCCGAGCACCCGGATTCTGCGAGTAGACCGAGATTCCATCAAGGAGCTATCTAAAGGGCGTTCAGCCCGTTACAATACCCCCCTCTTTATAGTGATACTACATCACCTCTCCGAAACCCCTCTAGGAGGCGGCCCTCGCTGTCTCGTTCAGCCTCTGTGAATGCTTCCCAACGATCTACTGCCTCAGCGTCCTCGAGTAGCTCCGCTGGTTCGAGCGTTGTTCGGTGAAACCCTTTCCACTTTACCTCGTAATATAGCTTACGCCCTCTCCCGCGGCGGCGTACCTCTTCTGCTACAATGTCTTCTACTTCCCATTCATCTTCTCCCTCTACCCGCAGCGGCTGTGGTTGATAATCGTCCTGAGCTTGGTTCGGAAGCGGGTCGTTACTCGCAAGTTTCAACTGATCGACATGAAACACAGGGTGTGGGCCTGGGGGTGTGTCTAGTTCGACTGAGTGGCTGTCGATTACCTTTACCACCGTGTACTTAGCGTTCTTCTAGTCGAGCTTCTTTGAGCTTCGCCCTGTGCTGTATTGCTGATCGAGCTTCAGCCATACCTTGTCGCCTACTCGGTAGCGCTGTGCCTCCCTCCGAGTCTTGTTCGCCTGTCTCTCTTGTTCTTGCTGGGCGACTGCTATTCCTGCTTGGGCTAGCTCTACAGCTTGTTGTAGCTTGAGCGCGATCTCTGCTGCTTTTTGTTTGTCCGAAAGCTGTTCGGCAGGCTTTCGCAGTCCTCTCTTGTTGCCTATCTCAAGCTGTAGAGGCTCCACTTCATAGCCGTGCTGAAGAAAGAATGGTGATATCCCCGTTGACGTTGCGTTTCTTCCGTTGATCGCGATCTAAGCCATTGGGCAGAGTTGTGCCCAGTCGTTCTGAGCCCAATTCGTAAAGGATCGGATATAGGCTTCCTAGACGCTGTTTATTCTCTCTGTAGCGCCGTCAGTCTGTGGGTGATAGGCTGTTGACAGTCTCTGTTTAATCTTTAGGAGCTCGCACAGTCTAGCCTATAGAACGCTCACGAATTGGCTACCCCTATCTAACGTAATAGCATCTGGCAGCTAGTGATATGCAACCACGCGTTTGATGAACTTTTGGACAATAGTTTCTGCTTTTATGTCTAGAAGTGGTACGAAAATCGTGCCCTTACTAAGACGATTAGTGACCACCATTAGACTAGTCATGCTGTCGCTCTCTGGCAGTCCTTTAACAAAATCTATAGAGAGCTCCTTCCAGACCTGAGTGGGTATTGGGAGTGGTTTTAAGAGGCCTTGCGTGCCCTCTCTCTATAACTTGCTCCTTCCGCACGTGTTGTAGTTTCTAACGTATCTTCGGATCGAGTTTGTCATGCCTGGCTAGAAGTAGTCCCTCGCGAGTATCTTGTACGTTAACTCGCGGCCTGGGTGGCCTGTAGCTAGTGAGTTATGGGTGTTGCTAATAATCGCCGTTCTTAACTCGTCGCTGTCTGGTACCTACTTGCGTCCTTGATAGAACAGGGCTCCTTCTTTAACTGAGCAGTCTTCGGTTGAGCACTTCAGGCCTAGTCTCACTGGGAACCGCCGTTCTTGATCCTCTATCGCCTGCTTAGCTCCTTGGTAGACCCGATCCTTCGTTGCCGTCCCCTGCCAGAGCTTTTCGAGCTCATTCTGTTCCTCTCTCAATTCTTTAACGTGGGGCTGCTCCGAACCCTCTTTAGTAAGGTGAGCAGCCTCTTCCTCTTGTTGGTGTTGCGCTTTGAGCTCGTCCGACTGGTCTTCTAAGGAACTGGCTGTCTCTGTTTCTCCCTAGTTTCGTAGCCGCATTGTTATTACTAGAGTCCTGCTATCTAAACCCTCTTTGATCGACTTCTTGTAGTAGGAGTTTGTTGGCTTAAGTATTTGTACGAACCGCTTCTGTAAGCGTTCGTCTTCCACCCCTTTAGGCAGGTCTTGTTCTCTTCTTGAGAGCGCGTCAGCTCTTACGTTTTCTTTGCCAGGCCGATACAACAGCTCTAGGTTGTACCTGCCTAGAAGAAGCGACCATCTTATCTGACGCTCGTTTAGCATCCTAGGCTTCATAAAGTATTCTAAGTTCTTGTGATCTGTAATCACCTTAAACTTCTCTACCAAACGCAGTTCAGAGTCCTATTCCTCGAGACATCGCACTACTGCAAGTAGTTCCTTATCGTGGATCTCGTAGTTACACTCGTGTGCGTTATTCTTCTGTGAGAAGTACGCACAGGGCCGCAGGACTCCTTCATCGTCGTACTGCGATAGCACTCCACCCACTGCGTAGCCGCTCGAATCGCATTTGAGCACTGTTTCACGGTCTGGGTCGAACGCTGCTAAGGAGGGCTCTGTAACAAAGATCTCCTTCAGCTTCTCGAAGGCTAATTGTTCTTCGGGACCCTATCGGAAGGGGACGTCGCCTGTCAGCCTTGTTAGTGGCGCTAATAGCTGCGAGAAGTTTTTAATAAACCTTCAGTAGAAGTTCGCGAAACCAAGAAACGATCTTACTCCCCGCACTGTCTTCGGCGCTTCCCATTCGCGGATTGCGGCTACTTTCGCTGGGTCCATGCTTATCCCCTTGCCAGCTTCTATCACGAACCCAAGGTACTTCGTTGACTTAACCTCGAACTCGCATTTCTTAATATCGACCTGCAGGCCTGCGGCTTGCAGCTTCCTAAGCACCTTTCGGACGTGTTCCTGGTGTTGGTTTAAATCTCCGTCAGAATAGATTAGCACGTCGTCTAGGTACGCCGAACAGAAGTCGTCGAGGTGTTCCCTTAGAGTCCAATTAATGTACCGTTGAAACGTACTTAGGGAGTTCGCCATGCCAAAGGGAGTAACTAGCCACTCAAACAGCCCGAACCTTGTTCGAAAGGCTGTCTTCCATTCATCGCCTGGTGCGACGCGGATCTTGTGGAACGCTGCGATAACGTCTAGCTTTGTGAACCACTTAGCCTTGCTAATACTATTAAGCGTCTCTCGGATGAGCGGAAGAGGGTATCGATCCTTCCTTGTGATTGCGTTTAAGGCTCGATAGTCAATACACAATCGGAGTCCTCCTCCAGGCTTCTTTGCGAACAGCACTGGGGCGGCGGCTGGGGAGCTGCTCACACGGATAAACCCCTTTTCGAGCAGCGACGTAAGTTCCTTCCGTAGAACTAATAACTCGCCTCTTGACATGCTATAGAGAGGCCCCCATGGTGGCTGAGCGTCCTTCGGTTCTAGCTCGATCTTGTGGTCTACTCCTGGACCTCGGTGAGGTGGGAGCTTCTCGGCTTCCTTTGGGTTAAAGAGCTCGTAGAACTCCTGATACTGCTTCGGTAGCAGCGCACGCACGTCTACTGGCTTCTTCTTCTGTAGGGCTTTGTCAATGTCTGCTATTGACGCGGCGAAGATCTGAACGCTGTTCGGAGCGTTCCTGTGTCTGCGGAGTAATGCCGCGAACGTAGCGGCACCTACTTGTCGGACCCCTCCCTGTAGGGTCCCTTCCGTGGATCGCACTCGAATACCCTTCGAGTGGATAAAGATGCTCTTCTTCGCGGGGGCTATTGACACGTCACGGTGGTCCATCCACCCCCTTCCTAGATACACGTCCTTATCTGAGGACAGGTTCATTACGTATGCATAGGCAGTCTCTTTGTACCCGTGTAGTTTGAACGAGAATCGGGCGACTTCGTTAATCTCTGACAGCTTACCATTCACTCCCTCAATCATCTGGGCGGGGATCTGGTAGCGCTCTAGATAGTGGCGGTAGGCGAACTTCTTCTTAACCAGTGCATAGCAAAGGCACCCACAATCGATTAGTGCTGTAGCGTTTACTACGTTGTTCACAATCAGATCTATTGTGATTGGTGGGGGACGCATATGCTTCTGCTGAAATTGACTCCATTCGTTGCTTGTCTGCCGATCCATCTTCAGAGGCTCTGAGCCGAGACTCTGGCTCAGAGCTTCTCTTTTCCTGAGTCGCTGTCCGTTGGTTCCTCAGCCTCCTTCTGGAGTTTCTGTCCTTCGCCCGTAGGGATATTTCTCGCTCTCTTGACCCGAGTGGTGTTCGGACAGCTCCTGGCAATGTGACCTAGCTCTCCACAGCTGTAGCAGTCAGGCGGTGGCCGTCTTGGCCTGCTTCTTACTTCCCGCGCTCGATTGATCTTTGATGGCTCCTAGTCCATCGCTTCTGGGCTAGCTTCTCGCTGAGCGGCTCTCGGGTGGTTCTGCGCGTCGCCATAAGCCGCGTTCCTTCGGTTCCGCCTATGCAGCTAGATCCGGTACAGGTCGTCGGATAGCTCAATTGCCTTGTCTATGTACTCCTTCAGGCTTCCGTTCTTCGGAGTGTGGAGCATCAGCTTCTGGAGCTCTTCTCCGAGGCCCTCACTAAACATCTCCCGAGCTACTGCTGGACTGAACTGTTGACGAGATTCTACGCGAAGCTGGTTGAACTCTGAAACGTAGTCACGTATCGGCCTCCGTCCTTGCTTCAGGTGCCGGAGCTTATTTAGCGCGCGTTGCTGCTGATGTACGTCCTGGAAGTGGGTATCCATATGCTCCCACAGGCCGATGACCGTTCGTTCCTTGTTCTCGAGTACCCAAGGGAGAAGGACCTGGTTTGCCTTGTCCTTTGTTCGGCTGAGCACGTATCGGACCTTTGCGTCCTCTGTCGGGAACATAGCACTATCGTACTCTAGCTTCCCTTCACACTCAAATTTCTAGCCTGGGTAGTTACCTCGTGTCCCGTTGAAGCGCTCTGGGTCGGGAAACTTGTTCTTGCGGACAGCTAGCTCTGCGACTGGTGTCGATGGTGGCGGAGGGGTGTTGGTTCCTAGGGATGGCTCTGAGCGTCCTTTAGCTTAACTTCGCTCGAGCGCTTCTAGACGACTAGCCATCGGGCTAAGCAGTTGCATCATCTGCTGCATCATCTAGGCCATGGCGTCCTGATTGCCCTTCGACGAGTCTCCTCGTCTTGGCGAGCCCTTCCCTCCCACGACTGATGATCGTTTGACAACCGCTTTAATTGTTGGCCCGATCGCTGCCTCCTTCCATCCGTCCTCTCTCAGCATCTGTGTGATTTCGTGCAGGATCTCTTCGTCTGAGACTCCTGCCTAGCTCTTAGCGGTAGCGTACGCCGCTAGCTCTTCTACGTTTAAGTTCGGAACGTTGATCTCCATTGCCGCTCTTCGGTCTACTCGCGTAGCTCTAGACTGCGGCCTACTCCTCGTCGGTAAGGGCTAGTAGGGCTTTCAGTGGCCTGTCACTGTTACAGGGCTTCCGTAGCTTGCTCTTGATAGCAAGGCTTCCGAACGACTCTCAGTGTCGTTATAGGTCGCGACTTTTAGTAACCCAGTTACCTCACGCTCACGATTCTCGCACTGGTCGGTACTTTGACACAGTATCGTGGCCTATGCCCCGTTCGACAGAGGACCGATAGGACTTTAACTGCTATCGCTTAACGTCTTGCGAGGTTTCTTGCGACGTAGCAGGACCTACACCTTAGTACTGTTGAGGTATCACGTAGGGCTTTCACTGAACGGTATCTCGCACACAGACTAGAGTCCACTAGCTGCCCAATACTCGTTTGACGCCGGCGTAACGTGAGGCTAGTCACACGTCCAACTGAGCCTCCTGCGAAGCTGCAGTCCTAGGCTAGCAATCTCGCGATAGCTTATGCCTAGTTGTTGTCTGAAAGCCTTTCGGGCAACAGAGCAACGCCAATCCCGTGCAGCGGCTTAACCTGCTCGCACGTAACAAAGAGGCGTTCAAGGAGCTTAACGCGCGTCGCGTTAACAGAGTCTTGAAGCAAGGCTCTGCTGATTGGGATCGAATACAAAATGTAAGGGGCTGCGCTCCGTGGAGCAATCGCGAGGTATACAAGAGATTGTATTCGATAGGGAACTAAGCTCCTAAGCTACGCAGCTATCTATATACAATGCTAGTTGCCTGAGTAACAATCGGGCCGATAGAATCTGGGTGCTACCCCGAGCACCCGGATTCTGCGAGTAGACCGAGATTCCATCGAGGAGCTATCTAAAGGGCGTTCAGCCCGTTACACTACTACCTACTAGGTTTTCTAGGAATTTTACTACTCTTACTAAGTAAAGGTAAGTAATAAAGTTCTTTATAAGTTCTCTCTCTAAAAGCTTTCTATTTAGACTAGATTAGTCTTCTTTAAGAAAAGAGATAATGTTAGGCTCTAGCCTAGAATAGGCTAGACTAGACTAGATTAGCCTAAAAGAGCTAATTATAGAGTATAAGTACTTAAATATTGCTACTACTTCTTAGTAGTAATTTGTCTCTAGTCTACTAGAGGAATACATTAAAGATAACTAAGAACTTGTGCACCTAGTATCTTGCTACAGTATAGTCCTAACATTTAGTATCTCTTCGGCTTTAGAGTCTAGATCCGCGTCTGGCTCCTGCTCTGAGGTGAAACTAGCATCTTCGCCTGCACTAAGCTTGATATTTATATCCGTATCTGCCTTAGTATCGGGGTCCGAGTACGTGTCAGAGAATGAGTTGGTATCTGACTGCCCTTCCCAGCACGAGTCGGCAGCTGAAGATGAGTTGGATCGACGCAATAAGTAGCGATTTCGCATTAGAGCGGCGTTCTTGATACCAGTAGAGGTGGATAGCTCTTTTCGAATGATTCGCTTCGTGGAGGACGGCATTGTGGTAGGACGCGAGCGACTAGAAGAAAGCTAGGGAGAAGAAGTAGGAGAGGCGATGGTAGAAGAGACAGTGAGCATGCCATCACTTTAAGTAGGCGCCGGTCAATGAGTAAGTTTTAGGCGCAGTGCTATTCTTTGGTTTCACGGAAGCACTAACGGTAAGTACAGCCTTCCTCCCCCCACTAGCAGCGCAGCATGGCCAGGACACTACGGCGAGGTGAGGGTCCGCCTAGCGTGGTAAGTGAGCATGGGTTTGGTTAAAGCGGCAATGTGAAAGAGACTAACCGAGGTGGAAACGCCTCTAAAAGCAGCGGCCAAAGACCTCCCAAAACGGATGCATTTCCACCGTTACATAGATATAGGTAGTTATTGATTTGTTAACAAGATGTTAGCACGAGACTGCAGTGACAAATTAGGCGCTCCAGCGAAGCATCCAGAAGCCAGACATGAGTTCAAGCAGAACGTGATTTGCCATCTCCGCGATTGCTCATGGGGAGCCTGATGGCGGCCGAGATGAAGAGAGGTAATTTGTCTCCGTCAGCGTCGCGGTGAATGTCGGCGAACGATGCCCGGGTTTAGCGATGCGCGAATACAAAGTCCGGCACCAGGTATCGTCGTCATCGTCCGCACCACGACAACACCGGCAATCAAGTCAATGCAGTGCAACGCTCTGGCGTCATGATTGGCTCTTGTGGCGGAACCGGCTAGATGCCGGGTTATCTTCTCTGGCTTCATGCACGGAAACGGCTGGATGATGGAGCCTACCCCACCTGAAGCTTGAACGACTTAAGGCCCTTCCACCCCGCCAAATTTCGCAGACAGCATCAAACGTCACACTAAACTCTCTCTACATCCATCAATTCCGCTCACAAACCTCCAAAATGGCCTGCGACAACTGCAAAACCGGCTTCAAGTGGGGCGCCGAGTCCGTTGGCAAGGAAGCCAAGCTCGACAACATCGACTGCTATGTAACCGGCGACAACAAGGATGCCGCTATCCTTATCATCACCGATATCTTCGGCTGGACTCTTCCCAACATCCGCATTCTGGCAGACCACTACGCGAAGGAAGCCAATGCGACCGTCTACGTTCCCGACGTGTAAGCAGCTACGCGACGCGACGCATACATTCAGCGCAACCTTAGAACTAACAGCCATCGCACAGATTCGGCGGCGAAGTCGTAGACCCAGACGCGATGTCCGACCCGGAGAAGGCAAAGAACTTCGACGTCATGGCCTTCATCGGGCGTAACAACAAGGACATCCGCTACCCCGAGATCAAGCAGCACGCTCAGACCCTCAAGTCGCAATACAAGAAGGTCGCCGCCATTGGCTTCTGCTACGGCGGATGGGCCTGCTTCAAGCTGGCCGCGGACCCCTCGCTCGTCGACGCCATCTCGACCGCCCACCCCTCCTTGCTCGAGAAATCGGAGATCGAGGGCGTCAAGGTCCCCGTCCAGGTCCTTTCCCCCGAGAACGACCAAATGTACACTGAGGAGCTGAAGAAGGCTACGTTGGAGACGCTGCCGAAGACTGGTGTGCAGTGGGAGTACATCTACTTCCCTGGTCTCAACCACGGCTTTGCTGCGCGTGGTGACCCCAACAACAAGCAGCAGAAGGATGGTTTGGAGAGGGCGAAGAGGAGTGCTGTGAACTTTTTCAACGAGTTCCTGCACTAAAACACATGTCACGGCGGTTATATGATCTCTTGAGCGACTTTAAATGAAATGATACCTCAACTCTACTTTTCCGCTCGCCATGTGGTCGTCACATCAGTAGGAAGCAAGACATTAGGTCACGAATGAGCCGGTGAGGATATTGAAGTGAATATTTGAATGAATTGCTGGTTACTGCTGCTATAATGTGTACGTTTCGTTGACGTCACGCAGAGTCCCTCTTTTAAATATATACATGAAGGTCTTTCTATCTTTAGTCAGGTACGAGACCATGATACCATCATTTGTCGCAACCTAGGCGCCCTTGACCAAGCGAGCGAGCCGAGACCTAGTCACCCAGCCCCAAGCGCCGACACTACGCTTAGCCATAGCAGCAACGCTCTTAGCATAGTTGTTTGTGCCATGGCTGGGATCAGCATCCTTAGCCTTGCAAGAAGCGCCATCGGAAGGGCCACCGAGAGGACCTTCAACGGCAGCGAAGTGCTGCTTCTCGCTGGTCGTGCCGACCATGTTTTGAGCAGCCTCAGGAACCCAACCGTTGATGAAGTCACCGTGCGAGCACCAGGCAGGTCCGCAAGCCAGCTTGAACGGCGCGGTGGTACCAGACCAGCCGTTGGGCAGGGCCTTGCGGAGATCGTAGCGGATGGAGAAGCGGAGTTGGGGCATCGACTTCATGCCCTTGGGGCACCAGTTGGGTGTTCCGTTATCGCGGCTCTTGTAGCCGGTCTCGAGCGTCTTCTCGTTGACACACTGGGGGAAGAAGAGGAGTTGCTGGACGTGCGTGGAGCAGGTCTTGGTGGGGAAGCCGTTGGCATCGAGAGGAATGTCTTCGCTCTCGCAGCCCCATGAGGCCTTTGCGTTGACGTCCATTGCGTCTGCGGTCATGGCATCGGCTTTGCCGGCAACCATCTGCAAGTCTTGTGGGATGGCGACCTCAGCGGGGGTCTCGCCTAGGTTGTAGTAGGCGCTAAAGCGGAAGACGGGAACGGGCTCGTAGTTCTTGCCATCTTTGGTGTATAGGAAGGTGGGCACCCAGTAGCTCGACAAGTCGTTGGGGTTTTCGGCGGTGGTGCAGCCTTTCTGGAGTTCAGCGCTGGTCTTTGTGCCGGCGACAACGGCGTCGGAGCCGTAGAAGGAGTGTAGATGCGACTTGTCGAACTCGCCAGGGTAGACTATGGGATCGATGTTCTTCTCCATGAAAGGGGGAGGGATCTGGATGACGGTGTACGCGTTCGCGAACTGAGCGAGCAGACCCGCAGCAAGAAGTGTGTAAAGAGACATCCTGTGCCTTAGTAACGAATGTAATAAACGATAGAAGAGATTGAAAAGATAGTAAAGTCGGTAAGAGAATGAAGCGCGATGAAGAAACCATAACACAAGGCGCATTCGTGGTACTTATGCCTCAGGCCGAAGCCTCGTGCCCACCATGCCACAGCCCAGGGCATCCTTCCCTCGGCGCGTCCACCAAAGTTTCAAAGCTCCTGGTGTTTTCGCCCAAGCGAGGCATCTTCGCCGTTGGGCCTAGGACTATTGTGGAGGTTAGGGACCGCAGCATGAACGACAGGAGACGTTGCCGAGGCGCTAATCCGGCTGCGGAGCTGCTCATTGGCGGATCTCCTGTGCCAAAACACTAGTGTCCGCTGTTCCGCGTTGAACAGTTTCGAAACTGCGAAACAAACTGCCTTTGTCCTTGCTTTTCATTTCCTATGAACAGTAATCGGCTTTGTGGATACGGATGCGCGCTGTGGCGTGGCCACTAGAGCCAGAGGGCGAACTAGTACGATTGCAGATGTACGTGCGCGTGTTTACGACATCCGAAGACTCCAGTATTGGGTGTTGAAGAGCAAAGCAGTCATCAATGGGCCAACTCGTGCTTGCAAGGTTCTGTGTGGACACCACGTGCGTGGCACGTACAATATGCGGCGTGGTGAACAAATCGATTCAGGTCAAGGGAGCTGCGACCCCGCATCTACATCTCACGACCTGAGAGCGACTTGAGCTGACACCACAACCACTTCTACTGCCATTTGCACGCGCGCAACAGTTACGGCGACCTCGCGCATTCTGATAATTCGTTGTGGTTTCACAGTGTGCACGACCAAAAATCGCCACGAATTGTCCCCTCAGTATCCTGCTCATATGCATACTCTCCCAATTACCGTATCGCCGACTTTGCTCGGCTGACGAGGGAGCTGTCTGCCTTCAGAGAGTGGACGAAATGTTTTGCGAAGTATGCTTACGCATGTTTTCAAACGGTGTTTTGGAAGGCAAACATCATACTAGCCTTACCTCATTCACCAAAGCAGCAACAGATGGGTGCTACGTTTGTGCTCCTCTACTGAAAGATGCAAGAAGAGAGATCGCCTGGCTGGATCAGGGTGTCCAGTTTCAATGCGACTATAAAATCAATCAGCCCTTGATTTCAAGAAACGAGGCTAGCAGTCATCTTGCTATCAAGATACATGGTGGCGTTGGCAGTTACTCACAATCATTTTATGCCGAACCGCCATCACGCTTGCCAATTCAAAACGGTGTATACAGCAGAAGGACTATCATACCTATGGCCGAGTCTCTTCAGGCTGCGCAAAAGTGGATTAGCAATTGTCTGGACAAACATGAAGAATGTCAGAAGCACATCAGACCACACATGTACCCACACGGCTTTTAGAGCTCGAAAACGAGAAGGCATGTTTGATTTTATCACTCAGGGATGAACCTTCAGGCCATTACGCTGCTCTGAGCTACTGTTGGGGCCCGAACCCCAGCTTCATTCATTTGACAGCCGATAATCTTCAAGAGTTCCAGCTTGGACTGCCGTACTCTGACCTTCCCATAGCTTTCCAAGAGGCTATGTGCATGATAAGAGGATTAGGCATTCGCTACCTCTGGATTGACGCCCTTTGCATCATACAGTCTGGTCTGGGCAGTAGCGAGGATTGGCAATCAGAGTGTGGGCGGATGCAAGAGATTTACTCATACTGCTTCATTAATCTGTCCTTATAACAAGCCTTACACCCAAATCAGAGTTGTCTTGGAGGATATACTTTCGGTACTGCGCTGCCGTTCGAAGCTGACATCGCAACTCAAAAGATCACGGACTCAGCGACACTCGTACCTACGCCCTGTTATCAACCAGATACTTCAAACAAGGATTATACACTCAGCCTATTAGATGCCGTGCGTGGGTTATGCAAGAACGCTTGCTGGCCCCCCGTGTTCTGAGCATTGGGCACGGTGAGCTGTTCTGGGGCTGTCAACAACTGCCTCACGCAAGCGAGTCTCTTCCATACGGTCTCGCACTATATCCTGGAGGGTTACAGAGAGCTTTTTCTGTTGGTCTCGGTCTCTTGACACAAGGAATCCGACAGGTCCCAGTTCGCGAGGGCTTCGAGCGAATATGGGGCGAGTGGACATGGTTAAAACTTCTTAGGGAATACGTCAGGCTGGAACTCACATATCCTCAAGCAGATAGGTTAGCGGCCCTCTCAGCTATCGCGGCTCGTGTTGGTTCTGTGATGAATGATACCTATCTTGCTGGACACTTTTGGAAAACATTACCACAAAGCCTTATATGGAAAGCACAGACGCTGAGACAACGTTCTCTTCCACATGATCACGACGAGAGAGTTCCATACAGGCTTGCTAAGTCTTCGAACCGGATGTCAGACGATAATTGGGTGATCACGCCGAGCTGGAGTTGGGCATCGATGCACGGTCCGCTGGATATGAGCGAGATCGTTAATTACAACTGTAACGTAGCAACTGCGGAATCGTACAGATTGGTTCCAGTCAGCGGAAAAGAGACCGTAGGACGTGTGGAGCACAATATTTTGCTCATCATTCGAACGTGGTGTCGACTACACACATGGGAAGCGTTCCAAGCGGGCACCGAGAGAGTGGAAACACGACTGCAAGATATAGGTGATTTCGTCTATTTCGAGATAGATGACCCACATGATCAAGTCGAAGAAGGAAGCGAGAACTTGCTCGCGGGACTCGCGTACAGGGAAATGTCGGCATGGGGTTTGCTACTGAGAGCAACCAATGTCGATGGTCAAAAGGTGTTGGAGAGATTTGGGAACCTTCATGCGCATATAGGTGTGTGTGTGGTCACAAGCCGATGGAGGAATGGTTTACTCATGGACAGCATTCAATTACGCTTTGCTGATCAGGTTCTCGTTAGCTGCAACTCATTTGCAGTCTCGGACATGTTCTTCAATGTTTCAATCGTACATACTCTCCCGACATGTTCCATATAGTTTGAGAATTCCCTACTTATCAGCCGCATCCAAAGGCTTGTTCTGCCCATAGCTCAGCGTCTTCTCCCTCTTCTTCGCATCCGACTCCTTCGGGTCATGCTTCATATTGTCCTGACTCTCCGTTGTCTCTTCCGTCGCGCCTGCGCGGTCGTGCTCTGGATGGCTGACTGGGTTTTGTATCGATGCGTGATCGCCATCGTTCCTGTCGGTCTGGCCGACTGAGGCGCTTTTGTTGATACTCTGGCTCTCGGCGCTGCTTGCTTGTGGGTTGGAGACGTTGGAAGACTGGCCTGGTGCGGCGCTGCTGGCGTATGTGCGGGTGATCACCGGTGCGAGGACTAGGAGGAGTTATATTAGTTGTCGTTCTCAGACTTTGGAGGTAGGGTAGTCACCTTCGCTTCGTTGTTGGATCGAACGGGTCGCAATGGGTGCTGAGCGTGAGAAGTTTTGGAGAAATCTTGATGCCATTTTGTTTCTGGTGTATTCCGAGTCTATTACGGGAATCTGCAAAGACAAAGTTGCAGTTTACAAAAATTTATAACGAAATGTCCACGCATGTTTATCAGACTCCCTCCTTGACGTGCCTGTGATGTTGCCAAAACGTCATCATCAAGCCGCAGGGCCGATCTCTGGGGATTCGGCATCTGCTTCCCGTACAAATCCACCCTTACTTATCTATGACAGCTGCAGGAATATTTGACAATCAGTATGAGCGCTTCAATCGCTTGTCGTTGTAGATGTTTGCATGCGCCGTCGCGCTTTCGCGATCATGATGATGACGTATATCAAGGGCTGAGTAACACCGGGGCAGCATTAACGTGGAACATATTCAAGCATTACGAGATCAGACTTTGCAAGGATCTTGGGTCGCAAAGAGTCGAAGAATGTTTGGCTACACTGTGGTGATCTTCTCTGCGTGAAGTGAAGTTGGTAGGTGTGAGCCAACGCAAATCATCACGTGATGCTCCACTCCCCACCACTGGACTTTCCGACCTTGCCAAACACCCTACCACCTTCGTCCACAACTACTTACCTTAACATTCGGCCTCGAACGGCAGTTTGAATAACCTGCAGATGCAGACATACTTCTCATGAGGGTCTTTGGCATACATGGCTGTGATGTTGGCAGCGCGCGATGCTATAGGTTGAAGAACACCAAGTGGCACAGTTACTAGCTCTTTCAAAGTCTATCGTACAATACTGCTTCTCAAATTTCATGCCAAACCTACAAGTAATCCGCATCTACCCAATTCTCCTTCTCAAAGTTCCTCCCAAACAGATCCGACGCCTTAATCCGCGCGTCCCGCTGCGAGGAAAAGTCCACCCTTGCCCCCGGATTTGCGCCAGGCCCATAGTTCTTGTATTCCTGGTAAACAACATTATCCACACTCTGCACATCATCCCATCTTGCCCATCCCTCCGGCTTCACTACATCACTTAGATAGCTATCTTGGAAAACCACCCTTGAGTAAGGTCTCCACGGCCGGCCCAGAACAGTCGAGTTAGTGCCATTGGTACCACGTACGTTGACCTGGTTGAAGACATAGATACTCGTATTGTTCTCAGCTTCGCGACCGTTCGCAGTGATCCAGCCGGGACCAATGGCTTCGATATCGATCTTGTCGAACCACGCGATGGCGCGTAGACCGAAGATGAAGTCTACCGCTCCGTTGACGAAGGACTTCGCGTAGATCTGGCGACCGATGTTGGCATAGATCGTGTCCTGATAGCCGGTGAACTTGCAGCCGTAGAATCCTTGGTTTGTCTTCTGCGCGCTCAGGGCGAGGGCTTGTCCGTTCTTCTCCGCTGCGCCGAAGGTGTTGGCGACGTTTAGGTTGTATATGCGGATGTTGGTTGTGTTTAGACGGAGGGTGGCTGTTGCGTCGTTGTTGACAAGACCGGGTGTCTGGCGCGATAGGTTGTATGTCAGGGTGACTTCGTTGTCTTTGTAACCGCGAGCGTTCTTTGTGGAACCTTGGATGGTGATGGGGCCAGCATGAGGAGGTACGTAGACCTGTTCGTTGTATTTTCCTGCGACGACAAAGATCTTCTGGGCATCGGTCCTGTTATGCAGTGCGTCTACTGCAGCACTGATACTGGGGTAGCTGCCGTTGGTTGCGCCGGATGCATCGACGACTAACGCACCCCGATCGGGCTTTGTTCTTGAGAATTTATCGGCAGATGCAACAGAAAGAGTACTTGCAAACGCAAGGAATTGTATTATACGGAATGCCATGTTGATCGGCAGAGAACGATTGACCTGGTATTCGGTACCCGTCCATCGGAACGGCCGGGTACTTATACTAGATTGACGAGATGCACCCCTTTACGCGATTACTAGAGTCTGTAATTATTCCGTCGCGCTTACTTCTCCGGGCCGACTATTGGACAAGCGCGCATCATACCATTGCCATCGTGACTTTGCGGGGAAGTGTGGAGGAAGCATTGTTGGTGTTGCATCTTGTGATTGGTGGCACAAATCGTTCCGTGGACAACTTTACCCCAGATTATTTGACCTTCGGCAACGGAATCTGGGGAAGCGATGTAGAGACAATCTTGATCTTGATGTTTTGTTCAGCGGACGGATGTGGACAAGGGAGAGATTTCGGTTTGTTTAGGTTTGAGGTACATAAGCCCGATTGATTACTTAGATAGTCGTGCCGCGCGGCGACTGACAACGTCATTCTTGGCTCGCCCTTCTTGAATCCGAACCCCTCTGTTTCAGATACTCTTGCATGTGCGACTCTTTCCTCTTTTTGTAGGCTTGAATTTGGTATTTCACACAATTTCCATCTCGTACGGGCAGTAATAACAAACGGGCCCTGGAGTGTACGCGACAACAACCGAAGTACCACCGTGCCTTCCTCGATATACGAAACACACCCTAGCTCATATCCCGCTACTTCCTAGATGTTGTGATAGCATTTCCAGTTGTTCAAGAGCAAGGAATGAGGTCCAGTTCTGCCTGCAATGGGCTGGAATTCCAAAGCTGAGTAGACGGTGAGCGCGTTTGCAGCAAATGTTGCCCTAAAACCTAAGGCTATGTTCTCAAGCAGCGCACAATGATTGGGCATGAATAGGTCATCGGACCAGGCTATAGACTCTCGTATCGAATGGCACACCGCATGAATTCTGTACCGCCTCGTCATAGTGGTCAATAAGTCAAAAGGCATCGCGAACCGGGCTCAGGCGACGGACCAGTAGTATCGTAGTGGTACACAGATTCGAAAGAAGCTGGCACTTTACTCCAGCGCACAATAGAGTTCACGAAGAACAACTTTGCGCATAACAATATGAAGCTTTATTCAGTCCGAAAATCAGACCACCCCAGCGCGTATACCCCGCCCACGCCGTCGCGTTCACCGTCGCATTCAACCCGCCGTTTGCACAATGACGCAACGTCCAGACAAACGAACTCAGACACGCGACGCGACCACAACAAAGACATATCCGCCGTATCTCAGACTCATTGCCAGCTACAACTTCACTTAACCTCTGTACCCGTATTGCGCCTCCCCTGGACATTGCGAAGCTTCACAACCCAGCCACTGACAGACACCAGCACGCAAAGCACATCGCACTATACACACTCTACACGCTCTTCCACCTCAAGACAAAATGACCACGAATAGTTCAAGACACCTCCTCCCCATGACCCCCATTCTCTTCAACGATGATGGCGCTTCGCGTCCAAGCACTTCTCACCACCTCGCGAACCCCACGCTCGCCAACCTCAAAGACGCGCAAGACACCAGCATCACCGCGCTGCCGCGGCCTGTCATCGAAGCCGAGGTTGTTGAAGAAGACGGTTTCTGGAAGAGACTTTGGGCTAAGATCAGGAATGCGCTGGGTTTCGGTGAGCAGGAAGTTGAATATGAAGAGGAGAGGGAAATGTGCATTGGTGAGCCTTTTGGCTTTGTGCATATCGGGACGGGAGGGAATAGGCCGTTGTTGGGTCCAGGTCGTGTGCCTCAGAGTGGGGATGAAGAGGGAGATTGGGAGGATGTTGGGTGAGGGCGGGAGGTATTCATGGTGGTTGGGGGACGAGATCGTAACATTACGATGGGCCGTGGAGGACGAAGTACGTGTGAGAAGTAGTGGATATGAAGATGCACTTGGTGTGAGGACTACATGGATCTGGTATTGGACAGAAAGAAAGGGGAATCAACCTCGAAACGACTACAAATATACACAATCCTCCATCTTACTTGCCCTGACTCTCAACGCTGACATTCCAGTTGTTAGGCGCCCGCCACCACCGTCCCAGCAGACTACCCTCACTCTTCCCACTGCTACCCGTAATCATACGGTTCGCATCTGGCCTCTCAATCTTGACATCCTGCGTCTTGACAATCTGCAGCTTGACATCTTCGCTGCCATTGGTTCCAGCCTCAGGGTCATACGTAGCACGATCGCTGCTCCCAGTCCGGTATGCTTTGCCCTTTGAGCCCTCGTCGCTGACGATGCGCTCGAACTTGCTTTGCAGGCTGGGGTAGTAGCGGATGAGGACGGCTTTGATGCTAGGAGCGCAGGCGACGATGACGGCAAGGTGATTCTCCACAACAGCGCAGATCATAGATGCAGCGTATTGGAAGGGGAAATCGCCCATAATGGCGAGCCGGTGGACGAAGTAGACGCGTGTTGCGCTTGCAGCGAGGACGAGTCCGCCCATGGCGAAGAGGATGTTGACGGCGATGCGGTGGTGGCGGCGGAGCTTGACGTTCCAGGTGAAGATGACGGGGAGGATGTAGAGGACGAGATCGCAGGCCACCATGAAGATGGAGTTGAAGTAGGAGAAATCGGACAGGTTGATGCAGTAGCCCTCGATGGTTGGGTCCCACCATTTCGCCACGGGAATGCATTGGAAGATGCTGGTTACGACGCAGGTGAGACCGAAGGAGAAGGCGACGATGTGCATGATGAAGATGCAACGGCGGGCCCACGGCTCGAAGGTGAGCTCGGCGTAGAAGAAGAGGAGGGAGTGCTTGACGGCCCAATTGACGGTGAAGTAGAAGATCAAGGCGGCCATAACCATCTGAGGATGTTGAGTTAGTAAGTGAAAGGTGGCGATCGTGGGTTGGGGTAATGTACCTTGAGGAGCATCTCCATGTTGGCTGGGTCGAGGTCTGCCTCGTGTAGACCTGCTCCGAGACGCGTGGCGTACATCTGGATGCATGATAGAACGATGGCGCAAGACCCGGCAAAGGTAGCAAGAGCTTCATGTCAATTAGTATGATGACTCGTGTAGGAACAAGTAGACTGAGCTCACCATCATGCCAGCCGAAGCTGCTCAGTATCTTGATCTTCCTTCCAATACGACAGCTGATAGCGAGGGAAGTCAACACAATCAGTGTCAAGTTGACAGCAACGGTGGCAGAGCGTAGGTCAGACATTATTAAAACGGTCAAGCAAGATACAGAGTTGAGTTGCGATGTGTACAGGGGTGAGGATGGACTCGTGTGCCTTGCATGCCCTCTACATATATACCTGGTGTTTATCTTTCACAGGACGCACCGCTTATACTTTGTTTGTCGTGATATGCGCAATACCAAGATGATGAACGGTCTACGGGGTCTAACGTTAGCTGCCCCGCGCTGACGGCGCGCAATCATCCATGTCACTACAGTGATTATGGGATACCGTTTCCGTCCGCTTGCAGTGAATACCGTCAAGGGAGCGACTCGGCATTCGGGGTAGCGCCCAGTGCTTCCTACACTAGCAGGAAAAATGAAGATGATGGTGTAGCACTATTGGACGGAATGTCTCTTACTAGACTAACCGAGTGCTGGGTATGGTCACTAGGTACAGAGGTTTTGCTTTGTGATGTTTGTTTTCGAAATTAGGGTTCAAGCTAGGGGCAGCGGGGTCTTGAGGTGCTTAAAAAGCAATCACGACGTCGGTATACACGTTGTGTCCATGCGAGCCGTAAGCGAATCCACCTGGTTATGATGGAGAGGTCTCATAGGTCAGAACATCGACCCCGCCTTGCCCTTTGTCTCAACAACATCGCAATTCAAAGCTGATGTTTTCGTTTTGTGATGTTGCTTTTTGCTTTGAGGGTCCCCTCCGTATTGGTTTTGGTGGAGACACGAGAGGGCTTCGTACGTGGCGTTAGATGCCTGGCGTCTGCATCTGATTAGAATACTGCGGTACCATGTCCATGTCGGTGTCGGCTCGCGTCCCATACTGCGCGTTGTTGAGTTGGAGGGTAACTTCGCAAAGTAGCCACATTCAGTCATTTTGAGATTGATGTTGATCAGCGGCGGCAACAGACATCCCGATTACTGAGCAATGGCGATATCATAGATAAAAGTAAGACTCCATTGTAAAAGGGCCGATGAAAAAAAAGAGGAAGTTGAGATGGTGGGTAGACAGAACGGCAAGACACGGGAAATTGTGAGCCAGCCACATCGTCATAAAAGGTGTGAGCCCCCGCTTGGTTCTCGCGACTCGAAACAACGACATCATCTTGTCGTGGAAGAGGCTGAGGATCGATCGTGAGCGCTCGGAGCGCGACTGCGCAGGTGTTTACTTCGGCGATGCATCATATGATGAAGCTTGAGGGCGGGCTTCCAAGATTCCCGCGACCGTCCTAACTTCTCGACTTGGGAGCTTACTAACACCGTCCGGCGCTAGGCCGCATATGATTCTCAGTAATCCTGTGCATGTCATTGGTCACCGGAGACAATTTGCAACTTGTATGCGTATAGTGGTCGCCGCACCATGTGTAGATTTCAGAATCCATTGGAGAATTGAGCTTCCAATCTCTCTTCTCACTCCGATACCTCTTATCTTGTGCTCCGCGTCTGTCCGTTGTCCAATTTTCTGAAACTTACAGTGCGATCGCTATAGTCGGAGTGAAACTTGACGCCTCGGCTGTCCGCATCTACTACGAACGCCACCTTTCCCCGACGCCAACGTCAGCGACATTTCACTTTCTTTGCACAAGTGGGGACTTGTACTTCTAAAACCTTCACGAACCTACGAAACATTATTGTCGCCTTCCCACCATGTCCTTCTCCTCGCTCGTCTCAGATATTGCATACCGGAATAACTCGGAAAGGCCAGAGCGACCGGACCTGCGCTCCCAAATATCGGAAGCGCGTTCCACCCGATCCTACGCCAGCACTGCCGCGACCAGCGTGAGCATATCCGGAGATATCAAGAGTCAATTGCATGGAGGATACAGCCACCCTCTGTCGCGAGCATGGCAGGCCGAGCGACAGCTCACAAAGGTGCGAGGAATGACGCTATAGACTATATCACGGAAGCTAACATTTGGTGCAGTCGATGCTCATCTACCCCCTCTTCATTTCCGACCAGCCTGACGAAGAGATACTCATCCCCTCCTTACCGAACATCCACCGCCGAGGCCTGAACAAGGTCGTGCCATACCTCACCCCGCTCGTCGCAAAGGGCCTCAAGTCCGTCATACTGTTCGGCGTGCCACTCGCACCCTCAGCAAAGGACGCCTTGGGCACAAACGCAGACGACCCCAAGGGCCCCGTCATCAAGGCCATCCGCCTGCTCCGACGAGCATTCCCCGACCTCTTCATCGTCGCCGATGTCTGCCTTTGCGAATACACCTCACACGGCCATTGTGGTATCCTCAAGGAGGATGGCAGCTTGAACAATGCATTGTCAGTAGAGCGCATTGCGGATGTGGCGCTTTCATATGCCAATGCCGGCGCGCATTGCGTTGCGCCTTCAGACATGAATGACGGTCGCATACGCGCCATCAAGCTGAGGCTCATCGAAGCCGGCATTTCGCACCAGGTGGTCCTGATGTCGTATGCTGCCAAGTTCTCAGGATGTTTATACGGTCCCTTCCGCGACGCCGCGGGTTCAGTACCCTCGTTTGGCGACCGAAGATGCTACCAATTACCTCCCGGCGGCCGCGGCCTGGCACGACGAGCCATTGTCAGAGATATTGGTGAGGGTGCGGACATCATTATGGTGAAGCCTGCGAGCCAGTACCTCGACATCATCAGCGATGCAAAGGAAATTGGCAAGGACATGCCCATTGCTGCATACCAGGTATCTGGAGAATATGCGATGATCCACGCAGCCGCAGCTGCAGGTGTGTTCGATTTGAGGCAGATGGCGGAAGAGGCTACGCAGGGCATACTCCGAGCCGGAGCTTCGATAGTAGTCAGCTACTTCACGCCAGAGTTCCTAGACTGGTTGGGTAACTAGAGAGGAGCTAGCATAGATGTACGGCAAAAGAAAGGGCGCAGGGGCGTTTGATATCCAGACGGCATGTCTACCAATGAACTCTCATCACCAGTTCTACACCATTTCTGTTCTGTGATATAATCACATACGAAGAATTGTGTAACATGATCGCAAGTTACGAACAAGTAATGAGTCTCCGGGACGAGTTTTCAGCCCGCGTCGTGCTGTTGTATAGTGCCAAGACCATATAGAGAAATACACTAGCTGAACATGCGGAGAATTGCAGCCCACTGGTGCGCCACAGCCTCTGCCTCGCCATCTGCAGATGAGCCAACCCCATCACATCCTTCGATGCTGCGGCTGCCTTGCCACGCTTGCTACCTCGCTAAACGATGAATCAGCGCCTTTCCTGATGCTTGCAGCACCACGGTGGGTGGTTGACTCACCGGCTAGCCCGCACTTCACGACCGGCGTCACCGATTCTTCTCACCAAAGTCGACAATGATGCGTCTGTATCCACAACAGCATGCATCTCAGCCACTCCAGTCGCCCTGCGCGTATAGGATCACGTGAGGATATTCATCGCAAAGCCCAGAGTGAACGCCGCTCAGCCTTGCTTGCAGCCACGCTGTTTGCGTGCGAACGCTCTCATTCGACCTAGTGATGCCACTACACTCTACCTACATGCAGTCCCCACTCACTGGGTGCATCATGCAGGTGACATTACACCAGCGAGGACTCATCCTCCCAAGAAAGCCTCCGAGAGGCTGATGCCGAAGCTGATTGCATTGGATCGGCCGCACAATGTGCACAGCCACTTCTTAGCTCAGGCTGCCGTCCCACCGCCCTTTTCTCAACTCCACGTTATTACCATGAATGCTATTAGGTAAATTAATACTCATCATCTGGATGCCTGGTGAAATTGCGTTTGCGACAAATAAGTATATCACAGGTCTCTTCTTGTACTTCTAACACATCACAACAATCTTCGACACTCCTTGTGGCCACCGCCTGGTCCAGTTGCTTTGTTGCGCGAGCAAACGCATCGGAAGCGCCCTGAGACATATCCCCTCATAACTATCCTTCGACGTTCGGGTTGAGCCACCGGCCCTGTACAATCATGGAGAACCTGAAGGAATCGCTACCTCCTGGCCTCGCAGATGCAGCCGTCAACATTCCCGGCTTCGGTGCTATTATCCAGCTGGTCCTCAACAAAATTGGTTTTGATGTTGGCAGCACGATGTCTCTATACCTTTTATTATTCGGCATCTTTCAAGGAGCTATGTTCTTATACAATAGGGGGCGTGGATGGATGCAGTAAGCCCCCCATTTTACCTTTCGACTGCAGTCTGCTAACGGTTCACCCAGAGATTATGGCACCTCCGCCATCCGGATAGACGACGATGATGATTTATACCCCCAGTTCATATCCTGGATATCAGAACAACGCATGACAGAAGTCAGCAGAGACTTGAAAGCTACCTCAAGGAAGCCAAAGACGCGATATAGTGCAGACTCTGATGACGAACCCGAATCGGATGATGAAGACGTCTTGGACGAGTCTGGCATCTTTAATTACGACAAGTACAAAGGTACCAGTCCAGTGTATTACGAGCCTAATCTTGGTGACGACAGCTTCACCCACAATGGCCATTATTTCCAGTTCAGGAAGGATTCGCAAGAGAACAAATACGCCGAACGGATTGAGTACTTTGTCATTATCCGTTGCATAGGTCGCAGCACGAAGCCCGTGAAGGACCTTATAGATCACGTCAAAGAATGGTCAGCGCACAAGAACAACAGCACGACTGAAATTATGCGAGCGGAGATCAAACACGGTGGTTACTGGTCTACCCAGTCCAGCCGACCTTCACGACCTATTAGCACAGTGACCTTGGATGAAACGCAGAAGGACAAAGTCGTTGCAGACATTAACGAATACCTCCATCCAGCTACGGCTCGGTGGTACGCCGCCCGCGGTATTCCCCACAGACGAGGATACCTATTCCACGGACCGCCCGGTACCGGCAAAACATCCTTGAGCTTTGCAGTGGCTGGAATTTTTGGACTTAGCGTCTACTGCGCTTCTTTGAGTGAGCGTGATATGACCGAGTCGGATCTAGCTACGCTGTTCAGCCAGCTGCCAAATCGGTGCATCGTTTTATTAGAAGACATCGACAGCGCGGGCATCCGCCGAGACAAGTCTTCTGAGATATCAGCACCAGATCGCGTCTCGGAGGTGGAAGAGGAAGCCAAGTCAGCTACTGAAGCGAAGGACACCGTGGCAGAGAAGGAGGAGAATGTTGAGAGCAAAGATGAGAGGAAGATCGAGGAAAAGCAAAAGTCCATCACCGATATTGAGAAGAAGAAGTCCTTCCGCCGAAGATTTACCCAGACGTTACGCCCACGGAAAATAACCAAACCAGATAGCGAAACCACCACGCTCGTCACAGACGATGCAGCATCATCCGTCCGAGCACCCAGCATAAAATCGCCCAGCATCAAAGCACCCAGCGTGAAGCCCTCACCTCCCCCTCCTCCACCACCAGTACCTTCTCCCACCGACGAAGAAGGCAGTAAAAGTAAGATCTCCCTCGCCGGCCTCCTCAACATCATCGACGGCGCCGCCTCCAGCGAAGGTCGAGTCTTGATAATGACAACAAACTACCCCGAAAAGCTCGACTCAGCACTCATCCGCCCCGGCCGGGTAGACCTACAGATCAAGTTTACATTGGCAACCAATGCGCAGATACAAGAAATCTTCCGTCGCATGTACAGTCGAGAGGAGGACCTAGCTACGCAAGCACAGAAGAAGAGCGATGACGAGAAAGCCAAACCTCCTTCCAAAACGAAGAAGAGGAAAGCTAGGCCGTCAAGTGGCACCTCGCCTCTCACTAGCGGTGTCTTGCCGGCAAAGCCCAACTTCGCGACGCTACCGCCAGAAAAGCTGGCGGAGATGGCGAAGCAGTTCGCGGAAGCGCTTCCAGAGGGTGTGTTTTCACCGGCGGAGATTCAAGGGTATCTTTTGCAGAAGAAGGCGGATCCGGAGGGTGCGCTGGAGGGGGTTAAGGAGTGGAGGGACGCGGTGCTTGAGGCGAAGAAGAAGGGGAAAAAGGTTGTTGAGTTGAAGTAGATAGGATTGTATGATACCATGATATTAATGCTAATTTTCGAGCAAAGGTCCGTGTGGCGTGTGCTGATCCTGATGACGCTGACCAAAAAGAAAATATGCAGCCAGCTTGACTCTTCCACGACATCATGTGCGAGTCTATCTCTTCAACTCCATCCAGCGCGCGCCGTTGTGGGCAAAAAGAGGGGGCAAAAACAAAAACATACAACAGCGGGGATTCGCTAGTGGTCACCCACCTAACTACTAATCCGCCGGTATCATGCTTGTATATGGCTGAGCGGACGGGAAGCCTAATTTTCATGATCCTATGGTCGTATGTGACAGGTCAGGTGATTTAACAACTTATAATGCCATTGTGTGTGGTCGTCCATGTCTGCGATCGTATACCATGTGTCGATAGTCAGACGCTTCCTAGCCATGGGTCACGATTTTGCGATAAGAATCAGCTAGCCAACATAGCATTTACAAGACCTGTTAGTCTTTAGTAATTGCGACGCACCCCATTCAAGAGTGATTTTGTGTAGAAGACGCAAGGGTATTGATGAGTTGTGGAGGTCACGAGTGCCCAGGTGGCTCATCGCGCTATATCATCGCAGTACTCATTATTGATGAAGTAGATGGTAAGTAAACCATGGCATCGCCCAGGACCTGCAGCAAACATGGAGGATGTGTGTTAGAAGTAGAGTGAGCTGTGAACTATCATGTCGGTGCCTGATTTCCCCTGATGCACGCTCAGGCCACCAACATCCCTCGCATCCGCGCTAGTGTGGGGGAAGCGAGATTCGGGTAAGAAGATGGGGCAGGATGTGGCAGGATGTAGTTAGTAGACAGTTTCAAGCTCTTGCATCGAAACATGCTGCCTGAGCGAAGGATTGTTGCTGGGCCTTTTGGCCCCATGAATCAAGGCACCTATAATGCAACCATGGCCGGCTGCTTTGGTCGTGCCTTCCACAGCGCCAACCGTACCACATTTTGTCGCATCTTGTCATCGAGTAGCAAAGTTGCCATAGTTCACCTCCAAGACTCAGACCGACTCCACAGATCTCATTACATTTTCCACCTCAGCACTCATGGCTCCAACGCTAAGAACCAGGGGCAATGCACAAGCCTCGAAGACTGTTGCTAGTACTGGAAGTAAGAGAAAACGAGGTGGAACTTCAGCTACACATGCGGATCCGGCACCAAAGAAAAGGAAAGGGAAGAAGGCACCGGACGCTGTTCCCGACAAACGAACAGCTTGCCAGAAAGCTGCTGATGATGAGGCAATCATCAAGGAGTTCCGCATCAAGTTCCATCCGATGTTCTTCCCACCGCATCCAGGCGATGTCCCTGAAGAACATCAGACGAAGTTCAAGCATATTCAGCAACTGGGCAGGATGAGTTACGAGTCGTATGCGATACAACCTCGACCTGACACCATCGATAAGCCATGGGAGCTCGAGAACAAGAAGCGGGCTAAGCAGATGATCTACTGGGCTGTTCGATCGAGAGATGATTACCAGAACGAGGATAGCTGGAGAATGGAACTTGAGCCCTACGTCTTTGAACGTTTCAAGATCGAAGTTGGATGGTATGATACATGCCGCGCTTGATCTACTTGATTTCTCGCATGCTGACCGGGAGTAGCCAGGGGTGTCGGAGACGTCTGTGGGAATCCTGCATCCAGGTGGATCCGAAACACAGTAATAGTCGAACGACGTCTCTCGTCGAGCGTCAGAAACGTCGTTCAGTATGCTCGTGTGAGCCATTGGCCAAACAGCATAGCATGTGAGTTGATCAGTTCACCAAGCAAACGAATCACAACTGATCATATGCTTAGTTTGAGTACAGGACTGACAGATATCTTCACCTGTCGTATTGGCGAGCGAAGCTTCATCCAGAATGATCCGGAGAATCGCCATCGGACTGAGATGCGGCCTGATCGAATCCACGGACTAAGGACTACAGAAGCCATGGAAGAGAGCTTGCAGCAATTACACGTTTCCCACTTGGGAGAGAACACTGCGCTCGGATATTTGTCTAAGAGACTGACTATAAGCTGCAATCCAGACAGTAGTGGACGACCCTGTATATATCCTTTCCTAGCGATCGAAGCCAAAAGCCACAAAGGCAATAGCAATTGGAAAGGCATCGAGACGCAAACGGCAATACCAATACGAAATCATCTGTACCTACAGCTTCAACTCCAAGAGGACCCAGACAACAAGATGAAGGTACCTGGAGGCCCGCTATCTTGGTTTCTTTCGTACAAGGGTGAAGAGTGGAAGGTATACGGGTGTTACGTCACAAAGTCCAGTCCAGACAGTCTGCCTTATTACGTAAGTTGACACATGACTTTTCCAATGGCTGTACTAACGTCTCGGTAGAAAGTAATCCTCCTGTGGCAGGGGAGTATCACCGGCCACGATGCAGCACTCCAATTGGTTCTCATTATGGACTATATCGTTGATTGGGCGCGTGATATCTACCCGCCTAATATCATAAGACAACTGAAGTCTGTAGTAGACAAAGGTCAGCAGTCATCCTACACAGTCACCGCAGACCCCGATATCCTCTCAAGGACTGGTTATGCAAACTCTCGGGTTGGCGACGGACCTTTCGCTGCCATCAGCAGAGTTGGAACGGCTGAGATGTTTGCGAAACCAGCCTTCGATGCAAAAAACTCCACCATTGTGCCTTCTTTTGAACCTCTCTTCAAGAGCACTGGAGACCATGTCGATATAAGGGTCTGGGAAAGCGCCAAGTACGAGTCACGAGTACGAGGACTGTATATCACCGGAACCGACGATGATGCTAAGAAAAACATCATGAAAGCGGGCTGGAAAAGATTGAGAACGGTTCATGCGAGCCGCTGTTGGTTCTTCTTATCGAGCGCCCAGGGAATCAAAATCATCGAACAGGCATGGACCGGGCTCGAAGTCACCAAAGACGTCAAGGATCTTCCACAGCAGAAAATCTTGCTTTCACTTTATGTGCGATACCGCAAGGACAGTGACGGTGCGCCTATTCGAGAACTGACGTATATTGCGCTCACTGAGTCAGTCGCCCAGGGCATGTGGATGATGGACGACATTTTAGCGCAGAAAGAGCTAGATGTTCACGCCGACGAACTTGAGCACAAGCTGCGTGAAGCCTGGGCTTCGAGTCCCGAGAGCTACTTTCGGCGTTACGCCAGCGACCAGACTAACGTGCTTTGTGCCACCGCATCTGAGCAAGAAAAACTGGATGAGCGTGTCGTCCTCAGCTTCCACAGCGACAGCGAAGTCGTGCCCTGGGCAAGAAGACTAGATGAATTCATCAAGCGCACTTGCGAGAACCCACGAGCGGTGCTTCACAAAACTTACGCACCATGTTTTCGATACACAAAGGCTATCCATTCGCTTACCGTGAAGCCCCATTGTCTCCCAGACCCTACCCAGGACTGTGTTTTCATAAACGCGGAAGCGATTTCCACTGGTATATGCGCCTACATCACGAATTCAGCATCTGAAGAAGTCGACGCTACATGGGTAATCCAACATCTTGCGCAGATGGTAGCGGTCTTTTGGGACAGCAGACGACAAGAGGAAGCTCGAGAAAACACCTTTTATGAAAAATTGCAACATAGAGAAGCAGCCTTCTATCCGGGACAACGAAATGCCGACAATGATATCCTACTCTGGATCGTGTCAGATCCTCAATGGGACTTGTACACTGCGATCAAGCCTACTTTGACAATGCCTGGCATGAACGAAGTCCATGAACGTCTGGCATGGTACCGCAAAGTGTTGCTCAGACACAAATGTGGATCAGGTACTTACAGAATGAATTCATACCGGCATCGCTACAGAAACGTTCAAGGGGATATTCGGAAAGCTTGCAAGAATTGCGACTTCAAGGAGTCGTGGCGATCTGACGCCCCTGAATATCATTACTGCGACGAAGACTTCATGCCAGAATAGCTTCCTTAGAGTAGTTTCAGACAGTCACATGTAAACTCATCTTCATCACCACATGTCGAACTTGTAAGCTCTAAGAGGTATTATCAATATAGTAGATAACCACCCACTCCCCATTTTAGACGCAACAGGCAACATGAAAGTAAAGTCCACAGTGTGAAGCTCAGATGAGAGATCAACCGTAAAGTCCCAATCCATCTAGCTGTATACAAGAAGCAACATAAACAAGGAGCGCATGTAGGAAACATGTCCACTCCGCTTGCGGAGGTTTGCTCAATACAAACGCATCTTAATCGCACGCTGCTAACCCAGCGCTGGGAAAGAGGGAATATGCAGCCTACATCCCACCACAAAAAGATAGATACATAGAACAAAGTGTCTCTTGGATACTACAGCTCATGGAGCCGAGATGCAAGACACAGGCAGGACCGACAAGAACTTGGTGGGAGAGTCATCACGATAGACGATGAGGTGACTGTAACGTTCGACATGATACATTGTAACTGTTCTCTTCAAATTCGTACTCCGCTAATGCTACATGTCCCGTCGCTAAGTATGACCAAAGCCCAAACAGTCTTGTCGAAATACAATCTATTACAACGTATAGTGTTGCCGCAGCGCCGTGAGCATGAAAAGTGGTATCGTGGAAAAAAGCAGAACAACAAAGAACCGTTATTGCGCCGTATGTAGATCCCATCCGTAGTTGTTCGTATGAAGCCTTTTGAACGCCTTGGAAACCAAGAATGGGAAGGAAAAGGAAGAGGAAAAGGAGGCAGATGGAGGGGAATGTGATGTGGAGATGGATGTGGCTGTGTGTTATTGCGGAAGCGACTGATGGCAGCCATGCGTATCCTGACCCGCATCCAGCTTCTCGCCAGTGCGCATGCTAGTCGGGACGGAAGCGTCCTTCTCAGCATTCGAAGCCACTTGTCGCGACTGTGTTTGCGATACCTGGCTTGATATCGCGCTTCCATCGGTGGAAGAGCGTTGCGACCCGCCTTCCTGAACGTAAGCAATAGGCCCCCAAATACGCCAGTGAAGCAGTATAATATGCGTAATGCGGTTGGCGAGGTCGGTCAGTTTAGCGGTCTCGGGATGTAAATGCGCAAAAGCAAACGTATCGGCGATGTTAGGTCGAGACAATGATGGGAGAGGCGGCACGGAAGGAGATATGGAGACGAGGGCGTTGAAAAGTTCGATGGGAGAGGAAGTGCTGTGGCGGTCGACGTTGGCGAGGATCTGGGGTAGGAGAGACGCTTCAAGGCGTGATGCGTGCCAGGAAGATCTACGCACGAACAGAGTGCGGAGGTGTTGGTTGGCTTCGGCCATGTGGTCGAAACTGCAAGAGGGTGTTTGACCGGCGAGATGCGAGGCCTGGCGGAGGATTTCTAGGGATAGGGCTTCCGAGTTGAGCATCCATTGTTGGGGACCGTGGCCGACGGCTTCGCCCATGATGGCGGAAAGCGCGGTGCGGAGTTGCTGTCCGATGGCTAGGGTCATAGAGCCTTGGTAGCCTAGTTGTCTGGCGAGTTGCGTGTACATCTCCATGCAGACCTCAAACATGACGAGATCGTCGATCTCAGCTTTGAGCGACACTAGACGATCGTGATCTAGGAAGAAGGTATCGGGGAAGTCGCTCCGTCCGTCTCGGCCAAATGTGATTGCTGTGACTGCGCGAGTGAAGACCTCTAGCTCGAAACATGGGCCAGCTCGGGGTCGTGGCGAGCACTGGGGGCCGAACTCATCAACGGCGTCTGTGAACCAATTCTGTGCTGTGTCGATGTTGACTCTTGCCCTGCCGTGGACAAGCCTGTCAAGGTGGTAGTGCTTCTCAAAATTGACCGTGTCCTCAATCAGAAGCGTCTTCAGATTCCGGATCTGGTGGTTCGCGACGTCCTACGTGGGTTAGCTTGAGCGCGTATCACTCCCACCAGGCGACTTACAAGTTTCATGGCCTCCAATATGCCGAACAGCTTCCTCAGACCCTCAACGATCTTTTCGAGGTTGCGGTCTGCCTCGCCCGATCTTGTGCAGGTGACCATCTCGTCGACTAGAATGTCGCGCATCGGCGCGCAATGCTCCTTGAGTAGTTGCGCCATCCACTCTGACAAGCGTCCCAAATCACACACTCCCCGCTCGATAGCTTGCATCAGCATGGGAACATCGAGATGCTCGTCCACTCTGGAATGGTCGCGATCGGGTACCAGGCTCTTGAGAACATCGCGGACGTTTTGGAACAAGATCGGTATCCGCCGTTGCGCATATGGTGTGAAAGCTTCGACTTGGATTGGTGATAGTGGTGGCGTGCCATGGAACATGCGGTTGTATAGTACCAGTTCGGCGATCAACGCTCCCCAGTACTTGTCTGCCACTCTCTCCTTCTCTTGTCCTTTGACACCGTCGACGTTCGGTCTGAAACTGAGGTCTCTGTCGAAGTTGACGTCATGCCGTAATTTGATGTTGGTGATGATGCTCTGAATGTCCAGTTCGCTCAGCGACTGCTTGGTGACTGGGGGTAGATCTAATGCTTCAAGGAAGTTCTCTGCAAGCTCCTCGCCAGACTGTTCCACTCCCGTCTCTCCGGGCATCATAACTCGTAGATATCCTGCGAGCTCTTCTGGGATAGTGGAATGGTAGAGTGATATCGTTCGTGCTGGACTTCCATCTCTTGATCTAACTTCGACAACTGCATGCCGTGGTCCTGAGGCGGTCTCTTCCATCTGTCCATCCAAGCACGTCGTAGAGCTATGCCATGACGTGGAAGCGCTTCTGTCGTCGACATCCATGGCCGACCGTGAGGCAAAGCCAGGTCCGAAAGAGGAAGCTGTGTTGACAGGCTTGGTCGGCTGGGAACGCATCTCCTTCCGCCGACGGATGCTCCCGCAGTTCTGCTGCATGGTGGGCCGGGTTCTCATAAGATGACGTAGGTAGGGTGTACGACGACGATTGAAAGCGGGAAGGTGTCGAGCGCGCGAGTGTGCGTAATGGCGACGATGAAGCCTGGGGAAGCGAAGGCTCAAGAAAAGCGCATGGGGTTGCTACAAGCGCCAACTACCACTCGTTAGCTTACAAACTATCCAAGACAGAGCGGTTTGTAAGACACAAGCCGGAAACGTGTTCATAGGCTGTTTGACGCAGCGATGGGTGGCCGCTGGAACGAACGAGATAGCTCCCGAGTCAAACAAGCACGAAGACGCGGGACCGTGCTTAGCAAGTCGTACCTTTTTGCATGTGCCCTCGTTGGATACCAGATCAATAGGATCTCTTGTATGCCAGTCGAGACTTATCTCATAGCAAGCAGGACAAAGTGGTCATTCGCGATGATGACAAAAACAGAAGAGTGACAATGCGAAGCGTGAAGAGACGGCTTCGTAGGAAAACCACTTTGCTGCAAAAGCAAAGTGCAACAGCGCGGAACGAGCAAAAAAACAGAGAGACAGACAGGAAGGGGTACTACTGGATGGAGTAGTAGAGCTGCGACAAGGCGTGCGAGTGCTGCAAGGTGACGCTGCGGAAATCAAACAACGTTTGTGTCGTTGTGGGTGGTTGTGCAATGTCGGAGGCTGAGGTTAGGTGCGAGCGGGTGCCCTTGCATTCTTGTTTAAAAGACGGGCACAGACCTGTGACTACGTCGTGGATTATGCTCTGACCATATCTTAAATGTGCAATCCAATACTTTGGGACGTGGGAGGCGATCGCCACAGAACGACCGACGGCGTTAGGGCGTTCCGTAAGTCACCTCGGGCGTGTCTCTGAGCGTGAAGCTGCAACGCGTGTCATCCCAGCGGCGACTGCACACCGCTAGTCAGCAGCGACAGCAATAACAGACCTCAGACGGTAAACGCGCAGCCGCAGTAGCGCTGTCTCGCTCGCCAGACACGGTAGCCGACGATGTCGTGAGGGAGCAGAGTGCAGCAGATGTGCAGGCCCAGCACGCCGAGACCGCATGCAGCCAGCCGTGATTGGCTGCAGCATCGGAGAGCGCATCGCGGCCGCCTCACTTATTGAAAGTAGGGCGAGCATTTGGCATCCGCGCTGCTATCCGGGGCATGAAAAGAAAGTCCGGTCCCAGTCCTGTGTCGCTGTCCTCGACGCGACTGACCCAGTCTGACCGGACGCTGTCTGCAGCATGCACCCATGGATTGAGATGGCGAGCAGACGCGTCGCACGTCGTGTCCAGCTTCTAGACATGTCGCAGTGGGTCGACGTCAGGCAGCTCATCGACGTCAGTTCGTGTTCCTGGCCCCTTCGATGCCATCATGAGTCGTCCACAAGTGCGATCGTCGGACGTCCTGGCGTGCGGGATCCAAGGGCGACTGAAACGCAACCGCTTCATCTAGCAGCGTTGCCGCTCCGACAAGCTGCCGACAGCCCAAGGACCGACTCGTTCAGAAGACCTGTCCAGTTCTTGTGTCGCAGATCGTGATGTGCAAAAGCAGAGCAGCCTCTCATGGTATGACAGATAAGCGACGGCTGGTGACGGGCGGACAGCGGAGGGGCTGCTAGTAAGGAGGGCCCTGGGTGTGGAGAGGGTTGGTCGTATATCACATCGCGGGTGTGAGGCGATCTATACCGCGTGCAGCATGTCTGGGTGGGACCAAGAGCATCTAGAAAAACGGGAGCATGGAGGGCCCCATTTATCTATAATATAGTAGGGCTGGAGACGCTGGTGTGGTTCCTGAGGCAGAACCGCGCCTGCTTCTGCGCTTGGGAAAGTCGCGATGTCACACGACGCAATCTCGTTGGATCGGACTAATTATCCCTCTCGCCCGGCGCACGCTGAGTGGGTGTCGCTTTGATTGTCGAAGGACTTGAACATGTTCGCAGACGTCCTCCGCCCGTCATGTGGTGTTTTGTTGATAATGCAGGTCCCGACGTAAGCGCAGGGAAGGATCGTTGGTGTAGTATTTAGGATGATCATTTCGCCATCGTCAGGCACCACTCTAAAGTGCCGAACAGCCATCATGCCTCACTTCGACTCTACATCCCGGTCCAGTCACGTCGACACGTAAACCTCCAGAACCCCGCGTTGCGATTATGATGGAAAAAGTTTCTCAACAGCGACAACGTGTCGTCTTGCGTCAGCTTCACTACGTACGGCACAGTGATTAGAAACGACGAAAGCAAGCCACTTCATGGGATATCCACGGAGATGTTGCTCGTTATGAGCTTCTTCTTGCCCATCTTTGAAGAGTTTTCTGTTTGGCGAAACATCTCAAAACTAGGTGTATTGCGATCATCCCGCCCACCAAATGTACAACTCCAATAACCAGCACGAGATACGATCACGCCATAGTCTGAGTCAAAGGTATCCCTCTTCTTTCGTCCGTCTCTGAAGAGCTTCCCGCTTCAATAACCAGCGCGAAACAAGACCATGCCCCGGATCCAAGTCAACGGCACACACTCTTTCTTCGTCATCACCCCAAAAGTTTGCCACTTCAGTGATCAGTGCGAGACAAGACTGAGCTCGGTATGAGTCAACGGCGCGTACCCATACTATCCTGTGTTCGAGATTCTTTCCACAACTAGCATTTACCGTCCAACCCACCCCCAGGCTTTTCCCGTCCTCTACCTCTATCAATCTACCCGCCCTATCGCATCTCCCTCGTCCACTTCGCCTCATCTTTTCTCACTCCTCCCGCCTGACAAATCCCGCCTCCCACCCTCCTTCCTAACTTATCAACCCACCCCTCACTCCCCCCACCGAACAAACCTCCCCCTCCCACCATCTCCATAACCATCTTTCCCCCTCGCATACCCTTCCCTCCTTCCCCTAACCCTCTCCTCTCTAACCCCTTCCCTCCCACACTGCCTACACCAGCTACACTCGCCCTCGACCCACATCGTCTGACTAAAGCGCGCGCCAACCGGACACGCTCTAATCGGATTGAGTGAGCGAGCGTAGGGACAGAGGCGGATGTACGGAGATGAGGGGACTGGGGGGCAGGAGCAGGCTGGGGAGGTCGTGAAAGTTATGATACACATTTGCTATGCCAATTCGGTGGTGTTGTTGGGATAGTGGTGCGTGAGTGATGTGCAGTGGATGTTAGTATAGTGGCGTGTTGGTTCGTATGCACATCCACCACTGTTTCTCCAAGACTCCGTGTCGACCGTGCGTGTGATGACTCCTCCTTCTCCGTCTGTCCGTCTGTTCGTCTTAGATGAGATAGGATTCGATCTTGGGTTAGCGTATACCTCCTCGATTAAAGTCAGGTACATCTCTTCTCCTTGTATACACGAACATAGCAAGCCATGTCCTTTCAACACAGCCCCACGCAATACTTGCCGTTCAGTCAAAGATAGGCGAGAACAAGAGGAAACGAACCAGTACAAGGCAAAGCAGGCGATTGTCTGGTGTAACAAGCACAACACACGTTTGGTCAATGTCAACCAGTCATCGTTTGCCCAACAGCAAAGCAGGCACTGCACATCGTCTTGCAGGATACCATCCGCGCAGTCGCTGAGCACCAAGCCATCTCGTTGAGCCTTTTGCCAGTTGTTAGACTCTGTTGGCAAAGGTGGGCGCAGTCGCAGTTCCTGTCCCTCAGCCATTTTCATGTAAACACACCAACACCGAGCCGTATAGTGGTCTCTAATTAGCATAACGAAAGTCAAAAGATGAAGGAAATTCAGTGGTACGAAGCAAAACAAAGCAGGGCGCAGTCAACAGCTCATAACAAGAGAAATAAGTATTATGATAAAGTACGTTTTTTGGTCGTGTAATAGGCCATCTCCACCTAGCCACGTATACACATTCCGTCGCACAAGCGACCTAATCCACGGTATGTGCTTGCTTGCGTGCTTGCTAGGTCGAAAGGATAAACGGCGGACAACATCGATCCGACTACCGTTTGTTGCCATCGAAAGCCCTAATATAGGTAGTGATTTACAGCATCCTAAGCCGCAGTATCCATAGCAGGTTCGCTCTTCGTCTGTTTACCCGTACGACCACGGGTCACTTCCTGCTGCTCTCCTTTATGTTGAGGACTCCTAGCTTCCTGTTCGTCGGAGCTGTCGTCGATGGGGGATTGGGGCCGGCTGTCGTTTAGGTTGCGGCGACTGCGTGCCATCTAAACATCTCGTTAGTGAACCATCCTGTAAAACATATCTCCTCGCATTTTTCGTGTTGTGAAGTGGAAGATGGAAAACGTACCCAAGACCTCACACCACCAATCAACCCCAAATTATAACCCGCCGCAAACTCTGAACTCTCCCTCGTATTATTCGCCCTTGGAATATCGAGGTGACTCAGTCGCGAAATCGCAGAAGGAGAACGAGCAACGTTGGCTGCTTCCATAGTTTCTGCCTGCGACTGCTCGCGCGTGGGTGTGCGGGCGGGGCTGGCAGGCCGGCTCGATTGCCAGAATTGGCGGAAGTCTTTGCTGAGTTCCTGGCCGGTTGTTGTCCAGTTTGCTTTGATGCTGTCGCGGAGCTCGGCCATGGTGCGCTTGACGTCGAGCTCGTTCTTTTTGAGCCAGGACACGTTGAGTTCTTTGCGCGAGGTGCCGCGTTTGAGTTGGCGGTCGATGTATTGGTCGTAGTCGCGGACGATTCTGGGTGTGTTAGTACAGGCAGGAAGAATTGGATTGGCAGACCTACTTTGTGATGATACCCGTTGTGCTGAGACCCTCAGTTCTTTGGGTGACGAGGAACATGCCTCGCTCCTTGATCGGGCCGTAGATGTCGTCACCCTCGTCTGCACCGTAGGGAAGGTCGTCGTGGGCAACGTAGTCAATGTTGTGCTTCAACAAGAACTCAGCGGTCACAATCCACGGGCAGTCCTCAATAACCTCGTCGACCCATCTGCAATGGCGCACACTCTCAGCACGCTCTCTCGCCGATAGGACGGTAAGACCCTTGCGCTTATGTGTCTCCTTGTTACCCGTGACGCCAACTATAAGCTGGACGTTGGGGAAGGCTGTCTTGGCCTGCTGGAGGGCGCGCATGTGGCCAATGTGGAACAGGTCAAAAACACCGTCTGCATATATCCTGACCGGGCGTCCCTCTGGCGGGGGATTCGTCTTGTAGCCGACTGGGTCGACGAGACCAGCTTTGGGTGGAGGCTCCATGCGCATGCTGCCAGCCTCACCACCCTCGCCGTGGTCGTCGCCGGCGAGCGATGACGTGCGCCGGCTCTTCTTGCTCGCGCGCTCATCCTCGTCGGTATCTTCGTCGCCGTGGGCGCTCTTAACGCGGACCCGCTTGGTAGTGGTGCCATTAGTATCGGCCTGGCGCTCCTTCTTGGACGCGACGGCCTGGAGAACAGGGTCCGAGGCACCCTCGTCCGAGGCGTCGCGCGATGAGGGCTGCACAGCGTCCATGACGTCTTTCTTGACCGACGATAGAGTGATGGACCGCTTTCGTTTTGGCGGCATAGGCGTGGGGTGGAGGATGGTTCAGGCGGTGAACAGGCAGAGGAAAGATAGGGCAATTACGGACAATTACACTGCACGTGCAAACTCAAAAACTATGTTGAGAAGGAGGAGTGGTCTGTAGGTGGGAGAGTAGGTGTCGGGTGCGCAATGCCCAGATATGGGGAAAACGCGGGTGATAACGGTGTCGGAGGGATTATGCGCAAGCGCCAATTAGATGGTTGAGGAAGTGACGACCGACTTGCACAGCATCGCAGACGGACACAACAGAGACGGTGAGACAGTAAAGAACTCGGTGACGGCGTGTCTAGTATAATGTTGGACACGCGTAGATTGCGTCTAGCTGCCGTCCGTAAATTCTCGCGCTTCCTTGAATCCTGATCTGATCGGCACCTTGGCATGACGCCAGTCCGCCCAACGCTCCCTGCGCCACACGCTCTCAACGCGAGCGGACTGGCTCACGGCTTCAACACGGCCCACGTGTGGCATTTCCCATCCTGATTCCTCGCATTCGCATCATTCGCATGTGACAGGGGGACCTGCCAACTTCTGGACCCTGGTCTTCTAAATTTGAGAACGTGTCATGACAAAGGGACTGTATGTCTTCTTTTGTTCGTGCTCGTCCCGTGGTGATCCAATTGCAATCACTTCGGATTGTACTTTGGGTAAGGATATTGGTGTTCAAAGTCTGAGCATTGAAGCCCATAGTGCTATAATCTAAACGACTGCTCCAGACTCAGCATATGGGAAGCCAGCATGTGTATCGTACGGTGTTTGCCATAGTGCACTCAAGCGCTCGACGCATCCACCTCATCCAACACCCAAACCCTCACCTCCCCATCATCCCCCGTAGTCAATACTACCTCCTCATCCTCCGTCCTCTTCCCCTTATCAGCCCTCTTCGCCCAGCAAACATGATTAATCTCAAAAACATCGTGCCCTGAGAAGAGTTCCGCAACAACCACCCACTCAGTTGTACTCTGCGCTTGTGCGCCATCAACGTCCATCTCATCCCCAGAAGCCTGTCCTCTCCACCTCTCCTTATAAACGATGACTTTACCATCGCTGCCGGCGCTGACTATCATGCCCGTCTTCCGACTCCAAGAAACCGAGTATATCGCGCGTTCGTGAACCTGCGGTAGGATCGCGTCTTTATACCACTCCTCGTCGATAGCCGCCGAGCGAATGATACTAGGCACACCCGTCCTGCTACTCTCATTCTCGTCTCTCTCTTTTGCCTTTCGGCGCCATGTCCGCACCGTGCAGTCGTCTGAACAAGTCGCTAGTCTAGGTCCCGATCGTTCCAGCTCTTCAATGTGTTGTGTCTGCTGTTGTGAAGCGTCCGATATCCGTGCCCGCCAATCCCTCTTACTCATCCCACTCCCCTCAAACTCCGCCCACCAAACCGTCTTCCCATGCCCGTCAATCATAGCCACCTGAACCCAATCATCCGCATCTTCCTTGTACAACCGAACCGTATCATCATAACTCGTGCTGACCAACAAATCTTCCTCGGGGTGCCACGCCACGCTCTTAACATCGCCATCGTGTTCCTGCAACACGGCCACGGTTTCAAAGTTATCGTCCTCGAGTTCCTCCCATATCCACACGCTCTTGTCGCGGGAGCAGGTCGCTAGGTACTGGCCTGAGGGACTCCAGGCTAGGCATTTTATCTCGGATTCGTGGCCGTCGAGGATGCAGGAGAATTGGTAGTCGTCTGTGTCGTCTTGTTCGTCATCATCGTCCTCCACAGCACCAACCCTCCTACCCGTAAAGTCCTCCTCAACCCCCCCTCCCCCAGCACCCTCCTCCCTCCTCCATATCCCCGCGCTAGAATCAAAGCTTCCAGTCGCAAGAACACTCTGGCCCCGTGTGTTGGGTTTCCATGACACGGTCCGTACGCTGCGCTTGTGGCCTCCGGTTATAGAATGCAGGAGCGTGAAGGAGGTTAGGCTGTAGACGCGGACACTGCGGTCGGAACACGCGGTTGCGACAATGGGGAGGGAGGGGTGGGGCGCGGATTGCCAGGTTCGCGAGTTGGATGGTGGTGTGAGGGTTGCGAGGGGGGTGAGTTTGTGGGTTGGTGAGGTGGTGGGCGAAGACATGATGGAGGGGCCGCGAGGGCGGAGAGCGTCGTGCGGAAGGCGATTGCGGCGGTCGATTCGAGGGTGTAATGAGAGCGGGAATGAATTTGCACAGGGAGAGGGTTTCCGCACTCGCTAAATTGTCGCAGTGGCTTGCAGCCGGAATGGACTCAATGTTTTTGGGCAGCTCGCGCGTGGGGCATAGAAAGTTCAGATGAGCGTCATTCGCCAAGCCTCCCACCACTGCGGGTCGGCTGCGTTATCGGACCCCTCTGGCCTTCACATGTGCTTTATCTCATCCTAGTTCAGGTACATCTTCTCTATTCTTCACATACATAATATACAGATTACAAGCTTTATACTTTTCGCTCGAAGCCTTGAAGCAGCTCCCAGCTCACAAACCCCAGCAAACGCCTATCCCATGAAATGTGGATTGCCCTCCTCGTTGTGTCATTACATATCATTACGAAGGGTATTCCAATGCTCCAACAACCTCAACGCCGTGCAGTGCTAGGAAAAATAAACGATGGACAAGAATGGTTTCGCCGGGCAACGGAATCTACTTCCGGATACCGTGGTAGCCTGGCGGGCGAATCGCGTGTGGGTCACGGAACGCAGTCGTAATGGACATGAGCCGGTCTGCCAGCGTCTGTTGCTCCGTCTCTGCCATACCAACATTGGCTCGGACACCTAGGTCGTGGAGCTCTACATTCGCACCGCCCTTGCTCTCATCCACATGGATGTTCTGTGTCGAAGTGACCATGATGCCTCCCCATGGGTGTGACGCAGGCTCGGCTTGAGAATGCGTGGTGCAGTTGACCAGACCCTTCTCCGAGCATGTGTCCGTGTGCTGCCAGCTCAATTCTGTCGAGTTCGATCTCTTCGAACGTAGACCGCGGGTCCATTTGCCGCCGCGGCTGCTGGGCGGCATCTTCGTGATAGAGGGTACGCGCCGGAGGCTGCTAAACTCCTTGTGGTTCTTTTGCGCCAATATCGCATGGTCGGCGCATCCTGGCTGCGACCTCAAGTAGGTCTGGAAAAAGGAAAGGGGAATCGTCTTGAGCGTCAGGCTTTGTAGGGACTGCACGTAAATCTCCTTGATGCCGCAGAAAGCGAAGAGCGTGGCCTGACTGGACTCGGTCTGCCCATGTATCATGTCGATTTGCTGCGATGAGAATACTGAACGGTGAAGAGTTTCTTCGGGACAATCTCGTAGAAGTTCCATAATCCTGTTGCGGAATTTGTCGAGGAAGAGATCATCCTCCGAGTCAGTCGCGGTCCGCTTGTTGATGCGCACCAGACAGTCGTCCAGAGTGCAACCGTTGAAGGTCGTGAGGATGTTCAGCTGCCGACTGTCCAACTCGTCGCTGCTCAGCTTCACCATCGGTATGCGGCCAGGTGTAGCTCGCGGCACGATGACGTCTAGGCCTCTCATTCCGGGCTTGGGCTGTACGAGGAAGGATCCGATGTAGGTGCCTCTCTTGGGAAGGGATAGCTGTCTCTCGCTGAAAGCCTGTAGACGCCCAACGAGGTTCTCGAGATCATCACGCGGTATCTGCAGGCTGCGAGCCAGATGATCGCTGACCTGCTCGATACTTGCGAATCCGTATCCAAGGTTGTGTAGTCGATGCGCCTCGGCGGTGTCGACCTTCTTTGTCAGCACAAGCATCTGACCTCTTCCGAATAGAATGGGGTTGACCGCTCCAGCTTCCAGGTCCTTTGTGGCTACATCTGCAGCCACGATGGTCTTATTGCCATAGTTGCCTGTCCAAATTGCGCGGTTCATCACCGTTCCCGTTGTCAAGACTTCCTCATACAAATTTCCAAGGTTCTGCAAGCTCGTGTCCAGTGTCTGCGCAATCTCGTGAGCTGTGACGCAGAACAGCTCCCGGAATGTAGCCGAGTAGCTTATGTCATCGTCGGCCTCCAGAGACGATCGGCTGTTGCTTCCGTGAGTAGGCGCTTGGAGGTATCCGGTCGCTTGTAGATGCTCTCGCATCGTCGGGATGAGGTCAGAAATCCCGGTCCAGTTACGCGACACCCTAAAGATCCACTGGAATACGGGATGTGATGTGTTGAATTCGTCGTCAAATGTTCTTTGGTGGAACTGGTGGGTGATGGTCTGACATGGCATCAGTCCGCTTTGACTGACAAGAAGCCTTCCTTCTGGGTCGAATGTGGCAATGGCAAGAACAACTTGTTGTGCTCGGTTCTTCTCCAATCGACGTTGGCGCTGCTTGATGAAGCCAAGAAGGAAGCATACAGCACACGCACTCAGACACTGAACTCGATTAGCAATGCGCGAGGCTCGTAGAATGTGTGACTTACAAGGCAAAGAGAGATGATAAGGTTCGTGTTTCTTTCTTGACCAGGTCCGTCGTGGTAGCCGCGGATCTCATACCAGGTACCAGCTGCGGCAGTCCAGTGCATCCCGCAGACGGCCAAAGCGAGTACGACCGCCACAATGATCCGTCGCCAGACATTGTTCATCCAATGCTTGTTCCAGTGGAAGAAGAGACTGAACGAGATGAGACAAGCGCCCACAGCGATAGATGCGGCTCCAACGACGTGTGGCCAGCTTAGGATGATCCGGTAGTTGGTAGTGCCATTGTTTCCCAGGTAATGCATTTCTGTGACCGCCGCTCCACCACAAACGCCGCATACGCCCAGTGATGCGAACCGAACGAGAGATCCTTTGCTTCCTTTGTAAAACTTATCCGCAGCCGATAATCCCAAGAACATGACGACCACCGGTAGGACAGCCGATACGGCGGTATAAGTCGAACTGTAGTAGAGTTGAATCTCTTCTTCCCCATTACCGAGCACAATCGCTCTGTTACCGACGAAATGCATACACCAGATAGCCACCAGTCCGAACGAAACTGCGCAGCCTCCTACTTGTACCCTAAAGTGGGGTTAGTGATTGTCGTACAACAATGTAAGCTCAGAACATACCACGACCGCCATCCTGCTCCTGAAACTCTCCGATGTAGCAGCTCTACAGTTGTGAAGGCACCGATTAGGCTGACAATGTACGAGCCCACGATGAGCGCAGGAAGAAACGATATCTCGGGCCTGCTCCCCAGCGGGTATTTGGCCTCGATCTCTGGGTTCAACATGACGAAGCAGTTGTTGAACAGGTGTGTTTAGGTGTGTAGTAATCTCGTAAGGCTGATGAATGCGCCTTACATGCACTTCCTCAGTTGTGAAACCTGCACTCTGTCAGTTAGTCATGTTCGTTGCGTTGGGTGAACGAGAGATATTATTCATTACCTACTTTACAGAAGAGAAGTGAAGTGAGATGGAGTCAGCCGAGCGGAACCGCACCGGTATAATCGCCCTGGAGGTGTTCTTTGGAAGAAGCTCGTCACAGTCAAGTGGTTTGCATCATACACCGCAGATCGACGCAGGAAGACGATTTCGGTGTTTCGGTTTGATGGTTCAACTCAGGAGGTAACCAGCGTCTTGTAAGCTAATGTCTCTCCGGGGTCCAATCGCGCGTATGCGGAGATGTGTGTATATGTAGGTTCTCCTCGCAGCAGTCAAAACTTAGAAGTCGATCGGAGGGGTAGCCGGTGAGAAGAGGGTTCTGTGGGTGTGTACCTGAACTCGCACCGGTGGGTAGTGTCCCCTTCTAGACGGCCACTGAAGTGGAGGACATAGTTTGCGCGTGATTAGTCTGGTGCGGGAGACATGACAGCGACACCCCGTCGCACGAAGTCTCCACACTCGTCTGCTGGGACCGATCACATAGCTCCGCTCTCTCCATGCCGAGATGCCCATGGCGCCAATCCAGTTTTCCACGCCACAGCTCTGGCCCCTTCATGCAAACGCCCTTGATACGGCTTGGGCCTATTAGCCTAGATGTAGTGGCTTAGCGGCGTGCTCTCGAGTAATTTCAAAGTTCACGAATCCCGTTCGGCCTGACCCTCTAGCCACTTGCGCAGCAAACGCGGCCCGCTAGTTATGCATGCGTCCCCAACAGGCCGTGGTCTCCTGCTGTGTTACAAACGTAGCTGATGGATCTCCGAAGGGCCGTGCTTTTCCCTACGAATACGCACGAGCGTAGAACTCGTGAGCGGGATGTGGATTGCACATAACCAACACCGACCGCGGAGACTGCACGGCCAGAGGCGAATGTCACGCGGCCTAGAATGGGGCCAGATGTCATCGTGAAGCTAGCGTGAATACTCAATTTTGGTACCTTGGCCGACTGATCCCGGGTAAGAAGACATAATGGTACGGGTGGTAATTTGAGTTCAGAACGCCAACACGGCAACGAGGGCGTCTCCGCGGGGAGGAAGCTGACGCTGGTGAAGCGTGATTTTGCCAGGATTGGCATGTCGCACTCGCTCTGGGCATGTTCCGCGCGCCCAGAGCATCGGTACAACAATCGCTAATTGACTGAAACATTTTCGGTTACCACCATGATGTAAAGTGATAGATCTTGGTCAGGCTCTCTCTCGACTTCAAGCGCCCTGCCGTTCCAATCATTCAAAGTGAACGATAATCGCCATGCTCCGAGGCGTTCATTGCAAGGACTGTCGTTGCCCGTGTATATCAGATGGCGTTATACCATTAGCATGACAATAGCCATCCACGTTCAAACTTAGGAGGCGGGTGCGATTGCAAAGCTTTCAAGCCGATAACCCGTTCTGACCGTAGACTCGGAAGTGCCGACTTGACATGTGTCGCCATGCTCGCAACCCTGCCGTTGGTACGACGGCACATAACAGTAGTGAGGTGGAGCCTGAGCCTGCTTTCCTCCGATCGCAGATTCTCAGGACGTGGCACGGTCTGTGCCCGATAGCCGAAATTGATCACCTCCCGTGCAGCTGGTGGGGCGCGAATCACGTTCAGAGATGACCTTGACGGTGGAGAGCGTACAACATCTGCAGAACATTGTCATGCCGTCTCGCAGTTCTCGCAAGCATGTCACACAAAGAGCCGCTGAGCTCCGACACACGGCAGCCGCTTTCGCTTTGCCGGCTGCTGATAATCTGGTAACTTTCGTGAGTGTTTGGATTCCGAAACGAAACTTGGTTCGCTTAGCGCAACCTCGGCAGCGGAGGACGCGATTTATTGGACATCGGCGACGTTGAGTGACAGGAAAGTTTGAACGGACATGTTTACGCCACGCGGTTCACTCCGGAAATACGAACGAGCCAGTTTGCCTGGTACAGAAGGGGTTCTGGTAGTGGAAGTTTCCTCGAGTCCGCCCCACGGCAGTTGGATCGGAGGTGAGTAATCGTTCTGTGGAGGCGCGCGCCGTCAGGGACCAACTTGAGATGTACAGGTCCTTTTCCTGTTGAGTGCAGGACCTGCAGGATGATGTACAGCTTTAGCCACCAGCCAAGCCACCCTAGAGTGGAGGAGGACTCCGAAGTAAGGATGACCGTCTATGTACACGATTCATGCTTCGTATTGCGAGGTAGTGGCGGAGTCTTCGAAGGGCATTCCTGGAAGCCGTGATCTACCTACACGTTCATCATCCGATTGCTGACTCGATAGATGGTCGACGATGGGCCCATGGGGTAATATCCCCCAAAGTCAACCCATATACCATGGTACAGCCGGTGGCAGAATGCAGCAACACAGGGTAGTTCCGTGACGCTCAATAAGAGAGCAGACTATGGAAAGCCACATTCAGAGTAATCGGATATAAATATCTTCGGAGCCATAACAACGACCACGTGATGCTGCCCTTCCTCAATGAAACGGCTGTTAGCTCGCTTCGGCCGAAAATCTATACGGCCGAAACTCTATCCTGTAACCACGATGCTAGTAAGCTGGAGTGCGACCCCTTTGTAGCTAACGGACTAATAGTAGGTCCTCGGTATGATCAACGTCACCTTCATATGACACTTGATGTGAGAATTCGTGCTCGGAGTTCGTCTGCTGTTGCGACGGATGTTGTAAAGATTGCGATGTACCCAGGCAGCATCGTGATGTCGAGGCAATTGACTGCTGAATAGACATGTCAGGTGTAAAGAGTGGATATATAGCTGGGCTCCCGGGTGTGAGGAGCTGTCCATTTGCTGAACACGCTGCGGCCGATATTTCGTTTAGGGAATGTGAGTCGAGAAGTAGGTCGTCATCATCTTCGCAAACATCGAAGAGCAAGCCTGGACTGCGGAGAAATCGCCCTTGTTGTTGGGTCGCTTGGGGATCCGCGGTCAATGCCGACTCATCCTCGAAACACTCGTGCAGGCCGTCAGCTTGGAATGATGTAGTGGGCTGAGTATGATGCCAGGCTTCTTCCTCTTCCGCCAGCATGTCGTCAGAGGCTGGCTGGGCTTGTTGAACAATAGACGCAACACATGCTTTGATCGGGGCCATGGGCTTATCGAGCAGACTTCTCTGGGACTGTACCCACAATTGACTTGCGATGACTGATTCAGCTTCAGCAGCCTCATAGTCTGCGTCAGGTATCCTGCAATATAAGCGATCTGGCGAGACTTGGTGTGCAATCGTCTTCAAATCCTTAATCTTGTCTCTTAGCGAGATGGATGTTGCCTTTACGCCGCCGATTCGACTGATGGAACAAGCGATGGTAGGTAGGAGATGAGCTCTTTGGGACAATGCCTGCTTATGAGTAAGTAATGCATATAGAACCAGAAACACCGTCTTCTCACGACTAGGTATCCGGTCTTCCATATCGCAGGAGCGACATCGGCCAGCCCTAGGCGGAAAGTGCTCGCTTTGGCCTTCAGTCCAATCGGCGCCTTGCTGAGAGTACCAGAAATCGACAAACGCAGCGCTCCGTCGACCATGCTGGCGATGTCTATCTGTTCTGGCAATTTAGGATTCGTGACCGACTTTCGCCGCATCGAAGAATCGTTTGTCGGCCGATTGCGCCTTCGTTTCGATGTTTCGGCCTGTTCAAGTGACATTGATTGAGTCGATACCACACCCTCTGTAGCTGGTCGTTTCCGTTTCCCGTACCCAGGAGCCCTCGGAGCGGTTGACGTGCGATTCATATATCCAGCAGGCGATAAGTCCTCGCGTTCAATCTCGTACAGAATTGCATCAGAACCCTCTTCTTCTGGGGTCGCTACCTTTCGCTCACCCAGGGACGAGGTTGTTCGTTTCACTGCGGGCCTCCTACGCGGGCTTGCCTCGAGAATTTCCATGCGCATGCGAACGGACTGAAGTGAGACTGACGCGATTCCCTTGGGCGGTTGAATATCTACTGCTGGAACATCCGAAAAGATTCGGTGACGCTTCTTTCCTTCTTGCAGACCCGTGATGGGGGCGTGATTGATGTCCAGAAGTATTGCCCCGGGATCCACTGCTACATCTGATCGATGTGTAGGCTTCAACATTAGCTGATTCCAGACCTGTGATCTGTCAATATCATCCTAACGTAAGATCGATTGTGCTTACTTTCGCATGAAAAACAGCATTTGTGAGATCTCGCAATTGCGCCTGAGGCAAGGGCTCATCGCGTAGACTGAGCTTGATTTCGATGTGCATGTCATGTCCACGGCTCACCCATACAGTTCCAGACTTCAACGCGTCCAGGTATTCGGCTGATGTTAGCTTCTGGAGGTAAGTTGCATCCTGTTTTGGTGAGACGGTGATGAATGTTGTGAGCCAAAGCTCGTGATCAGTGGCAGGTGAGCTGAGTACTGCGCGCCCGAGCTCTATCGATCTCGACATCATTGCCCAACCAGACTCCGATCTGTGGAAGAGGCGAAGTCGGCGACATGGGCATTGCAGAGATTGATGGGGGGCAGGGTCTGAAATTGTGGTGTATCTCTGTCGGTGCCAAGACATGGGTTCGGCAAGCAGCCTGAGGGTGGTTGCTTCCTCGCGGGCTCGGGAGTCCTGCAACCTCCACCCCTCGCGTCGCAACATGAGTAGCCTCACCAGCAACGCGATTCGGCGCGTCGGTCACGCCGCATTGTCACGGAATGCCGTCTATCGATCGTCAGTGGCAGTGGCGAGCTCAATTGGTCGCAGAAATTTACATTGCAGCCCCTCGCGACGCACCGATGGCGTCTTCCGTGAGCTCACCTCAATGCGCGTGCGCACCCCATGGATAGAGGCTTTGCGCCAACAGCAGTCGGAGGGGAAGCAGCCTACGGAGCCTTCAGGAAAGCCCGAAATACCCAAAGATCGCAAATTGACAGGGAAACGTATGAACGAGAGCTACCACTCCGTTGTACTCCCACTAGCCCAAGACCCATGGATACTCGACACATATCTCAACGCCTCAGGGCATATACGGCTCGGAACCATCTTCATGGATCTTGATGCTCTTTCTGGCATCATTGCGTAAGCGTTCAACGGCTACGCGTAGTAGCTGACCTGGTCTGAATGCTGCAACAGGTACAAGCACACTGGAGACGACGTGACTACTGTCACGGCTAGCTGCGACCGCATTACCATTCACTCCCCACTAACGGAGATATGCGATCTAGAACTTTCTGGCCGCGTGACCTATGCGACTGGCAGAAGCAGTTTGGAGATCACGATGCAGGTTGCCAAAGCGCCTAAGAAGGGCGAGCAGACCAAAGACGAGGATGTCTTGATCAACTGCACCTTCACCATGGTCTCTCTAGATCCAGGCACCAAGAAGTAAAGCTGAATCTGGTGGGTAATCATTCTGGCAGCTAACTCGTCTGTAGGCCCGTAAACGTCAATCCTCTGATCGTCGAGACGCCCGAAGAGAAGCGCCTCTATGCTCTGGGCGAGCGAAATTCGAAAGTACGAAAGGAGCGCCGAGATACCTCTTTACTCAAGCATACGCCGAACGACCTCGAGAGCGATCTCATACATGCCTTCTGGCAGAAGCAATTGCAGTATCATGGTCAGTTCCGTTTCTTCCAATGCTCTTTGCCTAGCTAATGATAACAGACCCCTACGACGACCTGCGCAAACCCGACAACGTTGTCTTCATGGATGCTACGCGTCTCCAGACCGCCACAATCATGCAGCCGCAATACCGCAATCGACATCATTTCATGATCTTCGGTGGCTTCCTTCTCAAGCAGACCTTCGAGCTCGCTTTCACTGCCGCCGCAGCCTTCGCACACGCCCGCCCGACCTTCGTCTCCCTCGATCCTTCTACGTTCCAGAACCCAGTGCCGGTCGGCAGCATTTTATACCTCACGGCTACAGTCGTATACACAGACCCGCCGCTCATCGGCGCGCCGGACGAAAAGGTCGATGATCAAGCCGAATATACACGAGTGCAGATTAGGATTGACTCCAAGGTGCGAGACGTGGAGCATGGCCACAGCAAGCCGACAGGGCAGTTCAACTACACGTTCACCGTGCCGAAGAACATTAGGGTCATGCCAAGGACTTATCAGGAGTTCATGATGTATATCGATGCAAGGAGGCGAGCTGAGCAGGTCAAGCGGACACTGGAGGAAGGATACGGTGTCAGCCCGAAGACAGCAGAGGACAGTCTGACGGAGTGAAGCCTCGATGGCACATGTCATGGGCATGAACAAGGCAGGAGTCCGGCTCATCACTGTACAGCATGCGATCAATAGTATATCCTGCATTCCAGCTTATACAAACAGTATCCAATAAATTGATCAAGGTCCAAATACCCCCGAACGCCTTCCCAAAGAACCCCATCTTGAACAAAGCTTAGAAGCCTGCCGATGCGCCCGAGTGCGCCTATAACTCAAGCCAGATAATGAAGAGGTATAGCGCGTCCAACACAGGCCCAAAACGTGAAAAGGAAAGTACCGCGTGGGATTGATGCTGCATGCAGCATGCACGAGGCTGACTGTACAGGACGTGCATCAACAAGGCGGTGAGCCTCATTCGACCAATAGCTCCAGACGCGACGCGTGCCATCACAAGGCTAGGCACAGTCAAGTCCACGACGTGTAAATCGTCCTGCAGGGCAAGTCAACTCCATGCCCCCGTCCATGCATTGCAACCCGCCTCCACGCACTTCTTCCCAGACGAGACGCAGGGCAAGCATGTGGAGTGAAGTCGAAAGTGAAGCGTACCGTCTCGATCCTTGCAAGCCGACCGAGCCGGCTATCTACAGTTCATCCAACTCAAACTCCAACGCCACATCTTCCGAACAATCAGTGCAGTAGTAATTCGAGAAGCCGCCGCATTCGATTTTCATCTTGGAACACATGTCGATGGACCAGGCGTCGTAGGAGTAGCCGGAGAGGAGGCGCGAGGAGCAGACTTCGATGCTGTTGGCCCTGCGGAGGTGTTAGATTCACATTTAAAGGTGGTGATGGAGGGATTGGGTTTGGGGGTTGTGGAAAGGGAACGAAAGAGACGGGCGTACCAGATGTAGTAGTCGTGGTTACAGTAATACCACGAGTATGTGTACGAGCACATCTTGAATTTGATACCAGATTGTTCGTAGGGATTGGTAGGGTAGGTATTCGCGACGCGCTTGGTGAGAACCCGATACTGGTCTGAATAGTAGTGTTATGTGTAACGATGCTATATACACGTTAGCTGACCGCCTCTTCCCCTGTAGATCCATCTCCCCTTGGGATATGTATGCGTTCTGTGGGTTGGTCTTCCGCGGAACGTGGATGTGGAGTGTGCAGTTCTAGACCCTGCAGTGTAGTCGTGGCTCCAACGGATGTGTATGCGGGATCTTCTTGTTTAGTTGGTACGTACTTCTAGATAGACTGCTTCCAAAAAGGAAATATTGATGCTGAGTCGAGGAATTATGCTCGTGCTTTCTTGATGTCCTGTACTTCAAGTCGAATCTAACAACGATACAGATAGCTTCAGTTCAAACATTCAAACCTCGGGATATCACTGCATCTTTATGCTCATCACTTCTCTGACTCTTACCAGGAGCTTGGGCCGACGGCTCATTGCAGATACGCCGATATGCTTCATGGCATTCCCCCGGATTGGCTGATAAGACGACGCGGTGCTTTGCAACCAATCCAACCAACCACACGTTCGTGTCATCCAAGATGGGAAGCCGAGCCGGGGGATAGATCCATGGCCCATGCTCGAGGTTCGGCTATGGCGTGGAGAAGGCGGTGGAGGAGCTGCGCATGTCAGATTGATGTGGTTTTCAGCTCTGGGCCTGCTTCTTGCATCTACATGGAGGGCTGGAGTTGGGACTCTGTTATCTCGTGGCTAGTGGAATGCGTCGCTTGACAGCTCAAGTGTAGCATTCCGACGATAGCGAGTGCAGGAAAGTGTCAAGAGACCCCAGAGTTTCCTTCTCGCCGACGACCGGTTGGACCCTGCGTCTGTCCGCGGGACCTGCATGCAGGGACCTCAAGCTAGCCGTATCGGTCAGCTTCACTTCTCATTGGACAAGGCAGACCGGAACGAGCAGCTGTAACGGCCTCCGGCCTCGAGATAACGATAGCAAAGCTGTTTGAGATGGATTGTATGACAGTCGTGTAGGATTTTGAAAGGCTGCTCAGCGAGAAGGGTTAGGACTGCGATGTCTCGAATGTTCACGCGACGAAATGCATGACCGAGACGGAAGCAGAGGTAATTGAAGATCATACAGGCCGAATCTCTTTACAGAGACTTTCACGCGATCTGCGTCTCCTCCCGCGTGTTTGACACTCGCAAAGTTCTATCCGGATCGTTGCTCCCGAGGTCGTTGTGGCATCGATCAAAGGCCTCCTGCTTCGGTGAAGTCGGTCGGGCTTATCGGCTAGCGTGCGTTAACCGATAATGCTTGGGGTGTCGGCATCGCGCTGTCTTCCAGCTTCCAAGGTTCTCCAGCATCGCGAGATGAAGTCAGCCTTGAAGGTATCCAGGGCTGCGATGATGCGATGCCGAAACCCACCGTGTCCTCGTCACGTGTCGCACCGTTCCCAACGCACGCGCCCAGAATCTCCGTCCTCATCGCAAAACTGCCGGTCTCGCCGAGCAACATCCAGGAAATCGCCCCGTCTTTCTAGTCGCAGACAAGACGGGGGCGTCGCATCGTCATCAAATCCGGCGCCCCGATGGCTGTCGGGCCTGTCGCACCGCAATGCCGAACGGTTTCGATGGTTTTCAACGTGTATTGCCTGTCTGGGCAATGTTGCGCTCATGGTCCGACGGTGGTGTCGCACGTCGGGCGGCCGACCCCGAAAATTCACGGGCGTCGGCGTTGTTGGAGAGCCATCTTCGGCCGACGGTCGCGAGTAGGAGACGGATGAACGCTGTGTGTACTGCATGTCCGGAGACTTTGATGATCCGATAATTTTAGCGTTTTGTTGAACCACCACATCGTTCTGTTTGTGCTCGGTCTTCTGCCCACCCAACGTCACACCAGAGACCCAGATGATCGCTGAAAAGCGCTTTCGACCCTGATCCTGCTACGTCGACCGATATCTCTCCGCCACAGATTCCTAACTCGCTCGTTTGGAGGATGCTCATGGCTGAAGGATTAAGGTTCAGCAGAGCAACTTTGTCCAGCCGGTTTGGTGGGAAAGACTGTTCACCGTATATACCCCAAGTGTGGCCTGGATCATCTGGATGAAGCTCTTCCCACGCATCCATAAGACCGTTGGTGCGGACAAGGTCGTCATCTTCTGGAAGAACGCAATTGAAGTCACCGGCGATGATCCCATGACCAGCCGCACGAAGGTACAATGCGCCGACGGAGACTTGATGTGGCCTGAGTGACGGATTAATTGGCATCGAATCCAAGTGGACGTTGATGAGTCGAATACGGGTTGGCCTTTTCCCAGACTTTTGCTTGCTCAAAGAGTTGAGGATCAAATCGCAGCACTGCGCGTCTCGTCCAAAACGACTAGGCAACGCGACCCTCCAGATGGCGCCTAGTTGGATATCACCGGTGGTAACCCAAAGCTTAGATACCAGGGTGATACTGATGAACTTTTGGGTTCCAAAAGCCGAGGCATCGACATCGCTTATGTACCAGTTTTGCGGTATCCAGAAGTCGCCAAGTAGGGCTGCAAGACCTTCTCTTGATACCTCCTGCAGGAAAATAACATCTGCAACTCCTGTGGTTTTGATGACTTGTAGTAGTGCAGACATACGAGATTCTGGCAGCGGTGCATCTGCGTTCACGTTCCAACTCACGAGGCGGAAGGAGCCTGCCCATTGGTGTTTGACGCCAGGCTGAAAGGTCTTATCGCTGGTGAAGGCAACCACTGGTCTTGGTCCAAGTTGTGCAACCTCTGGAAACGGGGCGTTGCTGTATTATTTGTTGGTAAGGGTGTCTCCTGCCACCATGATTGGATGTGGGTGCGCACTTGCGATAGCATCGCAAAATCGTGCTGGTGGTGTTGTGGGGGAGCGTGAGGCGCAGAAGGGTGGTTGTGTCGTTGCTGGGGTGGTGGCACGGTAGGTTGAAGCGGTAGGTGTCGTCGCAGCGGCGAAGAGATGAGGGATGTGGTGGTCTGCAACACATGCTCACTAATCTCGAGGGAGGTATTGCAACGTATTGCCGTTGGCTGTAGTAGTTTAGCGCTGATACTGTACCAAGGTTGACTCTTCGGTGAACAGGTAACAACTTGGGTACGCTGCGGTCACATCCTCCCTCGCCGTTAATTTTCTTGTAACATCTTGGAGACCTCGTGGAGTTTATATGCTTTGGATATCGAGTTCCATCTGTTGGGTTTCATGGAAATGTTTACTTGATGAAAGTTATCTTGTTTTCACACTGTTCAGAGCTATTGCAAGTAGGTTTCGTGACTTCTTGTACCTGGACATGGTATTGCCCATGTCACAGACCGAAACACGTCTACTGGGGATACGTCATAGGCTCTGTCGCTCTCTCATCTCCTTCCACAATGGTAGGTACGAGTTGCCTACGCAAATGGCGATTAGCGTTGCGCTAGTACCAAAATAGTATTTGCTGCATACGTTGTTTACTACTCTCACCTCTGGCCTCAGTCCACGCAGGCGACTCGCATCTATTCACGCAGGCGAATCACTACACTTTCATGCGGCTACGCATCGCACTTTCACGCCGGCCGGCGTCTTCAAGCATAAAATGGCCGCCGACATCAAGGACACCGCAAGCCAATCCACGTTCCGAGACGTCGATGAGATGTAAGTAGCAAAGACCTGTGAATGTTTCCTTACTAATTAAGTTAGTGCGCGCGACAACTAACGCAACTCCTCTCTCTTGCGTCTTCCGGGAGGAATTCGCAACCGCGTCTACGGTTACACGTTCTACGGCACTGAAGTTGTTGTTAAGTCACCGTACGTCGACTACCCCACCCTACCCCAGATCAGTTTTCCCTTCTCAGTACTCGCGATCTGCAAGCAAATCAATCACGAAACATCTTGCATCTTTTGAATCATGTGCATCATTAATGGCGAGCTACTATTCTGCTCTACCCTTCTTGAAGAGACTATGGAAGGATCGACCTCCGCTCGCATAACGTTACTTGTTGTCGATGAGGATGTAGCGCGCGGTCCATGTTCATCATCAATACGGCAGACGTTTTCGAAGCTGCGGAAGTTGTATGTGCAGAACTTCCCCTTCAACGGTGATACAGTGAGTGTATTAATCGGCGGCGATACAGCGGATGTAGTAACCAGTCTCTCTGCTCAAGGCATAGAGGTCGAGTGTAGAGATGCAGAAAGATATACAGAGCTAGAGGAATCTGAAAGGCCTGCATACCTAAGCGAGGAATTGGAGGACTCGGAGGAGGGATTCTGAGGCATGATCAGTGCGCCACCTTAGTATATTTCATGGCAATGAACGCTACAAAGCTTGCATTCAGCGAGCATGTCCAGACAAGCATCATAACATGGCTCGATATGAATGCGTTCTAGCTGCCGCGTTCTGGAAACAAGCGATCGGACCCCGTCGGAGACTAGCGATACACAGATGCATCATCATGAATACAACGAAGAATACGATGGATTTGAGTACGCGCGCAAGTAGTCGATCGCAAGACACTATCGTAAAAACTCATCATCTCACATCTTGTTATCTTCACGAAGTGAGGGAAAGCATTGCCTCCAGGCGAGCGGGCTTGCACTCTCGCACCTATGCAGAGAAGTCTTCATTACCTTAAAATCTTAGAAACCTTGGTTTGGTACTAATCGTGGTATGTAGCGCACCAGTTCGGTATCTTCCGTCCATGAAGTGGACCTCCATCGCCGCAATCCCTCGCCCCAAACCCGCGATCTGACGCAGCGTCAAAAAGATGGACCTTCTACTCGGAACACCTGCTCTTCAACCTCACGATTCGACCTGGAAAATCAGGTTCCCGTCTCGAGACATGACTAGCGGTCACTAGCCACCATCTAGACCCGGCATCAGGATCGCCGGCGCGGGAGATCGCTCCGCTAATTTTTCGGTACCATCGCCATGGCGTCGCTGTATGGATACAAATTGTGTCAGATTACTGAGGTAGCTCTCCTTTCTAGCAGGATTTTCGTTGTCTTGGTCGCAACGGCTGCATGTTTCCTCCCGCTACACCAGGGCACGGTATGAATATGACGCACCAGACCCTGCAGCGAGTCACTTCGCGGCTGTCACGATCGTTCCGGGCAGGGAAATGTCACTTCCAGAACGGCGCGAAATAGGAACGGGTGCATCAGCCTGAGTCGAAGGCGTGGTCTTCTATTTGATTATCTCCACTTCGACTGGGTATCTGCTGGTGCGGTCAACTTCGGCGGGGTCGTATAAAGTAATAGCAGGTTCCTCGAGATGCGAACTCATACTCAGTTTGGGGCTTTGCTATCCATATTCGTCTTAAACCCACAATGGCAGCACCCATGAACGATGTCGATCCATCCGCGAGGCTGATTGCACCGGACGGTCTACCACTCGCCATCATCGTCATTTCATCCATCTTTTTTACACTTTCCATCGTTACCGTAGCGTTGCGAACCTTTATTCGAATCAAGAAAAGAATCTTTGGCTTAGAAGATGCGTTCATGGTTGTTGGCACTGTATGTTGACACCAAGGGCCCTTCACCAATGGGATACTAACGTAACCTCATAGATCGCATACATCCCCGTTACAGGTCTTGCAATCTATGGCTGCCTCGCTGGCCTTGGTAGAATGAACGAGGATCTCAATGCATGGCAGCAGTCCGAAGCTATCAAGTACTACCTCATCTGGATCTTGGTGTACGTTGTTGCACTTGCCACTGTAAAATCTTCGGTGTGCATCACGATTAGGCGAATTGCATCGATCAAGAAGCCCATGAGAATCACCGTCTGGGTTCTACTAGCCGTCACTTGGGCATCTTTCCTTGTTACCTTTGTTGGAACACTGGCTTACTGCCAGCCAGTGCGGTCTTTGTGTGAGTAGGCCTGATTTGCAGCTTGCGAGTTGGACAAGACTGATCGATGTTTACAGGGACTCCAACTCTGATTATGAGTGGAGAAGGAGAGTGCGCTTCTGCGGAGACGTTTCTCATCATTGCGCACACTGCGACAGTGTCGACAATCTTGACCGACATGGCTCTGGTTGTTGTGCCGGCTATCATCTTGTGGAACACACAAATGAAGAGACAATCAAAACTCCAAGCATTCGGGCTGCTATCATTCGCCTCACTGTAAGTCCTCAGCCATCGAAGCAGCACTCATAGCCACTGACAATACCAGCGCGTCAATCATCACCATGATACGCATCCCATTCGTCAACAAATTCGAGTCTCAGACCAACCTCCCCTTCTGGGTCGCCCATATCGTCCTCTGCTCGAACGTCGAAACCGGCATCGGATGCTTTGCCTCCTCCCTCCCAGCCCTGCGCCACTACTTCCAAAGCGACCGCGACAACAGCACCGACCCAAACAGCAAGCATCGCGTAGCAACAACCATCACTGCAGGCGGTCGCTCACGACGACAAAGGAGAGGAGACAGCTACCACGGCCCCTCTGATCATGGCTTCAGCTTGTCGGCCGTACATCATGGGCGCGATCAGGATGCCTGGGAGAGGATACACGATGGCGCGTCGGATAAGAGCACGGCGCCGATGAATGACAAGAGGATTTATCATGATAGGACGTATACTGTTGATGTTGAGTCGGCTTGATGGAACGTTCTTTTAGCTCTTGAGAACATAGTCAGCCCTCAGATGCACCGCCATAATATCTAGAATCGATCCGGCGTAGGTCTTCTCTGTGCTTCCAAGATCAGTCACTCCAATAATTCGCCTTTGCCGTTAGGGTAAACAAGTACAGCGTCTTTGCCAAAAGTCTCCTTCACCATCTCGGTGGAAACCTCTCTGTCGCCCCCAAGCTGCCCATATACCACGATAACCTTCTGTACCCTAGTCAACGCCCCTTTGTGACCATGCGAGCTTAGCTGAAGGTTCCAAGCAACGCCATAACCGGGACGGACGAGCTCTATCTGATCGCGCATACATTTGACTGTATTGCGCACGAGTGTATGTATACTACTGTATATCAGATGAAAGACAGTGTTTTACCAGAAGTAAGGAAGAGCCTCATAGCGGCACTGAGTGCAGCTTTGCGCTAAGCTCATCGGGTAAGGTGAGTTACGCGGGCCTCGACGGTCGCGGCGCTGATGAATGAGATGTATGTTGTTGATATCGAAAGTGTAGAGATATATCCTGTTTCGGAGCTCGGCGGGGAGGCGCAGAAGAGGCGAGTTGCGCTGGTTTGCAGCAGGTTGATACTGTGTAGATGACGCCGGACGGCTACTGCGTCGTTGATACCGAAGATATATGACCACACGGTGTTTCATAGTTCCCTAGGTAGACGCAAGAGGGGTGAGCGCTGCTCGTTTCCCGCAGTGCTGTATTATGTTAGCAACAGGTATGTCGAGTTAGAAAATTCATGCATGCTATCCATGTCCTTAATCGTTGTGGTCTCCATAACATAGTTCCACGTCTATAATTTTGAGCGTTTGTAGCTAAAAGCAACTTGAGTAGGTTCTTCTATGTCTTATGAGTAGAGAAAGCTACTCAAAATCGAAGACGCGGTAGCATATATACCTGCGGGGATTGATCGGTATTCATGGAATGCGCTCAAGATCAGTCAATCAATATCAGACCTTGCTACCATCACATCAAGATACCTTCAAGGTTATCTCCATTTCACCATTTAACTAAATGCTTGGTTCACAACCATGAGGGCCATATGTCAGTGATATGGCGATTGGAGGGGGCCATAATTGGCTTTAATGTCTACATTATAGTGCGCCTTTGACTATCTTCCACGCACGCATGTGACGTAGAAACAAGCAGCCAATCTCAGCGCTCGCGCAAGCGTGATGTGAGGCGCTGAAGATGGCAAAGCTTATATCGCTAGCTACGTCTCCTCCGCCTCACGTGGAGAGAGGGAGAGAATTTGACGGAAGGCGAAAGCTTGAATGCTGTGTTCACTGTACGGAATGTAAATGCATCGCGAGAATTTCAGAAGGGAACAGGATGTCATATCAATTAGTAAAAAGATACCAGAGCCGTCAAATCGGCTATAGAGAAGTTCGCGAAGTCAAGTGACAAAGGAGAGAGCAAGCTGTGCCTACATAGTCTGTCCCACCCGTGGGACTCAAAACTCGATGACTTGCATCGACCCCAAAACTGCTGTACCAGCCAACAAAGAGAAAGAAAACTTGTTCATTACGTCGTCCTGATGCAGTCCGTCATATCTGCTCCCGCCGTACGAAATTGATAAGCGCATATGCTCCGCTCGCTACCGCTGCGCCCAACATCGGTCCTAGCCAGTATATCCAGTGATAGCTAGTGAACCCCACAACGACCGCAGGACCGAAGCTTCGGGCTGGGTTCAAGCTACCGCCTGTGAAGTAAACACTGCATATCTCGGCAATGAACAGCGACATTCCGATGTACATTGGTTTCGCGGATCCGGCTTCCAGCATGAGAATGCTCAGGACCAGTTGTGCGGTGACGAAAGCTTCCAGGAATAGACCTCGTGTTACCGAGATTGATGCGTCGAGCTTGGTATCGATGGTGAGTTCGCCAGGCAAAAGACCGGAGACGAAGCCTGCCGCGGCTATAGCAGCGATCATTTGCGCTATGATGGTTTGAAGCGCACGGTGCCAGTGGATCTTTCGTGTGAGCCATAAGGCGGCAGTAACCTGTCAAGCACCGCGTTAGTGGCTGTTATACTATATGTGTATGTTGCCGGTATATGTTCCCGATGTTGCGTATGGTGTTACCCAAGTGCCGGGAACATACGAACATAGGCTGCGCGGTTAAACTTACTGCTGGGTTGAATTTACCGCCACTAATGTCGGCGAAGATGGCGACGTTTATGGCTAGAGAGATACCAAACGCGAAGGCGATGTACAAAAGCTTTCCCACGTCCGGTATGGGATTCGAGCTGGCAGTCAAGTCGTTGGTGCCGGCAGCATTGAGTGCGATCTGAGTACCAGTGAAAGCCAAGGAAAGGAACATGAAAGTGCCAATGAGCTCTCCCAAGAAGGCTGTGGCCTCGGTCCGGAGGAAGTGATGCTTTCTTCGGTCTTCCGAGGGAGGTGCTGTGGAAGGCTCATGGAAAGGCAGACCGGTGTCTTTCTCTTTGTCGTGGTCGAACATAGTGTATGGGTGACTAACAGCAGTGATTGAAGAGAAGGGCCTCAAGGGGATGGGAGGTGAAAGCACGATGGCAAGAGATGATCTCTGTTTGCAAGAAGCAACGTGCTTTTCGAAAGCCATTATATCTGATCACTGAAATGGGAGGAGTAAGGTGGGCACTCCCGATTTTCATATTCGCCTGTGCGATCCGTGCTCCCGTGCCCACCTGAGAGAGATCATGGTTCCGTTCTCCTGGGCTGAACGTTGTCTGCTTGAACCCGCACGAGCCTGTTGTTGGAGTTGGGATCCATGCACCGCGCCAGGCCAGGAAGCGCTGATGCATTAGTGGGATGTGCGTTCCGACTGGTGTGCCGTTGTGGCGAGACTGGAGAGTCAAAGTATGATGAAGCTAGGACGGAGAAACGTCACGAGGGTCGTCTGACCCCACGCCACAGCAACTCAAAAGTGATGAGGATTGTCTTCTTCGTCGGGATAAACCACCTTTTCCGAACGCTACTGGACTCGAGGTGGTGCAGCAACGGGCAGCGCTTCGTCTATCGGGAACCATCCATGGCACGGGATTGCCATCTCACCGCGCGTCAATAGCCTCACTGTTGGTTTGAGAGGAATGAATGCGATTCCTGCGAAAATGGTGTGCATTGAAGTTCCAGCGTTGCCAAGCGTAGAGCCAGTAGCCAGGCACGGCCATTGTTTTGACAGGTCGTTCGAAACGTTGGTCGCTCCATAGTACTATATAGACGCGTGCTTCGCCCCCTAATGGCGGCTTCAGGAAAGGATGTCAATCAATGATTAAAGCGATAGTTGCGCAGAGATGCCTGTCAAAATGCCAGTGTTGGGTGCAGAAGCGTGGGGTGGGGTGCTGTAGTGCGCAGGTGTGTTGACGGATTCGCAGCGAAACACGAAGCCTCAGTCCGCGGAACTCGTGTACAGATTGCTCTCGTAAGTGCGCTTTGAAGGCGACGCGTGGCAGCTGATTCCAAAATCCTGGGAAAGACTCCAACATTGCAATCGCCCTCTTGCATGAAAGTGGAGAGCTCTTGATGCGCTTCTAGCGCGCCGACTGCCTGCGTGAAGTCAGTTGCTGGAATCGCAAAACTTTGTACTATCGACCTATTTCCACATGTGTAGTCCAGTTGCGTTGGTGTGCGACGTGCTCAGGCCAACCCTGGTCTTACGAAAGTTTGGTTCCGGTGCACAGGACTGGCGTTGTACGCTTAGGCTGATCATCCGCCCACAGCCAAACGTAAAATGACATTCGCTGGGGAAGCAGTACCTCCTTTACAGTACAGCGACTATCAACTAGTGTACAAACGAGCTGACGTTAATTGGGATTTACCCCACCTAATTTTGATAAACCGCCGGCATTCAATAGTGAACAAGCTCTTTCATATCGTACGTTTGCGCTACCAAAGGTCGTCCGAGCGCGTGCAGGAAGTCTGTAAATTTTGAGTTGGCCGTTTGCCTCTGCAAATATTCCAATAGTAGGAGGGTCCATGTGTTCAGTCTCATGTTTGAAGACAAGACTGTAGCGACCTCGAGCATACTGCGCATGCTTGCTAGTGGTGCCGTTATCCGTGACGATTCAGACAAGGTGTGAGCTTGTAGCGAGATGTTGACATTTCCGCCACAATGCGCATTCAATCGCCTGATGCAGCACATGCGAAGCGCTGATGGCTTTCTTAGTATCGCCCTGCCTTTGATGAGTAGTTTCAGAGCCGCTGCAACAGCCTACGATGGGCTCGGGCCGAAGTTTTGAATCTAGCGCGCCGTTTCACTCGAAGATCGCCGAAACAGGACATACGAATGACACTTTTGAAAAGGCCATATATGGTCGATGCGATGCTATGCGAGAACCTCGTAGGCGACTCAGGGCGACTCGGCTTTCCATCTTGTCGCCGGCCGAGGATGCTATGGGCGTGCCGGTCTTGATGCGAATCGCGATGGATTGAGCAGCGCTCATATATCAGACGGTTGCCTGGAAGAGGCGCGGACAGTATGTGATGAGCAGGCGTCGCTTTCATATGGCTGCTCACTCCGGTCTGACTGAGCTTGATCGCTCGTGAGTGGGCATGTTTACTTCAGACGAGCGTAGCGGGACCACCGCAAATTTCTGGAAGTTTGTATGGGCGAGTAGGTATGGATTCCCGAAATCGCAATGCGCTCCAGAGCAAAGAGCAGGGCAGTAGAGCGACTCCCCAGATTTGTTGACGGGTTCGTGGGTGGGAAGGTAAGGTGATGGAGGAATTTCCGAACCCTGCGCAAGCTACGGAACCTTGAGGCAGGGGCAAATTTCCACGATCGTTAGCGAGCCGCCGCCGAATATCGATTTGGGTACGTGGAGATCACGCCAAGAGCTAAAGTTGTCGGATACGAAATGGTACCATGGCTTCTCTTCAAGCTAAAGCAAACTTCATGATTGAGCGTTGAATAAGCTGCACCCTCACGGAGTCTCACCCTAAATGAATGCATGATGCCCATGCTAGTGCCGCAAGTACAGTTGTTAGACGTTGTCTACTGAAAGGCGTCAATTGCAAGGGATGACCAGTTGTCTTTCGTTGTCGACTAGGATGTCTTTGTTCTTTGCGGGTATTGTTTTGATGTCCGGCCTCGACAAGAATTGCTGCCATGAGCCGAGACGATGTGCCAAGGCGACGCTAGTGCCTCCCGCGCCAGGGGCATTGCGGGTCTCGCTCGCACGCGAGCTTCTATCCTCACATCCCCCACGAGCCTGCAGCGCACGCGGCACCCCACGTGCATGTTCTGGACTGCGAGACCCTGCAAGATGCAGGGCTAGATCGAGAACTCAAGGGCGCCCCTCAACATCGGCAGCAGAAGTGGTATGTTTCTCGATGTGTGGCTTGAGAACCACCAAAACTACGCGAGTTTGGGACGGAACGAGTCAAGTGGCTCGTCAGGACTTACCTTGTTGTGGTACTCAAGTAGCCTATTTCGATATGTGGCACGATTTTGCTCGATTCACTCAGCTACGCCTCGAGAAAGCCATGATGTTTGCATGCTTCAGCTGCGGCGACTCCGTCTTGCATGGCGTAAATTTGTTTGGATCGTAGTCAGGACGAACTCTTGCAAGGCCTCATCATGGATATATAAACATCCATAAAGGCACAGGAAGTATAGCCAGCAGCAACAGCAGCCTCTTCACTCATTCACCCATCCGCTCAGTCACTCTTTACGCTCGGGCAACCCACTATCTTTAATAATGAGGTATTCATACATTTTCCCTGCCGTTGCGGCCTTCGCTGTGGTCGGAGCTCAAGACATCGACTTCGCTGGAGTCGATGCTACACCTGGTATGATCTCTTCTGATGAACGACTGGTATCATGCTAACTAGAGATAGACCCGGTCATCAACATCATCCCGGGATTGAAAGAACAAGCTGTTCCTTTCGAAGTATCTGAGGCCATTGCAGACGTCGTATCCGAGGTCGTCGCTGACCCTCTTGATGTCAAGCCTGTGTCCGAGCCTTCCGCTGTTGCAGACGTCAAGAAGCATCTGAAGCGTGGCGCATGCGACCCAGAGCCCAGTAACCCCAACACTTATGGCTTCGACCTGTCGTCTGCTAGCAAGTTCCGCGCCGACTCCAAGATTGCCTCTGTAGCCAAGGGTGCTGCCACCCCCTCCGGATACTTCAATACCTTCACAAACTTGCAGGGTGCTAGCAGTGCCTACGGATACCTTGGCTACAAGGTAGTGGAGAGCTACGACCCCTCTCACTGTGCATCTGAGTGTGACTCCAAGGATGGATGTCTCGGCTTCAACATCTACGTTGAGCGCGATCCTTCGGCAAACCCGGGACCTGAATGTCGAGACCCCGAAGCTGTTGCCAACATCAAGTGTTCGTTCTGGGGCGGACCGGTCTACACCGATACTGCCAACAACAACGGACAGTGGCGAGAGCAGTTTGAGGTCGCCATCGCTGGAAGCAACGGTTACTCGTCTCTCACGACGCAGTCTGCCGAAGGCTACAAGCAGGTCGAGCTCAAGAACAGCGCGATCAACTCTCCTCTCGACTGCAACAATCAAGGTTCCTACATGGGTTACAAACTCTTCGTTCAGCCCGCATTCGATGCTAAGCTCTGTGCAACTGCCTGCAAGGAGCAGAACAAATGGGCAACTGAACACCCACCTGCCGATGGTAAGCCGCAGTTATGCCGCTACTTCAACACCTACATCCTGCTCAAGAACGGTGTCTCTCAGGGTCAATACTGCTCTATGTACACTCAGGAGTGGGATGCTTCCTTCGCCACGAACGATGGACAATACCGCGGCGACGATCACTACACTATCCAGTACAGCTTTGGTTTCACCGATGAGAGCGATGATGGTGTTCCTGTCTGCCCCAGCGACATATCATACCTCAAGTCAAGCGGCGACGATTTCTGCAGCAGCTACATTGGCTACTCCCAGCCGACTACGACTGCAACCGCTACCACTACTATCACACCAGCTCCACAGACTGCTACAATCACTAGAACGGTGACAAGCACCTCCACCTCTGGAGTTGCGATCGTCACCGCAGCGAAGTTCAACGGAAGACACGCCAGACGTGCGAATAACGGCACCGAGGTGACCAATGACGTCGTTGTTGACCCTTACGAGATCGCGATCGTAGCCGTCAAGACTCTCTCTCACGAGGACGACTCTAGCATCCCAAAACTCAACGACACCATGGCAGCAGAGCTCAACAGGGCCGTCGAGAAGCGTGACCTCGTCACACCGGCCTCTATCGCAGCCTGGCCCAGCAGCAAAATCTCGGCGGCTTGCTCTCAGGTCGCCACCGGCACCTCAACAGCGACCCAAACCATCACCACAACTGCCGCGACTCCATTGGCGACTGAGACCAAGGACTTCCAGACCGTAGTCGTCGTCCAAAGCACTTGCAATGTCCCTGCACCCAGGCCAACAGCCCCTTCATACACCAGGATCGCCGGTGGTGACCCATCAGAGGGCGTGCCCATGGTACCCGGCCCCGCGGACCGCGCTTACTACAACGAACAGTTCACCCTCAACCTGCCCTTCGCGGTCAAAATCTTCCAGACCTCGTCAACACAGATCAGCATCACTACTGGGGGTGTTATTAGAGTAGGAGACTACGTGTTCAATGCTTTCGCTGAAAGATTTTACATCTACGGGGGCTGGAGACACGGTATGTTCTACCGTGTCGATGGCAACATGGGCTCTCGCAAGATCCACTTCTCCTGGTTTGCGGGTACTTTGATGTGGGGACATGAGCGCTTCCACGTTACGGCTACCTTTGATGAAGCTAAGCCCGGTATTCTCACCAGCAAGGTCTTTGATACTTGGGGTCAGGTGGATAACAGACGTACCATCTCTGTTTCTGGAGCTGGCAAGAACGTCGTCTTCGCTCAGTCGGGATCGACCAACGTTCATGAAGGCCAGGAGATTACCTTCGATACTACCGGTGCCGGAAGCGTCTCTGCCAAGGACTTCGATCGTATCGACTGCTGCACAAAGACAGGCTGGGAGTGGCACGTTTGCTCTGAGGTTTAGTGTGCTGCACAGATTGACCTCGATCATCGACAGCTCGGTCGAGCTTCATATTCCCTTTTGCACATCCTATCACATACTGAAACATAGTATATCATATAATCTAGTAATGTAATGTAATGTAATCACATTTCGAATGAACTTGCGCGACATCCCGCCGTGACCTTCCCGTGTGCGCCGTCAACGCGTAAGGAATTTCACACTATCCTCAGCATTTCAGTCTCACTCTCTTCCCCCTCTCCATTCATGACCCCATGTAGATACGAATCACCGACGAGAGCGTACCCTTCACCACGTCTTCTCAACGCATACGGAATTCTGCACCCTGCAAAGAAACCAACACTATCCCCTACCCTGGCTGCAATCGGCACCAACCCGATCAAACCCAGTTTCGTAATACCAAACTGTCGCCCCTGCATCCATTGCATATGCATAGATTCAAAGTCTCGTTGGTGAGATTGTAGCTGCCCTTGTAGGACAGCCCAGCTTCTACTCCAAGCAATGTTGTACGTGTGAGTCAAGAGGGGTACGGCGAGCGGTACAGCAAATCGCAAAAACCAATTTCTCCTGCGTAGGAAATAGGTCAGGGCTGAAGAAAACGCTGTAGCGATAGCGAGATACCAAGCCTTTTTTATGGTGTGGCCGTAGCCGCGTTGCAATCCTATAACGCGAAGATGAGCGAGGTATGCGTCGAAGCCGCTTCCGTCTTCAGGTGGGTCGAATGCGCTGAAGGACGTGCGGTTGCAGCAGAGTGTGCGCCAGAAAGCTTCGTAATGGGACTCGCCAGTATGTCGGTAAATACCGTTAGTATCAGTATCATCGGGTCGTTGCATCAGTGCTCCCACGCGGAGGATCCAGTCGCGATAGCTGCAAATATCCTGTAGCTCGTTGGTATGGCGTAGCTCGACCTGGCTCATGAACTTCGGGAACGGGGCCGTATGAGTTATCGTATCGAGAACAGTACCGCGAATGTAGAGAGACTAGTAATCATGTCAGTCGACAGAGAAGATTGGGGCTTAAGTGCAGCTTACCTTATTCCCGTCTTCCGTCGGAAAGTGGATCTCGGGCTTGCGTTCAATCTCGGGTGATGTTGAAGGATATCCTGTCATCATAGGCGTGTACATAGAGTCCTGAATCTTGAACAAATCCACCACCCAGCTTGGCTCTGTGATTTCGTCGCCCTCTTCTCTTGTGAGTAATGACCAAATATCTAATACACTACCCATGGTGGCCTCAATCCTGCCATCTAAGAGCATGAGATTAAGCTCCTTCATGACGTCCTCGTTACTCTTGGAGTAATCCACAAAGCTCTTCTCGATGTCGCTTGTCAGACCCACTAGCGCAAAGACCTTATCTCGAGGATCCGTCGCATCGAACCTACTGGTCATCATGAAAAGGTACAGAGTACCGATCATCGCTTTCTCTCTACCGTATTTTATCGAGAACAGAACCGTCGCGCATGATAGCTTAAGTCTACCTGCCCATCGTGCATCTTTGTCGTTGAATGCCTTCACGGCCTCCTGAGTTCTATACACACAATTTATCATTTCCGACCATCGCGCGATGGCCTCGAGGATTGGGAAATCTTCATCCATCGTAGTCGGCCCGCACCAGATTGTCACCCGGCTTGCTAGCACAAGCTCTTGAATACTATAGACAAGTCAACATGGCCTTAAACCCTAAACAGTTTCTAGGAGAATCATTTGATACATACATCCACACACGGCTGAACCAAGGTCGTAGGAGAAATGCAGCCAATGCATCGAATTGTTCCTGTGGCAACTTGGGTGATAGCCATGCATCATAGTCTAACGCGACTTGACCAGTTGGCAGGATTGGATCGCCTTTTGAGTCTGCCCAACGCGCATTGATATTTTGCAAACACCTCAGCGCGAGCCCGTCGGTCGCTTCTGCTTCGCCCAACCATACGACCACACATTCCGCTTCGGTGTAGATTTTATCCATCATGCGAACCTGAGACGTGCGCTCGGAGACGTTGGACTGGTTGATACATACAGCGTCAACCCAGAGAGGCATTTGAGTTTCTCTGCGACGGTATTCGAGTAACATGGAATGCAAGTTGGGCGTTACTGAGAGAGGATGCAAGTTGCACGTTATCTGAATGGGGGAGTGGTTTGCGCCCCAACAGTATGATAGCGCATGGTAAGTAGTCAGAGTCGTGTCCAGACATGTTTCTGATAATGTGCATCGTAGTGGGGCCGATGGTTCGTCCGGTTCGACAGTGAGCAGGCGGATAGTTCGTCCTGTTAGTTCATGGGGATAGATCGCTGAGTTGGCCATCGCCAAGTAATGGCGTATGTCACCTGGGTGAGATCACTGAAGTAGTACGGGAAGATGGATGAAGTGAGAAGTTGTCGACGGGCCGAGGCTGGGTGACATGCCCTCGCTCAGCCCTGCAAAACCTGATGGCCTAATACGAGGTCGCACCATAGGCGGAAGGAAAGGTGAGCCGAAGATCTCATATGAAGACGCAATTTGTACATCATCTCGGCAAGGGACTCAATATACATTTCGGGGAGCTGCATCGCTTGTTTGGGAGGTGAAGAGGTGGAGAGCGATGGCAGGAGCTCCTGTCGGATAGCGAAAGAGCCCTGGAGCCCTGGAGCGAGAGATCGCCGGCGCTAGTCCAGATCTACGCTAGCATGGCCTTGTCTATCGACAGAGAATCAAGATCATGAGGCCCTCGTTGCGGCCTCCCTTCCACCAAGATCTTCCAGATGTGCGTACTGCATCTTGTCCTGTAACGAAGGTGACGAAAATTCACCAAATTCCATCCTGGAACGAGGTCCATGCACATGGACCTGAACAGCATCAACAACACTCATGACCACAGTTACTTACGAAGAGAACTTCGGGCTTGAGGGCGAAGCCCAGAAAAGAAACACCATGAAACATATAGCCAACAGATCAGCAACTACTTCCTCGCGAAACAAAGATTGCCTTTGACATAGAATACTTGGCTTCGAGGTGCTTCACTCGCACCAACAGCCCAAACCACGTATACCATCCGCCTGCCGTATGACAAATGCGCTTAATCCCAGTTCCATGGTATCACCCGCCAAAAAGCTTGCGAAGCTTCATGTACTCACCTCATCACAGTACCCTTGGTACTACATATTAAACTCCGCCAAGACGGCTACAGGAATTCGTATCTCAATACGTACCTATGAGCTATAAGACATCCTACTTGGATACATTAAAGGGTATACGCACTAAATGCTAGTGGTCGTGTACGGTATCACTGTTTCGTGGGTGAGATGAAGTGTAGCACGCGAACTCAAGGGCTTCGTGTATCGTGGTGATGACAGCAACCGTATAGTGTGTATATATAAGTCCTGCGAAGTGACAATCGCCTTTCAAACGCCTCATTGTCAAAAGTCTTTCTACATCTACAGCACAACTTTCAAACTCACGACCAAGCGCCTTGAATCCCCTCAACCGACATAACTCATCATGCGTTTCTCAACCCTCATCCTCCCCACCCTCGCCGGCCTCGCACTTGCCGCAGACCAATCGACGTAAGTCCAACCTTCCTCCCACTCACCAAGTACTCCTTACCAACAAACTCGCTAGCAACCCTGCCGCCTCCGCAACATCCGCCGTAGGATCAGCTATATCTTCCATCGCATCTTTCATGTCATCTGAGTCCGCAAAGACGGAGGCGAAAACCACTGCCACTGGAGCGAAGTCGACCGACGCGACATCAACGGGCGGAGCTGTTGCTATCGGTGCTGGAGAAGCTGGGGGCGTTGTAGTCGCTGCTTTGGGGGTTATTGCTTGGATGTTATAAATCCATTCAACGCGCACAAGGAGAGAAGGGTGATCAGAGGCAGGAAGGAATATAATGTGTGGTGTTGGATGGAGGAAGCAGAAATGTACAACAGCAGAAAGACAGCAGATGTGAAAGCAGGTTTGAATTAAACAATCATTGATTCATTACCGATAGCCAACCGTCGTGTGCCAATATCTTACAAAACCGTTCCTGTTCCATGCGTATGCTATCCAAGACTCCATTCCGCGCGATCATACCCTTGTCTGCCATTACTCCTCCCCGCTTATCCTCCCTCCCTCTATAAGATAGCAATCCTCCTGATCTGTGGAGCCTGCGCCCTAGGAACATTCACCTTGAGCGCACCATCCTTGAGGCTAGCGCTCACATTGGCGGCATCGATGCGTTCTGGGAACCTGAATGTGCGCTCGAAGGATCCGTGCACACGTTCTTGTTGTTGAGGCTGCTCCTGGGGTTGTTGCTGAGGTTGCTGAACCGGTACCTCGGGTTGTGGCTGGGTGACCACAGCGGTCTCGGTATTCTTAGGCTCATCGACTGCCTTCTCCTTGCCCTTGGGTTCGCGTGGCTCGGTGGGAGATGATGGTCGAGACGATGGGAAGTCAGCGGCGAGGTCTTCGAAGTCGTCTTCAACAGTTGGCTGGTATGACTTGTGCGATGAAGTATCGCTGTCGGGTGTAGCGGCGCGAGTAGTGGGAGTCTCGACCTCGGTGGTGGTCTCGACTTCTGGTTCTGATTGTGTGATGGCAGGCTGCTCAATGCTAGCTGCGGATGTGGGCTCGGCTTCGATCTGAGGTTGCTGTGGCTGAGCTTGCGACTTCTCCGACTGCCACTGGGTGTTGCCAGCGATCTTCAGTGTGTGCTCGTCGATGACCTCAATGTTGATGTTGTCCTGTTCGAAGCCCTGGATGTCTCCATCCACCTGCCATCCCTGCTCGACCTGGTTGACCTGGAAGTCGGCTCGAAGTGCACGCTTGCGCTGTAGCTGCCGCTGGCGGTAAGCTTCGCGTAGTGCCTCTCGGTGGGCCTCGATCTGAGCCTTACGCTGTGCCTCGCGTTGTGCTTCGCGGTCGATCTCGCTCAGGAGCTCATCGACCTGGCTGAAGAAGTTGTTGTAGGGCGAGTATTGTGGGCGGCGAGGCTGAGGACGAGAGACGCGGTAGCCGTGTGCGGGTCGTGAAACTGGAGCGCAGAAACCGAAGGGGTTGCACTGCTGTGCCTCGTAGGCGGGTGCCATTCGTGGAGTGAGGATGAACGCCATTGCTGGGATAGTTGGTTCGAGAAGCGAGGCTTGTTGATCGATGAGAAGAACAGTGTAGCAGAGTAGTGAAGCTCAAGAGTAGTTATAGATCGTAGATCTGTAGATGTGTTTGTCTTTCAAATTGATGATGAGCCCTTGGAGAGCAGGAAGACATGGATTTATAGCCATTGTGGAGGCGTTGCAGGCAACAGTCGATTGCGTGCGCGTGGATGAGCAATGCAGATTCCGTAAGAAACGGACGATGCTGGAACAGTGTGGACGGTGCACGACGATTGGTGATGCTTCGAGGTTTGTCAGGAAGACGCGTGAAGCTTCGCGATGTTTCTCGAAGCTTCTACGTCATCCAGCGGCTGAGATGGCTCGTGCCCCGCTTATGTAACCGCACCCGCCCTCTCCAGCCTTGCACGTGCGGCATGCCTCTACGAACAAGAACACCGATACGATGAACGAACGGCCCTGTAGATTTGAAAGTGCATCATATAGTACCAGCAAATTTGGGGTAAGCCAGGTCCCTGCATAGAAGGGTTTGCCGGTGTTTCTCATCGTGACAGGGCGGAGAGCTCATATTACCAGTCCTTCGTTCCTGGTTCCAAGATTGCAGGTGGTCAATGTCTTTGTGTCTCAATGCTTCAATTACAGTAGATCTAATCTATATCTATCGTATATTCTGCAAAATATCCCATCCTCTCATCTAAGCCTTGTACCGAGCAGGCATAGCAGCCTTGAGCAGCTTAGGGAAGTTCGGTGTACCAAGACCAGAAACCGGGTCCCATCCCGCAGTAGCGTTCCAGCTAGCATACGGAATAACCGGGCTACCGTTGGGCTTGCCGTTGAAGCGGGCATGGCCATCGCATCCAGTGCTACCACCAAGGACGATGTCGTTGAGCGCATCAGGGTTGGAGTACAGAAGGGGGTTCAAGAATCCAAGAGCGGGCTTCTTGGCGCGAAGGCGGGCGTCGTTGAGGAGAGCGACGATGCCACCGAATGCGGGAGCCGAGCACGAAGTTCCTTGGTAGCCCTTGAGAGAGCCCTTGTCGTAGACACGGTAGCCAAAGCCCTGGGCAGAGACATCGGGGAATCCACGTCCGTGGCGGTTGAAGTAGGGCTTGTTCTTCTCGCCGAGCTGGTGGAAGTATGCCTTTACGGCGTCGTCTTGGTACGAGGGACGCTTCCAGTAGTCGGAGAAACCACCGGAGGAGAAGAAAGTAGCAGTCTCGTTCAGGTAGCGGGTGGAGCCGACAGAAGTGACGAAGGGGCAGGCAGCGGGGTACTGGGGCTGGAACTTGGTGGTGTTCTTGCCGTCGTTGGAAAGGCAGGCAGAGCCGGTACCAGAGTCGCCGGAGGAGAAGATGACGGAGACACCACGGCTACCGAGCTGGGCGAAGAGGTTGCAGACGCTGAGGGCGTATGACTTGGGTACGCTCTGCTCGTTCTCACCGTAGGAGGTTGAGATGACCTGGGGAAGGTCCTTCTGCTTGAGCTTGAGCACGCTCTGGAGGAACTCGAGGTAGGGCTCGTTGGCGCTGTCGGCCTCATCAGGCTGGTCGAGATCAGCGACCCATGGGCCACGGCCGCCGGTGCTGTACTCAGTGACAGGCAGGGGCTGGGCAAGACCGAGCATGTACTGCAAGTCCAAGTTGGCCTCGCCACTGTCGTCGCTGGAGTTCTGGTCGTTCAATCCACCGTTGAACTGAACGACGGAGAAGTTCTGGCCAACAGCCTCGGGAAGGATGTTCTTCTCGAAGAGGGCGAGGTCGCTGTAGCGAGCGTACTCCTCGAGGTAAGAAGCGAAAGCTGCCTTGCTGCCACTCTTGGGGTCAGGAGTGTAGTCGATCTTGTACAGCTGCTTCAGGCACTGGGGAGTGATGGAAGCATCGCAGTTGACAGTGATGTTGGGGGAAGAGGCGAGCTGGATACCGAAGATCTCACGCTCAGTCTCGTGGTTCGCACGGATGGCAGCGAAGCGAGTGGTCGGCTGAACGAGGTTGATGTGATCGGCAATCTCGTCAGGGACGGAGTACTCAAGGGTGCGGAGAACCTTGCGGGGTGTGCTTTCCTCGCTAACGAACCAAGAGAACTTCGTTCCGAGGAGCTCGTTGGCGACACCGACAGTGGTCCTGAAGGTCACCCAGTCGGCGTCGGTCTCGAAGCTCTCGATACCGGCAGACTTGAGCCACGAAGAGACGGACGAAACAGTCTCCTCGCTAGGCATAAGCATGCGCTTCATCTCCTCGTGCGACTCATAGTGCTGGCCGTACTTTGGGTTCGAGGGCGTGGAGATGTCCATGACGGTTTGCTCAAAGCCCGCGGCATCGCCTTGCGTGAGCGCGATCTGGAGCTTGAGTGTGTGCGCATCAGATGCTGGGCCTTGAAGCTTCCATCCTGTTGATCGTTAAGAAAGATCTAAACTTGATGTGGCATACAACTCACCCTCTGGAACTTCGAACAGCTTCTCAAATGGCTCGGCGAAAGCCCTTACAGCCAACAGCGAGCCAACGATGAATGAAAGCACAGGAGCCATCTTTGCCACAACCAGTTTCCTTGAGCGAAGGTAGTCCGAAGCGAATGCGGATGAAGAGACAATGAAATGCGGACCGCATTGCAGTTTTATACCGCACCCACGGTCGACCTCAGTCCCTGCATGATAGCCATGTTATTACCGACCTACCCCATACAGTATAGATTGCCAAAGTCGCTCATCTCGTGCTGCGCATTCGCGGTGCGTTGAATGGAACCGACAGCACCCAAGCAAGGGGCTAACAAAGACAAGCCTCGGACTGGGGCTCTTGACAAGGCTTGTGTGCCGGATAAGCTCCTTCCTGTTTCGGACGTGGCGTTGCGATAACATGGCCTTTGACGCCACCTGAGTGGTTGTGACAGGTTGTGACGTGTGGATCTTGTCCTGTGCGCGCTCGTTAGCTCCGGACTAGGACCGCCCACTGGGGTTGGCGTTATAACCGGACCGCTGCCTCGGCCACAGTTCATGCAAGGCACATACGAGCACCTTCCGGTAACAACGTAGTATTGATCTCTAGAGCATTTCGTCTGCATTCGAGATCTTCCTAGATCGTTTGGTAAATGCGAGCAATCTGGGTTCCTACGATCTTCGCCGCCACAATGAAAGAAACCGTGGCTGAGATCTTCGCAAATACCAGGCGGATAAACACCAGACTAATCTTACGAACGGCCCTCCAGCAGAGTGCACCGGTATGTATGATGCTAATAAGCCTCATTTGTATCAAGGAGCTTTGTCTCCCAAAACTCAGTAAGACGCGTAGCCTCCTCAAACCTCACCCTCGATGTCCTCTACTCATAGCCCAGCTAACTTTCTTGCTTGCCCCATCAGCAATCCGTCTTAAGTTTTCATACGTTCTTCTTCGAGGTGCCGCTCGTGACGAGCAGCTTCAAGTTCGACTACAGCATCAACTTGTTGATCGGAGAATCCATAGGGAGGCACATTGAATTGTTCTGCAGGAATCCCGTGGTAGGGGTATTCGAATGAAGATCTCTGCTTACTAAAAGCCTGCATCAGTAATTCTCGGTGTCCCGGTGCGACGTAAATCTCGTCTTTGGCGTACATTTCCAGTTGCCCATGCAGTTTTGTTATCCTTTCCTTAATAAGCTCCAGTCGTTGACCTTCGATCTGATCTACGGAGAGTTAGCATGCGATAGAGTTCTTCATTTTACGCTGCCAAGTTACCTGACACGAACTTTGGAATAGGAAGCCACAAAGTACGAAGATTGCTGTCGTCGCAATGAGCTATCGCTATCTCGGCAGCGGGGATGTAAAGATATCGGTTTCTGAAGACAGAAGAGACCCAGATCCAAAGCATCAACTCTCGGCAGTAGCTACTCTGCATTTCAAAACTATGAAGTTTGTTGAGCCACACAGTGGTAAAGAATTCCACGGCACTGGCGCAGTCGTAATAGTCTACGAGGATTCCGAGCTTCGTCAGTAGTTCGAGGCTCGCGGACTTCGGGATCTGAGGGCTGCGCAAGTGTAGCATGTTCATCAAGAGGAGGAAAGCTTCCTCTTCCCAGTCATCTGCTGTAATATGATAACGACCGTCTGCCTTCTTGCATCCCTCGCACCATCTACCAGGCGAAAGCGCTGCTCTGAAGAGCGGGGAGGCCAGCATGAGATGGCGCGAAGAGACATAGTAAAGGGTAGACCCCTCAGAGACGTTAGGAAGTGTAAATGCCGATTGTTTGATGGTGAACGTCTCCGCAGGTGGCTGATGAACCTCGATAACGTCTGAGTTTGACATCTATGTATCTTGCTCTGTAATGCTGAAAGGAAGTTGATCGAGGATGTCGAGGTTGTCAAATGGCGAGTCATCCCAGCAGGCGAAGTACTCGCCATCCTCCGGTGATCGCAAGATGATGACAGTATCCGCGTCAGGGTCGATCTCATATATAACTGAGGCCATGCTCGGGTGTTGTGGGTGACTCAGGTTGAGTGGTTGTGATTTAATGTTGAGCAAGAAGATCTGGTTACATGCTCATGCAAGCCCTTGCTAAAACGATCAGTGAGTACGACCTCTGTTCCTCCTCTTCCTTCGATGAAAGGCAAGTGCACGGACAACTGCAAGTGGTTAGCAATGAGTGGATACAAGGTGTAATAGTGCTAGGATTCTACCGCCTACCGACACACTTCATCACACTTTGAGCACGCGTTGCTGCTTTCGTCAATGCCGGCCTTGTCCTACGCGTGGTAGCGATAACGCCAGATAGAATATGCGCTTTCGCGAAGTAGAGGCTACTCGAAGCTCAAGTAGCATACTGATCGTGTAGGGAAGGATCGAGACGCGTGAGGAGAGGCGAGCACCGCATGATGACACAGACGCCACTGAGAGCGCTCGCTTCTATCATAGTATCGCAGTGCGCGTGGTATTGTGTGACCGGCCTCAAAAAGCAATGCGATGCTCGAATCAATGAGGCTGGTATTGAAGGCTGCGTGGTATTTAGAAGCTCGAGGCGCGATTCAACTAAGTGGAGCCATACACAGATCAGCACTAACGTGAAGCGCGGCCCCGATTTGGCCGCGCCCTGAGCAGCCGGCTTGCGCCTTTCTTCCTGAACACTCTCCATGCGGTTCACATCACCGTGCACGCGATTGCTGCGATGAGTTGGCCTACAGCTAGGCCGGCGCCTATGACTCCTATCCTCGTAGCCCCTCTTCCATGAGCCGTGTATCGTCTGTTCAGTCTTTGGCCCATTTGATGCGTAAGCGCGTCTCGTTCTTTTTCCAGCTCTGTTAATCTGAGCGACATGTATGTTTGCGAGGTATGCAGTGTATTTGCTGAATAATTGCCAATACTTGAGGCTTCGTAGCCGTCTTCGGTTGAAGCGGTATGGGCGGCACTTCTGACTTCTTGCTGACCGCGCTCGGTCTCTAATTGTCGCTCGATACGTTGCGCGCTTGCCAGAATAGTCTCATCATCTCGTGCAAGATTGTTCTCCCATACCTTACGGATATCGCTGAGGTTCAATTTCGTACGCTCAATGTCCTCGTCCACGAATCGCACATTCCCAGCCATCTCGGTAATCGCATCTTCAAGATCCTGCAACTCGTCTCTCCGGGAACAATAAGCCATACTGGCTAACCTGCCACGCGCATCGTCTACTTTGGCCTGCAGTGTCTCGAATGATTCTGTCAAATCCTCAAATAAGACTTGACCGGCCCTCGTCTCATGGATGAGCCGATTCTCATCTACCAACTCTCGCTGAAACGCCAGTGTCAGCCTTCTACTTTTCCCTACGATATGTTGAAGTATTTTCCCTGCATCTATCTCTACAGCTGATAGCCTGACTAGTTTACCGCCGTGCTGTATAACATCCTGGATCTTCTCGCGGAGTTCCTCATGTCGCAGTTCGGCTTTAACGAGCTCGTCTCTGGTAGCTCTATCCCACATGGTAGTTGCCACGACTACTCCACCGAATGCTTCTTCTCCGCACATGCTCTTAAAGGAACTCAGTGCACGCACCGCAGAGCCTTGTAAGCGGTTGTCTGTGATGCAATGGAGGTAAATTATTCCGCTGAGTTTGATCTTTCTTTCGTAAGCGGCTGCTAACCAGTATGCCAGTTCCTGTAACGTTTCTCCATCGGATCGCCGACTATCGTTGAAGCCGGGCGTGTCTATCAGATGGATAGTCTTCCCGAGTACGCTAGTGGTGTGTATCGATACCTGACTTGTACCTATTTATTGGTATCAACGATCGGTTAGGCTTCAAGGCCGCCGAGAAGCCTACATGATGCGAGTGTATGTCCAGAAAGGCGTTCTAGAGAATTGGTACAATGCTCGATGAAAGTCGATTTGCCGGCCCCAGTCATACCCATGACTGCAATGAAAACGTCATCGGGACTGCCAGGCCAAGTCAACTCTGCGTTTGAAGGTTCAGGCACTACCTACTCAACTGGTTGCGAGCCTTCACGATTTACGGTTCCCATTGTGAAACGATGGGTGACTGTACCAAGTCGCAAATCAGTGTGTATAGTTGGGTCGGGATGTCATTCAGCGATCACGTTGCGATAGCTTTGTTACGCCGCAGCAGCTTTCGGTACGGCTAAAGGCAATCCTGCGGCAAGGTTGTACAGCCCACCTCCCGTCGTACTGAAAGCCACCAATCAACAACATACACGTTAAAGCTACCGCAATTGCTGTGCTGCAGGCAGTCCTCAAGTACGCCTCTGCGCCTATTTACGGTCCGTGCGCGATTCCGCCCGCAGGCCGCATGATAGCGCCAGCTAAGGTCAGCATCCTAGTTAGAGTCGGCAGCAACGTAGCCTGCCCGTCTTGGCAGCTTTGGATGCGCTTGCGTCTACTGTCATCGCATTGTCTGATTGTAACGCAACTTCCTATTACGAAAACCACATCAGTGTGATGTGCGCAGTATGAGCGCTTTCAACACCTCGCCAACCAGAAGGGGGAGTCATGAAGTGCTGGAGCTGATCCGCTCACATGGGAGCTCAACCAACACATTTCCTCCTACAGCTCTTACAGTCACCCGGTTCAACCAGAATGCGCCGTCTTCTCGGTATGAACAAAACATCCGTCTGATTTCGTTATCTAATCTGTCGCTAGAGGGATTGGCATTCTTGTTATGGGCCTCACCGGCGCAGGCAAAAGCACATTCATTTCTCAGGTCACCCAGAAGAGTGCAGATATTGGGCATTCGCTAGAGTCATGTATGTTCGTCTTGAATGATGGGAACATTGGCCTGATCACACCAAGGTACAACTGATGTCGTGTTCCAAACATTGCAGCGTAAAAACGGCCAAACCGTATATCTTATCGACACACCAGGCTTCGACGACACTCATTTAGAATACGCAGCGGTCTTCCGAAAGATCGCTTCATTCATATGTACCTACTGCGACGGCTATGGGCACAGTATTCCAATCGGAGGAATGATCTATGTTCAACGGATAACAGACATGAGAATGTCAGGATCTTCACTCAAAAGCCTCCGGATATTTGAGAAGATCTGCGGTGAGCGACACTTTCAGGATGTTGTGATTGTCACAACTATGTGGAACTCGCTGAAGACGAAGGAAGCGCAAGATGCCGCAACGATGCGTGAAAAGATGATGGGGGAAAGACCTGAGTTCTTTGGAAATATGTTAAGAAGTGGAGCTAAGATGGAGCAATACCAAGGCGATACCTATAGCGGCATCCGGATTGTCGAGTTATTAGCAGACAGATGGAGAACCGTCATTCTGCAATTGCAGCGCGAGATGGGACGAGGCGTAGCTACGAAACTCGAAGACACGACAGCAGGAAGATACATCGACGGTGAGCTGGCCAATGCACGCGAGAAGTACGAGACGCAAAAGCGGGAGCTAGAGGAGTGTGTAGAGGAGACTGAGGATGATGATGACCTGAGAAGCGAATTCGTCGAGCAAGCTGAAGACTGTACTCGCCATGTCAACAACATTATGACTGATCAAAGGAGTCTTTCCGTCACACTTGAAGACATGCGGAATGAGCAGGTGGCGTGGTGTAGCATAGGTCGCAACGATCAGGCAGAGGATACCGTGCATGAAAACAACTCCGCGCGCATTTTCGAGCTTGAGCATGAGGTTCAAGGGCTGAAAAGAGTGATAGAAGAGCAGCGTGTTGAAGGACTCCTTGCACATCGTGAAGGTATCGAACGAATCGAAGCCGCCAGGCAGGAACTAGCAGAAGCCAAAGAACGAGATCAAGATGTGCGAGAGAGAACAAAGGAAAGACGGCCAAAAGAGGTCATTACGTGGATGCGAGAGTTCTTCGCAGGAAGACCCGCTGGAGATATCGCGCCAATACCACGTCGAGCCGACTCCATGCCCATAGAGCCGAAGGCCTCCAAGAAGACTGGTTTAAAAGGCTGGAAGCGGAGCCGGTCAAAGGGTCGCCAAAGTGGCAGGCCGAATATCAAGCGCACATCCTCGGATGATCACCCAAAGCAGTCCAACACTACTTCGCAGTACCTCCAGGATCAACAGACTGACGAGCCTGGCTACCTCGATATATCAGAAAGCGAGTCTGAGAGCGATATGGAGGACCCGGCGCCTCCGATGTATGCGCCGCATCATCCTCATTCGTATACACCTGTGGCCCCGTACGTGCATAACAGTCACTATCACGTCTCGCCTCACGATGTGTCCAGCGATCCTACTGGGATGATACGTGTTCCACCACCACAGCCTCAGCTTCTGATGAGAAGAATCCCACATTCTGCTGGTCCGCCATACGGCCAGCATCTGCTCAGAGCTTCTTCGCATAACAGTGGCCCACCAGGCGACTCCAATTACCGTGGATAGAGTAGACAGATTGAATCCAACTTGGATTCACTGCTTACATATATCCACCAGTCTACGACGAGTAGAGTCGCATTCCGTAGCAAGTTTGGCCATATATACCATGCACTGTATCTGTCGCTGGGCTTGTAGTACCGTAGGATCTACACAGCTGCATCCGTAACGACCTTCGGTCATTGCAAATTTCTAATCGCGAAATACTATATGGTACGGCACAGCCTACACCAGCTCAGCGCATGGCTGTAGAAAACTCCAGTAAAACCGGCTGTGTCATGATACTCGGGATGTGTGTGACCCGACCATGAAGATGCGCCAAAGTCAAAACGTGGGGGCATCGCGGAGCTGAGAACTATCCGGTGAACACCCCGGTGAGCCCCAACGGACTGCCGCATGATAATCGCAACATGGATGCTCTGTGATGGAGGGGCAGCCACGACGTTGGTTCGTCGCCCGCTAGCCTATTAGCCGCTGTGGTGCGTTGTCACTACATTACTAACCCGGTGGCTTGCATACAAAGGCAACGCCGTACATCGAGGCGCAAGGCTGATCCTAGCGTCATGTAAAGCTATGCGTGAACTCGTAGTTCCCTCCCAGAATACTCTCTTGGAAAGCGGTTGCCTTGTCGCCTTGTCGGCTATGCTGCAGCCTCTCCCCCAGACATGAGAAGCTTTCATCGCTCGGACTGAAAGACTAGAATATAATAATTTTTTTGCTCTCCATCAGTAGTTGCAAAGAATCAACGACAAGTATGACGAACAGAGTGGACAGCCCTCACCGTGAGGTACCTCCTCTGCCAGAATTGACGTACGAGCCTCTCAACGTTCTGACGACTATTTGCTGACTTCCTTGCGAAGGCCCGACGATATCATTATTGCAGTGATGGGTATAACTGGCTGCGGAAAAACAACTTTCGTCAACCTTTTCTCTGATCGCAAGCTCGAGGTTGGTCATGGACTAGACTCATGTGAGAGCCATGGCTCGCTCCCTATAAACCATGGACTAAGTAAACTCTAGGCACGGTATCAGTCCAAGTCGTACCTTGTACGTTCGAGGATGGCACGAAGGTCTTTCTCGTCGATACCCCTGGCTTCGATGACACCTATCGGTCCGACTCCGAAATCCTGCGCGAAGTAGCGCTCTGGCTGAACAAGGCGCACACGGAAAAGTTGCGACTAGCTGGGATCATCTTCCTCCAAAGGATCTCAGATGTGCGAGTGGGCGGTAGCGGGATTAAGAATATCAAGATGTTTCAAAAACTGTGCGGTGACGGTCCGCTGTCGAGTGTGGTATTAGCGACCACGATGTGGGACATGGCCTCACCTCATGCTGCGATCGAACGAGAAAGAGAACTTCAACAACAACCACAGCTCTGGAAACGAATGATAGACTATGGAAGCTGTGTCTTCCGTCACGACAAAGGAAAGTCGTCAGCGCTGAGAATCATCAAGTACCTCATGAAGCGAAAGAAACCCGTAACACTCGACATACAACGCGAAATGGTCGACCAAAACCTTGAACTAGTCGATACAGGCGCCGGAAGCGCCCTCGCATCAACAGTAGACACGCTCATCAAGCACTACGAAAAGAAATTACAAGAGCTGGAACATGACCTGAGAGAAGCCCGCGCTCAAAGCAACAAAGAAGACCGCGAAATCTTGGAAGCGGCGCGGAAAGAACACCAAGACAATCTCGCGAAGCAGCGGCAGGAGATGCAAAATTTACAGGTTAGTGCGTTGCAGCTGATAGAGGAGACTAAGAAGCGGTTTGAAGAGAGCGAGGTATTGGCGAAGGAGAATATGCTACGGGCCCAGGAAAATCATGCGGCGGAGCTGGAGAAGCAAAGGATGGTGTTGCAAAGGCAGTTTAGAGAGAAGTATCTGCAGATGATGCATGAGCGGGCGTGTGTTGTAATGTAGCGGAAGATATTGTAACGGCATCTCTACGGGTTATTTTGAACTTGAGACGCGCGCGTCAATTCCATTCTTAATATTTCGAATTCGAGCTCATGCTCGATGTGCGCGGTCGTACAGCATGAATAACTCGAGGCACGTCCCTGAACGCGTCTTGCCGACTGTGTGGGAGTAAACCGGGACGCGCAGCCAGAGCGAAGTCAGCCCTCGCGAAAACAGACGCCCTCGCCTGAGAGCAAAAATGGCGTGGAAAGAGTCATACCACGCAGAATGATGCGGTATTCACTTAGAGAAGACGTGATGGAATGAGATGGAGGCGATGTTTGAGTCGAGCACGCGTCGCGGATTGGTGCACGTTGTCAGATGAGGCTAGCGCGACCATGTGGGTCCGCCAAGCGAAATCTGGTGTCGGCTTTCACGCCTGCCTGTCTTCTCTCCACTCGCAACCTTCATGACGCCAGCGCGTGAACAACAGGTCTCCTCCAACATCTTCAACTCTACCTTTTCATGTTCTATTATCACGCGACCAGGTATCGCAAAAGTCTTTTGCTTGGACTTCGTCCTAATAGCGGCGTTGACACTCCGGAACGCCGTCTCCGAAAGGAGTATGCATGTCGCTCACAACGGAAGTCGCACTTTCCAAAGATATGATCATGTTGTTATCACACCGACACATTTGTGGCTATCGATTTGTTCTATGAAAAGATCCATCATCTACTGAACCTTCGAGATTTTGAACCCTCCAGGCACGAGCTTCTGGAACACACCTGAAGGGTCGTACTTCTTTGCTGCAGCCTTCATCTTCTTTACAGAAGCGGACCCATAGCTTGCGAGAGGATCTTGCGTGTCGTCTGCGTAGTTCAGGTATAGGTATGGGTTGTCGGCACCGATGCTCTCAGCATACTCGCGAATGCCGTTGACGAGATCGGCGCCCGCGGCTTGGAAGAGCGCGTCTTGTTCAGCACCTTGCCAAGAGATGTATGGTTGGTACACTATGTTTACTGATTAGCGTGCAGTTATTACGGAATTCTAAAGCGAACTTACAACATAGAACCTGTTCACCAAAGCGCTCCAAGCCCAGCATGTTGCCACCTTTGGACGCGCTCTGCCTCCAATACGAGGGTGGAAGAGGCTGGTAGAGCACGTAGATCTGCCAATCACCCGTAGCCTTGGCCTTGAGGTTGGACAACACATTCATGTAGATCTCATGGGCTTTAGTCATGACGCGAAGATCGTTCGCGAAGGTCAGTGTGCCGAAGTACACGCTGCATCCTTGGTCAGCGTCTGTGATACAGGAGGATCGAATAGCCTACCTATGTGTAGTGGCGCCTGCAAGCTCCGCTGCAAGCGACGACATGTTTCTGATACCTGTGGAGTCCGAGATGTTGCCAGGAATTGCCAGGAACTCGTCATAGGCCGCTGGTCTCGATACTGGCTCAGCATAATCGTACGCATTCAGTATCAAATCGGCGCCCGCAGAGCTCTGGTACACCGGCATGACGATAGCCGATCCCTTCGGCTCCTTGTCAATGTTGTTCGAGAAGTTGATTAGGGCCTTGAAGTGGTCCTGAATAGTCGACTCTGGGTAAATGACGAGACCACCCCACATGCCGGCGTAGTCGAAGGTGCCGAATTTGAAGCTAGTAACGATGCCGAAGTTGTTGTTGCCACCCTTGAGGACAGCAAAGAGATCTGGATTCGAAGTCTTGGACGCGGTCACAATACGGCCGTCGGCAAGAACGACTTCAAACTCGATGACGTTGTCGCAGACCAGACCCCGTCCCGGCGAGAAGTATGAGATGCCACCGCCGAGCGTAAGACCACCGACGCCGACCGTGGACGAACGCCCACCGCTGGTCATCGCGTTCAGTGGCTCCAAGGTATCGTATACGTCGTTCCATGTTGCCGCGGGGCCGACTTTGACCACAGACTTCTTGGCATCATAATCGACGGTGCTAAGATAATGCAAGTCGAGTGTTACGCCATCCTCAATGTTTGAGGCCCCAACGTATGGAGTGTGTCCACCACTACGAATTGCGAACTTGCATGACTTTAGCCGACTAGCGGCTGTGAGTGTCTTGACAGCAAGGGCGACTTCTTTAGCGGTCCTGGGCTGGACGATGCAGTTAGGTGTGATAACTTGCTGCTTCACATCAAAGTATGAGTCCTCCCGCGTCTCGTACGCGTCTTGACCAGGATAGAGGAGCCGACTCCTTAAGGAGGTGAGTGCAAGAGCGGAGCACTGTCAATGTTAGCGAACGTTTCGAATAAAGTGAGACCAGCGAGCAGCCTCACGCAATAGTCAGCCTGTGCGAATGGGAGAACAGCCGCTGCCGCAAGTAAGGTAACAAAGAAGCGAGTCATGATGAACACCAACACAGTAAATGGAGGGATTATGCAAGCGATACTCGATGGTCGAAGCCTTAACGCAGGCTGTGGCACGCTTTTCTACTCGCTCACAACTTTCCACAGAGTGAGGGAATAACCTCAACAAGGATGCGCAATTCCTGCTTGGCAATGACTCGGCATATTAGATGAAGCTGTGTGTTCGAAGGATGCGAATATTTATTGCGGGACTGGGTTCAATGTGGCGTTCGACTTGTGCTGTGAAGGCTACACACCCGCTGGCGGCAACACGGTAGAGTAGTCAATTTGTTCGCTAAAATGTGTCTTACAGGGGTCGATGAACGCATGCTCTGCGATAGGTTCGAGATCACTCTACACATGGCCCGGCACCAGATCTTGATTGGATAATTATACGCGACCCTGACGAGCGGGCCGGAGAGCTGGAAACGAGACACGCACGCTTGGACTACAATCAGTAGACGCTTCTGGAGGCCTCGGTCGACCACACTGATGGAAGGAATTTCTAAGGGATGGCTGAATCTACGAACGCTACATCCTTGGCATGCTTGCTCTCACCCCGGGATTCCGTCATCTAGGAAGACGTCCGAGCCGTGGTTGCAACGCTAAGCTGTAGTACCAATGCGTTGTTGTGGCACAGTCATACTGAACAAGTTATTGGCAGGCGGTGCAGTACTCTAGACCAATCTTTTACGGCATGTGCGAACTTCATCTTCTAAGCGATGCGGCGTGTACAGCAACGTACCTTGCGCGCTATCACTGACCATCACAGTCAACAGCATGATTCTATTCGACATGGAACAAGGTTGATGATGAGTATGTTGGACGTCGAAAACAAGGTGATGACGGATTGCGATGGCCCGAGTGATGGGGATGGGAGTTTAAATTGAAATACAGACAAACAACGACGGAGCCTATTTGCAAAATCACCAGATCCATTCGCATCTTTGGATCATGGACATGAACAAGCCCATTTTTACGGCTCCGCCTGGATACGATGTCGATATCGACCATCCCCAGAGATCGGGCGAGGCCGCCAACTTCTGGATTGGCACCTTGGGCATGATCGTTGCTGCCATTTTCATGGCTATACGCGTCTACACAAAGAAGAGACTAGCGAAGAAGTTTACTCCGGATGACAGTAAGCCTACTCAACTGTTGAGATCTTCAAAGACGGATGTCATGAAGAGCAGTTGCTGACGAAATGTACAGTAGCGCTGCTTATAGCCTGGGTGCGTCGCATCCCAGCTTGAATAGTATAGTATGCTCGACAACTCGTGCTAACAATCAAACCTCCAGTGCTTCTCCATCGCAATACAAGTCCCCATCCTATGTACGTCTACCAAGATTCATCTCCTCCATCCCTGCTCTAACCACCCAGCAGTCCAATACGGCCGCGGTACTCTTGGCGTCCACATCTGGGAACTAACCGGCCACCGCGTCAACTCTACCATGAACGTAAGCACCACCCATCGACCCCTCCAAACAACCCCAACTAACCACCCATCAGTTGATCAGCGTAGCAAGCATAATCTACTGCCCCTTCCTCGCCAGTGCCAAGCTCTCCCTCCTCTTCTTCTACCTCCGCCTCTCCCACCTCCGCTGGTTCAAATCATGTGTCTACGTCAGCATGTTCCTTGTCGTAGGATACAACATCGCGCTTGTCTTCCCTCTCATCTTCGCTTGTACGCCTTTCCGACGGAACTGGGATGTTACCATCACGGAGGGAAGTTGTATCGATAGAACACCGCTTTATATGGCGACGGCGGTGTTGAATATGGCCACGGATATTTTGTTGCTTGTTCTTCCGGTACCGATGGTGGTGAGGTTGCAGATGCCAAGGGCGCAGAAGTTGGGGTTGATATGCATTTTTGGGGTTGGCTCACTGTGAGTGAGAACTTTATTCTGACGCGTATGATGAAGTGATGAGAGGCGGTAAAGCTGACAGGAACGGCAGGACGTGTATTACAAGCGGCGTCCGTCTCGCCCTCCTCTTCCCCATGCTCCAAACAATCGATCAGACCTGGGCGATCGTCATGCCAGGCATCTGGATGTAAGTCTACCCGAATCCACGCCCCACAACACGATACCCAAAGTCGCTTTCATTACATTCCATCGAGGCTACAATACTGACCCACCCCTCTCACCAGTCTCATAGAAGCCAACCTCGTAATAATAACCGGCTGCCTTCCCGCTATGCGACTCTTCTTCCGACACGTCGCCCCCCGCCTCATCGGCGAATCTACGTTACGCAGTAGTCGGAATCGGAGTCGAAGTCGGGGCACCAAACAACATCACAGTGCAGGAGGAGGATACGATGTGAATGGCTCGGAGCATCAATCCGAGCTCAAAACAATTGGCTCGCGGACTACAAAGACGATGAGGTATGAACGTGCAGAGGATGATGGGGTCAGTGTGGATAGTGAAGAGAGAATGGGGGCAGGGTGGAGGGCCGATAGGGATTCTGAGCGGGGGATTGTTGTGAAAGAAGATGGGAGTGGCGGGATTAGAAAGACGTCAAGTGTAGTTATTGAGAGCGAGGTTTGGAAAGGTGGGAAGGGAGATGTGAGGCAGAATGTTACTTGTGTACGGTAGGGTAGACACCACGTAAAGAAACCTCTCTTGTTGATATCATATTCTTGTTGTTCTCATTCGTGTCTTCGTATCCCTGCCGATGTCTAAAAGCTGAACTTCATACCCCCATTCGCGCAAATAACACTACCCGTGGTCCACCCCGCCTCAGGCAAACACAGCATCCCCACCACCCCACCAATCTCCTCGCTGTAACCCGGTCTTCCACCCGCATTCTGCGACGCCTCGTAGATCCTCTCCGGATCAATCCCCTTCCTCGGCGCTGCAAGAGGCGTGTTCTCAATAAACGGCTTGTTCTGCGCAATGAACGCGTCGTCGTTACTCCAGTACATGTCCGTAGCAACAGGACCGGGGTTGATCGCATTGACCGTACAGCGTTCGGCCAGTTCGCGCGACCACGTCCTTGTCATGCTCTCCAGCGCTGCCTTTGTGCCACCATAGATAGACTGACCCTTGTATCCCAGCGACGAACTAACAGACGAGAGATTGACGATACGTCCAGATCGATCATTCGGCAGGTACTGAGTTGCAGCCTTAACCAAAAGCAACGGCCCCCGTACATTAATATTGAACTGCCTAGCAAAGTCCTCACAGTCGACGTTCTCGACATAGTTGTTTCCTGCGACACCCGCGTTGTTGATGATGATGTCGAGTTGGAACTTGCCCGTCTTGGGGTGCTGGAAGTTGTTCTTGGTCACTTCGACGAGGTGGGCGGGGCCGTTTTCGGATCCCATGCTTGCTTGCACGCTGATGGCTTTGATGCCATATTCGGCGGAGAGTTCGGAGGCGAGGTCTTCGGCGGTCTTCGACGACGAATCGGAGGTATAGTTTATGACGACGTTGCAGCCTTTGCTGGCGAGGTTGCGGGCGATTTCGACGCCGATTCCTGGGGGTGTTAGGATGGAATAGATTTTTGGTATCGCTTTTGCTTACCTCGAGATGCTCCGGTGATGATGGCATTTCTTCCCTCTAGCACGCGCTGGCCTGAGCCACCAGCCAGGTTTGTCGAGGCGGTTCGGGTGTGAGTCGGTCTTGAAGCCATTTTGATATGTGTGTGAATATTATCCGTATGTGTTTGACTGGCTCGGGGGGTTATTGCGCTTGTTACTGTCTACTTGGCTTGTTGATGGCGGGGTTTTATACACGATGCGGGGTTGTGGAGACAGCTAAATAAGGCAAGTACTCGGTGGTTCCGCCGCATCGTCGTGAACCCTTCGCTCGGACATTTCCCGACCATCGTGAGAAGTACTGCAGTACAAACCACCGATGAAACCTGACTCGTGAGCCGCCTTGGTGTTCTGCTCGAGACGAGTTGATGGCATTGTCCCGATGTCGATGATCTTCAGGGTCTGAGCTAACCCAGAAGATGCCTGTTGAGATGCAGAACCCGCTAAGAGACGGCGCGCGAGCTGATTCATGCTGTCATGGACGACGTGTTAGACATAGCCAATACTCAACCCCCAGTCGAGAAGGGATCGGTCCTGCGTGAATCTTTACAGGGCGCCTCGTCCCTGTGCTGTGGAAACATCCGAGTTCTCACCGGACACGCTCGATGTTGCGCAAGCTCGTCACCGCCAAGGCTCCGAGCGCCCCTCCGCCGATGTCGCTTTGGGGAAAAGTTAGCATTAGCAAAGCTAGTGCGCGATAGCTGTGGGCATGGGAGCGCTAAAGTAGCAGGATAGTCCAAGATAATCGCTCCACACGACATAGATTGAGGGAAGCCCTGACGAACGGCGCATTGTTCTCGCCGTTGCAGAATAAAGTTGAGGGCGGTGAGTGCATCGTCGAATCGGAGCCACGTAGGCGCCAACCCCGCGACGTTGCTGCATACGCCAGCAAAAAACATAAAGCACACCATCCGCTACCATTCTTCCTCCTACATCCCACCTTCCTCCCTCACCCTCTTCTCCCTCCCCTCCCTCATCTTCTACCCATCCCCCAAATTATCACAGTTGTCCGCATCGGACAAACACATCACAATGGTACACTCTTCAGTACTCGGTTTCCCCCGCATGGGTGCGGACCGTGAGCTCAAGAAGGCCAACGAGGCCTACTGGGCGGACAAGCTCTCCCGCGATGACCTGCTCAAGGAGGGCAAGCGTCTGCGGTTGGAGCACTGGAAGATCCAGAAGGACGCCGGCGTCGATGTCATTCCCAGCAACGACTTCGCCTTCTACGACCACCTTCTCGACCACATCCAGCTCTTCAACGTAAGCACACGTCATCCAATACTGGCTGCAGTTGACTAACAAGACTAGGCTATCCCAGAGCGCTACTCCAAGCACTCGCTGCACAAGCTCGATGAGTACTTCGCCATGGGCCGTGGCCACCAGAAGGACGGTGTCGACGTTCCCTCGCTGGTAAGTCCCGAAAGTTCGGGAGTTATCAACACGGTCTAACCCCACTACAGGAGATGGTCAAGTGGTTCGACTCAAACTACCACTACGTCAAGCCCACCCTCCAAGACAACCAGACCTTCACCCTCGCTGAGAACCCTAAGCCTGTCGCTGAGTTCCTCGAGGCCAAGGAGGCTGGCATCACCACCCGCCCCGTCCTCATCGGACCTGTCTCTTTCCTCGCTCTCGGCAAGGCCGACCGTGGCCAATCCGTCGACCCCATCACTCTTCTCGAGAAGCTTCTGCCAGTATACGTCGAGCTCCTCCAGAAGCTGAAGGAGGCTGGTGCCGAATACGTCCAGATTGACGAGCCTGTCCTCGTCTACGACCTCCCCCAGAAGGTCAAGGATGCCTTCAAGCCCGCATACGAGAAGCTCGTCGGCAGCGGTCTGCCCAAGCTCGTCCTCGCCACCTACTTCGGTGACATCGTCCACAACTTCGAGGTCTTCCCCAGCCTCCAGGGTGTTGCTGGTATCCACATCGACCTTGTCAGGAACCCTGAGCAGCTCGAGAGCGTCATCGGCAAGCTTGGCTCCAACCAGGTTCTGTCCGTCGGTGTCGTTGACGGCCGCAACATCTGGAAGACCAACTTCAAGAACGCCATCGAGATTGTTGAGACTGCTGTTCAGAAGCTCGGCAAGGACCGTGTCCTTGTCGCCACCTCCAGCTCGCTTCTCCACACCCCCCACTCTCTCGACAGCGAGAAGAAGCTGCCCGAGGAGGTCAAGGACTGGTTCTCCTTCGCTTGCCAGAAGGTGTCTGAGGTCGTTGTCATTGCCAAGGCTGTCAACGACGGCCCAGCATCCGTCCGTGAGGCTCTTGAGGCCAACGCCAAGTCGATGCAGGCTCGTGCCTCATCTGAGCGCACCAACAACAAGGCCGTCAAGGATCGTCAGGCCAGCGTCACTCCTGAGCAACACGAGCGCAAGTCTGGCTTCCCCGAGCGTTACGCTCAGCAGAAGAAGCACCTCAACCTCCCCATGTTCCCTACCACCACCATCGGATCCTTCCCCCAGACCAAGGAGATCCGTATCTCGCGTAACAAGTTCACCAAGGGTGAGATCACACCCGAGGAGTACGAGAAGTTCATCGAGAAGGAGATTGAGGAGGTCGTCAAGATCCAAGATGAGCTTGGCCTTGACGTCTACGTTCACGGCGAGCCCGAGCGTAACGACATGGTGCAGTACTTCGGCGAGCGCCTTGACGGTTATGCCTTCACCACCAAGGGTTGGGTCCAGTCTTACGGATCCCGCTGCGTCCGTCCTCCGATCATCGTCGGTGACATCTCCCGCCCTGCTCCCATGACCGTCAAGGAGTCCAAGTACGCCGCCTCCATCTCCAAGAAGCCCATGAAGGGTATGCTTACTGGACCCATCACCTGCCTCCGATGGTCCTTCCCCCGTGACGATGTTCACCAGTCTGTCCAGGCGCAGCAACTTGCTCTCGCTCTCCGCGACGAGGTTGTTGACCTTGAGTCTGCTGGCATCTACGTCATCCAGGTCGACGAGCCCGCTCTCCGTGAGGGTCTTCCTCTCCGTGCCGGCACTGAGCGTGAGAAGTACCTCTCATGGGCTGTCGACTCCTTCAAGCTCGCCTGCGCTGGTGTCCAAGACTCTACCCAGATCCACTCCCACTTCTGCTACTCCGAGTTCCAGGACTTCTTCCACGCCATTGCCGCGCTCGATGCTGATGTCCTCTCCATCGAGAACAGCAAGAGCGACGCCAAGCTCCTCAAGGTCTTCGAGGACAAGGCTTACCCCCGCCACATCGGCCCCGGTGTCTACGACATCCACTCCCCTCGTATCCCCTCCGAGCAGGAGATCAAGGACCGTCTCGCCGAGATGCTCACCTACCTCAAGCCTGAGCAGCTCTGGGTCAACCCCGACTGCGGTCTCAAGACGCGTCAGTGGAAGGAGACCAAGGCAGCGCTTGTCAACCTTGTCAACGCGGCCAAGTTCTACCGCGAGAAGTACTCTTCTTAGGCTCTTTGCCATTTGGCATATCCTCTTTGACTGCCTTTCATCAAGGCAGTCGCTTCAAGCAGCATATCAACATGCCGCTTTGTAATGTGTGTAATGACTAGTTATGATACCCAAAAGTTCAACCTGCATCATGGGTCGTTTGGCGGTGCAAAAGGATATTGAGGAGATGAACGCTCTCAACATCGGCGTTCATCATAAGCAGCAAATGGGCTGGCTTTGGCGTTTTGATATTTAAGGGGACTATGTGTGCGACGATTGTCGCAAGGAGATGGCAGGTGGCGGAGCAAGAGCTCTGTCGATGTAGAGTAGACTACCTCATCTTGATATGGGATGAACTGAATGAAAGTTTAGAAGTGTCGCTCTACAATCGAGTGTTCAGTATGCGTGATGACTGTACTGTCAACATGTGTGGTTTGAGTTCCGTAGCTTCTCCAGGGCTTCCACCACTTCCGACGTTGACGCCGTGCCACCAAGATTTCGTGGGGCGTGCAGAGCAGCTCGATGGTCCGACTCATCGCATGCCCCCTCATCACCGCCTTCTTGTACCTCATTTCTAGTTTCTTGTTCTGCTATCATTGCATGATATTACAAGGACCGGTATAATACCTTCTAGATGAAGCGGAGTACCACGTCTATAATACTTACAGCGTAAGCAATACCAAAAGCTTCCTAGCAAACAACAGCGAAGACGTTGACGGCTTTGATGAAGGTGCTGGTGCATAATGCAGGCACAATACTTCATACAATCGCAGTGCAAGTGTATCTCCCAAACACATTGTCCGACGAAGGCGATAGGGAAATAGTAGTCTGTGATATGTCGACGCGTCCGTGGCACGCGCAGATCTTGTCGACGATTGACCTGCACACGGAGTCTCTATGAATTATCTTATAGCCCATCACAGTGCTATAGGACAATAACAGCACCACGGATCAGAATCGCGCATATATAACGTGTATGTATAGGCCGTACAAATTATAGGTGAGTGTATTGGCGCGTTGACGGCGGCACGGGCAGTTCTTCTCGACGACCAAAGGCCCGAAAAGCCAATAGATCTCAGCTGATGCGTTGCGTATCTGAAACAAAAGTGGATGGAAGGTAGTGTCATTGACTTTTCTTGAACGCGTGGAAGCCGGGTTCTTGAGCGGCAGGCAACCTTGGAAGGTGGGGGCACAGCGCGCTCGTGCTGACGGTGCGGTCATACCACCAACCTTCTACCAACCTCCCTTCCATCACAACTTTGGGGTCACGCAGCATTACGATGGCAACTGTTTCTCCGACGACGGCATCTTTGGGAAAAGCAATGCCATCAATTGAATCGGACATTGGCAACGGTACATAATCGGTCGTTGTCGACGAGCTATATCTTCACATGCTATGATGTGGGCGCGCCACAAAAGCCGTTGCCCCGAACGACCCCGTTTACTAACCAGCTTGGCATGGGAAAATCAGGGCAAATCAGGCCCAGACGCGATCCGGGCCAGTCTCCGATCATGGCATGCAGCATTGATTGGACCGATGGACGCCTCTCACCGAAACATACGCGCTAGAATAGTACGTTGCGCAACTTTAGTCGAGTCTTTCGCGGCTGGGTCGAGGGCGTCGCGGGCTGGGCCTCTGTTGACAGACCAGCCACCTCGCGGTCCCGTGCATGAACCGCAGATCTGAGCCCACCATCCGACTTGTATCTGCGCATCCTCAACTCCACTCGTATTGTCGCTTGCGCCGTACTACGCTGTCCCGCAATTCTCGAGAGTCGTGGTTCATGGGACGTCATCTCCAGCATTCGAGGTGAAGGTCCTCGCGCATCACACCACCACTATGTCAACCTCACTAAGGCTGCCTATCGAACTTCGAATGCAATGGCTCCCGCTCTTCTCAGCTTCGCTACTGCTGTCTGCTGTTGCAGCCCAGATGCCCTACAACCCTACACGCCTCCTCCAGAACAATGATACCCTCTACGTCTTCCGCCCGTCGTCGCAATCCTCCACGCAGTTCGCTCTGAGCACCATCGATCTATCATCCCAGGTCAAAGCGTCGAACCTGCCCTACAACACATTGTACGCCACGCTACCCTTCCTTGACGACAATGCCCCGCGCGCGTTCACCCCGGTTCTTGACCAGGACGGCAACCTGACTGTATATACGGGCGACTGCACTCTGGGTGCGAGTGGTGGGGAGTTGTGGAGTTTCGTACCAGATACACCGGAGAATGTCGTCAAGGGTAGTTGGAGCAAGCAGGATGTATCTGTGGTCGACAGTTCGCATACGTCCATCATGGGCGCGAACTACCTCAGCGGCGGTATGACATTCTCGTCTATCGTAGGAGGGAAGGCTGCGAACACCGGCGCATACTTCTTCGGTGGCATGTGTCCCGATCAAAACGATACCACGAGCGACTGGCAATCTGCGGCCAACTACTCAAACTTCATGGTCACACTACAACCATCCGAGGATACGAGCAAGCCGCTCAACTACGACATCGACGTCTCATCCAGCCGTGGGCCGCCTATACCCGAAGCTGGATTCACCATCACTGGTCTTTCGCCAACCTTTTCCGACCGAAGCGATGGCACGCAGATACAACAGCAAAACTTTGTTCTTATCGGCGGCCATACTAGTGCTGCTTTCATCAACATGTCGCAGATTGCGCTCTTCTCTCTACCGGAACAGGGCTGGACCTTCATCGGCGTTGAGCAGCCTGACACTTCCCGTACAGACTTAGCTATCCGAGCAGACGTCACCTCGATCGACCCGCGTTCCGGCCATACTGCCGTACTGAGTCCCGATGGCCAGCAGATCATTGTGGTTGGTGGCTGGGTGGGCGATATCAATACACCGGCGGATCCCCAGTTCGCCATACTGAGCGTTGCAGATGGATATGGCGGTGCTGGTGACTGGCAGTGGGTAGTTCCATCTACTGCTGGTACCGGGCTGCCGAATGACGGTGGTATTTACGGTCATGGAGCGGCCATGCTCCCAGGAGGTGTACTGATGATCACCGGAGGCTACTCTATTTTGTCATCTAGTACACAGCGGAGAGACGTCGCACCAGCAGTAAACACGCAAACCTACTTCCTTAACGTCACCTCGAACACCTGGATCTCGGATTATACTCCCCCAGCCAAAGAGGCGCCGTCCGAATCTGCCAGTAGCGGCTTGTTGTCGACAACTGGGCAAAAGGCTGGCCTGGGTGTAGGCATTGGTATCGGCCTGGCTGCGATATGTGGAGTGTTCGCGCTCTACATGTGGTATGCAAGGCGTATGAAGAAGCGGAGGGAGTTCCGGGAAAAGCAACTGCAAGAGATCTCCTACACTACCCATAGATATAATGCCGAAGACCACCCTCAAAGCTTCGATGGCCGCGGCGGGAACTCGGATGCTCTGGACTACATTGCCGATCAGAACGGGCCTTACTACTTCCCGGCCGGTACACAGGGTGGGCAAGGATGGAAGGCCGCCAACCGGGGTGATGTAGAAAGAACTGGCTTGCTGGTCGAGATTCCAAGTCCGACCCGCGGATTGCGACGCAACTTGACTGGTAGACCTCAGTACGCCATGGGCAGGCCTCGTGGTCCTGGAAGCATACATCCTATCGACGAATTGGAGGAGGAGCCTGACGAAGAGTTAGCGCACGACAACAACACACCGGGCAGGCATCATGAGATGACCGAGACACGACCAAGATCCGGAGCAGCGATACTGGACAACGCTCCTGTTTTGGATCCCTTCACGGAATCCCCTGGGCGTACCAGGAATACCCTCCATTCAGCGTCTCCCTCGCCTCAACACCAGAGCTATGAGGTCAACACTAATTCAGCTGGAAGGCTATCGCCTGACAAGTCTACTTCGGAACGTACAAGCTCCAACCTCAGCGAACGAAGTACGCTGTCCTGGACTTCCTCCAACGGTGGCGTGGGGCGCAGTGCATCCATGCGTTCGGGTCCTATGTTGAACACAGCCATGCGTGCCAACCCATTCAAAACGCCTGATACAAGTCCTACTCATGACAAGCCTGGTCGACACTCACCAGACGACCCGCGAACCCAGTCATTTAGTAGTCTGCAAGGAGAACAGGATGTCGACTCATTCCGCACGGCACAATCATCATTCTCCCGTCTACAAGCAGAAGGCGAGGTGCTCCTTGGTGGAAACCCAGAGCGATCCAGACCCGACACCAGCTCATCCGGTTCAACCACACACCGTGACTCGGACCGCAGCAACAGTCGCGCAGCCACAGCCACACCAGCAACATCCTTCGCACTAGACCTATCATCAGCCTCTCGACCCGCAACTAGAGAGCGCAGAATGAGCTGGCTAGGCAGTGTCCGCAGAGTGCTAACGCGCTCCGTCTCAAGCGCCGAACGTACGCGCTCTCTAACAACAGCACCAATCTACCACGAACCCTACAGAGACGATCCCATCTCCCCCGTCGACCCGTCTCCCCGATCCATCAACAGGAAATCCCTCCCCGCCCCTTCAACAGCAACCTCAACCCCCCAACGCGCCGCCTCCGACGCAAGCTTCTGGCGCAACCGCCGCGGCAAACAAGATTGGCTCGAAGAAGAACAAGACCCGGCGTGGCGCCGCACCGCAGGAGATGACTGGGGCGCACCTGAGGACATTGCCATACTAGAGCGTGAACGCGCACGTCAAGAGTGGCGGGAACGGGGAAGCAATCTGCTTGTCACTATCAACAGTGAGGACCGTCTCCCCACGCCACGCACACCAATTTCACCAGACCAGCTAGGCGTGCCGCCATCGCATGATAGAGGAGAGGAAAGAGAGCGTCCCTGCACCCCCGCCAGCGAAGCAGACTGGGACGTCGAAGCCGCAGTCGAGCGCCGCGTTGTGCAAGTCATGTTCACCGTACCAAAAAGCAAGCTCAGAGTCGTCAACGCAGACATTGACGGAGCTAGCATATTGTCCGATGTCCCCCCACGGGATACGGATGATAACGCTAATACGTCGCCGACGAGGGTGAAGGATCTTGCGGGAAGGTTCGAACAGATGAGTGGGAGGAGTAGTCCTAGGATGAGTCCGAGGCCTAGTCCGTCGAATTCGATTAAGAGTTTGAAGGTTAGGAACAAGGCAAGTTCCGCGTCGCTGGCGAGACAGACGAGTCTCAGGAGTGCGAGGTTGGGCAGTGGAGCAGGTCTGAGTCCGTTGGGGAATGGGAAGGGGAAAGAGAGGGAGTGATTTGATGATGGTATTTTCCGGTTGTACGATTTCTTTTTGATGATCTAGGGATAGCGAATGGCGTTTGGGATCTGGCGTTTTCTGTACGCACAGAGAAGCTTGATAGATATCCTTGATGTTTGTATTCACATAGCACGATTTAGTGTTGACGTGCTCCACGGTCGTTTTTAGACGAGACGATGTAGTTACAAGTAGTTTGAACGACCTTATTATTCTACAAAAGAGTTATATACTGTCCTCGCTTCAACTTGACATGTGCAAAAATCTTTGGCAAGGGAACATGAAGTACTTCGAGGCTGGAATTTTGCCGTCGTCGGTCGCCTTCCCCCCTTCCTCCCGGGTGTAACACGGCAAGCGCGTTTCGTGAGATTGTGACAAAGTCATCCTTTGTTCATACGGTACGGCTATGAGGACTGTGGTTTTTGTGTTGCGTATCCAAGATGATCAAAGCCTGTCATTCCCAAACTGTAGCATTTGTGGGTTTAGTACGACCTTGCTAACATTATCGAGACTTGTCATCGGAAGATGGGGGTTTTGTGCTACACATTTACCCGCTTCATCCTCTCATCATCCCTAGTCGTATGGGGAAGCCGTGGGGTATATAGCGCCTGTTACTCGTTGCCGTGTTTCTAAGAGTGCTTGTGCGAGAGACAGCGGGAAGTATAGGAACGGCGAATGAGACTCTTCGCTCAGGACATGCGGTCGTTCAACTAGCCTTATCCAAGGTTTTCGCTCAGACAGCAGACATGAGGAGCGCTATGGTGGGGGTTACGAAGAGATGGCCGCTGCTCCTGGTCGTGAACTTGCAGATGGAGTCGCATATACACTACACGAATGCGGATATCGACCGAAAGAAGCGATGCCGGAGCGACACCGAACAGAGACGCCTGTCCGGTAGAGGATACCAATGATGGTATCGAAAGCGCGACTATAGGATGCGAATCGGAACCTACTGGCTATCTCGACTGGTGCTATCGCCTCAGCACAAATTGGATACTATGGTGTCTCATCGGCGATATATCGAAGGAGGAGGCTCACGAGATAGAACACTTGAGCACCATGCTTCCTCGAAACGACTCTGGTGTTGGATTTCACCTACTAGGAGGAAATGAGGGATATTCCTTACGTCCCGCGGTGCTAAAACCATCATTACCTATCTATTTCCAATTCATTTCCCAAGACGCCACAACCAGAAAACTGCTCGATTACCGTGTTTGCTCGGAATGGAATAACGTCGACGCCCTACTCCACGAACTGGCACTCGACGGCATCATCGTCCATGAGCTATGGAACGTAACCGAAGACATGCAGATTGCGAGTGGTGACTGGGATGCAAGGATTCAACCGGGCATTGCGATAGAAGCGTGGTGTTTTCTGGACGCACAGAGTGATGCTTGGGAGGAACATGGTAGTGAGAGCGAGGTCGAAGACGAGGTGGATGGAGACAGTGTGGGAAATGACTGCAAGATGAGTCAACAAGATTCGATGACTGAATCGCGTCCCTCGCATCCATGGTGGTTCAGTCGATGGCGAGAAAGAGTAGAAAAGAAACTCTAAAGTAAAAGAGACGTCACGTCCGAACCATCCTGGTCTGTGATAGTAGCATGGTGTACATCCATCGTCGGCATCGTAGTCTTGGTCAGCGTACTTAGTACATAGATAATCGATTTCCCTCTTTCCAATCCCTCACCACGGCGTATCCTCCTCCTCACTACTGCTACTAAACCGCCCACTTTTCCCATGATTTCCCAACTCATCATCCACCTCCCCATCATGGTCATGGTGCTCCGCATAATGCGGATAACGGTACCCCTAAAATTTCCTCCTCTTACACCGCGGACAATCAACACAAGGATCATTGTCCTCAGCACTGCTATCCATGACTAACTTCCCATCCACAACACAATATTATGTATAGGTCTTAGGATCGTAAACACGCATGCTATCCACCAGCTTCTTGTCTTCCTCCTCTTGAATCTCACGAGCTTTAATAGTACAGCATGTCACGACGTGGAAGTTTAGAGCTTTCTCGGGAGTTCACTTCTTGTATAGGCCGAGGAGGTCGAAGTAATCTTGGCCGCCTACGATGGAGGTGGCGAAGTCTTTGCTTTCTTTTGCGAGGCGCCCGAGGCAGACATCACCGCCGTGGGTTGCGCAGCCTACAGTTTTTGGGTCTACGGAGAAGACGTCTGGTGCGGTTTTGGGTTCTGGCGGGACTTCGAAGATGACTTGTTGTATCGCTTCGTGTGATTTTCGCAGTGGGGAGGCAAAGGCTTTGTCGTCTTTTGCTATGCAGCCCCACTGCTCCTCGTCAGCGGCGGCGCCTTCTAGGATACAGATGCCCAAGCGTGGATCTTTACTCCATTATTGTCCCAGGAGGGGTCGGCGAAGAGGGAGCGTCCGAGGTAGAGCCAAATTTTTGCGCATTGGTCTTGGAGTGCTCGCCAGCTGAAGCAGTGATCCATGGCGTCGTCTTCTAGCCAGAGAATAAGGTCGCGAAGAAGGGTCGTGGGGCTGTTTTCGTTTGTGGAGTGCTCTTCGGTGTAGGGGCGCCACCGACGGCTTGCTACTACGAAGGACACGTGGGCGGGTGATTTATTGAACTTTTTGTCAAGGCGGGCGATTTCTGTTTCCAACCGAAGGGTGTTGTTGAGTTGTCTGACTTTATCTGTGTTTGTGTATCGAACATCAGTGTTTTCCTGACAAGCTGCTCACGTTAAGTGTGTACGGTACGTACGGTCAACAGATGCGTCGGTAGTTGCCTATCCAAAACTCCGCTCCATGAAGATCGGAGCTAGAATACTGGTTTCTTGTAACCGAGAGCCGTCCCTTAGCTTCCGCATATCTTTGAGCGTTTTGGAATTCTGCTTTCCTCATGCCTCACGCGCTATATCAGAGGCAGACCGTCCTATCATTAGATAGGCATTACGAAAGGACTCACCCAGAGTCTGGGGGGCACCACCGAAGAAAAGCCTCGTTTCTTCTTACTGGTGGATGAGGTACTCCATGTCCGGCCATACAGGGAAATTAGGATGCGATAGCTTGGTAGCAACGTACAAGTGTGTCATCATGCAAATCTGCCCCAAGGCGCGTTCTAGCTGATAAACTAAAGTGTTGAGTTGCAGATAAGCGTCGTACATTAGTAATCCACATCTGATCGGATTGGATTACTGATGTACGACGCTTATCTGTCCATAAGACCAGACGAACCGATCATGTGTGGATGCTAACTGATCAACAAAAGAGCTAGTAGTACTGCGAATTGCCAACGGCTGTGGGCTAAATATCGAAAGGTTCAATCTATGACTTACCCCATACGGGAATGTTCTTTTGAGGATAATTCTCTAGGCGTGCAAGTGTTAGATCAAATTCAGACTCAGCGTGCCGCACCAAGTCGATAGCTGTGTTCGCGATGACAGAAGCGTTCACCAAGTCGACTTTGCCGTCGTTGTATAAAAACCAGATTTCCTGAACAGTGTCGCGAAGCTCATATATGTTTGTCATGGACGACTGGATAGCGAAGCAAAACTGCGACTCGATCTCCGACTCGTCTTGCTGAATTTCAACAGGGTTCACAGGGGTAGTGTTTCCATCGAGTCATCTGGTCTTGGGGCAGGTCCGTCCTCGGTCTCGGCCTCTTCAGCCGCGTTGTTGGGATCCATCGAGAGACTGGAGAGAGTATTCTTCATCTTTTGCAGCGAGTCAATGTCGGGCTTTTGACTTGGCTGAGTTCTCTGAGCACGAGGCACCGATTCCTTAACCAGTGGCTGAAGGATTCCAGCAGCATATCTGAGGATATCAACGAAGTGAGCATCGGTCTGGTAGCTCTCGTCTAGGACAGTGTCGCTTTGCGATTGACGGAAACAAGTTGCAGCTTTTCCTCGAACCTCAATGGCACGATCGAATATCTTGCTGAGTGCTCCAGGAACCTCGACCTTGGGAACTTTCTCCGCAATGGCTTCCGCCATGGGCACAAACTCTCCAACATTGATGCGATAGGTATCTGCGGGAGTGTTCGCGGAGGCAGCAGCAGCTTTTTGGGCTTCTTTCCTTGCCTGTAATTTGATGAAAAGAACGAAGCCACGGTGTAACAGAGGAGCTTTGCCGCGAATTGAAAATGAAGTGATACTCGCCCTGGGTTGACGGGATATTGTATGAGGCTGGACGAATGAGAACATTCACGGAGTTCGGAACACTTTACAAAAGCTACTGAAGAAATATGAGTGCGTGAGCTGTAGAGCTCATGCGCCGCCTTCCGCCACAACGAAGGTCGGTTGTTTGCCCTGGATAGATGCAGAGGCAGATGTAAGTCGCATCTCGGGCATTGTCACGGATGCACAGGCCTTCCAGGTTCCCCACCAGCTCAGACTATCGTGAAGAGCCAATAGGAAGGTGGCGCGAGATCCCCTTGGACGCTTTCCGGGGGGATTGCCGCTCTTGTAAGGGGTTTAAAAGCAATACTGTAATGTGACATTGTACATGTCTGGCAGAGCCCTTAACGGGAGGAAGCATGAATACTGGATATAAAGTGCTGGAAAGATAGCGCGAATGTGGCGTTATTGGGGATGCAGGAGGTTGTGATATTGGTGTTGTAAGAGGGCAGGGATGAGAGCCATGACGTGCCAGACGCGAGCAGAGCTCCCCGCGCGCATTGGGCTTCCGAGCTCACGGCTGAAGCATCGCAACCACAATGGCTGACATGGCATCGCGAATTGCGTCAGTAAGAGGATTGTTACCTGATCTGGAATCAGCGCTGCATTCCTTTACTTCGTCCCCTGCCAAGTTCCGTGTCGTGCGGACAGTCAACGACACGCCGACACAGCCCAAGACGCTCTACATCCTCGACTCGTCCTTCAATCCGCCGTCCATTGCCCACCTCACCCTCGCGACATCGGCCCTGAAGCAGTCGACGCCCCTAGAAAAGAGCCCCTTTCGGTTGTTACTGCTGTTTAGCACCCACAATGCAGACAAAGCACCGAGTCCGGCCAGCTTTGTGCAGCGCATCGCCCTCATGACTGTGTTTGCCGAGGACCTGTCGCGAAGCTTGAAGAGCGCGTCGCCCTCGATGGCTGCTGACGTGTCCAACGTGTCGATAGACATTGGCCTAACCAAGGAGCCATACTACAGTGACAAGTCGGTTGCCATAGCCGAGACCACACCACCATTCTACGCGTCGCGACCCATCCACATCCACCTTGTCGGCTACGACACCCTGATCCGCTTCTGCAACCCCAAATACTACCCCAAGTACGACCCACCGCTTTCGGCGCTCAAGCCCTTCTTCGGTGCCGGCCACAAGCTGCGTGTGACCCAGCGACCCACGGACCCGAGCGACGAGTCGTCCAATGAGTTTGGTACAACGGAGGAGCAAGAGAGATACCTGCAGGATCTGAAAGATGGCAATCAGCAGAAGGCCGGCTTTGAGCCTGCCTGGGGCAACAACATAGACATGGTGCAGGCGGAGGAAGGCGTTGGTATAAGCTCTACCAGAGTGAGAAAGGCAGCCAACGCGGGTGATTGGGACACGGTAGGCAAGTTGTGTACCGAGGGCGTAGCTGCTTGGATCAAAGACCAGGGTCTATACAGTGAGGATGCTAGCGGCAAGAAGATGATGGGCTGAAATACCACCACGTACATGGCATGTGCAACAGTGATGCGTATATCGAGTCTCTCAGGCACAACATCATAGAGCATACATGTCGCGACCAAAAGCCAATTCGGCGGCGTCATTTCTTTGCTGTGTGTTTGGACCAGGACTTCTTGGGGAAGTCGCGATGAACGGGATATGACGGGCTTCTCCCACACCACAAGAGGCCACAACATGGACGCAGCCGCAACTGCCCAACCCACCCAGCATCTCACGCCATATGTTTAGTCTTCGTCATCGAAACTACTTCCTCATACGTTGCCATGTCTTCTGCAGCCATCGGCACTCCCGCAAGCTCATGTTGGCATGGACAAGCTGTCTTGTTTGCATCTCTCTTTCCCAACTTCCGGTCTTGAGCAAGCACTTCACGTGCACTGACGCGGCCATCAACAAACCAGCAACTTTCCATATGCAGCTACCCACTCATCCTTCTTCCACCACCTCGCCATCATGGCAACCAATCTGTGCTGTACGGCCGAGCAGGACGATCGTTCAGATTCACCCGAGCTACCCAACGCCCGCGTCAGTCAGCCTACACCGGTGAACAGGCCACTCCTACCCAAAGATGCTAGCTCACCTAGTTCACGCTTCACGAGTGCCCGTTCGGAAGACCTTCATGAGCTGCATGAGATTTTCCACAACGCTCGCGACTCCAACGAAGACCGAGCTATGCCGATGCGGACGCTTCGTGCACGCTTCAGTCGTCCTTCGATGCATAGCATCCGCAGTCTACACAAGATGACGAGTATGCGTTCACTGATTAGACGCAAGTTTTCGAAGGAGCTTCCTAAGAAAGCTCCAACCGTTTCATCACCACATTTGCAGCCGAGACCAAGGCACATCACACCGGCTCCCAGCACTGTCATCAAGCAGCTGAAGGACGGAACAAACCAGCAGCTTCAGATCACTAAGTATGACCTACGCAAGGATCTACTCAGCGACAAGAAGCCTGATGAGGGCGGATACGATTCAGATGCCGAGGCCCTTGACGATATCGCGAACAACATCGGCAAGAAAGCACCTATCAAGCGACCAAGCATCCACAGCGTCGACTGGGCCACCACTACCGGAAGGTTAGATGTCGTGAGCTCGTTGTCACAGCATACTGACAATCACCAGCAAAACGACACCAGACTCCACGAGAAACGGCCGCACCAGCGGCGAGCTCAATGACGACCTCCCTCCCTACAGTATCAACAAGCCACAGGCCGGTCCTTTTTCCCACCGCTTCAGTCAAGTGTTCAGCACGCCCAATTTGCGATCAGATACGCCTGGTGGAAAGGACAACAGAGTCAGACGCTCGCATTCGGCCACATCCATGGGCTTGCCGAAGCCTTCTCCCCTCTCGCCATTACGACTACCAAGCCTTACCGACCACGACTCAGCTGGGATACCGTGGTCTGAGATAATGCATAAGAGTCTCCGGCTTTCCCAGTTCCCTGTGCCTCCACGCCATATCAGCCCACAGGCATCCATAACCACTTTCAACAACGACGGCCATAAGCGATACCAGAAACGAAGTAGTTCAGCTTCAGTATCATCACACCGAGCCCTTGAATGCCCTGCTTCTCCTTCTGCTCGCCTTGTTGAGATCCGCGTTCAACAGCCCACTTCTACCGCAAGCCCAAGGCCGTCTTCATCTATCAGAGGCAATCTCCGCGGAGATTCATCTCAAAAGGCACGAGGACAGGCACGTAACGGCGAGGGTAATGATGACGATGACAATCCACGTCGATCTGTACATCTTCACAGCATGCGCATCTCACATCATCTACGGTCCGGGTCTCTTCTCTCATGGGATCAACTTGCCGATGCACCAGAGCTTCCAACTCCGCCTCACGCATTCCGTGAACGTACTGTCTCAGACCAAAGCCGGACTTCCCCACGAAGTAAGCAACTAGCCCGTCATGACCGGCAAACTTCGAGCTCAGGCTTTGCCAGCTCAAAGGTTCCGAGTAGATGGGGTAAGGTCCTGCCGAACGATCTTGACACCCGGCCTGATGCTGCCTCTTCCATCTACTCGAGTCGGCCACAAAGCCCACCCGACAGTTTTGGGGGATCGGTAACAACTCTACCGCGCACTGGTACTGAGAATCGCCCGGTCAGTATCTCGTCTTCCGACATACGACGGCCTCGACGTTCTGCTTCCTTTCCTACAGACAACGAAGACACACCAAGACCAGCTAAACGACATGGTCTTATCAACCTTGCAACTGTCACTGGCCATGCGATCGAGCCCGCGCTTCTTGCACCGCCAGCGCCGCTAGCACGCAAGAACAGTGTTGCTGATACCAAGACCTCCAAATTTCGGGAAGAGTTTAGCCCATCTCCACCCAAGAAGAAGATGACACAGTCGGCATCTATCATCAAGTTCCTGAACCCAAAGCGCCTGAGTATGCGCAGTCAGAGTGAGGCGAATCTCCAATCAGAAGCGTCAGTCACCGTCACCGTCTTCGCTCTGGATGGTCCATCTGATACGTTGGATGTTCCTGCTAATCATACACGTCGTCAATCACGGTCCTTGATGAGCATGCAGGCTGAACAAGACGCACTTGGCAAGAGCAAAGGCGCTAATCATGTATGGGATCGTGCTTTGCAAGCGCACCAAGATGAGAAAGCATCTCTCTATCTTCCCAAAAACAGAGATCTTGCTGTTCAGGCGAGCCCTTTCCGCGAGCGCAGCGGGAGCATCTCCGTGCGACGCATCAGCGTCGAAGGCTTGGATCCAGCTAGCCGAGCTGATGATGGGTCTAGCACGCGGGTATCGACCCTTAGTCCCCACGCCGAAACACCTGGTGAAGAGCACTCCGAGGGGCTGTTCACGATGGTGTCTCGTCGCAGTGCTATGATCGGGCGTGATGATGTTAGCGTTGGACAAGAAGTGGCAAATGCATTTGAGCGGCAGGGTGACAGCATGGATATTGTCGGAGCCTGGGGTCGTTACCCTTCGCACACGCGCCACGACCGTACTGCCTCTGCAGGGAAGGCTGATAACGTCCAGCCGCGCGACTTTGCACTAGAGGCAGCGATCAGATTTGCTTCAGCAACAGATGACGAGGATTTGATCGATCCTACAGAGAGGAGACCCTCCACCCCACTGCTGCCTGGTGAGAAGAAGAAAAAGAAGAAGGTTGGCAGTGGTCGTGTAGCGAAGAGCAACTCGATGACTTTCGGCAAGACCCTCATGAAGAACTACACCAAGATGTTCAGGAGTCAGAGCACAGAGTTTCGCAGGCATGGTCGTGGACACCGCAGTTCCATCGCATCTGGCGGCATTCTTGAGCACCCTGAGCTCGAGCTCCTGCCTGATGTATGGTCGGGTGAGGTTCTCAGAGACGTTGACACGTATATTCCAGGTGATGAGCAGTCCGTGCCGAGGCAAGAAACTTCGAAGAAGACAACTAAATCCAGGAGCAACCTACGAGCGGAGGTTTCCATGGCAACACTCCGTCCACGCCGCAACTCTTCTGCGCCCAACCTAAATGAGATGTCATTCGGCGATGGCGCGGCTGATGCGCAGCACGCAAATGATCGAGCACGTGTCTGGTCTACCTACTATGATAACTGCGTCGATGCATATCCCCGTCTGAGTATGGACACCAACCGAGTTCTCGGGGACTTCGGTCGTCCGAATCGGCACTCATTCGATAGTCGGCAGGTGTCCGTGCACTCGCGCGCTTTGCCTACCTATCTGCGCAAGCACACGCGCAACGCCAGCCAGATGAGTCAGATGAGCAATGGGAGCCGAGCCAGGAGCTTCGGATCGCTGGGTAAAGATGACACCGCTTTCGAGGAACGGAGTTTGGTCAGCGTTAGGCGAAGCACCATGGATCTGATTTCCAAGTTCAAACAGCAGGAGGCTACCGAGCATGAGAGGATCTTGTCTTTCAGCAGGATGGATAGTGGACAGGCGCGGGAGAGTGTGGCGGCTCAGTGAGGTGGCTGAAAATCACGCCACGTCGTAATGTTTAATATCTGCTCCACGAGTCCGCCAGTACGATGAATGTATCGTTAGTATCAGTATCGGTCAGTTTGTAGCATTTACTCGTCATACTTGAGTCTTTTCTCGTTACGTTGCTATCGTCCTTCGAGCTAGTTGTGCCATCCTCGAATTTTCATTGGTCGCGTATTTGTTCGACCAAGGTATGCACACACGTGAATTGTAGCTGCGACCCACTCCTACACTGGCAGCCAGTAGCGATGCCTCGATTTCATCAGACCATCATTATTTTACAACAACACAGTGACTCGTGCGCCGAGGCTCTCGAGCTAGTGATTTGTTCCCACGTTTGGTGTAGGAAAGGTCTGAGGTGGGCTTTCGGGGCACTTGTCCGGTCACACTGCGCGTTCTCTACTGGGGGATGCGAACTTTGGTTGTACGTGCTGCTGTTAGACATGGTATATGAACGCACCTACACGGTCTCTTGTCTATAAAGTTGGACATCTCGCTGTTTATCAATTTCTGAACAACGAATCCAGTACACTGATCATAGAAATAACCGCAGCCGCCTACTACATATACCCAACCACTACACAGTCACTTAGCCATTACCCTCGCTGCCTCCTACATACCAGCTCATCCACCACGAACAAGTTTGAACAATACATACTGCTTCATACATCACACCCGCAGAACCTCGACCACCACATACCTCTCCGGCGACTACATGCCGCTCAGCTACTCCGTACGGTCAAGCAACGTAAAACTCTGACTACCACATACTCACACCACTACCACAAACACGTTTGAACCCCGCACCCAGGTTCATACATCACATCTTCTTTTTCGCAACAAAAATTTCGAAAAATACGCAGAACTCCTAAATACCATGTCGCCCGCTCCAATTGTTAGCGTTGGGAACGATGTATCCACCATGACTGCACTTGAGGGAGCAGGAGCAGGCGACTCATTCCAGCCCCTGGCTACAACGCCTGACGTTCAAACAATGGATGATAATCTGTTAAGGAATATGTGGCATTATCTCGAGATATCGCATTCTGCGGCTACTGTGGCACATGAAAGAAATATTGATCAAGGGGAAGAGACGGAGAGTGTGCATGAAGAGGATGTGAAGACGGAAGAGGAAGAGGAGGTTGAAGAAGAAGCCGTACCATCATCACAGGCCTATACAGGCAAAGGGAAAGGGGTAGCGAGAGTAGAGGATGATTTAGCGCCAGAAGTGGAAGGGGTAGTAGAGGTGGCGGTTGCAACAAAGGAGAAGAAATCACCTAAATTGCGTTTCCCGGCGAGGATGTGGAATGAGACTGTGGTTGGAGGTAGGGTTGATGTACAAGGAGTACAAGGACAACAAGATCCCAAAGGGGGAAGCTTGAAGCGCAAACGCGTTTATCTAGACATGGATAATGAAGTGGAAGCAAGTAACGGAGAGGGAAAAGAGGAAAAGGAGATACAAGTGGAAGAAAGAGGCCGAAGGAAGCGGACAAAAACGTTGAAAGCCTCTCAAAATGAAGAGATTTCAATGGAGAAGACAAGCGGAACTTCGAGGTCACGTGGGAACGCGGCTTCGGGTTCAGTATCTAGACCGGCTTCTTGCACCGCTGCCGCTACCGCTGCATCTTCACATTTGCGGGAGAAGTTCCTATCGACCACCCGCGCCAGCCCCCCTTCGCGACCAAGCACACGTTCAGCGGGCCCTCTTGTGCTACCCACCACCAAGCATTCACCCAGCGACCCCATCCGCATAAATCCCACACCCGCTGCTCCCTCCGCCCTAGCGCTAGAAATCGCCTCCCGCATTGTCGACCTACGTTCCCCATCCTCAACCTCCTCATCCACCGCATCGCCGACCCCAACAACACCGCCCATATCACCAAACGAAGGTCCCCGCGCAGCCTTCCACCGCCTCTTCCCGCACCTCCCCTCGTTTTCAGACTATGGGGACATAGGTGACTGGCGCGAATTGATGACTTGGACAAAAGATAAAGGGTGGTATGTTAGAGGTGAAGATGATATTTGGGCGAAGCCGGTGTGGAAGAAGCCGGGATGGAATGGGAGGGATGAGAGATTGGAGAAGCTGTGGGAGGGGTGTGTGAGGAGGTTGGAAGCGGAGAGGGGGTGGACGTGGGAGGAGAGGGAGGAGGAAGGGAGGAAGAGGGGTCTGAGGAGGCCCGTGGACCAAGGGCGTGGTGGCTGTCTAGCGGTGTGAAAGCATGTGTCTGCGACGACTGTGGGAATAGCTAGGGTCTTCGGGGTTGTGTATTGTTGGCGTCTTTGGTGTTAGGGAGGGGGATGTATCGCTCAACACGCGCCATGGTCCTAGGATTCGTGATTTCATCGAGTTGTCTTTAGCAGCTTGGTTGAAAATGTGTCATTTACTGTATGAGTTCATATATCATGTACATATTCGAATGCGACATGATCAAGTCTGACCGTCGCTAATTTTGAATGAAGGACTCTCATGCTCAGGTCGTGAATGTGCTGGTGCAGTTGCATCCATGTCGTTTTTGGGAGGATTATCTTCCTTGGTGGCAATGGCGGCTAGTTGGTCGACTGAAGCCTGTGTCGCGTCGATTGTGGTTGGTAGCGGCACCGATGTGGAAGAGGTTGTGTTTGATGGTACTCTCGCATGGTGGCCTTCGTCTTCTTCATCACGGTCTATCGACTCCTCCCATTCTACGTCGTCATCTGCTAAACTTGAAGTGTTTGCGCCTTCCGGCTTGCGGGCATAGTAGAAGAAACTACACAATTAGCAGATACCGCTTGACAAAAGTGATGTTCACTTACACATCAGCATAGAAATGTCTGTCTTTCCTCTTAGCCTCTGCTCTGCACTCAGATAGAAAGACTTCCACTTCCTCCCTTGACCACTTCAGCACGCGCGTGAAGAGCCCCAGTGAACTACTTGGCAGCCAATCCATCAGATCTTCATACACGAAGCGACCCAGAAGCTTGAATCTCGCGCCCTTTGCCCACTTCCCTACAGGCCACTTGTAATTCTTATAGTTGATACTCTTGAAGCCGGCATTACGAATCTGCGGCGTGAAGTGTCTTGGACTGGTACCATCGAGACCAATCTGCTTTGCGGCGTCGAGAAAGTACTCTGACCAGCGGATGAGGGGAGAGTTTTCCGCAGTCACGTCAGGATCCATGCACCGTATAGGAAAAGCAAGGTCTTGGCATTCGAGGTAGCCTCCAGGCTTGAGGTTGGCGTAGGCCTGCGCGAAGAAACGGTCCCAGTCCTTGATGGCTGCGACCATGGCCCGTGTATGAATGTAGTCAAATTGATTATGAAAGATCCAGTCTTGCTCGCAGTCATCGATCAGGAATTCACAATTTGGGGGCACCTGAGCGGGTTGGATGGGGCTCAGATCGGTGCCAAGGACGCGAGCGGACGGATGCTCATCAGCGAACTCAATGGACCAGATGCCAGTTCCACAGCCCACGTCGAGCACATTTTGCACATCTTTTGGGATTGGCGCTCGATAAAGTTTGCCATCGAGTGTGAGCCTGAATGCGTGGTGCTGTAGATCCAATCGGTCCGCTTCTACCTAGTGTTGGTATCAGCAACAGCAATGCTACTCACACCGATGGTAGCACACCTCATCATTGGGTACAGGATACTGTCCCTCGGCATATGCGTGATACCGTCTGCCGTTCTCGTAGCGAAAATTGAACACGGAGGACGTCGCAGACATGGTGTAAGAAGACTGGTTGTCACCGTAGGCAGAATCACCAAAGTTGGAGTCGCGCTCGTCGCTCTGCCCTTCTGTATCTTCACTCTATTATGACAGCTGTCAGTCGGGCAAGCTAATACAGCCAAGGTTTGGAACAGGGAACCCACGTCGATTTCGAGCGACGGACCGGAGCTGCTAGCCCCTTCAGCAGTAGAATCATCATGGGCGCTCCCGTTAGTGTCTGTCGAGCTGCTCGAGGCTGACATTGTGTTTTGTCTTTTCGGGTGGAGAGGGGCACGACAGAGCGGTCATACTGGTGGCCTTGGGCTTCCTAACGGCGCTTTAGATGAATTGCGCGGTATCCAGCTCATTGGTAACCCAAGCGCAGACGATCAATGCTGCGTTGTTAGGTTCGCATTTTTCAGGCGCCCCGGCCAATCGCATGCGAAGGATGTGTCGTCGGACGGAAGTTCCCAGGCCTTGCCATGTGCCGCGTCTTATTCATGGAGTATCTTGCAGGAATGGCACGTGGGATGGCGTGCATATTCCTTGGAGTTACCCTGTCAGAGTTGGCGAAGGCGGTGTCGGCGTGCCCCGAGCATGTAATGGCCGCGCTATCCATGGACGCCTTCGAGAACCAACATCCCGCGAGAGTGTTCTGGAGATTTTGAGTGTTTAGTTGATTGCATGCGCGAACATGTGACCGAATCCCACTGCAATCTGCTGCATCCAGATACGACAGTAGCATCGGACATGAGCCACGAGCGGTGGGTGTGGTGCAGGACGGGCTGCCGGGCGTAATCCCGTGTTGGTGGCCGGCTGCGATTAGCCGACGTGGTCAGTGGCTGCTGCATGTCGCATCGAGCCGAATCCAGCATGTGACGATGGCTTCTATGTTGAAGATGGTGTTTTCAGAGACACAATGATCAGTATGGCGAGGTTTGTAGTTGGAAGACAGCAGATGGCGGTCGAATCGGCGCCAAGGAAGCGCGCTCGCGTCCCCACCCGCAAGGGGCGCCGATCAACGGCGGCCCTTCAACCGCTGCAAGAGCGTTGGGCATTTGCCGTCGCTAGTCGACTTCGCATTGTCGCTATTGCATCAAAACACCAGATTCAAGGAATTCCAGAAGAAAAAAAACCACCATAGAGTGCGTCGCAGCTTCACATTCCGAGCTCGTACAGGCCGCGTTTCATTGCAGATTCTCGACGCGGCCTCTGGGACGCGTCTTGCTCGGCTTCTGGAGACGGTCTGCGCGGACTTTGCCTGCCACTTGACAATTTATTCCACCGACAGCTGAATTTGATTTCTACCTCGCTATCGAGTTGGATCGCGACTAATCTATTTCGGGTCTGGGGTTGCGCCTGCCTACGCGTCTTCGCGTCATCAACGCGGCTATCACCACCATCACCATGTCGCAACATTACCAAAACAGCTGGCGCCCCCGGCAACAGAACCGCAACTACAAAGCCCCCAAAGTGAGCAAGTGGCTGGATGAGAAACAGAAGGAAGATGACCAGATAGCTCCGGATGGCGTCTCCGGATCCGCCAGCCATCTCGAACGATGGGCTCTGATGACAGCGGGCATGCCACAGCAGCCTACCAAGCGTGCCAAGTCGCGTGAGAACGAGGAAGAGATTCGGGATCGCATCCATCGAAGATATCAAGGACCGGAACATCTCACACCTGCGACTTCCCAGGACGATCCTGAGCCCATGGAGGACCGCGAGGTGATCGATCTTATAGGCGATGACGTACAGCCCCAGTTCCTCGTACCCAAAACGACTACGAAGCGTCCCCGTTCACCATCTCCGGTTCCCGACACACCACGCGTCAATCTCAGTAGTGTAAGCTATGTCCAGGCCGTCAAACGTCGTCGGTCAAGATCGCCATCGCCCAAGAGATCTGCTTACTCTGCCTTCAGCGCTCGGCGATACGACACAAAAGCGATGAGTCTGGCAGATTCTGACGATAGTTATGACTACGCGCAGTCGAGTGAGTGGAGCTTCCCAAGTAGTGAGGACGAAGACGAAGAGATGAAGTGATGGGCTCAGGCGAGGCGCGCACAACGCGATTTCGAGTAATTCTACCAGCAGCCGATAGCTGGATGAAGGGGCGAGGGAAGGGGTTCAAGCGGCGTTGCGCTGAAAAGGTTGGATCGAGCAGTGAGTCTCATTTGCGCCGAACACGTCCAATACAGCATCACCGCTAAACCTCAATGGTGCTCAAACGCAGATTTTACGACACGTGTACATTAGACTTTAAAAATTCTACTAAGGCCGTCATGCCATTATGTACTGGGTCGCAGTGACCTAGGACCGACCTTGCGTGAGTATTGTTGCTCGAGCTGACAGATTAACAAATAGACATTAGATTCCTCAACACGTCGTGCAAATCCTGTTCAGCCCTGGAAGCTGCGAGGTGCTGTTGAAATGGATCTTGGCTTAGTCGCGTTCGCGCTCAAGGTTGAGACCCCTCCGACAGGTCCAACACCTGGCAATGGCTGGAAAGCAGCCTCATCGGGCCAGTTGCCGAGTGAAGCCGGGTCACCCCCAATACGAACCCACTTTGCGTGCGAGGGCGTAGGCCCATCCAAAACAAACATCCTGTACCAGCCCACAGGAGCGATGTATGGCCCCTTCGGCGCCTTGACAGTGCATGAACGGCCTGAGCAAGACACGCTCGGGAACAAGATGCGTGCGCCCATTGAACTTCCATGGGTACTGGACTCGGAACCAAGCAGCGACACCTTGATCGCACCACCGGAGGATGAAGTCACAGTGAAGGAGTAGTCTGCCTCCCAGATCCAGTCGACCTGTGGCAAGTCGAAGGTAGGCTGCGCTGCGCCGGAGAGCAAATAAGGTGGAAGGAAGACCTCCAGCCGGTGCTCCTGAGGATGTTTGCCCTGATCTTGCGGGTCGGAGCCCGAAACCAGTACTCTTCCGTCATCCATAATGACAGCTTCCGAGTGATACATGCGCGCAATGGTTGTGTTGGCCATGACGCTCATGCGCTTGCCTCGCGGCTTCCTGGAATCGTATAAGACAGCATTCAAGTTCGCTTGGTCTGCAAGACCAAAGCCTGCTTGTCCAATCTCGGCTCCGTTCAAGATAAGATAAGTGCCATCTGGAAGTGTTGCCATGCAGGATATAACACGTCGAGAAGGCATCCGCTCGAGACTCCATTGGGCATTGGCAGTATCTGGTTCGATGCTGACACAGTTGTCAAGTCCCACGTTTGGTGCAGCTGATGCGCCACCGCAGATGAGGACCTCCAATGGTGCAGTGTAAGGGTAGTACTGCGGAAGTAGGACTTGAGTACCCTCAAAGGGGTATGTACGGCCTCCTGTAGGATCGTTGACGGCAGCTGGTACCTTTGGCAGGATCTTGACCGTGTCCAGGCTGCGTTCGTCGAGGATGCGGGCCTCGTTGTAGTACTGAATGAAGATACCACCGGATGGTAGCACCACCAGGAATGGGTACAGATTGTACGGGTCAGTATCTCTCAGGTACTGCGCTTCGTATACAGGTCCGACAGTGGGCAAGATCTCCATATTCGGCACTGGCGGACCGTTCGAGCCATCTTGTCCGCCAACAATGAGCATCGATCCGTTAGCCATGACCATTCCTGTCGGATACCAGCGACCTCTTTGGAGCTTGACAGTGTTGACATCTTCCTGCCAGTTGTTTGTACCGTTGACACCGGCCGAACCGTCTGGCCAGTAGATGCGGACGCCAAATAACGAATCTGTTGACCATCCGCCAATGTTGATCTGTCGGCCGGCACGATCCGGTAGAGTCAGGCCTGCAGCGCAGAAGATGTCCGTCTTGATACCGGTCAGCTCACGGAAGGCGTGAAAGATGTCGCCACCAATCGAAGGGTCGAACTCATATGCACCAGTCGTGTTCGGCTCGCCTGTCCCGTGCTTCTCCAGGAAGGAGACCTTACCGTTGACACCAGGCTGCGCAATCAGAGGAATGATGGGTCCGCCAACCAGGAACTCATAGCGTCCCGCTGCAGTGCCCTTAGGGTACTCCCAGACGTACAATGGGTCGCCTTCCCACTTGTACCAGCTGAGTCGGTTACCTGCGCCACATAGCGCTTCAGGGTCGCCTGGGCAAGCAATGCTACATTCAGACTCTGGGGCAGGTTTCGAGCCAATCTTCTCAATACCGTCAAGGTCACCGCAGTAGCACTCTTCGCCGTACTCCATTCCGGCGGCCATGTAACCGAAAGCTTGGCATCGGCTCAGACACCATTCTGGCGAGTTACCAGTCGTGTTCAGAAGCTTGTGCGGGAATACTTGGTTGCCGATGTCGGTGATACATCCTTGGTATTGCCAGTCGCTTACGTTCTGGGTCGGAGTTGGGACTTTGACGACCTTCAATGGATCCTGGCTTGAGTAGATGCTCATTCGGTTGGGGCCTCCACACGTCTCGGCTTGGTTGCCAGCACACTTGGTGTTGCACTCCGACTCGGAAGAAGCGGGCTTGCCACCCATTCTCACCTGCACGAGTTAGTATTGGAAAAGATGGAAAGGTTGGAGTATACTAACAGCATTGTCACAGAAGCACTGGTAGCTGTACTCCATGGCTGCAATCTCATAGCCAGCTTTCGCACATATGCTGGTGCAAGACGCGACAGTCATCTTCTGATCATCGGGTTGTTGATAGTTGACGATGCGGAATCCGGGTCCATCGACATAGCAGCCTTTGTACTCAAAGCCTTCCGGGAGGCCGGTAGGAACAGGTGCTGCGCTGGATGCACCAGTTGCAGATGCTGTTGCAGAAGCAGTAGGCGTAGCTGTGGCGGAGGTGGATGATTCACCACCTGTGTAGAAACGGAAGAATGTCAAGCGATCAGGACCGCCGCACATCTCTGTCTGGTTGCCATTGCATGCCATGTTGCACCCCTTCTCGCCGTCAGGTGCAGGACCGCCATTGCCTCGAATCTGGTTGTCACAGAAACATTCTCCGGCATACTCAGTACCGGCCAGTACAAAGCCTCCAGCTCGGCATGCAGCTTTGCACTTGTCGTTGGTCATACCACCGGTCACTCCCATTCCCACGGAGAGCGACCGGCCGCCAACGTTGTCCGTGTAACATCCTTCAGAATACCATCCTTTCTTCGGTTCCGGGGTTGTGGTATTGCTAGGCAGTTCGGGTGCCGCTGAACTCTGCGCGCTAGCGGAGCAAACCAGGGACAGTACCAGGAGATGCAGGCTAAACGGCTGCCGCCGCAGGGCATAAAGTTGCGCCATGGGTGGCGCAATGGGAATGTCAAACGAGCGACGAAAGTATATTGAATTGACAAAAGTTCCGAGTGTAAGAAGGAGCACCGGCTGTTTAACAACACCCTGGGTATCGTATTACATCCCAGGCAGACCATGTATATAAGCGTCTAGTATTCCTACACTTCGACCGCCTCCCAGCCCATGCCTAACCGCGCTTGATCACACCGATGCCCACATCGCAGCCGCGTTGTCTTCCAAGTCCGGTAGGTACATTGGCGACAGCCGGGGCTGCATGCGTACGGCGCCTTTGTCTGCACGTGTCAGCACGCGAGCTGCAACTTTTCAATAGTCGACATGTAGATATTGCGGCTGACAGGCAAGAAAAAACAGGTCCAACATACGGACCGCTATCATGTTAGTACTCGCTTAGGCAGGTGTCCCGCTGCTTGGTATTACCGGATAAGTAAAGGCTCTTATCACGACCAATCAGGACACGCACTACACACGCAGCGTTAATCTATTTTCTCAGCAATTCTCCTATTGATTTCGTTTAATCGAGCGCCATGCTCTGGCGGCCTTGCGAACTAGTCTGTGCAAAGAAAGAGGGTCTAACAGCATGTCCGTTACACATCGCCCGTCGTTGGCCGACCGTGTCGCTGGGCGAGCGAGATGGCGCGCCTTACCAGCGGAACGATACGGACCTCGCTCCGTAGTCCTACACACTCCGATCCTAGCCTCACGATGTGCGATACGAGCCCGGGAATGAGTGAGCGCTAAGAATAGCTTCGTACATGACACCAAGCTGCTTTGCCGCTCTTATGCCGCGCCCGCCTACAACACCGTATCAAGGTATCGTATCTTGCCTAGCTGCAGCAACCTCGCACAATGGCTTTGTTACATCGTCGACATTGTTACACGTGATATTGTACGCCGAATGTCAACGCACCCAATGCGACAGCATTGCTCGACAAGCTACCTATCCTCTAGTCTACGCAATGCCACAGAACTGCCAAGCACAATCACACGATATCCGCCCCCAAACCTCCCGTTCGTAAGATGAACAACTCCAACGTGGCGCGCCATGGCTGATCGACCCGTGTGGGGAACAAGAGTCCTGCGAACAAGATACGCTGCCGTCACCCGAGACTAATCATATTTTCACGCTATAGTACGAGTGTCTACACCGGTGTGGTGTGGGTTCGACGGCAGTCTGGCCCAAGTGTTAAGTGGAGATTGTGTCTAGTGGAGCTTCTGGCAACGACAAGTGAGATGTGCACTTACTACTTCCTGTCGCCCTGCAAGCCACCATGTACCTAATTGTCAGCCTCGTGGTGGGATACGTGACATGTGGTGGTAGAAGATGAGTCATGCGCGCGTGAATGTCACTCGTGGCATGAGTGGGGTGGGAGTTGTAGGACGACCTAGGCTGCGATGGGGAGGTGAGATGCAGGTGAGATGCCCACCTTGATGTATTGGCATTTCGTATCTGCAAACATGTAGTCTGAGCTGAGTGGGATGAATCGGTAGTTGGTAGCAGTCCCAAAGCAGAATAGCTTACATACTCAGATACTGAGGTCAGCTTGGACTGGAGTAGACGAAATGGTACTTGATGCAGTCCCTGGCATCTCCGACATTGCTTATTCGATATTTGTGGCTGGCTGCAGAGGATCAATACATGTGCGGCTGTACCCTTGGCATATATCGGAGTGTGTAGATCTGGATTAGGAAAGTTGCAGGTCTGAGGGTGTGGGCAGGACTGAAAGACTGGTGTAGCGACGGCTGAAGGAACCGTTAGTTCGTACGGCCTGGTATTGCTATCGGTCGCCATTGGTATCTTGATTTTGACGAGAGACCGGCTACTCTTCCAAGGCGCTGCCGTCGTGTATTGGATGCTCACCTCATGTGGACTTCGCTAGGAAGCCGAAGGCAGAGGATTTGCGAGCTTCATTCTTCGCCACGAAGTGCCTTGTCCTCGCCGACCTTGATATTCGGTTACTGAAGCCGAATGTGTTGTAGCGTATTGGTGTGACCATGCATCTCTAGCTGAAGGCTGTGTTAGCTATGGGGGGCAGATGCGAAAGATAGACTACCTAGGTAGAGTGGCCAGTGTGAAAGTCGACTAGCCTGGAAGTACTGCTTCTAGGCGTGGCAGTCAGCTGCCATGGACTTAGATTCAGTTGTAGATATCGTCTAACTTGTAAGCCAATTGCCAGCATGCACATTTTGAACGATGCCGTTCACTTCACATGCTGCGCGGCGGCTAGCCCCGATTCGGTTAGTGACCGCGGGGTAGATGTTCAGGTCCGCAGTTCAGGGTCCTCCAGCTGCCCAACCTTGGAGCAGATCATCTTGCACAACTAAGCCAAGAGACAAAGTCCAGATCGCGCTCTATCAGCTGTAGATCCCATGGCTTCGCTACCGCCTGTACGCGCCTGCATCTTTGATGTAGACGGCACGCTCATCAACTCAGAAGATATCTACACAGACATCTACAACAACATACTCCGAGAATATGGCAAACCACACTACCCATGGGCGGTCAAGGCGACACAGCAAAGCAGAGGTACAAAGGTCTGTGTTGCTCAGCCCTGTCATCTCACCCCATGATGTTAATGCTTAGTACAGGGTACCAAGCGCCTATTAGACTGGGCGCAAGTACCCCTCACCCCAGCTGAATGGTCCGCGAAAGAGAAAGAAGGCACACATCTGTTCAAGAACAGTAAGGTGCTTCCGGGTGTGGAAAGTCTTCTCACGACCCTCAAAACGAAGACGTCACCGTCTGTGCTGCTTTCGCTGGCTAGTTCCGCTGGCCATCACAAGTTTGCACTCAAGACGTCGCATATACCAGCTATCAATGCTGCGTTCGATGACCCTGCCTTTCACGTCTTTGGTGATGATCCGGAGATGTGTGATAGCAAGAAGAAGCCAGAACCCGATATCTTTCTTCTCGCTTTGAAGAGATTGAATGCTGCCGAGACAGCACGTGGCGAGCGTGCTTTGGAACCTGCGGAGTGCTTGGTGTTTGAGGACTCGATCGCAGGTGTGGAGGCAGCGAGAAGGGCGGGTATGCGTGTTGTCTGGGTCCCACATCCTGGGCTTGCGGAGGTCTGCAAAGGACGGGAGATGGATGTACTCATGGGAAGGACGGAGGAAGATGGTGTAGCGCCGGATTATGGGATGCCCGTGGAAGGAGATGCAAGGAGCCCTGTTGCTGCAGAAGACGGCCGCTTGATGTCGCACGATGGGTTGGCGGAGCTGAGATCAAGCCTTGATGACTTTCCGTATGCAAAGTATGGTATCAATCTCGTAAAGTGAGTGTGGGATGAATGCATACGGCCCTGGGGGTCAGCGTTCGTACGCTATGGGAGACATTCAATGTAAACTACACGGTACTACTTGTCACTTCCGACAAAGCTGTGGAGTCCAAGGTATCTATCTGCTCCTTCTCGATGCTGTCGTTCAGACATACTTTTCAACCGGGACTCGTGGCATTAACATCTGTACTACTGACGGCGCGTTCAACATGAGTCACACGTTTGGGCAGATGGGAACGGGTTCTGGGGGTCTGAGTTGATGAGGCTTGGATCAGAGGAAGGCTGTGATTGCAAGGGGTCTGCTTAGTCAGCGTGAAGGCTGCCAGCACCGCCTGATGACGCGTTGACAGCCGAAACGCGGGTGGCCGCCATCTGCCATCACTAAACCTCATCAACGCACAGACGTGCTCTCATCGAATCGTCATCAATCATTACGATACGAAGCTCTCATGCGATACAGTATCCCAGGGCGAGGAATGTATATAAACCGGCGCGCAGATGTGCGGCAAGACCTCCATCAGAGTGGCAACTCTTCTTCCTCCTCCTCCTCTTCTTCCTGCGCACCGGCCTCGGTATCGTCGACGACCTCATCAATCCTTGCACGACCCGATTGCAAGCTCTTGACGCCAGCAGCTTCTCTCGCGAGTTTATCCATCGCAACTTTCAAATCATCTGGGCAGAAGAGCTTGCACAGCGTAGTCATATCATCGTACACGACATCGCGTTGCTGGGATCCTGGGATGTAGATCGTGTTGCCGATATTGAATGTTAACGAGTATAGCAGGTTGCGCGCATCCCAGTCCTCGACCGGTTCAGAAACCGGGAAGTTGCGCTTGTAGGCCCGGATATATGCCTTACTGCTCAAACGATGACGCGGCGCTCTCCAATTACCAGTGTCATATTCGTTGTGCCCATAGAAGGAGCAGACATCGAACACGAAGGCCTCACCCGTTTTGGCGTCCATCGCGGTGTTCCCATCCCAACAGTCACCATGGATTAGACACGGTTTCAGAATACGCCCTTCTGCTTGGAGCGGCAACAAAAGACGGGGCACAACCTTCTGGAGCGTAAGATCGCATACCACGTCAAACTCAGGCCAATTGAGGATCGGCTTAGCCAGCTCCATCACATGACCTAGATGTCGGCCATATAGGGTGCACCACGAGTCTTCCCAAGTATCGACAGCCTGAGCGATCCGGGCGTGGCATGTCGAGAAGTGGAATCCGAATTTGCCAGCTGGTGAGACAGATCGTTGATGCATGTCAGCGAGTCCTGCAGCCAGCTTGACCGGATCTGCGGGCTTTTGACATTAGCATCTGGATCTCCGAAGTTATGCTGAAGCACGCTTACCTGTTCGCCTACATCTCTAAAAGCCGCAAGTAAGAAATACGTCTCTTCTGCCCCTTCGATCTTGCCCCAGGCATATGGCTGGGGTACGAACGAGGGCGAGATGGCATATATGGCTTTGAGCGACTCGTATTCGCCTTCGCACATATGCCTTCCTATCTTTCCGAGGGTTACAACCTTTGGGCCGTCAGTGCTTGATATCCTGATAAGTTTGCTCAATCAGCCAGACCTTCAGAAAGTAGTTGTCATTCTCCCCCGTTGGAAGTCGCACCACGATCTTGGCCGTCTTGCCCCACAGCGATTCACCGTAGTTGTATGCATCTGTTACCTGAGTTCCAGGAATCGGGAATGCTGGTCCAAGGTAAGTGCCGGACATGAACAGAAATTGCGACATTACCTGCGACAACCCGCTCATCTACCTTGTACGATCCGCTGGCCTGCGGTGGCAGGAAGGGTTCGGTTGGCGTCTCTTCCAAGTCCGCTTGCGCCTTGCCTATGGCGATCTTGGATATGGTGTGGACGTCTTCTGCCACGGTAGTACTCATGATGTCTTAGCGTCTGGTGGTGATGAGAGAAGGCTTCTAGTAAGTGTAGGGTGAGCCTCCCCCGATAAGCACGGGCCTCTCACCGTACAATGTCGTCAGTGGAAGGCGCTGTGTTCCTTCGCCAAATAGCCGCTGAACGATGATTGGCTGAAATGTCGCAATCCGCGTGGGCTTATATTGGTGGGTGCAGAGATAGCCAATAGGCGAGGAGAGGTGGTGAACGACAGTACTCGATCACACTGACAAGAGAAGCATGCATATGCGGCACGGCAGAGAGGCTGACACACGAGCTGATAGTACCCCGCACCACAGGGCAACTACCTTCCCGTCCTTGCAACCTTGGGAAGCAGCCTGACGGCCTGACTAATTAGCCTCTTAATTCCTTGGACGTATCTCAATTTCACAGCCTTGGACGCGATGGCGAAGTCATTACTACTATTCTTCAGGGCTATCATCCATGCTGCATATACCTTCGTGGCTTAGTGACACATGGTAATGTTCGATGGCATCGAGGCCTAGTGTAGTAAGCATATCTGATCTCAGCCTTGTGCATGAAAGCTAAATTGACGAAGCTTCATAGGCTCCGATTGCGATCAGAGCCGATACCCGAAAGCGATGAGAACGACAACCTGGACACCGAGTCGACCTTTCATCGGACGGAGCTTCAATCTACCGACAGCGGGCAAAATACCTCCATAGCCTCCCCAAGGTTCAAGACCAGCGCGCCCTCCAGGAGCGGCTCGTTGATATCGACGACGAGTACACTCAACGCCGGAGTCCTCAGCAGACCCTTAGCCCATAACAATCGATCCCGCGACGAATTAGGACTGCATCTCGTGATCGATCGACTTGAATCAAGCGGGGATATAGTCTTCGTACACGGTTTGGGAGGTCACCCGTGGACTACATGGAGCTGGGAGCGCGATCTGAACAACTTCTGGCCGAGCTGGCTTGAACATGAAGGGGCATTATCAACATGGAGGGTCTTCACGTTTGGTTACGATTCCAATTGGAGAGGGTCAGGAGCTAATCTCAATATCTCCGATTTCGCGAAAGACCTTTTGCTCCAGATTTTGACTTTCACCAGCTCGAACGGGAGAGCCGTCAGGCCAAAGAAGATCATCTTCGTTGCCCATTCAATGGGTGGCTTAGTGGTCAAGAAGGCATACCTGCTGGGTAAACAGGATTCACAATTCGCCGACATTGCCGCTTCGTTTTACGGCATCATTTTCCTCGCGACCCCTCACCGCGGAGCGCAGTCGGCGTCCACCCTGAACAACATCCTTGCAAGCCTTCCCTTGGGCCCACCGTCGAAAAGCTATGTCGCCGAGCTCCAATTACACAGTAATACCCTTCACGAGATCAACGAGCAGTTTCGTCACCACTGTTATGACCTTGCCTTGATGTCATACTTTGAAACAGAGAAGACCAGCATCGGCCTCAAAGATGCGATGGTAACCGCCCCGCTTTCTTTGTACTGTGATCCTGGACTGACGCCTAAAGATTGTGGAAAAAGATTCGGCTGTCCTTCAGTTACCTGGAGAAATGTCGGGCTCACTGCGCGCAAATCATCACACCATATGCAAGTTCAAGAGCCCTACAGACACTCAATATATAAGAGTGAGAAATACGATCAGCCATTTCGCTAGAGAGGCTTCACCAACTGAAGGTATGATTCATAATTTTGGGTCCTTACAAAAGTAACACGTGCTGATGTACGAACAGTTCCTGCTGTCGACCTCGTCGATCGTATCGAAGATAGCCAAAAGATCGCCGCGATTCTGGGCGTCCACGAAGATGCTGAAGACGATCTCAAATCCAGGCATGGCAGGATTATGGACGGAACCGGCCAATGGCTTCTACAAAAGTCGGACTTCACACGTTGGAAGAGCTCGGTGGGCGATCGCACTACTCCGGTCTTCTGGCTATTTGGACTACCCGCGAGCGGTAAGACGGCCCTTTCCAGTATGGTGGCACATCACTTGAAGGACCAAAAGACGAGCTGTCAGTATCACTTCTTCTCGACAGGGCACCAGACAAAGCGAACTGCCGCATACTGTCTTCGTAGCATCGCTTCACAGCTTGCCCAAAAGAGCCAAGTGTTCCGAGAAGCCTTGTTTTCTTTCCATGCCGAGACCGGCATCAAGTTCACTTCGCAAGATCAAAACTTTCGCACAATATGGGAGAAGGTCTTCGAAGGCATCATCTTCAAAATTGCGTTCCCACAGCCACTATTTTGGATACTCGACGGGATAGATGAGGCCGATTCGCACTCACTGGTCATCAACTCTCTCCTGAGAATACGGTCAGCTACCGCTATCAAGATCTTCCTGAGCAGCAGGCCCATGAAGGTACCCACCGCAACTAAGGGCGAAGGATCTCCAGTCACCGTACGCTTCTTGTCAGAAAGCGATACAGCGAGAGACATACGAGCCTATGTGGCCACTTCCATACGCGACATCTTGACAGCTGCTGAGACTGTTCAACAAGACATCGTCGAGAAGATTCTGGCAAAAGCGTCCGGGTCGTTCCTCTGGGTTCGTCTTTCCTTGAGATCCCTCCGACAAAGCTGTCATACTCAAGATGACATTGATAAGGCCTTGACCGAACTACCAGCGGGCATGGTGGGTCTTTACGAACAAATGCTAGCCAAGCTTCTTTCGCAACCTGAAAGGACTCAAAGCCTCGCACACATGATACTATCATGGGTTAGCTGCAGCTGGCGGCCCCTGGGACTAGAGGAGTTACAGCTTGCTCTCGAACCTACATTCACTGGCTTTTTGAATCTTGAAGATACCGTCAATCAGATCTGTGCACACTTTGTCAACACTGACAACGGAAAAATAACTTTGATCCATGACACCGCGCGTCAGTTTCTCACAACCAACCAAGCTACCAGGATCGCTTTCGTTCAACCTCGTCAAGCCCATCTCCAGATTGCGGAACGTTGTCTCGGATACCTGTCCCAAGATACTTGGCCCCGAACATTCCATGCAATATCAACAGCCGATGTTGATCCGAAACGAGGCATTCGGAGCAACCGCCTTCTCTTAGCCGAACAGGGTGCTCCTCTGCTGGGTTATGCTACATGCTATTGGGCATATCATATTTCCAAATCCCCAACGGCGAGCACCGAAATCACAAACGCACTAAAAGTGTTCTTCTCTTCATACTGTCTCTCCTGGATTGAGGCTATCGCGTTATCCGCCAACCTACGCTACTTGACGAGATCAGCGAGGTATTTGAAAGCTTATGCAAAGAGGAAAAAGCATGCTAGAATGCATAAGGACTCGTCTCCTGTGTTGGATAGCCTGACCAAATTACCAGAAGATGATCCAAAGTGGCTACAGTCATGGGCCATCGATCTCATCCGACTTGTTGGAAGATTTGGTTCCATTCTCCTAGCGAAACCATTGTCGATCTACCAAGACATTGTTCCTTTTTGCCCGAAAGGTTCGATGTTTACTCTTACCTATGGAGAGCACAAACTGGGACAGCTCACAGTTACTGGACTTCCTTCCGATGGCTGGGACGATCGCCTAGCTCGTGTCAGCGTAGGCGACGATTACATAGCTTCGCAGGTACTGGCGACAGAATCATACTTCGTCACGTTGATCAGTAGTATCGGTAGCATCCTCGTGTGGCATACTGAAACATGTGAGAAGGCACGTCGGATGGAAGTAGGTGAATACGTAGCGGTGGTGACTCTCAACAATAGTGGGACGTTGTTGGCGACAGCGAGTCTTAGCCATTGCGCGGTATGGGAACTATCGTCTGGTCGATTGACGTCGCGAATTGACAACTCAACGACGAAGCGAATCATCGCCATGTCTTTCGCCAACAACGACGCGCATCTTGTCGTTGGGTCTGACGACTGTTCAGTCACTGTACACGACCTTTCAACATCAAGCATAGTGCAGCATTACGTTTTCGAATCGCCGAGTCAAGATTACAATGGCTGCCCTACGGCTATGGCAATCAACCCAGACGCGACCGCTGCCGCCATAGCCTGGCGTGGCAAAGTGCCTCTGATTTGGCACTTCCAAGCCACTGCGCTCCAACCAGCTCGGATACGCCGGCTTCGCTCGTCTATAACATCACTTTCAGGCCCAGAAGATCTTCGTTGGCAAGTCGACGGCGATTCGCTCTTCATCCTCTGTCAAGATGCCAACTTGGTAGAGTGGCGACTATTTGATGACCAGCAACTTGCTTACCCTCATCTGAAAGCCCGCGAGTTTGCTATAAATTCTGAAGGTAGTCTTTTGCTCACGTCAGATCACAGTGGAACGATCAGCGTATGGGCCTTTCCGCGCCTGTCTCTGATATACCAGCTTGGTAGCGTCAACGACTTCGTGAGGGACGTAGCATTCAGCCCAGATGGTCAGAGGCTCTATGATGTGAGAGACTCGGTATGTAATGTCTGGGAGCCGGACGTTCTCGTTCGCCCTGATGAGCACGACATGGAGGACGAGTCTAGCCTGGATGAATTGAGCTTAGTTTCTAGCGAGCCGACCATGTCGCACATCGATAATACCAAGGCCTTCGTATCGGCGGTATCTAGTAGTGGATCTGATACTTATTATTGTTGCGGGAGGGATGATGGCTCGGTTATCATCCACGAAGTTGCAAACAGTACCCCCATTCGCAAAGTCTACACCCACTCATCCACCACATCCGTACTTCGTATGCAATGGTCACCATCCGGGCGATACATGGTATCCAGCGACGATTCTGCTCGCGTCATCGCAAAGAGATTAGAAATGAAGGCCAAGGATCAGTGGCGCGTCTACCCAGTGCTAGACGCGCGGGTGTCAGAGCCTGTACATCAATTTGTCTTCAGTCCAGACGAGCAATATTTGTTGATATCGACATCATCGACCGATCAGCTATACGATACACGATCGAAGCAGCGGCTGTGGTTCAAAGACTGGGGATCTAGACAGCGTCGCCGTTGGGTACAGGATCCTCTGGATATAACGTCACTCATTTGGCTTGAGCCTCAATTACTGACCAGCTATCAATGGTCCACTATGAGCGTGCAAGTCAGTGTTGCGATCGAGTCCGAGCCAGAAATAGAACAGGAAGAGTGTTCGGAGCCGCAAAAGCATGATCATATCGAGAAAATCGTCGTGTGGGCGGAAGCCATTCCATCGAGTGGACAAATTCTGTACGGCACGCTCCCAGCGAGCCATTATCAAGGAGTCGTATCTCAACTCTCTCATTCTGGTCTCCATGTGGAAGCGATAAAGATGTCTCGCACGATCGAATCACGAATCGCGTCCTTTACACCGGAGTGCACACCAGAACTCGCTCGACGCGCGAAAAGACTAGTGGGCATCACAAAAGGAAGAGTCGCGTATCTAGACCACGACAACCAGCTATGTACTTGGGATTTAGAAAACGGTATAGATGGGATGCAAAAACATTTTTTCTTGCCACGGGACTGGCTCGATACGAGCTCGTTGGAAACAGCTCTGATCAACGAAGAAGGGACGTTTTTTTGCCCTAAGGGAGGCTACGTGGCTGTTGTTCGGAACGGGCTGTCTTTTTAAGAGTAAATTTCAACTACCGGATAAAAACCATCGCGATGGAAAATGCTTTATGCATGATGCCAGTGAGCAGAGAGCAGCCGCGGCCTGAATCCAAGCGACTTCATCCACTTGATCCACTTTACTGCACGTGACCAGCACAATTCCGAGATCGGAAGTGTCACTTCCGAAAGTGACGCACCTCCAGGAGTTGCATCGCCACGATGTTCACCATATCACAGTCCTCCATCTTGACACAGAATGTTACCACCCACGCTATTAGAGGGATTCCCCGGTGAGGCACCCTCTGCACCTTCCACGACGCTCCGGTACGCAGACGTACGCGCACCCATTCCCGTAATGATGCGACTTGGCTGAACCAACACGTCAATGTATCCAGGTCGCCGTCACTGCAACTGCCAAAGAGTTCGCCGGTATCTATCGAGGCAAACAATACCATGAGCCAGACTTCGATACCGTGCTCGACCGCGCATCAGCCGCCGGTGTTGAGAAAGTCATGCTGACAGGCATGTACGCATCCGACGCGTCTTTCAATCTCGACATAGCGCGAAAACGACCCGAACAATGCAAAATCACAATTGGCGTGCATCCATACCATGCATTCGAAGCAGACGAAGGTGGAGAAGAATACTACAAGAACCTGTCCGACAGCATCACAACGACCATGGAAGAAGAGCCGCACCTCCTAGCCGCGTTCGGAGAGCTCGGTCTAGACTACGATAAGCTGGCCGAAGCCCCTAAAGACGTTCAGATACGCGTGTTCAAGCGTCAGCTCGACATGATAGTAAGCGCAGGATGGAAACTACCCCTCTTCCTCCACTGTCGCGCCGCATTCGAAGACTTCATCGCCATACTCGAACCCTACATGGACCACCTGCCTCTACGATCCGGATTAGTCCACTCTTTCGTCGGTACCACAGCGCAGATGCAGACTTTGATCGCCCTGGGGCTACATGTCAGTGTCAACAATTTTGCTTTCCGGGACCGCGATAGCTTGGATATGATTAGGCATGTACCCTTGGACAAGTTGCAGGTTGAAACGGATGCCCCGTGGGGTGATATCCAAGCTTCTAGTGAAGTAGCAAAGGCGTATTTGAAGAACGCGACGAAGTGGTCGTGGGGGAGCAGGAAAAAGGATAAGTTCAGTATGGGCGATATGGTGAAGGAGAGGAATGAGAGTTGCAGTGTGGAGAAGGTGGCCTTGGTCGTTGCTGGGATTAAGGGTGTTGATGTCGAGGAGGTTGCGGAGAGGGCGTGGAGGAATAGTGTGGATATGTTCTTTTCGCGTGAGGAGCATAGATGAAACTTCCACATCAAGACGGAAATATGGCATGATGACTTGGCTTGGGTAAAGTTTCTTAGTAAACACGTGATGGAAATAACCTAGAAGAACGAAGATTCGGAATTCGCAAATCAGCTATGCCACCTCTACTTCGTACCATTGGTACCATTCCCATTCATCGCTGATCCATTCGTCAGTCCTCCATTCGTTTTAACCCCATTCGACCTCGTCCCATTGACCCCACTCTTCTTCGCCCTCGGTACCTCAACAAGTACCTTATACGTCTTCCCAGCCGTAACATTCTTAACAACGCATCCCTCCATCTCCTCCCCATCAACCACAACCTTAACGTCCTTGACATCTCCCCTCTTGATCTGAACATCAAATACCGCGCCTCTGAACTCCCTCCTCACCTTCATCTCATTCCAATCACTCGGCATCTTCGGCGCAATCTTCAGACCCTCTCGCACACCCCTCAACCCACACAGTCCCTCGATGAAACATCTATACACCCAACTCACAGTTCCGGTGTTGAACAGCTGGCTTGAGCGACCGGCTGTGCGGTCTAGATGCTTAATTCCATACCCACCGCGGTAGTAGTTAGGAATAAAAATGGGGAGTTGACCACGGCGAATCAGATCCTCTTCATCTGGACCGGGGATCATAGCGCGGAGAGTAGCGTATGCGCGGTCGACTTCATCGATATCGTAAAGAGCCCAGGCGTAGAACGCAGCTGCGTGGTTGTACACTGAGCCATTCTCGCCTTGACCGGGGTACTTCTGCGTTACGCGACCGACATCTTCGCGCATGGCGGTGAAGGGGGGACCGAACATGACGACGCCGTAGGGTGTCGTGAGTTGTTCGTCGACCTGGGGCAGGATTTTCGAAATCTGCTCTGGAGACGCTGCGCCACCGAGGATAGACCATGCCTGCGGGTTCAACCAAATCCGACCTTCATTGTCGTCTTTGATGCCGAACGTCACGTTGTCGTCTGTGATACCACGGGCGAACCAGTCGCCATCCCAGAGATGATCGTTAGCTGATTCATTTACTTGTTCCGCGCCGGTGCGGTATTTCTTTGCGATATCAGGTTTATCAGTGTCTTCGCAGATTTGCGCCCATAGGTTGACGGCGTAGGCGGTTGCGACGGTGAGCCAGCCGGACACACCGACGCCTTTGGGACCGACCATGTTCATCGGGTCGCACCAATCGCCCTGCGCAATGTAAGATAGACCGCGGTCGTCTCTTGCGTTTGAAGACAGGAGCCAGTCCATGGCGCGGCTGAAGCGCTCGAAGACTGTGAATGTGTCGCCGTACATGCTGATCACTTTCTCGTCTAGAAGCGCGTAGTCGCCGGTTTCGCTGAGGTAGATTTCGAGGGCGATGGGTAGCCAGACGCAGTGATCCGTGTGAGGGATTTGGTTGATGTACTTGAGTACCGCTCCCTTGGCTAGTAGAATACCATCCGGCATTGAGCCGTTCTTTTCTTGTTGACCAACCGCTGTGGTGATAGCTTTTCGCGCTACTTCTGGTTTGATGAAGCTCATGCCCATGTTGTCTTGAAGGTAGTTTCGCGTTTGAGGATCGGTCGTGAGTCTGTTTACGTCGCCGTGGTAGTACAATTGTCGGGGTAGCCAGTTGTTGACCAGGTTGTCGAGATCTTTGTCCGGAGTCTCGAGACGTACGCAGCCGCTACCACGTTGAATGTAGTCTTCGTAGTCTTTGGCCGCTTTAGCAAACGCCATCTTGTTTAGGTACTTCTTGCGCATGTCGAGTATTTCGGTTTCGTCGTATGCGGGGCCGAAAAGGAATCTGTATTCTTTGCTTTCGTTCTCACCCAGCTCGGCCCAATATTGAACGACTGCGGTGGGGGTTTCGTAACGGGCGTCGCTATTCGAAAGCTGTGACTCCTTCAGTGCCGATGGCGCTTGTAGGCCTCCTTCGCCTTCGAAAGCTTCTTGCTTCGCTTCCCATGAGACTGGTGTGGTTTCGCAGAGGAAGTAGGTCTTATCCTTCAGGTACTTCGTCTTGGGGTAATCTTCGGCTTTTTGGTATGGAGTTTTACAGCTTCCGACCACGCCCCCAACATTCGTATTCCACTCCGCCTCTTGGTTCATCCACGACATGTAGCCCAATGGGAAGTAGGGGTAGACACTCAGATTGCGCTTGCGACCTGAGATGTTGGTCACTTTGATGCTCCAGAGTTCAGCAACATCGTCTGTAGGTAGCAGAAAGGTCATCTCGACACGGATGCCAGATTTCTCCACAAGCCATTTGATGTCGCTTTTGCCTACATCGAAGGTGAAGCGGTCCAACTTTGCCCTTACCGGCTCGTACGGCGCCGAGAAGATCTCGCCGCTCTCCTCATCCTTGATATATACGAATCGGCCAGGGTGGTGAGCATAGTAGTTTTGTTCCGGTTGCATAAAGGTCTTCGCTTCGAGGTTGGGCGCGTAGGCATATTTGGCGGGCTCGGGTTGCATGTATTGTGCAGTTGCAAAACCGCGACATGTGACCTGAATCATCATACGTTGGTTCCATAGGAATGCACCCGCTTTGGGCATCTCCGTTGGGCTTGTGAGCTCATACCGCTCGCCATTTTGGGTAGGTTGTATCATGGTGGGAATGTGAACAAGGATAGTACCTGTGATCTCCGCGGGAAACTCTTATACCACGACGGGATGGTTGGTTATACAGGGATGTGACGGCCGACATGGCTTAGGAGGCGTAGCTTACTGTGTTTAGTGACACTGCACAAGTCAATTGAAACGCGGGACCAATGCAGAACCAAAACGCGTGACAGGCACAAAGTCTTAGCGTTTTCGCTGATTAAGTCTACAGCGGGAGTGTCAAACTCGATGCTCGTGAACAAGATTGCTAGCAAGGCAAACGAAGGTCGTCGATACTCCTATGAGAAGAAGCAGCAAGAGCGCAAGCTTTGGATGACCTTGAAAACGAAAGTCCGACCAGCGTGCAAATCGTGAAAAGGACGACGAGGGATTTTCGCAGGTCAGTCATCTGTTCCTTGATGGTTCATATAAGGTACACAGCACAATAAGCCGCACCGCGTGGGGCTAAGCGAATGGCGGTGTGGGGTTCAGGCTGAAAGGGTACAATGTAAGCGCGGAGACGGTTGCCCGGACCGCAACGCCATTAGCCAGCCGTGAGGCAATACTGCGAGTCCCAACATGTCGAGAACTCAACGATCTTCGCATCGTCAATATGCGCACACGATCCGGATTGCGCAATCCGAGCAACCGATTAGTGTGGGACAGCGGCGAAGATAACGCAAAGTGTATGGTGGCGTATGCGCCGATGTGCCGAAAGCAACGTGTCAGCTGCTCGCAAGATTGTGTGATCACGGGTGACAAGGAAGACTATACCGTGCCGGCGCCGATATCCGTTGTATCCACGGCCACTGACATTGATTGTGACCAAGACTCGCTACCGGTTCCCCCATCCTGGGTATGCCCAGTGCTGCAGCCCTGCGGAAGATGTTGGATTCGTGAAGTGTCAATTTGCTCTTGGCTGCTATTGGTACGTATGAAATATTGGGTGATGCAGTCAGACTGGCGAGAAAAAGCAAAAAGCAGGAAGGGTGGGGTGATTTACCATGACCAGCGATCGAAAAACTCTGGCGACACTGAATAGGATACCAATTCTTCATGCCAGCAAGGGCGATTTCGAAGCCGAGGTATCGTTTGCCAACTGGCGCAAGACTCTACTCGGCAGTGTACAACGCCGCACCGTTTTCAGCCTGACTCTCTCTAGTGGCTTCGTGCTGTGAAGTTGCTTTGCCCGACGTCTTCGTGATCTTGACATACTTTCCCGTCTCAGGAAATGCTTTCTTTGTGACGACCGGAATCGGGTCTTTATCCCACCACGATGGAAAAGCTGGGACGCTTGTTCGCCAGAACCGCGCAGTCCCATCGCCATTGACACTCAGGTACACATCATGTTCTTCCTTGTCTCGGAACATACCGCAGAGACTACCCGTAACATAGTCAGCCGCCGTGCCAGCAGGTCGCCAGAACAGCTCTTTCGCGTTGCTTTCCGTATCGTAGATCAGACTTGAACCTTCGTCCGACTCAATACCCAGTAATCGACCTTCGTTCATCCATAGAACAGCGTGGATCTCAAACATACTCAGTCGTTCTTTGCCCTCGATCTTGAAATGCTGAAGTATCTTGCCGTTGGGACCATCCAAGGGGTTCCAGACGTATGCTTCTTTACCAGCGCAAAGCGCAATCTCTGATCGCGTTGGATGCCAGTCAAAGTACCGGCACCAGCGGGGAAATTTCTCTTGCATGATTGCTACCTTTCGCCCGTCTGAGACATCGTGAACCTGCACCACTGACCCATTCTTGGTGCTCCATACGATAAGCTTTGAGTCTGGCCTACAGATTAGTAGACCGAGTTAGCATATGTCTTACGTGGAGTCTGTAAAGGAGTGGTGCTCACGAGAACGCGCCGGCCCAACTCTGTCCACCTAATTTGTCTGTAGCCCAAATGAGAGCCCCAGTTGAGACAGAATACACTCGTAGCGAGCCATCCCAAGACACCGTGGCAACACACTCCATGTCCGGGCTCATAGCCGACCACATGATGGCATCCGTGTGTCCAGTAAGGCGGTGCATCTCTTTACCTGCTTCCACATCATAGATAACGACGAGCGGCAAGTCTTCCGCTGGGCGCATGCCGCTTTGGGTCGAACGGGTGTTCGAATGGTACAGCATCAGTCTTCCGTCCTTGCTGAAGCATTTAGACCTGAAGCCTCCCAGTGCCGCGTTATCAATGATGGTGTTGTGGCGCCTACTATGGTCGGCGGCTACATGACTGAGCGCTTTCATGAACTCTGTATGAAGCGAAGACGCAGCGATGAACTCCCTGGTCCATTCGTGGCTTGCTGCAAGTTCGGGGGCGATTGCATCGATAGCTTTCGTAGCCCAAACGGAGGGATCGATCGGCTCTTCTTTGTCGAGTGTGCGACCGTTTTGGTCTAGATCCCAAAGGATGAGCTGGCCGGTTGTACGTTCGCTACGCTGTGTCTCATCGACGATGGAGCTCACCAGGGTGTAGCCAGGTCTCGGAGTCCCTGAACCGGAGGTTTGCTCAATCTCTGCATGACTTTCCCCATGGGTATCAGAAGGCCGGAACGCCACCGATCCAGCTCCCTCGAGGACCTCGCACAGCTGTCGGGTCTGAATGTTGTATATCAGGATTCGGCCCACGTTACTGCTGATGGCCAGCAGTTTCTTGTCAGAGCTCACAGCAGTATCGTAACTTTGGTGTGTAATATCGAGTGATTGTGGCAGATCGGCGCTGAAGTTGATAACATCGTGCGTTTGCGACCACTCCTTCGGGTGACCAGAGGCATATTGAGCGGGGACGCCAGCACGTTCAAAATCTTGGGCCGGTTCAACGGGGAAGGCAAACTCCTTCATGAATTCTTCGCGCGAATAGAAGGTCATGTTGAGGATGAAAGTCGACGGATGCGGTTGTGCGAGTCCATGTTCTCTTGTTGAAGATGGCTGCCTAGCCAGGCGAAGCGGGCATGGATCGACAGATGACGTGAAGGTGCGCGGAAGCCAATCATGGTTAAGAACTAACAATTTTAGGACAAATCTGGTACTACGCATAACTGTGGTGTAGCCTGCGACAACAACATGTTAGGCAACCAGATGACGACAAGCACGGCTGGAAGTCGCGACATGTTGCCGAGAAGTAGAGAAGAAAGTGTATGAGCTGAAACGAAACGTCAATCCCACCTATGCCGTACGCCCATCGATGCTCAACTGCTCCGAGGACCAGGAGCAAAGAGGATGCAGCAGCAGGGTAAAGCCGCCAGATAGGCTCATTGCATCCACATCACCGACGAGCTGTCACCGCAGAGCGGATCAAGCCTATCAGGACGTATCAGCATCACTCTTGGGCGTTGCCTTTGTTCAGCAGCCATTCATCTGGAGATGGAGGGAGAGCCCCGGCTACTGAACCCACAAACGCAGTCCAAGGACCGCGAATGCGAAACGCCCGTTGACATCAACTTTGTCGAAGTGTGCAGTTGGAAGACCACGAGGGCGATGCCTCTTGAGAATGCGCATCGGTCCGCAAATAAGCTCTGCAAGTGTTGGAATAGCACTGGCTTTGTGATGTTCATGGTCGATGTATTGAGGGAGTACGTCGCGTCCAGACGCGTCACACGCGATTGCGACAGCAGTGTCACCCTAGATCGAGGATGAAAGCATCAGACATCGTAACGGCGAAGGAATGCGACACAATATGCGGTAATTGCTCATCTCATTGTTGGTTGTGCTGAAGTGCTCGCGATGTAGAGAACGCGGTAAGGTTGGTCACGGCATGAGAAATGCCCCTGGGAAAGGCTTCGCGACTAGCATGGCCGCTAAGCCTCTATTGGCATAGTGCGAACATATGCCATGTCTACGCGAAATTGGAAACGTCTCGAATTCATCACAGATTAATGTGAAGTTATGGACTACGGAGGCTGTTCATCGTGTTAATTTGTATCATACACGTAACCCCGTCTACTACTTCACTTTCTACTAGCCTTCAAGTACTCCTGTAATGCCTCATTACGCCTACATCAAGATCCCCAAAGCCCCAGCAGTGTATCCATCAACCACCCCAGCAGCTACATCCTTATCTCATCGTTGTATTCGCGACCGTGGTGACCCTTGTAGTCGTGTGGGTGACTGTCATGACCTCAGTCGTCTCCACGATCTGGGTTGTAGTCGCCGCGGTCTGGGTTACCGACACGTTCTGTGTGGTGTTGACAGCTTGTGATGTAGTCGTCGTCTCCGTTACTGCTGTGTTCGTGAGAGTGGCCATGGGGTCCATAGTCGCCCAGCTGACCCGTGCGAGGCGGAATGTTGTGGTGTGTGGGGTATGTAGGTAGCGGCGTGAGGAGCGGGGACGAGGATCAGAGCAGCGGAGATAGTATGTATGTCTGTACTTGGATTAAGGTAGATGTGTACGCGCTCGTAGATGTTAATATAGGCAAGATAGTGTAGTACGTGCGGTGGCTGTCGCTGGTGTAGAGGGGATATAGACTGTGGAGAGGGTGAAGGCGAGCAAGAATTGCGACCATAACGCGTTTGCTCCTTTCTGCGGGACAACAACAGCAGAGCGCGCTGAAAGGCTGCGTATGTGTGTGTGTGTGTGTGTGTGTGTGTGGCTCCGCCAGCGTGCACATACACTCCTTCAAAAGTAGAGATTGAGCAGCGAAGATGCTACAGGCTAGGAGCCAATGCGAAGATCCGAGCAGGTGAAGGGCCCCACAACATGCTAATACTTTACTCCGAACTATGTGGTAAGGCTATGCTATATTCTGCATAACACATTAGCAAAAAAAAAGAATGTCAAGTCATACAGATCGAATAGCTGTAGCGATCAATATGAAGGGAAAATTGGACTTACCAGGAAGAAGGAATGGAAGCCCGCCGAAGCGAATGTAAATACTGAAAACGGCCGAAGCCAACACACCGCGAAAGACCGCCGAAGCGAAGAAATGAATGATAAGCCTATAGTGGCATCGCGAGAAAAGCAAAGAAAGCAAGAAAGATAACTGGTGGTGCTACTATTCGAACTCGTTAGCTTTTGTGTTCCTCTTAAGGTGAGAGTGCGATTGACCGCTGGGCTATTCGATCTGAATGACTTGATGGAAGAACACCACCCCAGGTCCCTTTATATCTCTGGTCGTTGATACTTGAGTCCCCGAGAAAAGGATGAGCCGTTGAGAAAGGCCGAGGTGATCTTGGTGTTGAGTATCGCCTTGGTGAAGCTGGCCGTGATGGTGGTGTGGGACCTCGTAGTGAGGGCGCGATCCAGAGCGGGGACGATACGGTGGTGACGATGACCGTTAAATTATGCAGCGGCTCAACAGACGGGGTCGGAAAAGAGACGAGTCTTGAAATGAACATGTAGAATGGAAAGCTGACATGAATAGGGAGTAGCATCTTACTGGAAGTGACAAAGGAAAACATTCGCGAAAGGCGTGAGAACGAGAGAGAGGATGCAGCGTGTCGAAGGAGCATGTAGACACCAGACAATCAAAGCAGACTGAGGGTCAGTCTGTACCAGCAGCAGAAGCTATGTCATCTCGAATGCAGGACCTGATATGGCCATGAATGATTTCCAAGGAAGCCGTGTCAAGCCCGCGATGCGGGGTCATCAGGGGCAAAATGGGCAAGACCAGATGTCAAGCAGTATAGACCTCGTAATCAATGATGGAAACGAAGAGAGAGGATGCGTCAACCTCGTAGACACCCAGGAGGTGGTGGTAGCATGGACTGCTACCGAAGCCTTGAGGTTTGACGTTGGGAAGACTGGGGCCATTCGGCGGTGCTTGCTAGTTCGGGCATGCCGTGGGGCCTTTGCCGGCTTCAATGCCTCGCCAACTTCATGTCCACAGCACCAACATCGACCCCATCGTCATGGCGCCATCGAGGGGTCTGAGCATATCGCATGCTCAGCGCGTCTTTTCACAACCTGAATGCATGAGTCGCAGTGCGTTTGCGGTTCGTCGCAGCTTCCACCCGCTCTCGACAGGCAGGATAGTGCCTTCCCCGATTGATATGATCCTTCCCCGATCACGACACGCCCTCAGTAGCTTCCAGATAGGCTCTGCGATACGATATACGTCACAGAAGACGGCCCGAAAGTACTCGTCCTTCACGGAGAAGCTCGCCGACCCCGCCAACAAGCTCCAGAGTTACATTTCGCGCAGCAGCGACCCGTACCTCAACCTCTCTATCGAAGACCACATTCTGCGCAAGAGCCCTGCCGACAGCACTGTTCTTTTTCTTTACGTGAACAGGCCTTGCGTCGTCATCGGGCGAAACCAGAACCCGTGGACGGAGGTCAATCTGGACATCCTCAACGCCGCCCGCGGAGCCCACGACGCCAAAGACACCGAGCCCCCGGGCATCGGTACGGTCGACCTTGTACGTCGACGCTCCGGCGGAGGTACTGTCTTCCATGATGAGGGGAATCTTAATTGGAGCATCACATGTCCCCGCGGCGACTTCACACGCGACTTGCACGCCGAGATGGTCGTTCGCGCCTTGCGGAAGCTGGGCATCGAGCGCGCCAGAGTCAACGAGCGACATGACATCGTTCTCGATCAAGGGCATGAGAGGCACACCGCTGACCTTGGAGACACGCATCGCACGCCCTACACCACCGACGAAGGCGGGCCAAGGCCGCTGAAGGTATCTGGCTCAGCATACAAGCTAACACGCCAACGCGCCTTGCACCATGCGACGACGCTGCTGAGTTCTCCAAACCTGCACATCATACCCCACTACTTGCGATCTCCCGCGAAGAGTGTCATACAAGCCCAGGGCGTCGAGAGTGTCAGCTCGCCTGTGTCCAACATCGGTCTCGACGTGTCGACATTCCAGGAACGTCTGCAAGAGGAGTTTGCATCAATGTATGCTGAGTTGGGGGCTCCAAGCATCGTCCAAACTGTCGGCGAAGAGCACCTGAACATCCCCGACATCCACAAGGGATACGACGAGCTACAGGTACTTCTGTAGCCATCAATCTTCTCGCTGTCATTGCTAATGTCTGTAGACCGATGAGTGGATGTGGTCCCAGACCCCTGCCTTCAGCCTCGTGCTTGACCCTAAGGATGACATCGGTCTCCAGATGAAAGTGCATCATGGTGTTATCAAGAGCCTGGATCTCGAGAACTCCAGCCTCTCGGACGACATTCGAGCAAGACTTCAGACCGCGCTAGTCGGTATGAAGTTACAGGATGTCTGGAACTCAAAGACTGTCCTGCAGATAAGCGATCAAAGCCGAGATGGTCAACTTGCGACTGCAGCCAGGCGACTGAGGGAGCTCTTGCCTGTACCCGAACTATTCAGGCGTTGAAGCTTGACGTTCAGAATCTTGCATGACAAGACTGCTCACTCTTCATCTGTAGAAAATTGGGATGACCACCGAAGTTGTAAGAGTTGGCCGGTATTGGTACGACAACGTTGGATACCCCGCCTGGGTGCTTCCTGCAACCTGGAGAAGATACATCCGTATGAAAGAGCAGATATGAACCAAACTCTTGACTCCCTGGTGTGCTTGCATTGCGCAAGCTTTTATCTGCCCGTCGTCTGAGGAATCGTCCGCGCCGAGGTCTCGATATGTTGCGCGGCTTGTATCGCAGCCCATGCCCGCATGTAGTGGTGCGAAGCAGCATCGTGTCCCATCCTTATGACTGAAGAGTTATTCGCGGCTGCGACCGCTGCTCGTGCCGAGTCTGTTGTCGCGCAAATCTGTACGGGTGTGAAGTATTCCCGGTTATGGGCATGGCAGAGCGGTCTCGCCATGTGAGGCTTTGTCTTGTTAGACGCAGCGCTGCGTGCTTGGGGACATGCAGCGGTTCGCTGAAGCTGTCTGCTTCCATGGTACGTGTCGCCATCAGGTGAGTGATGCCTCTCAATGAGGCTGCCCTTACGCCGAACCAGAGGCAAGCCTGCCCGTAAGGTTCTGATTGTTTGCGACCTTATTGCTTGCACGGATGCATCGGTAAAGGAGCGTGGCTCGTAGTACCAACGCCGCCGGGTACGAGGTAGTCACCAGCGAAGCTGTCGTATGCTTCGCCGAGGCGGAGCAATACGATGCCGCTGTGCGCAGTAAGTCTCCTGACATTGTATGGGCGGTCGCGTTGCTCTTTGTCCGTGTCGATTCTTTGTCCTCGATGGAAGAGCTCTCCGCGTTTCGAGGCAGCCCAGCAACCACATCGCCAGTGCGATCTGGTAAGGCTCGAGGGCTCTGCATGTGTCACGGAAGGTATAGAACACAGCATCGTCGCGCTGATTGTCTGGTTTTGTTGTCTTGATCGGAGATCGGAGCTGCGGGGTTTGTGGTTCGGGGAGATGGCCGGAGGTTTCGAAGATTGTAGGCAGTTGGTTCTCCGTCGCGGGGTAATTCCAAACTGCGAGGCTGCTTGCGACATCGAGTCTGTCTGTGGTCAATGGGGTAAGTTGAGTGTCTTACTGTGGGTTGCAACGGGGCCTTCGGCGTTGGAGAAAGCGGCCTTGAGCCGGTTCTCGAGGCTCGCCTGCCTCCGCAAGGAGCGCCAGTAGCTGCATGTACGTATCGAGAGCATGAGGGGCGTTGATTTTCATGGGTGCCAGGAGGTCGGCAATGTCAGATCCAACGAAGATGGCCCCGCCTGAGGCAGGCCTAGAAGTCATCACGAGCTTCTGAGGCGTTGAGCGATAGCGGTATGACGGACCCAGGTTACCACACGACCTGGCGACATGTCTTCCAGTAGCTGTAGAGCGACGTAAGTATCGATAGGGAGGGTTGTGAGGGCAGTGCATTTGTGAATCTGGTATTGAGTATGTCCGAGCATTGGGGGCTCCCAGTCCGCCGCACTAGCGCCAATTCTTCACAGCAGCACAACAATGAGGCATTTCAGTCCAAAAGGTTTGCCCATAGCTATGATTCCGAGCTCACTGAAGCCCACATGGCATCTCCAGTCACCCAGCATTGGAAATTACCAGCTACAGCCATGCTTGCTACTTCAGCTTCAATCGGCAAACCCTCACCATCACCGCCACTATATCCACCATACCCACAACACAACTGCAATCCCACTTCCCAACCCAAATGGCCTTCAGAAGATGGCTAGACAATACAAGGAAGAAGATCCTGACCAAGAGATTGGTGCTCAAAGAGCACATCAAGCAGAAGTGGAATGATTTTTGGGATATCTCGCACAGCGTGAGCCACACGCTTGTTACACCAAGTTCCAAAGAGGACGACGACGACTAGGCTGCATAGGCAGCGAGATGAACGACATCCGGGCTGCAAAGGCAGCGATACAAAACAGTTTTGAGGACGACATGGGGCTCCAGCATGGTGACTGCGATACAATAATGCGGCGAGGAGGTATTTGAGAAGATTGGGGAGAACAGCGGAGAGTTCTGAGGTGGACGAGGAGACTACTGTGACGTTTGTAGGAGGTGGCGGGAGATGGGAAAATGGATCGTGGAGGTCACAGAAGGTTCGCAGACACATCGAAGCTTACCGGATGAAGTACCCTGGTAACTACCAGTGTATTCTGGGAGCTCGAAGTACCTCGGGACTATGCACGTCAGCATTTCGGGCTGCAGCGACTTATAAATACGGTCGGACATTTTGGATGGCTTCTGGTCCCGCTTCCTTGGCAAACCACCGCCTATTCGCCCGTCGCCGTTTCAGCCTTTCGCTTCAACCACTCGCCATCGCAGCGCAGATTTCCATCGCAACCGGTCAAAAGCCTTGGGAACACAGATATGCGCGCATCTGCACGCCTAGTTATCTCGATCCAATCGTCGCGACCCCTCATTCTGGATGCCTGTTGTTTCGAAACACGGACAGGCCATGAAACGGCTGCCATCAGCGTTCGCCGCGTTTCAGGTGAACCACGCCTCCTCCACAACGCTAGCCTGATTTCTGATCGCTGCAGCTGAGGCTGAGAATATGGCTAGGTTTATATAGCCGACGATGGAGGCATCGTAGGTATTTTGGTTAGGACGACGTTCTTCAACTACCAGCGCAGCGCGCATTGAATACATTTCTTTCCTGTACATCTTTTCCTCTTCTACATCATGAGCGGTTACGAACACTCCAGCGCTGGCTCGCTGTATACATACGATACCAATGAGGATTCTGGTTACGACGCCTTCGACACTGCGTTTTCAGCATGGGGCTACATGGAGGATCAGCCCAACATTGCCAACAAGTATCAACAAAGCCCTATCGGTGTGTGAAGATTATTCCTAGTGCCTCAGAGTAGTACTTTGACTGACCTACAAAACAGAGGGTCTGCAAAATCTTCCTCGACAATGGCCGACCGCAAACACCGTACGCCAGCCCTTCGCTCCATCGCAACACCTCTCAGCTTCGAGCTTCTCGTCGGCAATGTCAAGCTATCGATCGTCGGGGAACAGCAGCTTCTCGCAGACCCCTCTTCGAGACTCAATGTCATCGTCCATATCAGGCTACTCGAACACGTCCGATATGTCAAGGAATCAACACTTTTCGATGGCTGAACATCTCTTGTGTCACGGGCCCGTCGAACCAACTCTCTACGACTCTAGTCCAACGGAAGAGCGCTGCCAACGGCCTACAAAGGGAAAATCTCCCAAGAAACCAGTCACACAAGAGAAAGATTACTTCAAGACGTGCGTTTCAGCAAGCAAACAATCCCGGGTCTGCAGCAAGAAACACAAGTACTTCTGCACCAGCTGCGAACGACCTTTCGTCGAGAAGGCGGACTGGAAGCGCCACGAAGAAACCTATCAAGAGCGTCCGGAGATGTTCACGTGCGATCTCTGCGACCACATATATTTCCTCGCGAAAGACTTCACGAAACACCACGCTCAAGCCCATCGATGCACGTCTTGCGCCGAGGTTGGCCGTGGTAAGAAAACTCACGCGCTGTCTGCGAAAAGGAGACGTATGATACGGACGGGCTGGGGCTGTGGGTTCTGCTGCCACTTTAGTACCGACTGGACGGAACGATGCGATCATGTTGCGAGGCATATGGAGAAAGATGGATTGACAGCGAAGGAATGGAAGCATACTAACGTCATCTACTCTTTACTTCAACGACCGGGTATATACCACGAGTGGTTACGACTATCTCGTGCACTGCCAAGTCTTACGGGCTGCGGATGGAACCGAACTACCACTGGACGCGTCGAAGGCTACCCAGAGAGCAACCTTACTCCTCAGCTTCAAGACTACCTTGAGTACTTCACATCGGATCAAGACGCGGCGGCCGTGGCGCAGATGGCTTATAGGAAATTAAAGAAGGCTTCTGCGCCTCCCCCTGTTCCACCCAAAGACTACCCTGCTGCGTCGGTGCGGAATTGGGATGTTGAGATGTATCCCTGGGGACAACTTACGAATTCGGTTGTTGAAGACGATGTACTGCCTACTGGCATCAGCCGCTTAGATGGATGGTATGCTGGGTCATGATCTTTTGAGCAACTCACATTATGCGAGGTCTAATGTATAATGAGCATATAGTGATGCTGTCTAGAAAGATATCGAACGATCGCGTGAGAGAGATAATTTTGAGATCTGATCTCAGGACGCGGCCGTAATCTTCGTGTATCATAGGCTGCATGCCTTATGCAGCCCCGGTGTCTCAAACCACACCCCTCTCACCTTGGATCTACCAAACACCCCAACCTTCCTATCCCCTACCACTTGTAAATCTCCCCCACATATCCGCCATCCCCCTCACTGACTTAGCCATCACCACCCCTCCAACTCCTCGCCTTTCGTCTCTAAACTCGGCGGCTGAACAGGCATGCCCTTCTTCAACGCACCCACAAGCGGATCTTTGCTCGTCATCTCCTGCACCTTCTCTTCAGTGCTGACATCAGCCTTGACCCGCTTATACGCCATCCTCGAAGGCTTATCCACGACATTCAAAAAGCTTTCTCTCCTTGCTGTTGACCAGGCATTGAGCAGTCTCTCATCATCCGAAGCCTTCCCAGTAAGAACGCGTATGAGGACTTCGGAAAGTGAAGACGCATCCGCCATACCGGATGCTAGACCGAGCCCTGCATACGGGTTTGTCAAATGCGCAGCATCGCCTACAAGACACACGCGAGAGTCGTGATGGTACAATGACGGAATGAGGCGTTGTTGGGCTTTATACGGCGCCACGCGGACGACTTCGTAAGCTTTGTTGCCTTGTTCATCGCGTCCTTCGTCAGGCATCATAACGCGTAATTTCTCATCCAGGGTCCGGTTGATTTCCTCCTCGGAAACGCCGATCGGTACGCCGTAACTCACACGCCATAGTGCAGGTTTACCATCCGTTGCGTGGTTGATACGGCCAATGAGACCGTAGTTCTGGGGATCCATGATGAAGTTCGCGTCGTAGAAGCCATGGGCGTGGAAGTCGAAGTATAGGTCTGTGGCGACTAGTTGCGCGTCGAGTGTCTCGCCTTCGAGGCTGATATCGAGATCTTTGCGAATGATTGAGTGCGCGCCCGATGCGTCGATTAGGTATGCGGCTTCGAGGGATTCGTCGCCTAGTTGCATCGAAGAAGCCTCTGGTGTGATCTGGACGGTGACACTGCTTGGTGTTGATTTGAATGAGGAAACGCTGGTTCCGAGACGCACTTCTGCCTTTTCATCGCCCAAAGCACCCAGTCGCTTCATGAGAATTTGTTGAAACTTCCCCTGTGGTAGTAGGAGCTGTCCCTTTCCTTTCATTCCTTCACCCGTGTTGTCGAACGTTTTACCCGCAATCACTTTGCTGCCATTTTGGATGCTCGTCCGGAAGCACAGACCTGAACTCAAACTTCCTGTCTTCACCAGTTCCGGTAGTAAGCCTTCGACTTTAGATAAGATGGGATACGTTGGCGGCTGATGAGCCATTGCGCGTGTCGACATAGGATCTGGCTGCTGCGGTTCAATGACGACCACCTTATTGGGGATGTCTGACTGTGCGAGGAGGAGAGCTAGGAAAAGTCCAACACAGCCGCCTCCTGCAATTACGATTGGGAGGGGTTTGGCATTGTCACCATTGGTGCCGTTCGTGTGCGAGAAGCCGTAGGAGAAGTCGCTAGAAACATTGGTATCGTGGTTTCCGTTGCTAACATTGAGGCTCGACAAGTCGAGATTGAGTGCAATTGAAGCAACTGCCATAGCTAGTAGATGTTCTGGAGCTTTTGATGCTGAGTTGCGGGTACTCTGGTAAATCAGATGTGTTGAAGGTTGACTGATGCTGTTCACGGTGATCGAGGTCTATATCTGGATGCAATGTCGATTTTGTGGTTTAACATTAGGAGATGCATCTTAGTATTGCGTGTGTGTATCAACGGTTCTTTTTCGGATACCGAACGACGTTCCCGGTGATGTGGTGCTGTCATTGTGGTACCTGCCGCAACGGCCCCGATGTGGGGAACCGGCGACTTTAGCCTCAGGGTCCAGGCGACGTCAGATGTTTTCAGGGACCTTCGCCCGACGACTGACATCACAATCAATACGCATGTGCGTTAAGGACAATGTTCATACGTGTATTGAGGCTCCCTGTAAGACCCTCGGTGAGTCTCGCTATTCACCTGATCTTGGTATCTTGCTGTACTGACAGCTTTCCTTACCATCGTCACCTTCTTCGAAAGAAGCGTGTCAATCCTTGCGTCGTCTTGGTGCAACAGGCACTATCCCTCCGTTCCCTGATACTGGTAGAGAAACTGGACGCCGAACTTGTCTAGATCAGAGATTGCCGTAGGAAATGGAATGAGCTCTGCGTTCGACTTATCGGGCTTTGAGCCGTCACTGGGAGCTCCGTTCTTCCAGTACGCAAGAGGTACGTTACCGACGCTACCAAAGTAATTTGCAGCGAACGAATGAGATTCGTAGTGCATGATGGACCTGTGGTCGTACTCCTTGCCCTTGGTCTGTCCCCTCGGTTTGCCCTTGCTGTCTGAACCCATGTCCATCGTGAACTGGGACGGTGGCCACCAGTTGAGATCGTTGGTAAAGCCGAGGTAGTTCGACTTGCAAACGTCCTCAATAGAGATTCCCTTCCACCGAGGGTCGGTCTCAACCCTCCACTTGGCCGTCGCATAGCCCTCGAGTTTGGAGCAGTCGTAGTAGATATACTGGTCCCCTGAATGCGTCAGCTGGAAGGAAAATGTTTTCGGACAGAAGAAAGGTTACGATCATCGCGCTGATGCTCGTGTTCTAAGCCAAGAACATGACCCAGCTCATGGGTCACCTGCCACTTCCAGGTTTTCCAGACCTGGGGACCCATCCAAAGATGCAGAGCGTGGCGACCGGCATGCGAATTACTAAAGATGGGCAAATGATGTTAGCAATCTGGTCGTAAGGGATTGGAGAAATAAGCACTCTAAACAAGCTGGCTTACATGCTCGCATCTAGATATCCGACAGTTGCTCGAGTAATGAAGTCGTCTGCCTCCATGATCATGAGTGTATACTCGGGAACAAACGGGTTCCATTTACCATCCTGCAGACGACAACGTGGATCAGAGTTGGTGTCCTCGTGGTGGTAGTGACGAAATCCATCAAACCGATGCTGGTTGGATTCACCGGAGCCGATCTTGTTCTTCCATTCTCCTGCTGCCTCCTCTACTATAGTAGACAGAATCAGTACTCGCAAGTTTCCCAATGGAAGAGGTAGCATATAGCATTCCTTACCGACATCTTTGTACTTTGTGAAGTCTTCCTCAGTGGCAAAGCAGTACTCGATCCACACATTTGGAGTGTCTTTGTAGTTGGGCCAAACAGCAGGATCTGAATTGGTGTCTTTGTCGATTATGGTGACCCAGCCCTTGCCCCCATCATCACTGAGCTTCCCAGATGCTTGAAGTTCAGCAACGTAGTCTGCGACTGACGAGCTGTTGGTGAGGCGAGGGTTGTTGAAAGGGAACACGCACGCGGAGGTCAGTGTCGCACAGAGACGGGCGAGGAGAAGGAGTGACAGCCTCATACTGTACGTAGGGATGGTGTAGTCGAGTAAGTGGAGAGCAGACTTGTGAGTTGATGGGAGAGAGGAGAGGACGGATCGATACCGACAAGACAAGGTAAAGAGTTTTTGCTAGCGCGATTATCTCATCAGTATACAACTGGCGGCCTGAAGGTGAGGGCAAAAGAGCAAATGCTCTTAAGCAGAGCTTTGACCAATACCAAGTCATGGACTCGCGGTAGTGAGGATGAGCGGTGATCGGTCGGCTGTCTCTGCCTTCACCTCTTATGGATATTGTAACGAGAAGAAGAAGTCGAGCAGAAGCAAAACGTTCTTGAAACAGTTATGAGTAGGATGTATTAGTCAAAGATACGCTTGTTAGCACCTGGAGCAGTAACATGATCTGAGAGGTGATCGGAACCTATAGCTAGCTAGTCTGAACTACGTGATCTGATACTACACCACGTTCTCAACTTTCAGCTGGATTCCATGAAGGCCTAATGCTCCTGGGTTGCTGAGTTGGGTAGCCTGAGAACCGAGCCCCTTGCATTCCTAACGACTATACGTTGAGTGTAGTAAACCACGACAAGCGTGCTGGAGAGCTAGAGAAGCAGAGCTTTTATACCATAGCTGCCTGGGCACACTTAGATTGCCAGACAGTCTACACATCAAGCCAACCACTCATAAATCCTACTTGTTTACAATCGCAGCACCAGCAACCATCCTTGTCTTACTCACCCCATCCTCAATCCTGAACCACTCATTACTCCTTATCCCATCCACAGTCAAACCCAACACCCCCTTCCACTTGTCCTCGTCGCGCTACTGCCAGCGCCCAACCGGCGTTCCCAAAGAGGTCCACGCAATAGACGCCCACCGCCTGAGATCAGTAACGAGATTCAAGTACGCCTCCTTCCGCACAAACTTGACATCCTTCCAGCCAGCCTCCTTCGTGACTTGCTCGATCCGTTCCTTATTGTACCAGCTCTTACTGAGAAAAGGTCCCATTGGCTCATCAGCGTCGCGTGTTGTGATGCGCGTTCTCAAGCACAACGTGCTAGGAAATTTCTGCCCAAACGGCGATGACGCCAGTGCCTCCTGGTTTCAAAATGTGCAGAATATGTGAAGCGGCGCCGACGTCATCGGAGAGGCCTGCGAAGACGAAGTTTGCATTATTACCGTGGTTACTGCACTGTAGCCGCAGCCGTTGTCGTGGATGACTGATGATGCAGTGAGGGGACCTCTTGGAGGAGCTGTCGAGCAATGGAGTCGCTGACATCGCCTTGGAATTCTTGGAGGAGAACGCCGTCGAAGTCTAGCGCTTGCTTTGGCTTGAAGGGGGCGGCCATGATTTTGGAGGTAAATTTGTGGGTGGAAATGTTGCTAAGAGGTGCTTGTATCTAAGGTCTAGTGCTAGTCCGAAACGTGATAGTAAGACTAAGGTCCATGAATGACCATATCCTCATATAATGAAGTCGGAGACTTTTCCAGAGGTATGATCGACCGCGCTCTTCAACGTGTCCGATGTTGGTTATTGCCATTGGCCAGAATGGATTACAAATTCAGAGGGATCCCACGACACGGTGATATCGTGAGAGGCCTTGCAGTATCTGATGTTTACAGGGAGTATAACACTTCGACCAAGCTGTGATAGGATAATGGCGGTGGTGACAGCCTCGAGTGATGGACGCATATCTGTTTGATAGCCGTGGGCTAATTAGTTCAGGCAGATAAGTCGAAGGACGTGGATGCACGATGGATCAGTAGAGGAGAAGTTCAAGGAGACTCATGTGCATCGCCTTCAGAGAGCCAAGAGTGATCGGACATTAGTGCTCCAAGCACTTGAGCACACCAGATACGCTGTATTACGAGGCTTTCGGATCCCGCTTCTGACTGATCATTCTCGGGAGAAGACCCAGCCTGAGGACTCGGAACGTGAACGAGGCATAGATGATTGCGATAGCCGAGTAGAACAGAGGTCTATAGTACTTCATGTTTTGGAGGAATGAATAAATTACGTGGTCAGTCTTGGCTCGTTTGAGCTGGAGTGCAGGAGATGTCGGAGGGCTCGGCTACCCCGCGAAGGTTTGCGTGCTGTTGCCAATGGATTGGGTCGCGTGACAGGGCACACAAAGAATTCGTCTTGTTTGCTATCAAGCCGATGTACAAGTCGTCGCATGCGTGTTGATGACTACGAGGGGCATGCGTCGGTCTAAAGATGGGGCGGTAGTAGTGAGATGTGGCTAGTGACGTACGCCACCCGTGGACCGCGTGGGCCGAAACAAACCATAGAACGGGACACGAATTGCCAAGTCAAGACATCCACGAATGCTCCCCCAGAACCCTCAGAGCCTCCTTCTCCGGTAGACCAAGCCTTCTTGATGAGGTAGCAACGGCATTACGCGTCTTCCAAGATGTCTGCGCCAACTACATCAGACCCCATACAGCAGAGTGGTAGGTGAGCTTGCAGCCCTCGGAGGTGCCAGTAAACTCCGCTTTCACGTCGCGGTCGATGCGAAAGCACGGAAGAATTACGGGCTAACCAGTGACGACAGGCACTTTGTCCAAGTCGCAGAAAAAGAAGAATAAGAAAAAGGTCGCCGCTGCGAACAAGGCGGACAGCACAGACAAAGTGAATGGGGACCACTCCAGAAGCGACGCGGAGGACCACGAAGATGAGGCCGAGGATGAGGCCGAGCAACCTGTATGCGGTCCATGAGAGCTCTCTATACAACCACAAGTACTAATGCTATCAATGCAGAAGCCCGCCGCGCATTCAGCCGATCCAGACGCCGACGACGTAGACGACGACCAACCGCCGCTGTCGCCGACCATACAGACAAACGGTACTCCACACCACAGCATCTCCTCCGCAATTGCGCTTGGACTGGCACGCTCACGCTCGCAACAAGGAATCTCCGCCTCGCCGCCGCCCCCTTCAGACGCCAGCGCACGACTAGACGCGATAGCCAAGGAGCGCGATGCGCTACGGCAGGAAGTTACAGAGCTGAGGAAGAGTCTGGAGGATGTTCAGAACAAGCAAACCACGGGGACATCAGACGAGACATATGCGAATCATGAAGAAGAGATGCGGAGTCTCAGGGAGGAGTTGGATGAGGCCAACGAAGGCAAGGAGCACTTTGAGACACAATACAAGAACTTGCTGGGAAGGGTCAATACGATCAAGACCAGTCTGGGCGACCGACTAAAGGCGGATGCGGTATGTCTGCATAGGAATTTGCAGCCGACAGAATACTGACCAAGTGCAGGCCAGAATCGAGGAATTCCAATCGCAAATCGCCGACCTTGAGGAGCAAACCCGCGAGCTACAAGAAAACAACAACAGCCTCACCGAGGAGCTCGCAAAACTCCGGCAAGAAAAGGAAGCTCAGGCATCCGAGATCGAGACTCTACGGAGCAGGTCGACCCTGTCGCAACAAAACTGGATCAAGGAACGCGATGAGCTGATTTCGCGGGAAGCATACGCCAGGGAGGAGTTCGAGAACGCCAAACAGGCCATGCAAGACTGGGAAGTGCTGGCCATGAATGAGCGATCTCTGCGCGAGAACCTGGCTGAGAAGGACGCCGAGTTGCGCGACCAACTTGAGTCGATGAGGGAAGAGTACGAACGGGCTGCCAGGGATAGAGACACCAACAATCAAGCCGTAGAGGGTCTGCAGAAGGCGCTGCAGGAAGTCCAGAACCGTGAGTACAATTTTCTCTCGACAAGAGCCTCTCCTAATTAGCCATGAACAGTGCGAAAAGCCGAACTCAAAAAGTCCGTCGAGACCTACGAATCGCAAATCAACGACTTGCGGAAACAAGTCCAAGCCGCTGAATCAGCGTCCAACGCCGCCAAAGCCACACTTGAATCAACGCAGAAAGATCTTGAGCGCGCCCTCCCCTTCGAGAAGGAAGTCAAGGAGAAGAACCTGTTAATCGGCAAACTGCGCCACGAAGCAGTAACACTCAACGAACATCTCACAAAAGCGCTGAGGATACTGAAGAAGGGACGGCCGGAAGACAACGTCGACCGCCAGATTATCACGAACTACTTTTTGCATTTCCTGAGTATAGACCGGAGTGATCCGAAGAAGTTTGAGGCTCTGCAGCTCATTTCTGCGTTGTTGGGCTGGACAGATGGTAAGACCCCTCTCCCACACATCACTTTCCCACATGCTAACTCCATATTCAGAGCAAAAAGAGCAAGCAGGCCTCGCTCGCCCGGGCACATCATCCAGCTCAACCGGCCTCCGCATCCCCCTGTCCTCTCCCTTTAGACGAACACCGTCGACGGCGTCGCTGAGCGCCGCAGCCGCAGACCCCATGCTCATGGCTAGTAGCTCGAGCAATAAGGAGTCGCTGGCGGAACTGTGGCAGGACTTCCTAGAGAGGGAGGCGGCCGAGGGGAAGGGCGATGCGAGTAGGAGGGGAAGTACAGTTAGTCCACCGCCCAGGACGGAGAGTGGACTGGGGTTGAGCGAGAAGAGGTAATCACTGTAATCATAGGATGTGGAGTCCGCGTAAGACTTTTGGTGCAATAGATATCAGGTGCTGAAGACAGACACCTTGGATTGCTTGAGCTGGTGTTTGACTGCCTTTGGTGTGTATCAAAGTCGCCTATTCGTTATGTTGTTACATGCTTCATGTACAAGTATCCCAACGCCCAAGCCGCGCGTATTTATGCGCTACAAATAGAGAGTCATGCAGATTGCATGCCACTAGTTCCCATTCAAAGTTTCTTCAAGTTCCCCGCATCATCTCTTCCAACCTGTATGCTTCAATATTTGCTCCTCCTTTGCCTTCCTTGGATCGGGTAGTATGGTTCGCGATCGCTGCACGTCGCCGCGCTTCTCCTTGGCCATCTGCTTCACTTGCTTATCGGTGGGTCGGCGGATGGCCCAGTTGAGCTGGCCGAAGATGTTGGTCTTGATGGCTGGGATGTTTGTTAGCAAATGGTCCTCTCAATGCAGGAAATGAGCAGTCTCACCATCCACACAGTATGGACATAGGATGTGCAGGCGCTTGACTCTTCCGCACCCAGAACATGTGTTGAGCGATGTGATATCCTTCAGTCCCTTGCCCGCCATGAACCGTTGGCGCTTCTTGCGGTATGACGTCTTCTTCTTGGGTACTGCATTGAGTATGCCATCCCAGATGTCGGATAGCGACGGTATTGAGGGGAGTGATAGTGACGGTATCGCGAGCGCGCCGAATGGTGTGTTGATTGCGCCGAAGGGTTGTGAAAGGCGTTGCAGGAATGGTGTGTTCAGGATGGGCCGCATTGGGCCATTGAGGCCCGGCAGCAGCGTCTGCCACAGCGGAGGAAGCGGGCGGGTGAGTGCCATGGCTGCGACGGGTGACTGGCTGCGACGGGTTTACGTGGGGCTGCGATATGGCGATGCGGTGATGGTGTTGTAAAATGTCGTGACCCCAGTCCGAGCTTGCAGGTCGCGCCTTACCGCCAGACCACTAGCGCGCTTTCGCTTCCTAGCTGCCCCCTTTCCCGCGCCTGCATCTCCACGAGAAAGTCGCCAGCGCAGCGACCCTGACTATTTACTCTATTACGACGACACCTCCTACCCTCCTCTCCCCCAACTAATTCTCTCCCACCCACTCCATCACCCCCCAGTCCCGGCCCCGAGGCACCCATCATCCACAATGGCTGCTGCATACAACCAGAACCAGTCGCAGCCCATCTTCCCGGACAGCTATGTCGGTTTCGACAGCATCACCAAGCAGATTGAGCGCAAGTCGGTCAAGCGGGGCTTCCAGTTCAATGTCATCTGCGTTGGTAAGCATCACCATTTATGATTTCGCTCCATTGGTTTACTAACATTGCACAGGACAGACTGGTCTCGGCAAGTCGACACTGATCAACACGCTCTTCGCCTCGCACCTCATGGACTCCAAGGGCCGCTTCCAGCCCGACGAGGAGGTCCGCAGCACCACAAACATCCACCCCGTCTCACACATCATCGAGGAAAACGGCGTGCGTCTGCGCCTCAACATCGTCGACACGCCCGGGTACGGCGACCTGATCAACAACGAGCGCTGCTGGGACCCCATCGTCAAGTACATCAAGGACCAGCACAGCGCCTACCTCCGCAAGGAGCTCACCGCCCAGCGTGAACGTTACCTCCAGGACACGCGCATCCACTGCTGCCTGTTCTTCATCCAGCCCTCTGGCCACGCCCTCAAGCCCATTGACATTGTCGTCCTCAAGAAGCTGAGCGAGTTTGTCAACGTCGTGCCCGTCATTGCCAAGAGCGACAGCTTGACCCTGGAGGAGCGTGCCGAGTTCAAGCACAGGATAAAGGAGGAGTTCCAGTTCCACAACCTGCGCATGTACCCGTACGACAACGAGGAGGATGACAACGAGGAAGTCCAGGCAAAGCAGGCCATCAAGGTGAGAGAGCTCGTCGGGGTGCAATCGGACATTCGCTAACCTGCAATAGGAACTCCTTCCTTTTGCCGTCGTCGGCTCTGAGAGGACAGTTGTCGTCAACGGCAGGAACGTCCGTGGTCGCCAGAACAAGTGGGGTATCATCAACGGTAGGCTGTCTCAAATCCTCCTTTACAAGCATTCCACTAACACCCACCAGTCGAGGACGAGAACCACTGCGAATTCGTCTACCTCCGCAACTTCCTTACCCGCACCCACCTGCAAGACCTGATCGAGACGACTGCACAAATCCACTACGAGTCGTTCCGCGCCAAGCAGCTGCTTGCCCTCAAGGAGAGCTCTCACCAGGGCCACTCCTCGCGCCCCATCTCACCCTCTGCCGACCGCGAGCTCAGCAGGAACAGCCAGCGCATGACCATGAACGGGTACTAGGAGTTCCCGAATCATAACCGCGTCGATAGTAGCGGGGGCAAGCCCAACGGCCCTCCACCACCGCGTATGGAGCCACGCATGGAAAGGCCCGTCCCTATGATCGATGCTATCTGAGCGGAGGTGGTTTAGGTGTGCGTCGTCGCGAGGGGGGCATTTGCGACATGTTTTGATACCAGTGCATCATCTAGCACGAAAAGGGAGAGGAGGAGACTTTGCGGCACACTTTCGATTTGACACCTTTCTCAATATCCTTTTAGTTACGATGGATTCTTATTATCTTTCTTCATCTCGTATGTCATAGCACGGTGTAGTGGTTGAGCTAAGACCCTGGGTTGTGCCCGGGTCCCCTTCTAGGATAGCGGAGTAATTTGAAGCCTAGTGCTTTTCCATCTTTCTTCCAAGATTGTTGTGATGGCTCAGTCGAATTCGCTAACCACTCGCTCTTTCCGTCGGTATATCTATGTCAGACCACAATATCGTGGATGGTGCGATGCCCAGTCCGCTCTACCCAGGGAGGCAGGTACCACAAAGTCAGGATGACACGAGCGCAGATCCTCATCTACCATTTCCCCCATCGAGACAAACAGGGCTCAGCGCCGCCCGACCCATCCGAAGTCACCACAGATAAGCCGTATGCTCACAACCGTCGGCTCAGCGCAACAACTTCGACCCCGCAAAATCCTCTATACTATCATCCCCTTTCTTCGCACCACCCGCCTTACCCTGCCCCGTAACTCGCATCGGTCCCGTCTTCCCTCTTGCTGGTGATCGTGATCCATCAGGTGATTTTGCAGACGTATGACCATCGGCTTCGCCGACGATTCGCTCGATAACTTTTGCTTTGGCGCCTGCTCGCTTGAACCTATCATCGAAATCCGCTACGCCTTCTTCCGTGTTTGCGGTGTCGAAGGTGAGGGGGTCGGTCAGGGAGTGGAGGAGTGTTGTGTTGTTTTGGAGTCTTTCGTTTTTGGAGAGGTTTGGTAATGTTTGTCGCGTTTGCTCGACATCATCTCCCACCTTCTCTCCTTTCACTCCTTCTCCTGTCTCGTTCTTTGATGTTGACGTGGGGGTAGATGCGAGACCAGGTAATCGTGATCCCCATACTACACTCCGTCCGTGGAGCTCGCCCAGGGAAGCAAACTTTTCGAAGCCTTTTTCTAGTCCGAAAATTCTCCCTTCGATTCGACCGGCATGGGCGCCGTCTGAGACACCGAGGTCGTAGGCCGTGGTGTAGAGGGTGTCTTCTAGGGTTAGGAGGGCGTCGAAGGGATCGGGTGAGGGGGAGCGGGTAGTGAATGGGTTGGTGGGTTGGGATGCCATGGTTGTATGAATGAAAATTGGCTGTTAAGCTAGCTGGTAAATTGGTCGAGTATAGGATATTCCTCCCGTTGTGCTCGTGTATAATTTTTCAATGTGATGACTGTGTTCAATACTTTACGAAGTGGATGAATCTTGAGTTAATTTCTCTCTGCAGAATTCACCCTTATGCTTTGTAGAAAAGCCAGTAGTTCAAGTCTCCGTATACTGTTCAAGTGGAATTCGTGTGAGCTCAGCTTCTAGAACGCGATACAGTCCCTGCTGCTGCAAAGATCGAAGTCAGGGTTCAGCCATCCTGTGGCGTCACTGTGGCTAGCGGGGTAAGTTTTGGCGGGGCAGCTACCACACATCCGCCGTGCGTGCAGTCATTCGCGTTTGACTCAGCTACTCGACCAAAGGAAACACAGCGCTGCATAGATCCCCATTGCGCGCTCACATTCCATCCATAACGTTCACACTCAATCGCACACTACACTCACACCGGAGTAAGAGTCACACCGTCGTGTCCCCATTCACCACATCAAGCTGACTCTAGAACAGCTTACAGCTTCCCATGACTGAGACGACTAAAAAGATCCTGCCCGTCGAGGGCGAGCGCAATGTGCTCATTACCAGTGCGCTTCCCTACGTCAACAACGTGCCACATCTGGGCAACATCGTCGGCTCCGTACTCTCCGCCGATGTCTTCGCACGTTTCTCACGCGCCCGAGGATACAACACACTATATGTTTGCGGAACAGACGAATACGGCACAGCAACCGAGACCAAAGCCATAGAAGAGAAGGTCACGCCGAAGGAACTGTGCGACAAATACTACGCGCTCCACAGCGAGGTCTACAAGTGGTTCAACATCAGCTTTGACCACTTCGGACGCACACCTACACAGCAACAGACCGACATCGCGCAGGACATCTTTACAAAACTGTACAAGAACGGATTCTTGGAGGAACAGACCACTACACAACCATACTGCGAGACACACAAGAGCTTCCTTGCAGACCGATTCGTCGAGGGGACATGTCCATTGTGCGCATACGAAGACGCGCGTGGAGATCAGTGCGACAAGTGTGGACATCTCCTCGACCCTCTTGAGCTGAAGAACCCACGATGCAAGCTGGATGGCGCCACTCCCGTCCCGCGCGAAACCAAGCACGTTTACCTTTGCCTTGACAAGCTGCAGCCATTGGAAGAGGAGTGGTTTAAGAAGGCGAGCAAGGAGGGTAACTGGAGCTCCAATGGTGTCCACATTACCTCATCATGGTTGAAGGAGGGCCTAAGGCCGCGTGGTATCACTCGTGATTTGAAGTGGGGAACTGCGGTGCCGCTTGAGGTACGACATACTTGTGAACACGACGAAATCCAGCTGACCGGTATCAGGGCTACGAGGACAAGGTTATGTACGTATGGTTCGACGCCTGCATAGGATACGTGTCGATTACAGCAACCTACACCGAGGACTGGAAGCAGTGGTGGCACAACCCCGAGCACGTCAAGCTTTACCAGTTCATGGGCAAGGATAACGTGCCGTTCCACACGGTCGTCTTCCCCTGCTCACAGATCGGTACCAAGGACAACTGGACTATGCTCAACACCATTTCAACCACAGAATACCTGAACTATGAGAAGGGCAAGTTCTCAAAGTCCAGGAACATTGGTGTCTTCGGCAACAACGCCAAGGAGACCGGCATCCCATCGGACGTCTGGCGCTACTACCTTCTTTCACATCGACCAGAGACTGGAGACACAGAGTTTGAGTGGGACGGCTTCATCGCCGCAAACAACAACGAGCTGCTGAAGAACCTCGGCAACTTCATCAACCGCGTTATCAAATTCGTCAACAATGCCAAGATCTACGATTCGGTCGTACCTGACTACACCAAGTACGACGATGAGTACTTCACCGAGCACAAGAAGAAGGTCAACGATCTACTGAAGACTTATATCGCCGAGCTGGAGGACGTCAAGATTCGTGCCGCACTCGCCACAGCGCTCCATGTCTCGAGCTTGGGTAACTTGCTGCTGCAAGACAACCGACTTGACAACAAGCTGGCTACTGAGCAACCGGATCGCTGTGCCGCTGTTGTTGGACTTGCATTGAGCCAGATCCATCTCCTGGCCAGTTTGATCGAACCATACATGTAAGTTTCGAATTATTCCATTAAATGAGAGTGCATTTGGTTCGAGAAGGATAGAATGAGTTCCAGCATAGAACTTACGGCTAATCGTGATACAGGCCCGATACGACCGCCGCGATCCTTTCTCAACTGAACGCAAAGTTCCTCATCATTCCTGACACTTGGGAGGCGCAATCACTCCCCGTCGGTCACAAGATCGGAACGGCCGGATATCTCTTCACTCAAATCAAGCCCGAGAAAGAGCAAGAATGGCGCGAGCAATTTGGTGGCGAGGAAGCTCGCAAAGCTAAGGAAGAGAAGGCAAAGAAGGCGGCTGCTAAAAAGGCAGAGAAGGAGCGCAAGAAGGCGAAGAAAGCCGCCGGTGCTGACAAAGGCGTCGAGGCTGCTGAGAAGGGCCAAGATGGGCCTGCAGCAAAGACTGCGGAGGAAGAAGTATCGAGAGGCGTTGAGCAGGTCAGCCTACAGACCTCGTAGTATGTGAGTCTGATCAGGCGGTTCTGGGAGTTTTGGCGCTACGTTTGGAGGAGAGCACTGGCAGCATGATGTAGGGGCGTTCGCATTCAACAAACCTTGGGGGTTGTTAGCATCTGTCTGATGTGAAGCATGACTAAGACCATGAGACGGCAGAGCATTCTTTTCAGGACGAGGACAGTTGGTCTGTTTCAACATGTAGCCACACGTAAGGCATGAGCTTGTTCTGCTACATTAGACCCGAATTATCCATTTCGGGGTATCACTGCAAGCGGCTCCATTGCACAGGTTTTCCTTGTCGCCATATCTGTGTGCTCAGAGAGTCTTCTTCAATATGCCTTTGCACGCCTCGTATGCTTCCAGGGGTTTCAATCAGTTCACGAGTATTGAAGAGAGCCGCGTATATCCGAGTTTCGATGGACCTTGATTTCACAGTTGGAGTAGGGCGGCTTGTTACTCCGTGTCAACAAGACGATGATGCCAGCTTATGGTATTGATTTCTAGCTCGGTCATCGGTATGATCACTTCCACAACAAGAGTATTAATAGATCTGACCCGCGCGATAGTACCTGAGCGGAGATGCGCACTCTTGCACGAAGGTCATGCAGTGGCATGTTTGCGCTCAACCACCATCGTGACTACCTTCCAGTATGACGCTCCTGCCCTACACGTCTCCACGCACTCCATTAAGACAATGGCCCATCGGAAATGACGTCTACCCTGCGTTCTTTGTTTATCACCGTGAGGGCATTATCCTGCGCTTTTCCTCTTCTCCTCTTCTCCTTCACTGTCCGTGCGCACTTTCTCAAGCTGCGTCTCTAGAATCTGCTCGCCGCGTCAGCCAAGCAAAACAACCATACACCCAATCGCAAGCGCAATTAGTTTGCTCTTTACTCAATCTCGCCGCTGTCGCAACTCCGTCGAATCCGTTCCGCGACAAAGGTACTTAGTCCACCCTAATTGCAGCCGGAGAACCAGGAACTAAACATGAAGCGCAGTACCAGCGACCGCAGGTGTACCATGGCGAGCGGATATATCCCTCAAATCGACAAGATGGCCGGGATGACTCCCACTGAGCGCCGCGAGTTCTGCGACACCCCCGAGATCGCTGCCAATGCTTCTTCTGTCAAGCCACCGAGCACCACGGCCAAATACGACAGTAATGTCTCGATGAACACCTTTCCCGCTACCGAGGGCATCGGCGTGGAGAAGGCTAAGGGTCCAGCTGATATGGAGGGCTTGACTGTTGTGTGGACTAAGAAATGGCTGATTGCCGCTTATGCTGCGTGAGTCCTCTCGATGTTGCAAACCGTCCTCTACCCGTTGTGTTTTGGGCTGCTGCGTTATACGCAACAATGCTTACATTCTAAAGGATCATGCTTATCTCTTTCGTCAACTCCCTCCAACAACAGACCAACTTCTCATGGCGACCCTACGTCACCTCTGCCTTCATGATGCACGGTCTTACGGCTATAACCGATATCGTTGCGAACATTGTCGGAGGTGTATCGAAGCTTCCGCTCGCCAGGTTCATTGATATTGTTGGTCGACCACACGGCTTTCTTCTTTGCTTGATGTTCATTGTCGCTTGTAAGTCCTTCCACTCCGAATCACCCAACACCTTGCGGAGAGAGATGTGAACCTCAAGCGCAAAGGCTAGAGGAAGGCTCTTATCTTGGCTCTTCAGCGTCTGTGATTCATGCTGATCAGTGCTCTCGTAGCGCTCATTCTCATGGCCCTCTGCCAAAACGTCCAGACCTTTTGCGCTGCGCAAGTCATCTACTGGACAGGCATGAACGGCGTCGATTACATCTTCAACATTTTCATCGCCGATACCGCGCTTATGCAGAACCGTTTGATCTGGATGGCGTTCACTGGATTCCCCTATGTTGTCAACACCTTCGTAAGTCCCCTTTCTGAAAGTCGGTTGAACGTACACTAACATCGTCATGTCTAGGCTGGTCCTAAGCTTGGTGAAACCTGGCTCGACCACAGCACTTGGCGTTGGGGCTATGGATCTTTTGCCATAATGACACCAGTCTTCTCCATATCCTTCTGGCTCGTCTTCTTGCTCATGGGTAGGCGAGCAAGAAAGATGGGAGTCATCTCGCGCGAGCCGAGCGGCAGAACGGTCTGGCAGAGCACCAAGCACTGGTGTATCGAGTTTGACGGTAAGTTCAACTTGCAGTGAGACTTCAATTCCCTGCTAACAGTCACAGTGATCGGGGTCATACTCATCACCGGTGGATTCTCCCTGCTTCTTCTTCCGTGGCCTCTTGCAGTCTACCAGAAGGATGGCTTCGGCTCTCCAATGTTTATATGCATGGTCAGCTTCGGAATCTGCCTCGTCTTACTCTTCGTGGCATGGGAGCGTTACTACGCTAGTCATGCCCTCTTCCCATACTACCTCATGAAGAACCGCTCGATCATTGCGGCATGCCTGCTCGGTTGCAACTCCTGGATCGCTTTTTAGTAAGTCATTCAAAACCCGCGAGACATCTGTGCTGACATCAGTAACTAGCTCATACCGCATGATGTACTCTTCATACCTGCAGGTCGTATTCCAGCTCTCTGTTTCCAAGGCTGGATATATCACGAACATCTTCAACATCGTCTCGTGCACCTGGGCAATCATCATCAGCTTCGCGATGAAGTACACTGATACCTACAAATGGGGCGCCGTCATCGCCGTCCCCACCCAACTACTCATGACTGGCTTGTTAATCTATCTCCGGACACCCGAGTCCCCCATAGCAATCTTAATCCTGGTGGAGGTACTCGGCGCCATGGCGAGCGCCATGCTCTACAATGTGGAGCAGGTTGCTATCATGATGGCTGTACCACACGACCAAGTCGCTGTTGCTATCGCGCTTCTCAATCTCGTCACAGCTGTTGGCGGTGCGATCGGTCAGTCTGTTAGTGGCACTCTCTGGGCTCAAATCGTACCCAAGAGGCTCGTCGAATACCTTCCTGAAGGATCGAAGCACCTGGCTCCCCAGATCTACGGTAATATCAATATGCAGCTGTCACTGCCATGGGGTAGTCCGGAGCGTCAGGCTGTGGTACACGCGTTCGGCGATGCGCAGAAGATCATGGTGTTGATGGGGACCTGTGCATTTGTGCCCTGCTTCATCTGGGTGGCTATGCTGGAGAACCAGCGCATGAGTGAGCGCAAGGCTCGCAAGGGTCTGCAGGCCTGATCGGTGTGGAAGAGTCGTGCTGTTCGACAGACTCAGGTGGTACAACAGGGTCGTTTGTGTAAGATAACCAGTTGATACGACGGGCTGAGGAAACGGAGGTCCGCGCGATACTCGCTGCAACACTATCTTGGTGGGTTGAAAAAGGAGTAGACTAGCTGGCCGACTGGCTGTGGAAACCGGTCGGTGGCCATTGACGGAGACCTCCCCTCGCGTTATGCATCATCTGAACATATGTACAATGGAATTGGCCATGTAACCGGCTTCTGTGTTCGTTGGGTGGACTGCTCAGTGACACTGCGTTCAGACAAGGAAGCCTGATCAGAAGACGAACATGCTGATTGGACTACTCAGTACGCTTCGTCTACAAGTCGCGATAGACATTCGGCTCTCACAATATGGAACTCTCGTGATGGCCAGGTAATAATATGCGTCGATGGCTACGATAGATGGACATGGTGGATGGAGGTCAACAAGCCCCTGCAGATAAGAGTTCGGAATCAGCGGAACATGCATGCCGCCATGACGTTTGGCAGTCCCCTCTTTGAAGCACCAAACGCCAAAATACTAGTAAACCACACAGCATCTTAACCCACACTACTAGTCAAACGAGCCTCATCGTCGCAGTAACGGCGGGCACCAGGATGCACCCTGCCCACCCATCGGCGGTGAGGCGCCAACGCATCCCAGCCTCGCCAATTACCTGAGTCGTAGCTCCGGTGCGCTCCACCAGCCACTGCACCCCAACCACGAGCCCGCAACCACACTTTCCCACAAGCTTGTCCGCGGTGCTTCTTTCTGCACCTGCTCCGAACCAAATTATTCTTCGACATTGACATTGACATTGACATTGATTGACGTTGATAATGTACCTACCACACCTACTGTCCCTCCCACCCGCCATCATCGCCCTCTGCGCAACACCCGTACTCGCCGAATCACCACCGCAATGGCCACACAACGTACCCAAACACCTGAAATACTTTCCTGAAGACGAGGAACATGTGAAGCGGGGGTTGAGCGTCAAGCAGAGGCTGCAACATGAGAAGCCAGTCGGAGTGAAGAAGATGAGCTTGGATGAGGGCGAGATGTTCATGCTGGATAGTTGGATATTCGCCGCAGATACCCCGTCACCACAATCGTCCAAGAGAACGGACTATGATGTCTTCGGCAATACGACGTCGCAGGCTCTTTCGCCACTACGTCCACTCGCTCAATCCGACTGGCTGGCGCGCATGCACATTAGAGATATACTGTTGAATCGCCAGTTCAAGTGTCCAGATGGAACGACGAGCTGTGAGAGCATTGGCGCGCCGGATGTGTGTTGTGGCACGGGAAGCACTTGTATAAGTGTCTCTGGAAGCTCAAGCGCAGGCGACGTGGGATGTTGTCCTCAGGGCCAGACTTGCGCGGGCAGTGTGAGCTGCGATGAGGCGAGTGGATATACGAGTTGTCCTGATGCGCAGAACGGAGGATGCTGTTTGCCTGGCTTCAAGTGTCAGGGTATTGGATGTAAGTTCCAGACTCCATGATGCTACCGAACTGAATACTAACCCATACAGGTGTCGCAGAATTCACATCAACAGCCTACATCCAACCCTCAACCTCCGCGACTCCTACCTCAACATCAACTTCCACAACCGCTGCCGTCATCCCACCCACCACCTCCACAACTAGCAGCATCCCCTTACCAACCTCAACATCAACTTCCCGCTCCGCCTACACCTGCTCAACAGGCTGGTTCTCGTGCCCCGCCTCCCTCGGCGGCGGCTGCTGCATGAACGGCCGCACCTGCGCAACCGGCGCATCCTGTCTCGGCGACGACGACAACCCATCCAGCACCCGCGCACCCGACGCCCCCGTCCGCCCCACCAGCGCCGCCGTAACAACCACCGATGCCGCGTCTCCCAGCGACAACGTCTGCCCCGCTGGCTTCTACGTCTGCAGCGCGTACTACCCCTCTGGCTGTTGCCGCGTTGGCCGCGATTGCCAGACCACAGGGTCTTGTGCGCTACCGGAAACGGATACTATTGTGAACACCAACGGTGTTGTTATCGTTGCGCCTACGGGTGCGGGGGAGAGCGGGGGAAGTTGTCCCAGTGCGTGGTATAGCTGTGCGGCGGATGCAGGCGGGAACTGCTGTCCTAATGGGTATGCGTGTGGTGAGCAGTGTACGGCGACTGCGAGTGGGCAGTCAGGGGTTGAGGATAAGGTGCAGCCGAGTAGTAGCAAAGCGAGCTTTGCAGGTGTTTGGAGCATATGGGGCATGTTGTTGGGGGCTGTCGGTTGTGGAGTGGGTATGGTTGTGCTGTAGGGGGTGTTGACACGGGATGATACGGAATGGGTTATGTGGATATGATTGGAATGATGAAGTGTATGTATATATTGAGAAGTATGATTGCGATGTACTGGTAGATCGACTTCTATAGACTATCGATTCTCTAAATCGCGTAACTTGCTATCATGGGACAACCAATGGGATTGATGAAATGTCGAACGGCATACTCAAAGATAATATGCAGATGTCAAGAAAATTGTGACCGGATTTTCAAACTGCGCAACCATGCATACACGCGCATAAGGATGTCTGGTATTGAAAGTTCGAGAATGCATTCGTATGATTTAGAAGACGTGTCAAACACCAGTATGCACACTCACAACTTGAAGCTGCCGGCGCCTCTCTTCGCAGCCTCCTTGACCTCCTTACCCTCCACATCAGTGATAACACCCTTCCGTCCAATGACCTGCACACCACCCTTCTTAAGATCACTCATCAGCTGCTTCTTCTCGCCCCTCTTCTTCTCCTTGCCCTCCGTCTTCTTCTCCTTGGGCTTATTAAGACCAGCCTTCTTCGCCCTCTCCTTGGCACGTCTCCGCCTGGACATCTTCTCTTCCCGTGACATCTCGTCGTGAGCAACGGGCATACCGCTCTTTGTGACAATCTCCGTCTTGCTCTTGTCCTCGCCGGGCTTGTAGATCTCTTGCGGTGCGAGCATGCTTGCGCTGGCGACTTCGCCGCCGGCGGTGGGCCGCGCGTCTTCCATTTCAATGGCGGGCGCGTCGGTGCGAATTTCTAGATTGGGGGCTGCGGGCTTGGGCTTGAAGTGTGAGGAGCTGAGAGAGTCGAGTTTGGCGGATATGCTCTTCCACAGCGCAGTGATCTCGTCGTGCTCTTTCTTCAGCTTCTCGTCTTTGGCTTCGACGAAGTTGGGGTCAGTCTCTCGTAGATGCTCTTCTTCGTAGATTTCGGCAAGGCCTTTGCCGGATTTTGTGTCGTCGAGCTCGAAGCGGCCTCGTCGGGGGCCTGTGGCGAGGTCGTCGGGTCGGCGGCGGTGGATCTCATCGAACTCTCCGGCTAGGATGCGGCGCTTGATGAGCGCTTCGATGTCTTCGGAGGTTTCTTGGGTGACTATTGGTACGGGTTTGCCAGCTCGTTCGAACTCGAGATTCTCCTCTAGAAGCGAGTTCACTGGTCGATCTGCTGCGCGAGCTTCGCCAGATAGCTGCCATTCCCGTTTCGCAACGTTGGCTGCTTCTAGCTTCCGAATCTCCTCTGCAATCTTGGCCTGTCTTCGCTCGTGTGTTGATCGTCTCGATTTCGGGTCTGACGGGTCTACGTCGGAGAGGTCGCCTTCGCTCTCCATGTCGTCATCGTCTTCGAAGAGGTCCCTGTGTACCCTGGCCATGGTTCCTTCCACATCCTCCTCGACTTCCTCTGCCGGTTGCGACTGCTTCTCGGGGAAGTTATGGGGGTTGGGTCGTCCGCGCTTCTTGCCGTTCTTGTTTTTGCTCGCTTTTTGTGCGGGAGGTGCGAAGAAGTCTTTGTACATAACGTTATTGGCGTTCATGCCAGTGTCAAGACCGTCCAAATCACCGTCCTCGAGATCATCTTCATCGCCACTGTCGCCTTCCGGTGCATTTAGATCCACGTTGCCGAATGTTGGTCCGCCCTCGTCAGACTCATCGTCTGATGCATCTCCCGCGACACCATTGGCTTTGCCTGTGGATGGGCCGTCTTCCATGGGGTCTGCCTCCCAGTTGACTTCGTCATCGTCGCTGTCGACACCCTCTCCCCTCTGATCCTGCTGCTCTAGGAAATCGGTTTGCTTGTTGAAGTCGTCTATGGAGAAGAATCCGTCGTTGAGACCGTTGGGATCGGGTTGGTAGGTTTCCGCAGGCGCATCTTGTGACGCATCGTCGGAGAACATGCCGTCGGCTCCGTCTTCCATGTCGATATCCTCTTCGTCTGGCTCGCCATCGAGAGCATCTCCATCCTCGTCTTCGTCCACACCGTCGTATTCCCAATCCACGCCCTCTTCGCCGATGTCTGATTCGGTGTGGTATTCTTCTTCGGCCTCTTCAATACCCTCATCGTCGTCTTCCTCGCCATCAAGGATAGGCACAACGCCATCTTCCTGGTCGGGCAAAGAAAGCTCAATCTCATCCGTTGTCGCTTCGACGATCTTGCGCGTCTGTTCAAACACCTGGTTCACGCCGAATCCGTCCAAGTGTACCTTCTTCAGGTGCAGCACACTAATATCATCGTCGTAGCCGCCGCCCCGCTTCCGCTTCTTGCGCAGATCTTGCTGTCGCTGTGATTGTGACGCGCTTACACCGGCGGCTACTGGATCGAGATATTGTTTCGCGGCGGCAAGGAATGTCGCATTGAGCTGGGCGGTGGGCTGGAGGAAGGCTAGCGGTTTCGTGAGCAGACTCGTAGGCGAAGTCGCCGCGACGGGTTGAAGTTCCATGGGCGGTGGTTGGGCGGAGCCGATGGAGAGCGTGTGGGAAGAGATGGACGTGTCGGGCGAGTGGGAAGGCGGCGCCATGCTCTGGATGTCTGGCAGAGGCTGGTGGTGGGTGAATGCGCAGATGGGTGCACTGAAGTTCGCGCCTGCCGAATGAACTTTTTTGGTGGAGCTGATGGTCAAAGCGCGCGTTAGCCCCCTCCGCTCTGGACGTGTCGACACTATCGACCTCACTGCATGCTCAAGTATCGCACGTTATCATCAATTAGCCTACAATGTTATGGAAGTACGCTTCCACCATGCATTCTCTCGCCAAATCATCTTTGATAAGCCGACATTGAGGCGCTTCGATCGGCAAACTAGTCGGCAAAACTAGCAGCGGCGGCAATGGGAACATGATGTAGTAGGTGGACGCAGTATTTAGCAGAAGAAACGAGCTGAACGCTTTCCCATCTATGCACGCGGTGGATGACATGTGATGCTACTATGTATAGACAGTTCACAGGTATTACGAGAGGTGCCCTTTGACCTCTGGCACATGCTTTGCCAGCTCCTCTACAATCTCATTCCATACTCTAACCGCAAGCTTCTCGTTCTCTTCTCCGACAATACTCGGCGCATCAAGCTCAATCTTATCGCTTGCATAAAAGCTCCCATGTAGTTCTTGATTCTGCGAGGCCCCAGTGATGTATATATTGGCGCCTAGGTCTGCCGTCCTAAACGCCAAAGCATGCGCGATCGCCCTTACGAGCTTGACACCGGGGAACTTGACATCGCGGTCGATGTTCGTAACCACTGCTCCGGGACACACTGCCGTAATGATGACTTCGCTGGAATGAATCTTCTTTGCGAGCTGTATGGCCGCGTATCTCTGAAGGAGTTTCGAGTAGCCGTATTGCTTCTGGGCGCCGCTGAAAGTATCTTCCTTGTTGTACTCTGGTAGGATGGCAGGCTTGTTTCGAACGTCGGCAGAGATCTCCACAGCTTTGTGCATGCCTGAATTGACGAACTGCAGTACGGGTATCTTTCCTGATTGCTTTTGCGATTCTTTCAACTTTGGCAAGAGGAGGATGCCGAGCAATATCGTGGAAAGCGTGTTGACTTGTAAGTCTTGCTCCCAGCCATACTCCGACTGCCTATACGCAGTATTAAAGATCCCAATGTTCAGAATAGCCACGTCCAGATGGTCCAGTTCGGTGACGGCCCGCTGCGAGAACTTGACGATGCTATCGTACGAGTCCATGTTTAGTTGCCAGACTTCGAATTGACCTGCTTTGCCGACATCTGCTTCGAGTTTGCTCTTAGTCGCCTCGCCTTTGGTTTCGTCTCGTGCTGTGATGATGACTTTTGAGGCTCCTAGCTTCGCGAACTTGGCTGCTGCCGCATATCCTAGCCCAGAGGTGGCACCGGTAACTAGGACGTTGCGTCCTGCGAACGCTTCGGTGGACTCTTTGGGCGGTGTGCCCCACTTGTTTTTCACCATCTCTGCGATCATCGCCATGGTGTTGGATGTTCAAATTGGATTGGCTTTTTAGTCCGAAGTCGGGTATCGTTGGAGTCTGGAAGGTAACGGAGAATGTAGCAGGCGAAGAGACCGGTGTACTTTGTATCTTTGTATGCGCAGATGCCGATGAAGGGCCGAGCACGGCTTAATATTGAAAGTTTAAAGCGCACGCGGATCGTCCGGAATCCAAGAATCCGGAGTCGATTGCGCGTGTATTCCAAGTACGTGTGTAGTTTGATGACAACAGACATTGGTCCTTTTTGACTCCCGACAGCTTTTGCCCGCCAAGATGACATGTTCAAAGGATGTCAAAATCGTATCTCGTAACTCTGCTTCCTCCAGAGCATGAGCGGAAAGGTCGGATTCATCCAGGCATGACCGAAATGTTGTAGAGAGACAACTGCGGTACTTGAAGGGCGAGCTGTTGCATGGTTTGATAAAAAGCTTGTCACCAGTTGTGTACATGTCGCTGCTTATAGGATACTGCCATCTTTTCGGAAGACGTGCACAGGATAATGGAGTAATGTGGTATTTAGGAATAGGTGTTTAATGAGTCGCGCGTTCTGTGCGATGGTCTTGGGAGACGTGTCCAGGTAGCGACCCCCGCATGCTTTCGGCTATCTCGCATGGCAGCACCGCCTACCTTAGAACGGTGGGTGCCCTAGATGCGGGACCGCCCCAGCCACCCGTCCTCTCTGTCTCCATTGACGTCCGACAAACGTCAACCACTGACCTGCAAGCCCGGTTTCACGATCATGTAACACTATGGAGGAGCGCGAATACCAGCTGCCCGCATGCCAGAAGTGCAAAGTGCGCAAAGTCAAGTGCGACAGACAAGCACCCAAGTGCACACACTGTAGGAAGGGGAACGTCGCATGCATTATTGTCGATCCAATTACTGGCGAGCAGTATGCACGTGACTACATCCGGCAGCTTGAAGAGAAGGAACTCAACCTGCAGCGTAGGTTGAGCAGTGTTTACGACACGAGTGTCGTGACACCAGCCTCTACCGAGAGATCGGACGTTGCCAGTCGGACACCAACAGGTCCTGAGACGGCAGCGAGCTCGGGAACCCAAAGCGGATTTGTCGGCGACGGTAGCGGATTGGGCTTCTTACAGAACATCCTCTCTGACAGCAAATGGCAACATCATCGCGCACAGATACTCGAGCAGCTTGCAAAGCGCCCTCGCATTGATAGGCATCGACCCGTCGTTAGCGCACTACCACCACTCGCGCGAGCGCAACAACTGTTCGACAACTATTTCACTCGGTTCCATGTCCATCACGCGTTTCTCCTCCGTAGCGAGATGCTGGATGTCTTTGGCAGGGTGTACTCCGTCGCATCGATATCAGAGAGACCCTCGGCCCAGGATTACTTTCGCCTCTTTATGATATTCGCGATCAGCGATACGACAAGGCATCGCGCTTGTCAGAACCATAGCCAAAATGCTGAGCATCCGTATGGGTATTACCTCGCTGCTGAGGACTACCTCCACGGCATGCCATTAATCAAAGATGCGGAAGCCATCCAGAATTTGTTGCTGATAGCGAGATTCGGCATGTATCATCACATTGATGCGTCAATATGGGAGATATCTCGCTTGTGCATGCGACAATGTATCGAATGGGGTCTTCATTCGCGGGCACAGGAAGGCCTGAGCCTATTGAAAGAACAACACCAGCGAAGGATTTTCTGGGAATGTTACGTTCATGATCGCTACAGCTCGGGCATATTGGGACGTCCTTTCGCTCTACTCGAGTCAGAAATAGGCATGGCACTACCGATAGACGCTGACGACGAGACAATTGTGGCGTCTGGTGCAAATACACTTGAAAATGTTCCTATCGTCACGGACCTACACCCAAGCGAGCTATCAGTTAACCTGTTTTGCATTAAGCTGCGACGGCTAAGCTCTCGGGTCCATACCGCCTTCTATACTGGTCGAAAGCATGCCTTATACCATAGTGGAGATAGCACTCGGACGCCCGGATTCCAATCGATAGGCCACATATACTCATCGTTTTCGCAATTCGACAAAGAGCTCCGCGCATTGCGGTCGTCAGTACCGGTCTTCGTAGACCCCAAATGTCTGTACGAGCGGTCTGCATGGCATGACTTTATGTACGAGAAGGACCGTCTTCTGCTTGCCCGTGGCGCCATACACAACCTACCAGCGCGGCAGTTCTCCGGCACGTCCATTGTAAAGGAAATACTGAGAGTGTGCTATCAATCAGCGATACATACAATACAACTGTATGCAGACCTCCGACGCAAAGATGCTATCACTTGGACACGCAGCTACTTTCAGATGATCTTCACAGCAGGTCTAACTGTGATCTATTGCATTATCTTGGGTGTTTTGACCGACAATGACGAGCTCTTCGTTACTAATACCGAAACTCTGCCAACACTCAACACTTGCAGCTCATTGTTGAACTACTTCAAAGACAAAATGCCAGACGCAGGTTCTTTTGCCACTGTCTTCAGCGTCATTCAAGAAGAGTTCGTCAAAGATCGTTTTGCGTCTCCAACACAGGTGTCAGAGCATGTCCCCGAAAACCCAATTCAGCCAAATAGTCAACAGCTCCCAACCCATGATACGCAAATCTACCCCGATCATCTACTCAACGCAGGTGCGCTACACTCGGGCATACACGCCACCACTACAGATCATTTACAATCGGTTGGTGAGCAGCAAGAGCGGGTAAACCTAGATCACTTGATACTTGGGGACTTTCCCGACATTCCAACCATCCAAGGTTCGCAAGCCTTTGACATGGGTTTCACTGATGATCTCATGGACCAACTTGAATATGGACTGGGCGAGTACGCATGGGGCTCGTTGAACACTAACATAGACTATTGGAATTCTGTTTCCTACAACTAAACAAAAGGAGTGGCCAAGAAAAGAACCGGAGACGCTTGGGAGAGCAGCACCATAGCTAGAGCACTCGCACAGTCTGGATATAGTCATGCAATCGATCCACTGCTGCCATTGCAGTCTCCATTTGCGTCTCAGCCGTTGCAGCACCCACATGCGGAGTGCTCACGACCCGTCCTGTGTCCCAAAGACTACCGTAGATCTCTTTGGTCGGAGGCTCATGCTCGTGGCAGTCGAGACCAGCACCCCAGATCAGCCCTTCCCTCAAGGCGCGTTCGAGATCGGCTTCGTGCACAATACCGCCTCTGGCCGTGTTGATCAAAATCGAAGTGGGTTTCATTATCTTGAACTGTTGATACGATATGAGACCCCGGGTTTGTGGTATCAGAGGAATGTGTAGTGTTACAATATCCGAGGCTCGAAGGACTTCTTCCAAGGTCTCTGCTCGGGTGTGCGCGATGTCTTCCCAAGCATCCTTTGGCAACAGTGGGTCGTATGCTATGATTCGACACCCTAATCCGCCTTGGAAGATTTGCGCGACCTTTCGGCCGATGTTACCCATACCAATGATCCCGATCATCTTCTTGTTGATGATCAAACCCGAGCAGGTCTCTTTCGGCACGCTAAACCCGGCACTCTGCAGCGCTATTATACGGCTGACCTCGCGAGCAACAGACATTGTGAGCGAAAGCACCGTCTCTGCTACGGCTTGTGCATTGACTCCAGGCGTATTAAAGATTTTGATACCGCGTGCTCTGCAGGCCTCGCCATCAATCTTATCGATGCCAACGCCCTGTTTGCCGATAGCCTTGAGGTTCTTGCAAGCCGCGATGTCTTCTGCTGTAAGGTATGACCCTCGAATGACTAGGTACTCGGCTTTCTCCTTCCAGTCTGAGTGCCTAGGATCTGAAGGAGTTATCGCGTTGAACAAGGACTGGGCGCTTTCCATTGCTTGCGGATGTAACGTATCGAGCAGGTAAACAGTAGCCTTATTCGCTCCATTTGACGATGTTGAAGAAGGCAGATCGGTCTCTGGTTCGATGAGTGCAGGAGCCATGATGACAGCTACGACGTGAAAATGACTTGACCAGTAAGAATCCGGGAAAAAGAGAGCTGGAAGTTCAGAGTAATGTCGAATTGTGCGTATTGAAGGTATACGGCAGGCTCACCTGGGATAATGTATACCTAGACGTATATGGATAGTTGCACTGCCGCCACCACGGCGACCAAAACCGTACTCCACATCGAGACTTGCTACAGAAGCCGATGCCGTGTCCGTATACCGCGTCGTTGGTCATGCGCGGAGTAACAAAGCTCGTCGGACGACCACCGAAATGGCCGCACCACTAGCTTCGGGGGGTGTCCGAGTGCCCGAGCGAAACGAGCCCTCACCCATGTCATTTTCCGGACCGCTCTGCCCATCTGATAGGAACACCGCGCCTGATGATCACTGCACATCGGAACTAGATCTAGTTGCGCAAACGACGTAAGTGTTGAGACTCTTCCAATGGGATCTCGGCGTTCTCCGGCTACCGTACTGTTAGCTTGGTCCGCTCACACGCTGCCGAAGATGAGCCGTTGTACATGGCACGATACCGCGATCTCAGACCCACCAACAAGGCTTTTGAGGTGCTCTTTGGAGGCTGGTCGAGACTGTATTGCGATGAGTATGTTGCGAAAGCCCTGAAAGGCAATGTAGTGAATCGACAGTATCGTGAGACCGCTCAGGCATTGGAGCACGCATCTCTGTCGCTCTTGTGTAGGTGGCTGCGATGCGATGAAGACACCGATGAAGAATATGAGATAACCATCGAGGGCTTCTGACGCTTGTTGCTGGGTGGAAAGCTGATGTTCGAAGGAAGCCACGTACGCAATAAAATGTTCTTCGATGTGTCGCATCATCATGTCTTGCCCTGGGACTTGTGCAAGACTTGGACATTTGAGCAATTCGACGAGACCCCTGGCATGTAGTTGATCTTTTAGCAGACCAGCTGCTGATATTGCTGTCGGCATTGTCTCTTTCCAATGGCATAGATTGACGAAATGACAAAGCAAATCTTCTTCGGTATGCTTTCGAATGGAGCTCAGGAGCTGTGCGTGTTGGATCAAATATCGCAATGCTATTGCGTCCGCATGCGTTGTTGCAGGCTGTGGGGAAGTTGGTGGCGACATCATGATATTGCCATCACTAAGACAAAATGGCCTGTCCATAGCCGTACTGAGGTGGGTGTCCAGAATGTACAACGTCCAGAAAGCTCTCCCATTCTGCCTTTGGCTCTCACTATCCGAACCCATGTCCGAGATGCGGGATGTGTGCATACCCGCAGAAATGCAGCGTGTCATGGCCAGTCCAAGTAAGTGCCATGTTGATCCGCAATATGGCGTGTAGAGCGAACACACAGCAAGGGCTGCGAGGCACTGTACAACAACTAAGTCGCTTGATCGATTGAGTATGCGAGGCATCAGTTGCACAGCTGTTGTGGTCAATTCGGATATCAAGATTTCCGTGAAGCTGTAGCTCGCCGATAGCAGTAAACCGAGCGCGATGCCTACTCTTACAAGCAGAATCTTCTCTGGCGAATCATCGATCATGATTTCAAGGCCTGCATCTCGTTCGGCCGCGACGACGCTACTGTGTAACTTCTCGAGTTCGTTGCGCGTCATGAAGGGAAAAGAGGTGGGTGCTATTCCGAGGAACCTTCCGAATGCTTCAGTAGCCTGAGTACCGTCGAGTCTGTTGCCCTGGAAAAGCCACTCGTTGCGAAACTCCGCCATAGGTCCAGAAAGTGATGTATTGGTGCCCGTGGGACTACTTGGATTGGTATTGCCTACACTCACCGTGGCGAAGAATAAAGTCGAGAAGGAAAGTCTCTGGTTCGCAAAGGGCTGCTGATCGGTCGGCTCTGCCATTGCACTAAGACTCAAGTAATTGGCTTCGTGCATCGCATGTTGTAAGTCGTTCCCCTGCCTAGACTCGACCACCGCTAGGTCGGTCGTACCAGTATTTGGCCCATGGGAAGTACCAGACGTGGACAGATTGCTACCCAAACGCTGATCTGGTGATTCTCGATCGCTCATTATCTCGTGCTGCATGACAGAGTGCTGTTTGCTTCTGGCTTCCAGAGCGGCAATTCTGGCCTTCAAAGACTCAATGTACGAGATTGAAGATGGATCCGAAGCGTCGATTACGGAGCCAAGGCGGCGTTGCACACATTGCGACGCAGCGACGTGACATTGCTGGCACGTTGGTTTCTCGCGAGAGCACTAAGTAAGAAGTCAGTCTCACGACGATGTGATAGTAACGAATGCATTTATCGTGTCCGCCTAACCATTCGAAGAACATGACGACAAACAAGTATTGACAAATCTCAATATTGAACGTGCGGTATGAGAGCGAACACTTACTTTCTGTTTCCGCTTCCAGCATCTCTCACAAGCTTGCGATTGCAGACTTGTCATGTTGATGATCGGTACCCAGGTCGGGCGATAGAGACAAAGATCATGGGTCCGAAGGCGTTGGTGAACCGAGGTACTGCACACCAAATCAGAAGTTAGCGCGTCTCGGGTTTTGCGCTCTGAATCATCTCACTAGACACGACATGACTTGATTATAAAGACACCAAAATGCTAAGTGAGTCCAAGCAAGAAAAATAAAGATTTGACGTGACTGGTCTCGACAAAGTGGATATCGAGATCTGGATTGTATGCAGAACTCAGTGAGAATGAATTTATCCCGATCATGATACGGGTTCGGTACGCTGGACATGATAAAGAATTGAATGAAGAACAATTCATCTAAAACAGAAAGAATGACATTTAGGAGCTTGTTAATGTGCTCTCATGGCCGTTGACGTAGTCTTTCACCCTCAATTCTTCTACCGTCACATTGGCCTTTTCCTTCAACCCATTGATAATTCCGTTAGTCGACCCAATGGTGGTACCATTGGTCTGAGGCTGAGTCACCTCAGCAGAGCTCTTGACTCTTGCGTTGAGTTGTGCCATCTCACTTGCTCTCTTCGTAGCTCCACCGAGTAGCAGCGGTCCATCCGTCGCCGCCATAACCCATCGCGCTCCCATATTGCAGAACTTCTCGACAAGATCTAATCTTGAGTGTAGGCCTCCTACACCGACCCATTTGCCGTGCTTTTTGCAAGCGTTTATCGTCTTCTCATACACTTCAAGTAGTTGCGGACTCTCGTATTGTCCCGGGATACCCAGCTCGGCGCACATATCGTTGGTGCCGATCAGTAGACTGTCAACGCCTTCGACGGCGGCTAGCTCATCAACACATTCAACTGCTTCAAGCGTTTCCACCATCGGGATGACGAGGGTTTCGCGATTGCACACAGGACTCATCGCCTTGGCGGCGAGGTGTCGGTACTGGAATTGTGGCATGTTGTTGGTTGAGGATCGATGCCCGAGGGGCTGGAATTTGGCGGCGCCCACCACGTCTTTGGCGTCTTGTACAGAGCGGATGTGCGGGACTATAACGCCCATGGCACCTCCGTCAAGTACCCGAGAGACGAAGAAGGGGTCTTTGGATGGGACGCGTACTATAGGTGAAATGCCGGCGTAAAGAGCTGCAATGCATATTTGGCCTATCGCATGTTAACTCGGGGAAACGTGAAGAGAGGTGAGGCGCTGAGGGGAGGACGTACTGGTTGTATCCAAGTCAAAGGTCGAGTGCTCCATGTCAATGAGAATGCCATCAAACCCCGCGGTCTTCGCCATCATCGGTAGCTCAACGCTGCGAACAAGCTTCACGGACAGCGTGTAGGCTACTTCGTCGCGGAGCATCTTCTCCCGAATTGAGTTGTAAAGAGTGAGTTCCGCCATGACCGAGGCTGTTGTCGAGCTATGACCTTGCGTGAACGATTCAAAAAGAAGGGATTGGATAGGTTTTGAGGTATATGAGGTTTCTTGTCGTAGCTATGCCGACTGTCATATGTACGCGAACGCAGACCCCTATAGGATGAGCTTACCCAGCATAGTAGTGTATGCCAGCAGCGGTAGCCGGTCATCGTGATGCCTTCGGAGCATGGCCGAAGCGTCGAGCATCAGCGTACATAGCGCCCGGCCGCGAACGGCACGTCAGCTTTGCGCGTTCGATGTTGACGATGGACTGGACAGGATGCGAGGCGGGCGTGTGTCAGCCGCGTGCCGTGCCTGAGTCATGCAAGGTCTATCAAGCGCTCGGTCGCCCCTGCCATCTGCATCCGCGTTCACGCGTTTCTTCTTGCCCCGCTTCCACGAGGGACGCTACGGGCAACCACCGATGCGTAGCGCGATCTTCGGATGGCCACCGAGATGTCACGCCCACCGGGCTACAACCGAAATCACTGATCCCTTAGACATCGCCTAGGCGCGCGAGCATAGCGCATCTGGGGTACGGGGAAGGCGTGGGCGGCACGAACCATCCCCGCACGCTGGGCGTCGTTGAAGCTAAGCAGGATGCTATGGCGATACCATGAAGGATGGTAGTGCGCATGGGCAGATGCTTACTACATAGACACTTGGAAGAAGATAACCCGTGTAGCTAGCTATAAAGACGCCGCTGAGTCCGAAGAGCCATTGCGTTACACCGCACTGCTCAGGCCTCTCCTGCTTCATTTCCGCCATCCTTTCGTTCGCCTGTCCAGCGACCGCCACCATGACCACCGACGATAAATCTCTGAAAGGGAGCTGTGAAGTCATAAAGGTGGAAGATGCTGGACTTTCGGAAGCCGAGGCCTTCCTTCAACACTACCCTTTGCTGCGAGGAAAGTCCAGGGATGAGCTTGACAGATTGAACAGGGCTGTTCTGAAGAAGCTCGACTGGAAGTTTCTGCTTATCATCACGTTGATGCTCTTGATGAAGTAAGAAAGTTTCCAAGTTCCTGTGGCGCGGAAATACATAGACTAACGTTTGACAGCTACCTCGACCGCATCAATGTCTCAAACGCACGCCTGGCTGGTATGCAGCATGATATCCACATGACGGATGTGGAGTGGTCTGCTGGCATCTCGCTCTTCTACGTGGGATATATCATCTCGCAGGTGCCAGCCAACATCATTATGTCTAAGCAGAAGCCCCGTATCTGGATGCCATGCATCATGCTCGCGTGGTCCTCCGTCACGATATGCATGCCTGCTTGCACCCGGCCTTGGCACTTTATGCTTTGTCGTTTCCTCGTAGGGTTCACCGAAGGCCCATTCCTCCCTGTCGTGGCGCTCATGACGTCCAGCTGGTATACCAAACAAGAGAGCCCTTTGCGCATGGCTATCTGGCACGCGGGAAACATCATATCAAACGTGTTCTCCGGTCTCCTTGCAGCCGGCATCTTGACCAACATGGACAATATTGCGGGTTTGCATGCGTGGCAGTGGTTCCTCTTGCTTGAGGGCATCGTGTCTATCATGGTTGCCATCCCTGGGTTCTGGCTTCTACCTAACTTTCCCAACAACACCGGAACGTACTATTTCACTCCAGAAGAGCAACAAATGGCGCAATACCGACAATCTGTATCTTCCGGAAGTGTGACGGAGGATGACGAGGGCGACTACATCGGCGGCTTGATGCAGGCGATTCGAGACCCGTTCACGTGGCTGTTTGCTGGCATACATTTCTCCCTCATCATCGCCCAGTCGTTCAAGGACTTCTTCCCATCCATCATGGATACTCTTGGCTTCGGGAAGGTTGAGACCTACCTTGTCCAAGCTCCACCATACGTCATTGCATACATCGTCACGCTCGTCGTCTCGTGGTCGTCTGGCCGTATGCTCGAACATGGCTATCACATCATCGGCGCCATCTCTACTACCCTGGTTGGCGCTGTCATCATGATCAGTACCCTCAATACAGGTGCACGGTATTTCTCTATGATATTACTCTGCTGTGGCCCGTTCGTAGGCTTGAACATCCAGCTTTCATGGGAGACTACCGTCGTGCCACGACCACGAACGAAAAGGGCGGCGCTTATTGCTATCGCAAACTGCGTGTCGAGCGTTAGTCATTGGTTTACGCCGTACTTCTTTCTGACAAATCAGGAGCCGAGGTACGAGACTGGAGGCGGCTGCATCATCGCAGGATGCGGCTTAACTATCGTGCTATGTCTGGTGACGAAATGGTGGTGCAGTAGGAAGAACAAAGCTTTGATCGCGGAAGAAGAGCGGACAGGCGTTGTTAACAGCTGGAGGTTTGCGAAGTAGATAACAGGATTAAGATTACATATAGCAATTAATAGTCCCTCCTAGGCCTAAGGGACGGGGCTGTTACAAGATGCGACAAGCACGTATTTAAGAGCTTACAAGAAGCGTTAATTATAGCTACGTATAGTATCTAGTGTAATACAAAACGTTACGTAAAAAACAGAGTAGAATATAAAGTAGTAAAAAGATATAGCTAAAGCTATACGTAGTACTTAGGCCTTAGCTAGCTAATTAATAAATTTTAGATAGGCTAGTAAGCTACCTAAAATCTATATATTTAGGTATTAAAAGAACTATAGTAGTTACTATAATAGTACTCTTCTCTTACTCTTAAGCTTTTATAAGTAGAGATTATATTATATAGTATAGTAGTTTAGTTACTAGCTTTATATTAGTTTAAGGCTTATAGTAAGAACTTTACTTCTACTTTTATATTACTTTAAGTAGCTCTAAGATATTAGAAAACCTATTATAAAAACTAGCTATAGCTATATTATTCTTTAAGTCTATAGTAGGTTTCTAGATTATTTTATTATAGTCTATCTATTTAATATAGTATTTATATTACTTATAATACTTATTATAATAGAGGTCTCTAATACTTTCTATATAGTATTCTTCTTTATTATCTATAATAATAAATTTAGGTAGTAGAATAAGTTATTTTAGTAAATACTTTTATTTTAGCGTAGTAAGCTAAAGTAAAAATATATAAAATACTAGATATATCTTTATAAAATTAAGTAGTTTAAGATAGTATACGTAAAAAGAGATCTTTTTAGCTACTTAGTATAGGCTAAGATTCTTCTAATTAAGCTTCTTAGATATCTATTACGTTTAGATATTACGCGCGTTTAACTATACTTTGTTACTAATTTTGTATATTAGTATAAGTAGGTGTATATAGTTTATATACTCTTACTATAGAGCTTAAGTCTATATTAATTCTTTATAAATAAACTTAGTAATATTATATATCTTATATACTATTATATTTACTTTATAAGCTTTAAGAGCTTAGTAAATAAAATATATCTTATTAGTAAGTAGCTTAAAGCCTATCTAAGAAATCTAACTATAGTAAGCTATTATTAAAGTTACTCTAGTAGACTTAAAAATAGTATTATTAGCTTTAAACTAAGTAGTAGAGGGCTATTAAATCTAATTATCTTATTAATAGTTTATATACGCGCGTAGAACTTATTCTTTTATAGTATTAGTATTCTCTATTTATCTTTTTATCTTAAAATAATAGCTAGTTAATAAGCGTAGGTTTATTCTTAGTTAAGCACATAGCTTATTATAGAAAGTAAATATAAACTATCTACTATAGTCTAAAACTATTATTTTAGAGAGGCTATAATTATACTAAATATAGTATAGAAATATACGTACTACGTTAGAAGCCTCTATCTTATTATAGAGAATTAAATATTAGTACTTAGATAAGTAGTCTACTATAACTATAATATTCCCTCTAGGCCTAAGAGACAAAACCTATAGTGTACTTTTTTTAGAATTACGTAATAATGCGTTACTATGTTAGACCTAATAGTAAACTTAAAAATCTCTAATACAAGTCTAGATTTACGTCTTATAACTTTACGCTACATTCTATAATTACTAAGATAACTATTTTTACGCGCGTAATTATTATAACATACTCTATATTTATTCTATATTACTAATAGTTCTTTAGATTATTAACTAGCACTAATACTAGTTTTATATAATTAAGTAATACTAAAAGAAAACTTAGTAAGTCTACCTATACTAGTATAAAGCCTAACCTAAGACACCTATATAATACTTATAAAATTACTAGTAATCTATATTCTATACGTAATTACTTATAAGCCTAGCTATATTAGCTATATTACGCTATTCTTTATTATTCTAACTATTTACTCTACCTATTATTGCGTGTTTGTTAGTATAGCCTAATACTATACTATAATTCTAGCGCCTTCTAGAGCTAGTAAAGCGCTGCCTACTTCTAGCTAATAGAAATATTATTACGCGTAATCTTAATAAACTTAAACTTTTTTTAGATTACTAGTATAACTACTAAACTAGCTAGTTTCTTATCTAGTATTAAAAGTTAACTAAACTATTCTTCTATAATTATTTATGTAGTAAGAGAAAAGAGGTCTATATTAACTAGATACTATATAGCTATAATATATAAGTTTATAAGGCGTTTTTAGTCTAGGTTAATTACTACTATAATTCTAATACTATTAGATTAGAAGCTTTTTACTAGCTTTATTTTTATAGCTAAGGTCTTTAGGTCTACTATTTTAGAGTCTCTAGTAAGAACTAGAAAGTTAAATAAGCTACTTCTATAAGTAGTAAGTTTTACTATAGTTTTATATTCTATTACTCTAATAGCCTAAGTGTCTTTAAAAATAGATGCCTCTATTCTAAGTATAAAAAAAAGTTAGTCTATACTATATATCTTTAGTAGTTAATAAATATATTAATAGATATTTATAGATATTTTAAAGTATATAGAGGTATTAAGAAAGATATAAAATAAAAAAAAGTATTCTCTAAGTAAGTAGATATTTTATATAAATACTATATAAAATAGCTATTCTCTAAACTATATATTAACTACACAAAATATTCTTAGACTTATAGTACTATAGTATAATATTATCTTAAACCTAGAGTTTACTTACGTAGTACTATAGTTTAAAGCTATCTTTAATTTATCTACTTCTAAAGCTAATGTAAAGGCTCTTATTTAATATTATACTATATTCTAACTTTTAGCTTTTCTACTAATAAGAGCTTACCTATTATTACTTTCTAAAAGCTTATTTCTACGTTAATATCTTTAGAGAGAGAATATAGCTCTATAGCTTAACTACGTACACCTTTAAATTAATGTTTAAGTCTACCTCTAAGTCTATAAGAAGCTCTATTACTATTACTACCTATAGTTATATTATTAATATACTAGATCTATAGTAAACGTTATGGATAGAGTTTTATTAATTTCTATAGCTATATATAGTAAGTACAATGTGTTTAGAAAATACACCTATATTAAGAATAATATATTAAGTTACCTAACTACGTTTTATTACCCTACTCTGCATTAACACTCTACTATAATAACTATAATATTCTTTTATTCTTTAAATTCTAGAAGGTTAATAATAAAGTTAATAGAGATATCTACTTAATATTATTTAAGTATAGGTAGTAGCTTTAGTAGACTATAGAACTTCTTATAAGAAGCCTTTAAACGTTAGTAGACGTAGTAGTAGAAAATATAATAGTAAATAGTCTTAAATAGTTAGAGCTAGTAGTATTTCTACTATATTACTTTAAGTATTCTCTCTTAGCTACAGTAGCCTCTTAATAAAGAATTATAGACTACTTATAAAATCTTAATCTTAAGTTTATTACTATTAGATATTACTAACTTATTATAATAGTAGAGGCAACTCTTATAGTCTTTATAGTTACTAAGTGTAACTATCTTAGACTATTATATGCTATTATATAATAGCTTTAGCGTTTCTTAAATAAACAAGTCTTTAGGTAGCCTATTACCTATAAAATAGTACTTATTATTAATAATCTACTAGATAGATCTATCTATCTCTACTAGTCTAATTACTATAAGTTCTTAAAATAGGTTAGAACGTAGTAGAGTCTATTTCTAAGCTTATCTTACTTTTTTATAAGTAAGCTAGTTCTAAAAGTAATAGATAAGAGCGTTAGACTTCTTACTATACTTACTAAGTTAGTATATAATTATAAACTAGAATTATAATAGATATTTAGACTAGTAGGCTTAATAGTAGCTTACTTACTTTATAGTAGTAAAGTACTATAAGTTCTTATAGTTACTAAGTACATTAATAGAGAAGGTAGTACCTTCTAATTCTAGTCTCTACTATTTAAAATAGTAAATAATAGCAAGTAGCTTCTTATAATATATTTTATAGTTATTCTTAGTAAAGTTTATTCTTTTTAAGTAGTATCTAACTAAATAGAAAACAATATTAAGTCTAGATTAAAATAGCACTTTTACTATAATATAGTTAGAAGTATTAGCTTTAATAATAATTAGTAGATCTAAGTTAAAGTATTATAATATTAGTATAGTAGTAAAGACATACTTTAAAGTATTAAAAGCCTTCTAGTAGTTATTATTAAAAAGAAACTTAGTATTCTTCTTAGTTAGCGCTACTAGTAAAGTAGCTAAATAAAAGAAACTATCTATAAACTATTAGTAAAAGTTCGTAAAGCCTAGGAATACTCTAATATTCTAAACGTTGTTTAGGTACTTCTAATTTATAATAGCTTATACCTTCTTTAGATTTATTTATATTCTATCTACTCTTACTATATAGCTAAGGTAAGTTACCTTAGTCTAGTAGTACTTATATTTATGTATATCTAGTTAGAGTGTAGCTTCTTAAAGAGCGTTTAGAATAGATTATATAAACTTCTTATATTTATAAAGATTTTACTATAAATTAGAATATTATTAAAGAAGACTATATAGAAGACATTTAAAAATAGGTATAGTATATTATTTATAAAGTATTAAAACGTGCTTAGTATATAAGCTAGTCTAAAGAGTATTACTAGGTATTTAATTAACCTATATTAAGTATAAAAGGTTATTAGCTATTTATTTTCTTTAGTAATTCTTAATTAGTTAAAAGTAGTAATAATATTAAGTTCTATATAGTACTTAGTCTTACTTAGTTAGCTTAAGGTCTTATAGATTAATAGAATTAGGTAATAGTTCTTAATAGTAGTAGTGTTTAAGGTATAGTAATTAATATAGAAGTATAGTCTATTACTAGATTTCTTAATAAAAATATTAAGAGAGGTAACTAGAGAGAAGCTTACTTAAGTAAATCTCTTTAATAGATAATTTTTAAAGTACTTCTATAATACTTCAAGTTTATTCTAAGATATACTATATAGTAGGCTAAATTTTTACTATTTACTAGGTATTAGTTTAATCTTATAGTTGTAAAGCTATTATATAAGTAGCTTATTAGACTCTTTTTATAAAAAGAAATCTATTAAGTTATAATACTTCTAAAAGACTTTTATAAGTAAATTAGTATACTTCTTCTTAGTTAGTACTTTATTAATGTTAGTAATACTAATAGTATAGATTTTATAGTCTCTTTTACGTGCTAGACTATTAAGGTTATTCTTTAAGTTTGTTCTTAGAAACAAGTAAGCAAG